TTTTATAGCTGGGTTAGTTTAGGTTTTTAGAGCTAAGGCCTTATTAATATCGGCAATAGTAATAGCAAAGATTTCGTAATCGGGTTATCGGGCTAATTAGGTTATAGACGCCGCGTTTAGTATATAGATATCCGTCCGGGTATTAGGTTTAAATTTAGAATTAGATTTAGTTTTAGGTTTAGTTTCTAGCTTAGGTTTAGGGTCGGGCATATTTATTTAGCGTACTATTTTAGGAAGCTAGTAATTATATTAGTGTTATATAAATAGGCTTAATTACTGCAAGTAAAAGTATTAGGTTAAAGGTGTTAGGTACTGCTTAATAAGGGGCGCTTTAGGAAGCTGTTCTATATAAGTTTTTATTGCAGAAGTTTAGAAGTTGCATAGGTATTGCGCCTAGTATTAGGACGATTAAAATAATAGTTATTAGTTATTATAGTTAAATCTAATATAGTGCTTATATAGCTAGGGCTATTCTAGTAGTAGCTTATATTTACCGAGTTCTAGTATATAAAAACAGATCTATTCTATATAGTTTAGGTGGCGAAGGGTTACTTATATAGAGTGCGTAATCTATTCTTTTTTAAGCGTTTTTCTATTAAATCTAGTTAGGCGTAAAATATAAAGGAGCAGGTTAAGGCGGAGTTTCTATGCGCGCGCTAGATTCCTGTAAATATAACCTATACCTATAGCTCTACTATTAATTAGAGCTATAGAATCTATATAGGTAGGGCCTTATTATATAGAAATAGGGATAAAAATCTATTATTTCCAGGAGTTAGGTTTAGGTTCTTTAAACAGGTTTATAGAAATCCGGGGTTAGAATAGTCCTAGGGGGCGACTTAGCCCCGGAATAGGGCTTTTAATAACTTTTTTATATAGGATAAGCGGCTACCTCTAGATTAATTAGAGCTAGAAAATAAAGCGGTAGATATAGAGAAACGGCGGGCAGATAAAAATTAGGTAGAATTAGTTAATTACGTGTATATGCGCGGTTGGGGGCTTAAAGGCTTATCTACGCTAAATAATCGGACTTAGGGCAAGGGAATAGAGCAATTGCAGGAGATATAGCTATACTTTCCGTATTTAAAGCAGAGGCCCTTTTAATAATATTTATCTTGTTTAGCTAAGCCGGCTGGAGTATATTTAGATATATTAATTTCTATTATATCTAGGTTCTTTTATAACAGAGGGGAATATTAAAAGAGTTAGCTAGGCAGGAATTATAGATTATTATTATACTTTGTAATTAAGTTAGTATAATTGTTTAGATTATCTAGGGTAGTAGCACTAACTATTGTATAGCAGAGTTTATTAAAAAGGGAGTATTAGAGCTAAGTTATTAGGCCAGCTTTATTTAGATCTATATTAGCGGTAAGTTATTAGAATTTAGTAAAGTGCGATATAAAGGCACGCCTTTTTTACTTTAGTATATAGAGTTAATTTAAGGATATAAGTTTCTAGTTTAGATTGCTGTATATAGCCTGCAGGAATTAGACGAGTTAATTAATAGTGCAGATATTTTAGTCTATTAAGGGGTTAATAAGCGTTAACAGGTTAGATTTTAATTAAGAGTAAGCGTATAGCAGGCGAGCACGTTTAGTTAGGTATTAATTAGCATTTCCTTCTAGTTTATACTATAGTCGTCGGATAAAAATTAGGAGTTTTTTTTAACTCCCCTTAAATATTAAAGGGTTAATTAAACGTTCGGTTTTTAGGGTTAGCAGGGCGGCGGCTATTAGAAAGAAGTTTATTAAAGTCGGCGGAGTAACTTTAATAGTTAGGGTCTATATATAGTTTATATTATTAGTAGGTATTAAGCTATTATTTAATTTATAAACAGGAGGCCCTGTAAATTATTAGTCGGGCGCTAGTAGTAGAGTAGAGGTAGATTTAGACTAAATTACGGCTACTTTCTTCTGCAGAGCAGCAATTTCCTATTTCTAGGCAGATAGAACTTCTATTATAGCAGCCTACTATTCCTTTATAGAGCTAATAAGCTCTAGAAGTATTATAGTCGGGTTAGCAGAAGTATTTATAGTAGTAAAAGTAGATATAATATAATATTACAATAGCGCTATATATAAAAGGTTAAGGGCTTAAAAAAAAGCGTTAATTAGGTGCTATATATAATACTATATAGAGAATTAAAACGTTGTATAAGAAATAGGAAAACGGGAGATAGGCTACTAGATATAAGGGTATAGCTAAGCGTGTAGCATACAGCCTCTATACTATTTCGGCGCGTAGCACGTATATACGCGAGGTTTTTACTAGATTAGGTAATAGGAAAAGGGGGCAGCCGGTAGGTAGCTGGAGCGGGATAGAATAGGAAGCGGAAGTAAAATAGGAGCGGAGCAGGGCAGGTAGGGCAGGAGGCTGGCTAATAGTAGTAGGCCGGTGCAGATTGCTAGAGTTATAGCAATCTACGGCAGAATTTCGGTAGGTAGGGTGTTGTAGTTAATACTATAATACTACTATAAGATTTCCTAGTAGTATTAACTAATAGATCTGCTAGCAGCTTTCTAGTTATACTATTAATATTTATAACTTTTTATCCGGCTTTAATATATATTCTATAGTTTTAAGGCTTTTTCTATAGCCTTATATACTTATACTCCTATACTAGCTGCTAGATAATATTATTAGTACCCTTTTTATTATTTATAAAACGCCTATATTTAGTAACCTACTATAAGGCCTTATAAAGTTAAATATAAAGGTTTATATAGAATTATATATATATATTCTTCTAGGCGCTATACTAGCTAGGCTGTAGCCGGTAGCTTAATAGCTTATAGTAGTTAGTAATAATAGTATCTAGCAGGAAGCTAAATAGCAGCCGCTATATTTTATAATAAATTTTTTAGATATTATAGTAGCTATATAGCTAATCGGCAATATTAATACTATATATATATAAATTATATTTATTAATATATACGGGTATATCTAGCTAGGCCCTAAACTTATTACTAAATACTAGCTTAGTCTATATAAAGCCTGTAGCTATAAAAATAGGCCTTTTTTATAGTTTATAAACGTATACTTAACCTAACGTGTTCTATATACATATAGTAGTTATAAGCAAGTAGTAGCGCTTAATTTTTAGTGCGATTTAGACGTTTTAACACCCTAGCAACCTTAACAACTATAAAAGATTTAAATCTATAACTTAGAATAAAGATATGCATAGCTGTTTCAATATTATAAGACAAATTTTTAGGGTCTCTTAATAGCCATATTTAGTTATAGTAGAGTTTTGGCCCCCTAGTATTAGGTAAAATCTACGATATAATAGAATTATAGAGATATATTACTCTAAACTATTGCCTAGCTATTAAAATAAGCTAAATACTATATGCATTTATATAATCTTATTTAATACTTTATAGTTGTTAAGATTGCTAGGGTGTTAAAACGTCCAAATCGCACCAAAAATTAAGCGCCACCACTCGCTTGTAACCACTATATGCATGTAGAACACGTTATAATATATAATATTAGCGGCTTTATATAACTTTATAATACTAAGGCTTAATACTAAACTTACTATTATAAACTATTAATAGAAATAAAACAACTCTAGCGTTTTTCTAGGCTATTTCTATTATTTAGTAACTTTTAAATAACTTTTTATAGAGTATTCTCTATAGAATTTAGGGCTTATAGATTATTCTAAGGTCTACTAGCTATATACTAATAGCTTTAGCCGGTAGCTTTTTTTTAGCCTTTATCCCCTTCTTCTTTTTATTCTTTTTTTTATTATCTAGCTTTTTACGCTTTATTTTTATAAGCTAGACAGTTCCTGCAGCTCTAACACTTTTAGTATATAGTTACTTAAATAATCTAATACTACTAAAAAGGTTATTAAGCTAGATTATATACTAGCCCGGTAAATAGAGTTGCTTATTTAAATTAGTATTATATTAGAGGAAAAGATTAAAAATAATAGTTTTAGTTAGTATAAAGCTATTATAAATAAAGGATTTATTAAGGTTAATAGGGCCTTTATTATTACCCTTAGCGTGCTATAGCTAATCTAGAATATAGCCTTAATTAGCTAGAACCTAGATTTTAAAGCCCTTAGGTATAGGCTTTATTAAAATATTTATAATTTTAAATACTCTGCCTATAAACCTTTCTATTATTTTATTAATAGCTAGATATATACCTAGCGCCTAGTACTACTAGTAGTATACTTAAATATACTTAAAAAGCTTATCTACGCGGTTAAATATTATATAAAAGCTATTATCTAGTATAAAGCTAGCGTAAATATAGTAATTAAGCTGCTGGAAATAGGTACTGCTTATATAGTTGCTTAGCTAGTTAGCTATACCGGCTTTAGTTACCTAGTAGGCCTTAATTAATAGCTATACTACTACTTTTATATAAATAACAACTCTAAAATATATATATAACTTTCTCCTGTTTATAGGCCTTTATACGCGCTTTTAGCTAAGCAGTATATTTTTCTTAAACGGCTGGTAATCCTTAGTATATTTATTTATCCAGCGTACTATCTTTTCTACTATTTTATTAGTAAAAAATAGGCAGAATAGGGCTATAGAATACTAATTAAGACCTAGAGGTATATTAGAGGTGCTGGGCGCGTTGTAGTTATTAATTTATAGTAGCTTAAATATAGGCAGCGGCGTAGGCTTAGGGTAGAAAAGTTTAGGTTTTTTATAAGGCTTTAGGTCCTTTTATACGTAGTTAATATTATTAAATATCTATAGTATTATAAAGCATTTAATTATGGATAATAACTAGCTATTTAGCTTGTTTATATTCTGCTGCGTATATTAGGGCACGAGCTTAGCGCTAAGTAAGGACGCTAACGGGCGAAGGGATACCTTTTTAACTTATTATATAGTTATAGGTTAAGCTATTTCTATATATAGAACTTTATATACTACTATATTTAGAATAATTTACTAAGCTTAGACTACTATAGTATAGTAGCTTAAACTATAGAGAAGTGTAAGCTAATAGAATCGCCTTATTAAAACACGTTTCTGTCCTTATAAAACTAATACTTTATGTCTTATCGATCGAGGTTTAGTTAAGGACGCGAGTCTCCATCGTCGTAGTCCCAGAAGCATGCAGAATCTCGGCTGACGTTCAATTCGAGCATGAGCGCGTCCTGGAGATTGTCCAGCTGATCGCTTAATAACCGGAGTCTGTCTCCGACCATTTTGTATTCCTCGCTCCTGGGTAGGTCGAGGGAAATCTCGAGCAGAAGCCGATTAGCTTGCTGCTCCAGACCTGCGGCCGCCTCGGATACTCGTTCAATGTTCTTGATGATTACTTGTGCTTCTATCGAGAACATGGCAACGATATCCGAATATTCAGCATCGTACTCAGCATTTCCGGGCCGACGTTGAAGCAGCATTGATGTCTCGAACTCCTGTCTACACATCGGGCATGTTCCCTAATTGGCTTGGCCTGATGTTTGCCACAAGTCAAGACACTCTCGCCCCATAATGTGCCCGCAAAAGGTCTTGACGGCGGGGTCGCTCGTTGAGAATTCCTTTCGGCAAATGCTGCAGTTACCTTCATCTGGCCCCAGTTCCGCGAGAGGCACTGGGCGGCTGCTCGTTTTGGCTATCACGGGATCCTTCCATGGCTCGTTGTACAGTCTACACAACCGGCGTTTCCATGACAGTATTTCCATCGACAAGCCAAATTCGTCACAGAGAAACCTATCGCAATCTACGTGCAGCAACTCATCGTCCCTGGGTAGATTGAGGAAGAACTGATACTGTTCTGGCAGATGAGTGCGAAGGTAGTCCCTCGTGTAAAGCCAGCGAGCATCGGGGCCAAGGGAAGTTGCATATCCGTGCTGAACGTATGTCTGCCATTCGGATCGATGAACGTTGTTGACGAGGTGAAGGATCTTCGTGGCATGGAACTGGAGCCCGGCTATGAAAGGTGCATCAGGGTCATCGTTCCGGCTTACACCTGCGAGATCATGCAGATGCTGTTGGTTTCCCCGGTCGGACATGCTGAAGAGTGCGGGTGCTGAGGGCTGCGTGTGCTTAATGCTTGTTGTGTGCTGAAAGCTGGTGTGCTCTGAAAGCTGTGTGTGTGCGAGTGGTGTGAAAGGATGTGTGGAAAGCGTGGACACGAGAGATGAGAGAATTGCAAATAGGCCATCACAAAGAAACACAATTCGGCGAAACGTTGCTGCTTCAAGACATGTCGCAAGGTGATTCTGAAACTCTATCCATACATTTCACCTACCTGCTAGTCTCAGTTAACAGAAAGATGAAATAGTGAGATGACGTCGCAAAATAGAGGAAGAGAACTGCAGGGTGGCGAAACGGGAAGAAGGATGAGAAGCGTCGGATACGATGTCGCCGCCTTGCGCCTACTGGAAGCGAGCCTCAGAAATTTTAGCAGTAGGCTGTACGGTTTGGAGTTGCGCCTCAGCTGTGAGAATAGATTCATGACGGAAATGTAGTGGACCGGTTTCGGAGGTGTCGACGAACCCGAAGAAGCCGACTTGGCATCAGCCCGCAGCCCCGGCATTTGTTCATTACATCGGCGAGTGGTGCGGGCAGGGCTGGCGTTGAGTTCTGTCCCGTCCCGGATCGCCAATATCACACGAGGCAAACGACTGCTCAAAGCTGTATTGACTGTTTGATTGTTGAGAGTGTAGAAATAAGAGAGGATTTCAGAAAAGAAAGGCTATATACAACGATACGTGCTCGCCACGTCTACCGTGCTCCTTTCGGATTGACCAAGTCCACGGAAGACGGGCGCCGTTCAAAGCAGATCGCGTCGTCGGTTCGTCGTCCATCAGTTCACTGCCCGCAAGCCTTACTCATTCTCCGTAACATCAATAACAGTCGACTTGAACTTCCTCGCGCTAACCTTGCGATTAAACAAGATATCCAGCTCACGATAACTCCGATCCTTGAGTTCTGGCAAGCCAAAGTAAGCGCTCACAAAGCAGACGCAGGCAGTACCACCCCAGATATACCCGCACTTGCCGGCAAGGTTCCACCCAGTCGGGTTGAGCATGCGCGAGGCGAGGTAGATCATAGGAATCTCAGCGGCGTAGTATGCAGCACGCCCGACACCAGTGCTCAGCGCGCGCAGCCGGACCGAGGACGTCTCGGCAATGATGGAGTACGATATTGGGCCCATGGCGCCGGCGAAAACGAAGCTGATGACGACGCCGAGACAGGCTTGGGCATAGTTGGTTGCTGTGTTCTGGGGGATGGAGGCGCAGATGCCGAGGAGGAAGAGGAGAGTGATGTTTATGGCTGTGCCGCCAAGGTAGATGGTTCGGCGGCCTAGCCAGCCGCTAAGGGGCCAGGAGAGGATGTTGGCGACGAGTTGGAGACACGAGTTGATGAGATTGAGTTTGAAGGAGAAGTCGGTTGACATTCCGGCCTCTGAGGAGAGTTAGTTGATCGCCCTCGTAGCGTGTTAACGGGCTGGGCAGCTACTCACGCTCGAAGAAGAAGGTTGCCTGGTTGGCAATCAGGTTGCCGGCAAAATTCTGGGACGCGTACATCAGGCAGGTGATGATTGTTCGCCTCAAGTCGGTGCCCTTGACCAGGTCGAGGAGGGAAGGTTCACCGCCGTGATGAGCTTCAATCTGCACGGTACGTTCCATCATGGCGAGTGTGTCCTCGGCGCTGGCTTGGGTTCCGTTCCTACGAGCGAGGCGCTTGATGGAGCGGAGGGCTTGCTCTTTGCGTCCGTGGCGAATAAGCCACCATGGAGACTCGGGAGCGAAAAAGATGAGGACCATAAGTGGGAGCTGAAGCAGTTAGCTCTTGTACGTCACCGTCGGGAAGGGAGCACTCACAGGGAAGATCCATTGCAAGGCAAGAGGTCCTCGCCAAGCCCACTGATCGGTTCGTTTGTTGAAGCCCAAGGTGGCGGCGGCGACAATAATCATACCGATAGACCAGGCCATTTGGAGAGTGGCTGTGCAGGCACCGCGAAGGACGAGCGGGACAACCTCACTGGCGTAGGCGGGCGAGTTCGCAATGAACAATCCCCACGGGACACCTTCAAACGCTTGTCCGATGACAAGCACCGCAAGGGAGTCGGCCTAGGTGATGCTGTCAGGCGGAAAGCTCGACGTCAGGGCCAAGGCACTCACAAAGAAGGATATGAAGATGGTGGCGTTCATCAGAACGAGGCCCAAGAGGGTGGTCCAGCGATAGCCGAGACGATTGGTGATGGGTCCAGCCATAAAGACGCCGATAAAGGCGCCACATTGGCCGGCTTGGAAGAGGGAACTCTGCCATTTGGTGGGGATGGTGTAGCCAGATCCTTCGACGTAGACGCCGTACCGTTTCTTGAACGCGGGAAGTGCTACAAAGTTTCCGTTCAAGAACATGTCGAATGATTCCATGATCTGATGGACGTCCGCTTAGTTCTATGCAAGACGCGTGGATACATGTGCAAGGGAGAGGACTCACGATGGTGAAGCAGAAGATGAAGGCCCAAAAGCAAGCCATAGGATGGTCCTTGGCCGCCTCCCAGAGGGTCATCTCATGCTCGCGGTTCTCAGCGTTCTGGGCATCGGTCATGAGCGCTTTGTCGTCCATAAGCTCGGATTGCTGCGGGATGTTCTTCTCCTGGACTCCATGGTCGACAGTGTCGACGTAGGCCGCCTCGGCCTTGGGCTCGGCAGCGCGCGACGACATGTTGGGGCAGTGTGCAGGCTCGGTGGAGTACCGCGGCGAAGGGCAAAAGAAACAATGCGATGCAACAGCCAAGCAGGGGAGCTGGACCTGGCATCTTTTATATATCTGAAAGTCGGCCCAGGACGTGCTGCTCGGACTATCGATCCATTGCTGCGCGGCAAGGTTGCCCCAATGGGCAGCCCTAGTTTTTGCATCAATAGCAAGGCTCAGAGCGCGTTGGTGCGGGGGGCCGTTGCTCGGAGCACGGCAGAAAGCTTCCCCAGATATCCCACCAATGGGGCATTTGTATGGGGATGCGCACAAGCAACCCCGGACAGCGGGCGCGGGGCCCCATGGGCCAAGCTGGAATGGAGCTTAGCTGTACCTACGCATTCCGGTCAGGCGCTTCTGGATACTGGGAGCACGAGGCAAGGATGGGCGGAAGTATTCCCTATCCAGTGCTAGTGGCAGATGGACCAGGGTGCAGGGGTACCAGGCCTCGGCAATGGATATCGCCACGCCTTCCGTCCAGAATTCCTACGAGAGTGCACTCAATCCCGCTGACTTGGGATGTGGTTGTCACAGGTCATGTCCACGTGGGCCATTACCTCCATGCCTGGCGTTTTCTTGCCGTGAGCGGGCTGCATAAGGAGCATGCTGATACCTTCTACAAGGGTCAGTAGCTACTTCTGGGTCGGCCGATTGATCCACTGACCATCTTTAGGCTCACTGGCACTACGTTGAAGAGAGCCGACAGTTGCGCTGCCATCAAAGAGAGCTGGCTATTGCGACACCGACAAAAAGAGAGAAATGAGAACGCTACTACGATAATGATTTCCTTCAGGGCCATACGAGTGTGGGCCGTTGAGCGACAGGCCGCGAGAGAGGTTGGGAGCTATACGCTGACTGGAAAGGAGACAGGCTGGGATAGAGCGCTACCTATATAATTAAAGGAGATTGAGAGGTGGGGAGGAAGCGTCTGCGAGCAATGGGTCAAGAGATGGAATGAAATGGCACCCTTCAAAGCCCTTACACGATCAGGCATGCTTCAATGCATCCTAGACCCACGGTTCATGAAGGGAATTACACGCGAACTGTATCATTTGGTGGTCTTGCAACATCTGACATAGTCAGGATGATCCAACCCGAAAGAGGGCTTTTCCAACACGAGTATGAGCTCGAGCCCAATTGATGAAGCTGCAAGACGCGTTAGCAGAAATGTCGCGCTACCGCCAGCAAAAGGACTACTCGCCTCTCCATCCCAATGCATACTCCAAGTTGCCCACACCGTTGCGTATTCGCCATCTATGTGCTCAACTTCGTCCCAACTGACTTCCACAAGCTCCTGTTCTGCTTTCGCAAGCGGATCTATAGCCTCAGCGAGGGGCTTAAAGTGTGGCTCGTTCTCGCGGATGAGACACGCAGTCGCCTTCGGATGCATCATCTTGCGCATGTGCTCCACGTCTTTCGTCCTGACACAGGCAATGAAAGCCTTGACTACATCCACTGGACTTGAGTTTTGGATGATGGATGTCATGGCGAGAGACTAGATGTAACAAGGCCGGATGAGTCGTAGAGAAGTCCGTTGTTAGAGAAAAATATAGGACTGTGCGTCCTGACGGGTTAGTAGGGTGCCTTTGGAAGCAGAGAAATCGATGGCGAGGGGAGGCGATGATGAAGGAAGAAGAAAGCGGGGAGGCGATGATGAAGGACGAAGAAAGCGGGGAGGCATTTGGGAAGCCGAAGAAGCCGACTTGGCATCCGGCCCGCGGATAGCTCTCGTCGTCAACTTCTCCTTGCCATCAACAACAATCCGCGCCAACTGTTTACATCTACGGATACTACTGACTCCCAGTAAAGGCAGCTTGCGATCAAGTTCTCTCGTCCCACCGTCCTCGTCACATGCCCTCGCTCACAGCTTGTCTGATATTTCTCGACCCGCGGATAAGCCAATACATCTCAAGCCCGAAGCAATCGTACTCAGACTACACCCTTCACAGTGAATTTAGGTCCATAGCCGCTTATGGTCGCGTCTTACCTCCCTACCACTGCCTCCTCCACCGCCTACACTATCCGTGGCCTCAATGTCGAGTACTCCACTCTTTCCCTCCCGCGCACCAGCAGCAGTCCCTTGCGAGGCCATTTCGAAAGCGCCAATACCGGAGCTCCTAGTCGAACGAGCGCCAGCGTAGGAGCGGGATACTAGGCGGCGGAGCATGCCTGTAGACGTAGGGAGAAGTGCCGTCGCAACCAGCGTACACATGGAGATGACAAACTCTCGGCTCAAGCGTTGTTCTGACTTCGGGAGCTGCAGCACGAGGGCTGTAGAAATAACGCAAATTCTAGACTATTGTCCTGCCGAATCTCCTGGGATGCACAATGGTGCCCATCGAAACTGACAATGCGCTCTGATATGAGCATGAAGTTTTCTGCAATAGCCGTGAGAGACGGCAAGACAGAGATGAAGAGGTTTGGAGAAAGGTCGGCGCGAACTCGAGCACGTGCAAGGCCCTCCTCGACCTTCCTACGGCTTTGGTGCCAATAGCATATCAAGCGGTTTGCGCTCTTGAAGATGACTAGCAGGTCACCTGTTAGCCCTTGCGTCTTGGTACCTCGATAGTTTCTATTGTATTGGCTATGAGATCAACTCCCGCTTATTAGGGTTGCTTTTCACTCTCGTTCGTTAGATCGCTCTAATCTTGCTTCATCTCAAGACATCACGTTCATTTACGACGCATAAGATACATTTCAGGATGACAGAGCCTGCTTTGTACACGAGAATGAAGCTGTGTTGACTATGCGATATTGTACACTAGCTTCTGGCCAGATATGGCATTGTCTCTATACAGCTGGAATCCGTTGATGACGCCTTTCAACCCTCCCTCAACGACGCGGACAGGGTTGGGCTTGATTATCCCACTTGATAGCATATCCGGGAGGTGGCCATACAGCTCAGTCGCCAAATCCCGGTCATCCTCTCTTTTCTATTACTTGTCAGTTCATGCCCTCATCAGAGCAAGCCAGTTTAACATTCATACCGGAATTTTGAAAGGTCCAAGAACGAGATCATCGAAGAACGCCGTAAACACCACAACATCTGTGACTTTGACGTTCTTTTCCACGTTCTGTGTGTTTGTTTTCATTGGCTGGATCGTACATAAGACCCCTCCACCGTCGCAGACCGCGCTTGATGCTTGCGCAGACGAGGTTTCGTTTCCCACGCAGTCCAGAACGTAGGTAATGGCGGGAAGAGCCTTCTTGATATCTTCAATCACGGTAGGGCTTCGGTAATCGTACACATGCGTCGCGCCCAGTGCTTCCACACTCTCCTTATTCCTGCAGGTCGTCGCAAACTGAAATCCGAAATGTCGGGCAATCTGAATGGTGTACTGGCCAACGCTGGTGCTTCCACCCCATATTAGTAGCTGGATCTGGTCCGCTGCGGTACGATCAATTCCTAGACAATACGGCGACAGTAAAGCGAGCCATGCGGTTGTCAAGGCCAAGGGAACCGTTGCAGCGGCCGCCGAAGAAATGGTGTCCGGGACTTTGAAACAGAAGGCCTGTTTAACGATGGTGTGGGTTGCGTATGCACCCAAACACCCAGGACGTCCGCCTTGCACGAGTCCAGCAACGCGGTCTCCGTTCTTCACTTCTGTCACTTCTCCACCAACACTCTCCACTTGCCCACAGAAGTCGCAGCCAAGTACTGCACCATCGCCGAAGCGGTTTTGGTCGAAACCTTTGATGTCGGTGGGGTTCTGAGCAGTGGCGCTGATGCGGACTAGGACTTCTTGAGGCTGCAGGGCTGGGATAGGGACGTCTTCGAGAGCAAAATGGTTCTGCCCGTCCGATGGATGACAAACCAGTGCTTTCGCTACAGACATGTCGACAACGCTGAAGCAATACTGTTGAGAGACCTCGAGCTTCGCCTAAACTTCTGGTTTATTTCGTTGTATAACTTCTCCCTCAATTCCCTTCGGTCAGACTTTCTTCTTGGTCTCATTTTCTGAGCGAACTGGGTCCTCGAAAAGGTGCTCCCGTCACTTCCGAGGTCGTGCTGCAAGGCTAAGAGCGCCTAGGCCTAGTGATTTGGTCCTCCGGCGCTCGGAGTCAAAACTCGGAGAAATTTCTCCGCAATGCGCTCCACTTCTACGTAATTGGGGTGCGCTTTTTGTTCTATGGCCCAAGTGCCCACCTCTGCTGCTTCTCCCACTGTCTCTACCGCTATAGGCCTCGGCGTAGTGAAACCAAGCCCATACTTAGTTAGCTTACCCCAATGAGACCATTCATCAGCACTATACTCCCTCCAAACTTCACTATCGACGAGGAGTATCCCATTCCACGAAGAAGCCCAACGTACTAGCCTCTCAGAGACTGAAGTTGCTCTCAAGATGTATTCCGAGTGGCGAGGGCCTAGAGAGCCCACGAAACTGGCCGCTCGAAAGGGCGAAACCAATTCTCTCAAACGGTATGCTCAAGACGAGGACACCGAAGATTAGGCAGCTGCAGTCGCGATTCCTCTCATGCTCATAGTCCCAGGTAGGAGTGATTCGTCGGAGACATCCTTGATATGAGCCTCGCTCTTAGCCCGCCCATCGTAGAGAAGGCAATGGAGAGCTTGAACGAGTAATAGGGGACCGTCGACTGCCGACTCTAGTGGACGAGGCGCAGCTGCAGTACATCATCAAAGAAGCGCTCCGATGGCGACCTTTCTCCTATAGTTCTAACGCGGGCGAGTCAACTGAGCTCTCCTCAAGTAGCACTCCCAACTAATTGGCTCCGCAGGCTCCAACCATAACACGAAGCAGAATGCCATAGACAATGGCCACTCCATCCCAAACACCCCCGTCACGGCAAATAGCTACTCTAGAAGTGAGCCGCTATAAAGACGCCCGCACATTCAAAGCTATACTCTCGATCAACCAAAACTTGGCTCTCGGGAGTACGCCAAACCCGAAAATACGCTCATTCCCAATTCGTGTAGGGTATCTGGGGCCACAGCGCTCTGGCGCGTTGACCGCGGATCTGGCTAGTGTGCGACGCCTGAATGAGACTGTTTCCGTGGCATGCTTTGGTCTGTGAATGATACTGTAACACTGCTCTTCGATTCAGTCGCCATGAGATCAAAGTATGAGCCTAATATGCGGTAAGACTCTCAAAATCTGCGGCTGGCGGGCATTCGCAGATCGTTCGGAGCATTTCCAAAGAATAACACTTTTCGAAGTGGAGTATGCAGCGCAATCATTTTCGTTGACCATATTTTTCATCTTCACGACTCACTTTAAGTAAAGTCCAGCTCATGCCACGCACTCGTACAAGGAGCATAACCACTTTGTGTTCGTAATCACCTGGGCGCAACTGATGTTCCGGTAGTCAGAAAAAGAATTGATTCAATACCCGGACGAACCTTGACAATGACCACGTGGGGGAATGCTTGGGCAAATGCGGGGAAACGGCTATTATCTCATCGCTCTTCCGCTCCGAGTCGGAGCTCTACGTCCGGACATTCTTCAACGCGTCCAGACAGTTTCATAGCCGCTCATGTGGTTATGTGAACTTCTTGCTTGACACTACGACTGTTATACTCAGACTCCTCCCTGTCTTCAATCGAACACTTCAAACAGCTCATTTACGCCTAACCCTCAACCCCTGCTACGCTCCTCTCCAATAGCAAACATGGGAGACGGCTCTCTAGAAGGCAAAGTCATTGCCGTAACAGGCGGCTGCTCCGGGATTGGTCTCGCCATCGTCACCAAACTCGTCTCCTTGAAGGCCAAAGTCGCCGTCGCAGACATCGGCCCCTTACCCACAGAACTAACTTCCACCCCCAGTCTCATATACACGAAAGTAGACGTCACATCGCGCGAGCAGATCAAGGCCTGGATAGCTGAGCTAGTCGCCAAGTTCGGCCGCCTGGACGGCATGTGCGCCAACGCTGGCATCACACCGTGGGAAGGCGGCGAGGGCACCACCTCTGAAGCGCTGTACGAGAAGATATTTGCTGTGTGTACGCTTGGAGTATGGAACTGTGGGACGGAGGCATATTTCCAATTCGAGAAACAGGGTGGCGGTGGGGTCATTGTGAATACGGCGAGCGCGGCGGGGGTGTCGGGATTCCCGGGTATGCCTGTGTATTGTGGGGCGAAGCATGCGGTCGTGGGGTTTACGAGATCTTGGGCGACAACATGGGGTGGGAAGGGGATTAGGGTGAATGCTGTTGCGCCTGGTAAGCTGAGTGTCGAGTTGGTGTGAAACGCGGATTACTGATAGAAGACAGGCTTCATAGAGACGCCGGCGCAGAAGAGCCTGTTTAAGGACCATACGGCACTTGAGCCCTTCCCAGCTGCGGTACCCCTTGGGAGGATAGGTCAGCCAGGAGAAATTGCTGATAGTGTGGTCTTTCTGCTCGGAGATACGTCGAGTTTCATGACGGGTCAGGTGTTGAGCGTCAATGGAGGGCATGGGGTGTGAATAGCTTCATCTTGCGTACTCAAGTATTGATGAAATATGTGTAAGTTTGTTTATTGACGCCATCGTCGATACCTCATAGTCAAAATTATGAGTACGACGGAATTCAAAGGGGTTGGCTAAACAAATCCGAGTACTTTTCAAAGATGATTGCAAAGATGCGTGATAAGGGAGCAATGAACGTTTAGCATCTAACATCTCAAATGGGATACACGGGTTTTGAGCCTTTTCTTCTTCCTGGTACACGAACAGGACTGACTAGATCCATTAAGCTCTCATCTTGCAGTTATTCTCTGTCTACGTACCAAGAAGCGGCTTGGCTCTCGATTAGCCAAAGACTCCATCAAGGGATTTATGAAAATACCTCCGATCACAAAAGAGGCCTCCTCGCTCAACAAAATCGCAACGAAATTACTCAGGTTGCAGCACTACAACCTAGGATCAACAACTCATATGCCAGAAAGCTACTCTCCGAACATCAGCTGTAGAGAACCCAGCCGAAATCTCAGCTGTAGAGAACCGAGCTGAAGCCTCAGCTGTGCAGGGCTCATCTGAACTTACTAGCGCGCCACCCTGGGGGTGGCCCCCTTCCTTCCCCTAGTATATATACAACTAGCTAGACGTCTATAGAAATCAGAGTTCACATCAATTTCAACCTGAGTAAATTGGCCTCCTCTCCCGGCTGCGCCATCCGCTTGATACGGGCGAATTGAGAGATCCTCTGTCCAGAGACCTTGCTTCTCGCCCTTCCGAAGGGAGTTGTATCAATTGGGCCTCTGCTTCCGTAATCAGTGCTCGATTACCCTTCACTTTCAGGAATCAACTTGTACGAAAAAACGCCACTGATCCGTGGTTCTCCTTGAGAGCTCGCAGATGCAAAAGCAGTCATCCGATCACTGCGTGCTTGCTTGCAGAATAGGGTGCATTGTGAGCATGGGTTTGAATCCCGGATACGCTTGGGATGTTGATAATGAAACTTCCTTGTTTCTTGATCATTCCCAACTGAGCGCGCATACAATAAATAGAGCACGCCGCTTGCATTAACGCTCATCGTACGTTCCCATTCTCCAATTCGTCCGTGTTGAAATTGCTGATTGCAATGCCGGCTGCTCCCAGTTAATCTACCTTGAGGAAAGTGGCTCGTCCAATACCTAACGCGGCGCCGGTGAAGAGATTGCCATTCATTGTGTAAGCCCCGATCTCAATAGCTTCAAGTGATGAGCTGCAGATGGAAATGGCACGCGCCCGGATTTATGATATTACTTCAACATCCTTCTTACATGACTCGAAATTAGTATGTATGTAACACGCTATTGGGTTAGATCTGCATTGAAGCTAGGCAGTACTGATGCCGGCAGCTGGTCTCGTGGTACTCCCGGTAGGCGGATACCGACAAACGTATGGCAGCTGGAGGGAAGCATCCGCAAACCCTGCGTTATTCAGTAACGAAGGAAAAAGATAAGCCCATGTGTCGGATGCCGGCTAGTCCGTGTACCGGAGTTTATAACTTGGCATTACCCAGGCTACTAATATATCCAGGTTCCCCGCAACATTTCTCCCCGCATCTCTTAAAAATCTGGGGTAGCTTCACGTGCCTCGGGAGAACTATCACAAGCAAGTATTACTCGCTCTTTCGTCTGGAAACCGCAAGACTCTAACCCACAAGTAGTCCGAATTTAGAAATACCACTCGACGCAAAAAAATACGATATTTTCATAATTCTCTCAATCCGCAAACCAAACCCGGGACCATAGCCATGGGCCGCACACTCGTCACCGAAGTCGTCCAGACGTTCAACTGCTCTCCCGATGAGTTATGGCCCGTCTTCGGTCCCGGCTGGGCTAGTCTCAAGCTCTGGATGCCGGGTGTAAAGTCCTGCTCGCTATCCCCTCCAAATGTCGAGGTCGGTGCAGTGCGGTCGGTCATTGTGAAGGGAAACCAACTAAGTGAGAGGATGATACGATATGACCCAGACGACTATTTCACCGAATATCTTGTTCTAGACCCCCATCCGTACCCAGTCAAAGGCTTGTACGGAAACACGAGGTTGGAGAGAAACGGAGAGAATGGGACGAAGATTACGTGGTGGGCGGATGCTGACGAGGCAGATGAAGAGGGCATAAAGGTCGCGGGGCCGTATCTTACGTCGCTTTTCGAATCGGGGCTTGGGTCGTTGCATAAGTTGCTGGAGGCTTGAAGAGGTGAAGATGAGGACACGCATTTATAATTTGACACTATTGGCAACTTCACATGTCTAATTCTGTGAACATTTTTAATTTTTCCAGCCGCGTTTTCCAAGTGAAGGTACGAGCTGTACCATAAATTCTGACGAGGCAAATGGCAATGTACGAAGCTGCAGCACATTATCTGCTGTACTACCCACAGAAAATCAGCAGGTCAGGGCTCATGTCAACAAAAGTGGACCAGGGAGAAAGCAGTCCTGGCCATCCGGATGGTTCGGTGGTGGGTGCTAGACCGGACCGGTGAATAATCTCCGCCTCGCACACCGCGATCCCGAAACAGCATCCGAGACCAGGGCTTTGAACCCTAATCCCAGGATATTCATAGTAGCTAGATGCAGATCACAAGGAAAGAAGACGGCATGGATCAGCCGACCTTGCGGCGCATACGGGCCTTAAGTATTGTACTTACTTCGAGTACTTTAAATGCTGCTCAAAAGGCACATAATCTGCGCGTTCAAAAACCACTCCTCATAACGTAGTTCAACACGCCATACATCACGGACAATATGACGGTGACAATCGACTTCGACGCCCCTACCGACCAGGTCAAGTCCCCCGCAATCCTCGCTCACGTCGTCCTACGAACCGCGAAGTTCAAAGAAATGGTCGACTTCTACAAAACATTCCTCGGCGCGTCCGCCGCCTACGAGAACGACTTCCTCTCTTTCCTCACCTATGACGAGGAGCACCACCGCATTGCACTTCTCGCCGTCCCAGGAACCGGCCCCAAGGTCCCTACGAGCTCAGGCCTAGAGCACATTGCTTTCGCTTACGAGAAGTTGGAGGACCTAGCTCTGGCATATCGTCAGCGCAAAGCCAAGGGCATTCTGCCCGCATGGAGTGTGAACCACGGTCCTACGACGTCGATATACTACAAAGATCCCGATGGAAACATGATTGAGACGCAGGTAGACAATTTCGACGTCCCAGACGATGCCACGAAGTTCATGATGTCGAAGGAATTTGAGGAGAATCCGTTTGGAACGGACTTTGAGCCAGAAGACCTCATTAGGAGGCTTAGGGCGGGCGAGGATGAGAAGTCGATTAAGAAGAGGATTGAGAGCGGCCCAAGGGGGATTCCAGATCTCTGAATGTATCTTCTCATTGAAGGAAAATGAATGGTGCTCGTTTTGTACCATAGCCGCGCAAGGGCGGATGAATAGTGGCTGCATATCCTCACAATCTACCTTCGGGCGGTCGATTAGCCTCTACAATTGCCATGATCACGTACTCAGTTTCACCAGAGGATGCGCCAAGTAGCTTTGCCATAGCTTCAGCCCCCGCGTCGCTAACCACCTGTCTGCTGTCAAATTCTCGCTTACGGTATCGAAACCCACGTACTAGGTAGAAATAAGCTCAACCCCAGACTCGCTACCAGCCCATCGGGTCTTCCGAAACCCGCCCTTCCAAAGGTACCTTCGGGCCTCATGGCTCCGAACACTCTTCGCCGATTGGCCACTCCGGAAGCAGATGGTAAATGGTCCGGACGAGACGCTCCGGCCGGACAGACATCAGATTTCACTAATCACAATTCTTCCGCATGATCGTCATTCCCCGCAGCTCGCGGAGCCGGAGGGATTATCGAACCTTATGTCAGTAGCTTGACAACATGAGGGGCAGTAGTGGGGAAACTGCAAGCTCCCTCCCAGGGTCCAACATCTCGTGATTTCGTGCTTTCAAACCATTCTTCTGCAATCTAATGACATCGAACCTTTCCACGTTTGCATTCTTTTACTTCTACGAGATTGATTCCACTTCCCCCTCCCCACGTACCCTCTCTACGTACCCTCTCTCCTATTGATATACCCAGACACCGCAGCAATAGAAAATGGGCTACAACACCGAAAACACTGAGTGGCCGACTTCAACACCGGTCCCGGACGTTCAGAAGACCATAATCGATACACTTTTCAACTTACTAGACGACAAAAGCGCGGGCGTGGGCGACAAGCTCGCGGACGAGATCTTCACAAGCGATGGTGTTCTGCACGGAGGCGCTGGGACAGCCAAAGGCACTGACGGTACAACCTCCAGTTTTGGAACTTCTTAATGTCTTCGGTTCTCGTGGCTGACTGGGGACGCTCTGCGTAGCCATCCGCCACGCCCGCGACAATGCCTGGAAGATAATCCAGACGCGCCGCCACAAAGTCCTCCGCGTCTATGTGCACGATGCAGAAGCGAAAGATCTCTTGATCGTCGGGCATGTGACTATGGGCTTCCCGAATGGCAAAGAGAATGCGAGCGAGTTCACCGCGAGGATCCTGTTCGTCGCACCCGAGTCTGCGGGCGGGAAGCCGAAGATCAAGGATTATAACGTGTGGGCGGTATGTTTCCCGCTTCGACTAGTAACTAATCCTGGAATACTTGGTGGATGAAAGAACTGACAACCGTGTGCTTTCCAGGACACCGCACCATTGAGTAAAGCAATTCAGGAGGCTGTGGCGGATGGAAAATAAGGGCGTAGCGAAAGTGGATTGAGGCGACGGACAATTCCATAGCTTAAGCATGTATGGGATATGATAAGGAGCAGAACCATGAGATTCACGCTAAAGTGAATTGCAAAGAACGGATTTCGCTCTCTGACAGCTGGAGAAGAAATGATGCAGTGCCCCAGCCCCGCTTCTTATTTCTCAGCCGAAGAGGCCTTGCTCTGGACTTCCGATACTCTTTCTTACTAGGGTTATGCTGCTGCAATGTAGTAACATCTTGACAAATATCAGCCTTCTGTGACCCTGTTCCAACGAGACTGCAAGTAAATCATATCTTGATCACTGGGAAATTCATAGGTGCTCGGTCTGCGGAGATCTGATGTGGGCTTCAGGCGAGGTGTGGAGGAGTATTCTACTCGGACCTGTAATTTGCTCCCGAAACCATCTCGTGGCTGCCAGGATATAGTTCCGCCTCATCTAACCCCACAAACTAAAGATATGGATTGGGCAAGGTGTGGGAAGAAAAGCAGCTTGCTTTAAGCGTTAGAAAATATTTGCGGGGTCCCCGCGCGTTCGGACCCAATGTCCGGTGTCCAAGGTCCTCTACCCGAATTCTTCTGCTTACCTCCGGAACCTCGACACAGCTTCCCATCCCTCTACGCCACTTCGAAGTTGCATGTGCTAGCATGGCAAGCCAAAGGGACAACGCAAAGTGTGCGCGAGCGTGCGAGTACTGCCGTCTCAAGAAGATCAAATGTCGGTGATAAGCAGCCTTTTCACGAAGCTCCGCTGACTGAACGTGCTTGTAGGTGATGCGAAGCAGCCATGCAAGAACTGTGCCCTGCACCACGAAGAATGCATCACCATTCCTTTGGTGCGCAAAAATACGCGCGAACGACATCGACTGCTTCAAATGCGAGCAGAACGCGCCGAGGCCCTTCTCGCTGCCGCTGGCATTGCCCATCAAAATGAGTCTGATAGCTTCAGCCAAAGCCCTCGAACTACCATCGGGCAGCTATTTATGCCATCGCCTCCCCGTGAGAATGCCATAGACAGTGTCCCGACTATCACTACGCATATGCCCGCAATGGAATCCCCTCGATCAGCTCTCCTAGCGCGTCAACGACGTCCCTCCTTCGCGTCCTCTCATCGAACTCAGGCTTCGGTGAACGATAGGCAAAGCGGCCTCAACGTAGCTCCTGTCGTTCGGTCCGTAACGCCCCTCACTTGGCGGCAAGATTTCCAGACCCTTTCGCGACCCGCGTATTCCGATCTTGACGAAAGCGCTCAATCGCAAACTCAGACTTCGATAATATCTCCAACAGATACAGTATGTCCGATTTCTGTAGCCTTGAGGTCGATACTGATACGAAGTTTCCAGAGTAGTACCACGGAGCATCATGGTGGGCATTTTTCTGCACCCACGCCCTTTCTTAAGCTGGCTTCGCATTGATTTATTATAGGACCGCAGTCATATATGTCTATCTGCTCCGATTCAGGAGTAAAATGGGTTTCACAAAAGATTGGCATCCCTGATTTCAATCACAGCGCCTCCTCACTGGCGACCGTCGTTTCTCGCGGACTGAAGATGCAACGAATGAACAGACACCCGAGGCCCGAACCAGATCATGAGACCGCTTGGTCCTATACTAAAGGTTGGTCCCCCAAAGATTTGGTCCTTGCCAGGCTGATCTTAGAGGTGTGCAGCTTACTTCGAACATACTGTGGAAGCAGACATTGGAACAATCAATCGCCACGCCTTTGAAGCTCGTCTACAAGCCCACATGGGAAGAAACGAGATCTCAGACCCCGACGAGGACCCGGCTTGGTATGCGCTTCGGAACATGGTTTACGCCTTTGGATGCAGATTTGTGCTCTGCCAAAAGATATCAAGAGACGCATGGGCAGAAGCCCAGAATGAATCTTGGAGATTCTTCGAAAACGCTCTGTTAGTGCATACCGAGCTGGTGTATTTCCCCTCGAATACCTCTGCGATTGAGGCTTTGTTGGTTATGGTAAGTCCTATCATTCCTACCCGCGTATTTGCTATTCACCTGCATCGCGTAGGCACTCTTCGTAGAAGGGATGGGGGTGCCTAAACTTGAGTACATGCTCATCAGCAATGCCCTGCGACTAGCTCAATCAAAAGCACTTCATTTACAACCACCGCCGTCTACTAGCATCCCACCGGCCGAAATGACATATCGTAGTTGGCTTTGGTGGTCAATCTACATTTACGAGAAACACATTGCATATCGATCTGGACGGCCTTCCGTACGTTCTCTGCATGCCATGCGATCACTCGTACTGACTTTGTCTGCAGGCAATAGATGATGACGAGATTACATGTGTACTACCCACATTAGCACCAAATGGGAGGGAAATACATGTTCAACTGTTCACTTCTTTCATCGAGCACGCACAGATTTCATCATCAACCATGAGACACTTATCGCGAGCTAAGTCTGGGCAACGATCTCCTGCTGAATTGGTCAGCACGGTAGAGAAGCTTGATAGACGACTGCATTCTTGGTATCAGAGTATTCCAGCGGCTCTTCGTTTGGACCTACCCTTCAAGAAATCCAATCTCCCAGATGGAGCCCAGCTCGAACACCTACTATATCTCCACTTCGCCTACCATGGAAGTTTGATATCCATCCATTCTTTCTTTGGATACCCATGGAACCTGATAGGCTTTGCCTCCGACTCAAGCACTGATCTTCGAGAGAGAATGGAATCGAGCACCAGAATCGTCGCTGAAGCGTCACGGAACTTAGTCTTGGCAACAAGAGACATCAGCATTGACGCCGAGGCTCCTGCATGGTAAGAGTCGAGCTTACCGCACGAAGATGTGAAGTCTGGAAAATGGAATCGCTGACCATATTTTAGGCTCATCTTTTATTACCCCATTCTCGGCATGATCAACCTATTCATTCACATTCTCAGATTTCCTACGCTACCAACGATTCCCTCCGATATTCAATTGATGGACATGATCGCCGCATATTTTGGATATATCGACTTTTCAACGGCATCACGACTTTCGTTTCCGTTCACCAGGGATATTGCACACTGGGCCCGTATGGTCTCTGAAAAGGCTCGATCGACGCAGGCAACGACCACCGTGCCCAGTATGCGAGCAATGACGCCTCCAGGGAGCACCGCAGAGACATTCGGAAATGCCGCAGAGGATGATTTTACGGCCCAGGTATACATCCCCCTCGATTTCTTCAACGTATGGCCTCAAGTCCGTCTTCCCCAGTCATATGTTGTATACTAATTCTGGATACTTTAGCTTGCGAATTTTGATCCCATTGAATTTGGAGGAGTCGAAGATTGGCCGAGCTTCTTGTCTTCCATGTCGCAGGTCCCGCTAGTAGCATGGAATGACTTTTCATTGAATGGGCAGTCGAATGAAAGATGGCAGTGACTGTCCTAGAATTCCCTCATTCTTTATATGAATTCTGAAAAGACAGGTGTCAATTCGCTCTTCTTCCCGGCCTTAATCTGGCCTCGCCCGGAGAAGCTTGCGAAGGCCGTATGGGAAACTCTAGCCAGCCTGCGATCAAGTTTGCTAGGGAGTAGCGGTGAGGGCTACGGCAGGTGCACAGCACCTCTTGTATATAGCCTCACCTTCCTCCAGACCACTCTCTCTTCTCTATCGTCATCATCCAATACATCATGTACACGGCCTACAGCTCCTTGTTCCGTGACAAGGTTCGCGTCGGAAGCGTCCCCTTCTCTCGTCACAACGAAGGGCTTTCCGAAAACGTCTTTTGCCATGTGCGAGAGCCCTGGAACTGGTCCTAGAATCGCGTCGCTCGGAATAGGCGCATTTGGGTCATAGGCAATGCAACCTGGGTAGATCCCAACAAAGGCGTGGGGTGGAAGTTGGACGAGAGAAACGGCAATGGCCTGGTCGCCTTCCTCGTGGCCTATGACCAACGCAATGCTCATCGAAAAGTTGTTTCCTCTTGTCCATCTTTTCGCGTCTCCAAGGGAATGCCAGCGACTCCCTACGTTTGACCAGAATTCTGGCGTCAAGACCGAGCCGCCGGGTAATCGGTCCACCACCTCAGCCACTCAGCGGGAGGAGCCGCTCCATTCTTCTTCCAGTCGATGGATGGGCCGCAGAATAGGCTGGCCGAAAGCTTTGGATATTGAAATCAGGGTCGCTGCGTCTACCTTGGAGTTGGTGAGAAGGCTCCGGATGGTATCGGTCATGTAGACTACAGCCCATTTTGGACTTTCTCTCCGCAAGTCTGACATGAACTGAAAGTATAGCTGGTGCCGAGATCTGGTCTTTGCTGTATGTGCGGATGATTCACCAGATAAGGCAATTATTTTATCAATAATCTCCATTTGGATCTGTTTTTGTTTCCCTTGGCCGCGCGGGAGCCCGCCCATTTTCTCGTCCACTGCCCTTGAAATATAATCGCAAATGAACGAGGTTTCCCAGTGTCCTCTACAGGCCTCAATGGTAGACGTTTTCGCTCGGTTGGCGACGGTTGCCGCCAGGTCATTGGCTGCGGTCGTCACGTCTGCCATGCGCAGGTTGGGTTTGAACGCTCCTTCAGCTCTAGTGGATTGACATCTTTGTCGACTTTTTGGACATTGTCGACCAAGGAGGTGAGAATTTTGGCATAATTCTTGATCTCACGTGCTTCAATGGGCTTCTGCACGGATGCTGGGATAAACGCCAAGTCTGGTACCTACCTACTGGTAATGGGAGCGCCATATCCATGGCCCGCTTCAAGGCGTCGTTTACGCGCAACACAGTCGTTAGCCACGGTAGCGTCACATCCGTTCCAGCGCGAGAAATTGGAGAGTAGCGGTGCTTCTGGGAAGAGTTCTCAGGACTTGACGCGGTTAGATTAGAAGCTGGCGCCGGGGTGATTGCGGGAGGTGTGCTGCGTGCGCTGGAGGAGCAATTTGTTGGACTCGTGTTATTTGACGACGGAATGGCATCCTTGAGATGATTTTGCGTGTGACTTCCATCAAGAACCTTCGACTTGCCATCGGAAGGGCCCTCGTCTGATGCATATACCGGGAAAAGTTCCAAGGCAATGCTCCATTGGTTTTGTAGAGTTGAAGTAGCACCGCATGCGGTCGGCTCTTTGCTGATAGCCGTGGAAATAGAATTTCCCCCAGCAACTTCTGGGGAGGGAGGAGTGTGTTGAGACACATTTCCTTTCAACGAACCCACGTCCGAGATGCCAAATCTGGTCTGCCGATCCTGTCGGACTTCACAATCGTCAGTGCTGCTTCGAATTTAAAGAGATCAAACATACCAAAGTCGATCATCCTCTCGGCTTCTTCTCGACGGAGGCGTCGCTCCTGAACTAGGTCAAGGTGGACCAGCTCCGGTAACCCCCATTGTGATAATACGGCCTGTAGACTGCCCGAGAGTTGGCTAGGCTCTTCGGCCTCGGCCATGACTACTGCAGCGTCTGCCTTGTCCAGAAGGAGGACCACAGGGTGTTGGCGTTGGCGATTGTCGAGGGTAGAAGGAAGGTGTTAAGGTTTTGAAGATACGCGCAGGTCGGCCGGAAGGCCCTGCGTTTCGATCTTCGTGATGGCGTTCTCGGCATCTCCTGGATCGGCTGCTACTCGGAATCCCTTTTCAGCTTGAGTCGTCTGCGTAGTCTAGGCGGCGGTAGTGCTAGCTTAAGCTGAGTTACAAGAATCTCAAGTTTTAGACCTGTGTGGCTCTCTACAAGCTTATCAAATAACTGCGTAGATGCGTCGCGCCTCGAAATGACTACCAGATTGCCATGAAGTCTCCAGAAAGGTTGCTAGTAGCAATTCGGTCGACTACCGTTAGGTTGCTTACAGAGTCCAAATTTTTCGAGCTTGCCTGAGTTTCTCAGGGAGCAGTGTGCTTGCGAGACAGTAATCGTGTCAGTAATTGTGTCATCTCTTTCGGTCGTAACATGGGCACGCGATCTGAACTCCGAAACAGTCGATCGAAGAGGAAAAGAATCTGGAAGTAAAAGAAGCAGGCCCGATTCACGCGCTCGAAAGTATGAAATCGTTGAATTATGAGATTGATTAGATAGGAGTGGCCTCGGGATGCTTCATGTTTTGTCAAAATAACAGCAACGCACCTCCGAATTATGCGGCAGGTTGAGACAGGAGAAAAGCCCAGATAAAAGACACAGCGACCTGATTCATGTTCTTAAGGGTTTGACATCATTGATTCTTTAAAATGAAAAGGTAGGAGTGGCCTCAGGAGATCTCTTATATTTTCAAAACAACGAACGGCCACACACCTCCAATTCATTCAACAGGTCGAAAGGAGAGAAATCTAGATGTAAAAGACAGTGACCCGATTCACGATTTCAAGGGTTTAACATCGTTGATTTTCGAGGATGAGAAGGCAGGAGTGGCCTCAGGAAGTTTTGTATGCGCCCGTAAAACAGCCCATTGGAGTCCGCTATTGTATGCGTCTGCCATGGCGCGCAATGCCGTTGCGAATGGCGAATTTTCCGGCTGGAGCTTGCCCTTCGCTAGCACTTGCGTATTTTTTGTCTCGTGAAGTTCCTTGGATACTGTGGACCTGGCCTGGGACAAATTCCGAGCAAAGACGTTCGCATTCTTGTTTTGACTTGGCTCTGAGCTGGGCGCTTGATCCCGGGTGCTCTCGGTAATCAGAGCAAAAGATCTTGATAATTGTGTGAATAAAGCCAACCTGTCTGCTAGTCAATACATTCTATTGGCGAAGCAGTCTAGATCACTATTGCCATCTGCGTAAGCGACGGATGTCTTCGCTATACGCGCGAGCTGGTGAGAATGGGTTTGGAGCTGGAACATTGCCTGCTCATAGTACTTCCGGCGGAGCTCCAATAAGCCAACAATATCCTGGAATAGTGGCCATTCTGACGGGAGCGGGAGATCGTCCAGTAGGTGCAAGGCCCTTTACTTTCTCCATACCGATGAGGGCTCCCATCTAGGCCCGAGGCTTCGGCTGTGATATACCATACGATGTTGTAGAAAGTTGGTTTGCGCTCCTATAATCAACAGCGCCCGCGGCATCCCAACTAGAGCTGGGTCGTCATGATTTGGTGTCGTTGTTCGTTCCAGGAAATTGTCTGGATTCCAAGAAACCCAAATCTTGGTTCTTGGTACAATGCGAGTCAATGCGTTTACCCGCCATCCCCCTCTAGCTGCCAGTCGTCGAATGCCCATAACTGGTGTGGCTGTGGCTTTTCTGGCTGATGCAATAGTGATGGAAAGGACAAGCTTGCCAGTGAGCTGATGGTCATGTTCGGATTGAGCCACGAGCCATCGTTCATGTTTAGTTTTTGGTCTTTCCGTATGTGATCAATGTCGAGAAGCGGATATTCAAGCGCAATCCCGCGACAGTCGCATCTTGGACGATTCCTGTTCTTTCCCACTTCCTAAATGCACACACTCTCGCTCTTTACATCTGGTAATTCTCAAAGCTAGATATGCAAGGGGCGCCACCCAGCCCTATCGACCGCCGCAGCAGCAACAACACCACCGCTCTAGTTCACAGTCTCCAACTTTTTACATTCCGTGATTTGTCAAACCAGGTGGTCCAGGGGGCCACCCAGCACTATCTACCGCCTCAGCAGGAACATTACTACACCTTCAATTCACGCCTCGTGGCCCTTAAACTTCAAAGCTCCTACCCCTTTTCCACAGACTCAATTTGCAGCCTCCATCTCTTTACATCTCGTAGTTCTAGAGGCCAGATAGTCCAGGGGCGCCAGCTAGGCTTATTTAACGCCGCAGCAGCAGCGAAACCTCCTCTTGTTTACATCTTGAAGCGTTTTGATGAATACCAGCGGCATTGCAAGTCTTTGTCGTGGCTCACTTCGGAATCGTGGTCCATCCTGTGCTATGGTCCAACCAGCGTCACATTGGATCGCACTGATCGTCCTCCTTAGAGTCCTTGATTTCTCTCTTTCCAAGTATCTCTTTCTGTGAGCGCCAGAGCGAAATGTCGGCGACGTAGAAAGAAAATCTCTTTGCTCGGGTAACGGCAACGTTCAACCGTTCAGGCTCTCGGATGAATCCGAAGGGGTGCAGTCGAGTGACAGACAGCTCAAAAGATGCGACTGTGCATACGATCATGATGTCGCGTTCCTGACCTATGAAGGCATCAAACGAGGATACTTGTGGCAGGGCCGTGCCGTTGGGGAGGGCTTCACGGAGCTCGTTGCGGAGCTTCTTGGCTGCTGCACTGTTCATGCAGATCACGCCGATGTTCTCTGCATTGATGCCGGACGTAGCCAGCAACCGCACGATCATGTCGCACACTACACCTTGTTGGTCAGGATTGGTGAAGTTCGTTCCGAAGTCCTCGACTTGCGCGCGTGACGAGACGTTCGGGAAGAACTCCCGCTGCCACATCGGTTCGCGCCCCATCCGAAGCCATCGGTGTCTATGAAGTCGAACATCGTCTTGTCAAGCGGAGTTATGGCGGCGGTGCCTGGGTGCTCAACTAGGCGTTGTTTGTAAAACTGCGCATTTGGGAAGCGCCATAACGCCAAAGGTGCACGGTATACAGTGTTCAGCGCGACACGTCGCACGGCAGGGTTTTGCTCGGGTCAGCGAACCATTGGGGATTATCGGAGCTGCTGACCGAGCGGGTTGGCGCCTGCATCAAACGAACAGATGGTGACCGGTAGCTGTTGGTCGTGGCCGGCGAGGATGATATGCTTCAGGACCCCGACCGTGAGTGCGGGGTAGATGTCCGGCTCACTGAGCTGGCTGACTTCGTCGGCTATCAAGGTAGTAGCGTGGAAGCGGAGACTTCGAAGGGTCTCTGCTTTGTAGGTGGTGCAGGTTACGAGATCCGCCAGTCCAATAACGTGGGCCTCGAGCAGATCTCGAGCGTCTCTCACCGTTGGAATCCCCTTCCGCGCCCGTCCTCCTCTGGCCTTTTCCTCTGCCTCTGCAAGCATCTCAACCAAGGGGTGCTCGGGGTTGTCAAGCTTGAAGCGCTCAACGTGTCGGGTAAGAGACAGCTCAATTGCGATTTGATCGTCTCGGAGGGCGACGATCTTGGACATAGGGAAGTTTTGGCATGCCATACCGGCAGCCGCACAGCTTTCTATCGCGTCTTGTCCGCCGTCGCCGGTGGAGTCAATCTTCAGGCCGCAACTTCGTGCCGAGCAACCACTTCGATGCAAGCCCGGTGATCCACCGACCAGGCGGACTGGTACGCCTGAACATTTCGCCAGGCGTCCGTATCAATGGTTTTGGATGGCGATGCTAGCAGATGAAGTCACTGCCTTCTTCGCTACATCTTCGCCACTCGAATCTCAAATCTGGGCCACGCCGTCTTTTCCATCTCTTCCAGATTGACAATAATGTGGTGAAGAACTCCGAACAGCGGTCAAGTAACGACGGCGAGCGTGCAAAAGCCCTTTGATTTAGACTCTCAAGAGCTTGACGTTTGACCCAAATTGTTAGAATGCGCTGAAGCACTCCGAATAGCGCCCAAGTATGGACAGCGAGCGTGGGAAAGTTCTTTGATTTAAACTCCCAAGGATTTGACATCTCATCCAAGTTTTTACAATGCGCCGAAGCACCTCAAACGGTGGCGAGCGAGGGTACCCATATTTTTGGATACGTGAATACTTACCCTTGCTGAGATTTTGAGTATCCGAAGATGTTAACGTGCTCGGTAAGCCACTCCTCGCCTTCTCGACTAAGGTCGACATCGTACTTCTCAGAGCCATGGTGATCATCGTGGCCGTCATGGCTTTCGCAATCGTCGACACGATCGCACGCCGTCACTTCTCTCGTCTGTCGAAATAATAAGAGGTTAACTCTGATTCGTGTCGCTCGGACAAACAGATAGGAGATCGGTATGTAGCAGACGAAGTCCCAATTCAAAGGCTTAAGAACGTCACATCGTGCGAAATTGAAAATGATTAGGCTAGAGAGTCCTCAGATATTTCTCTACGCTATCAAAACAATAGAATTACAACTCTGAGCTGTGTTGCTCAGATAAAGAGATAGGATATCGGTTTGTGAAAGACCGAGGCCTAATTCGCAGGCCTGAGAACATGACATCGTGCAGAATTGAAAAACTCAGGTTGAAATTGATGTGAACTCTGATTTCTATAGACGTCTAGCTAGTTGTATATATATTAGGGGAAGGAAGGGGGCCACCCCCAGGGTGGCGCGCTAGTAAGTTCAGATGAGCCCTGCACAGCTGAGGCTTCAGCTCGGTTCTCTACAGCTGAGATTTCAGCTGGGTTCTCTACAGCTGATGTTCGGAGAGTAGCTTTCTGGCATATGAGTTGTTGATCCTAGGTTGTAGTGCTGCAACCTGAGTGAAAATGAATGGGCTAGAGAACCTTCAAATGTTTTCGTACGTTGCCAAAACAATGGGAGGACGGGCCGAAAGTTCCCGGAGATTTCCACGTCCGCTATATGCTACAGGAATGGCGTAGCCCAGCGGAACCCGAGATGATTCAGGCATTGGACGTGACAGTTGATGCAGTGGATCTAGCGGAATTTCCCCAGCAAGGAGTCTGGACGCACGAAGGTAAGATGTGCTTTCTTGAACTCATTCTCGACAATCCAGAGAGCCACCACAGACAGAGGCATAGAGACTCCAGTCCACGTAGAGTTGTGCCCCGGCTTGTATCCGTGGACGGAGCTCCAAAACGACTTGAGATACTCTCTGGCAGTGACATATAGTTTGAGGCAGCCTTTGAAGCGGAATTTGAGCTCGTCCGGTAGTCGCTTGACGACAGTCTCGAGATCTGGGTCGTTTTTGGCGACTACTTCTACCGTATAGAGGGCACCTCCAGAGGCTTTGTGGGCATCTACTTGCTAGTCTGCTACAAAAATGCCATAGCTCGCGTCGCCGTATCTCTTCCACGAACCCCCGAGATCTAGTTACTGGTATTCAACCTACCTGGTACTACTTAAACAATTCCAAATGTGCCATGAATGTCTCAATGAGAGCTGATCGATCCGTGTGACTCAAGGCCCCACCCCTCTCCTTCTGTGACAAGCTTGACGAAGTGGAGCATATCAAGTTCCTTGGCGCTCAAGGGCTTGACTGGGCCATTTCCTCGTTGCTGCGCGGTTTCCAAGACGAAGTCTAGATATCCTGAGATATGAATTCGGAGCGTTCAGCGGACGACTTGAGGCGGTCCAGAGATATCAAGGCTAGTCGGGAAGTATGGACTCCGCGGACAAGTGTTTTAGGCTGAGCGGCATGGGTCAATGTGAAGAGGTTTGCTACAACCGGACATGATCCATCTGACATCACGTTTTCAAGAACCGCAATAGCTCGACTTGGCGGTTTTGCGAGTGTGTCAGGTACTCGAATCCAACTACTTGTATATGGGTTGGTGCCTAGTCTTCGACTTGGCGATCACGTAGTAGTAAGCTACCCACAACTCATCCGATACCTCCTCCTTGATAGTCTTCTTGTCTAATTCATCCGACGATGACGCCGTGGGGACTAGGGCCTGTGAAGCAGGTTCTCCAAGCTTAGATTGCTCCGTCGTAGCTTCCTTAGTGGCGACAGGGTCCTTAAACGGAACAGGCTGTTCAAACGGGAACCAAAACGAGTCATATTTCTCACCGTCAGAATCAAGATCTTCTGTGTACCTTGGCTGTGTGGGGAGAGAGGGCGGCTCAGTGTCACTATGAACAGAAGGGGAGGCCGCTGAAGGGTGAACTTGCTCGAGGTCCTGTTTCAGAGCAGTCCCGGTATGTTCTTCTGCCGTGGCAGGTTCTGCAGTGTGTGAGGCGGAGGCCGTGGTGGGGAGAGCAGCTGGAGCATGACCAAGCTTAGCGGGGCCCTCAGACGCGCCTTTGGTGGTGGACGCAAATGCCACTTGCTTTGATGGCGGGGTTGGTTTGTTGAGTGGCTTGAGGATGGATGCCAATCTGTCCTTGGTGGGGCACACTGGTTGCGTTGGAGTGACGCGAGGAGTATACGGAGATGGTGGAGATGGGTCTGGAGGTTCTGCTTTGGCCGACTGCTTTGAGGGTGGTGTAGTTGTACCCTCCTGAACTGGAGGCTCTCGAGATTTGGAGTCTTGCCACGGCCAATGATGTGGCTGGACAATTGGCCCTTCGCGCAGATACTTCCTGACGTCGTCGGCGACAGTGTTTGGGTAACTCCCTCAAATAACTCCTCCGTTCGAGCCTGGAAAGCTTGCTCCCGCGCCCAGTACGCCTCGTTATGCCTCTCCTTCCGCTCTTCCGGCATGCCATCGCTCAACTCTATGCCCTTCGCAGGCTCGTACCAGTATGAGTGTTCAATATCGCCGGTTGTGGTATCGCTTGCATCCCAAGCCGCATGACTGTTGATGCGCTGGCACGCAAACGGTTCGGTATAGGCATCCTCGACGGCGACGGGCGGTAATTGGCGGAGTTCTTGGTCGAGCTCCTTTAGGAGCAGGCGATCTTTGTATCCAATGTCGCCGCGCGTGATCGATGGCAGTGGGTCGATTGTTTCTGTCGGAGGCCTTGATTCCCGCCAAACTGGTGCCTCTTTTTGGAAAAGTTGGGCGATCAGCCGGATTTCTGACGCCTAGCCATAGATAGAAATAGGATTGCACACTGTTGAGGAAGACGTACAGGTAGTTTGAACTCGTCCCATTGACGGTGGTTCGCACGCGGAAGCCTTCAATCAGCTTGTCGAGCTTCTCGATGGCCACATCCAGTATAGGCAGTGAGTCCCAGCCGTCTTCGGGTCGACTCAACTCGACCTCGTTGATGAGACGAAGGGCGGCCTCGATGTGGTCCACAAACAGGTTCTCCAGCCGTTCAAGGGAGCTAGGGTCAGACGGATCATGCTTGTAAACCTGCATGGCTGGAGTTTCCGCTATTGCCTGGACGTCTTCCGCAGGTGCTCTGATGAGTTGACGTCGGCAGCTGCGGTATTCTTCTCTTGCTGCCGGAGAATCTCTCGGGTTACCTCGTCTGAACCGGTATCGAGAATTGCAGCTTTACTCGCATGAACACGAGCACGGGTAAACACGGCCTGCCGAAGATTGGCGAGATCTTGAGCGTAGTGCTTCGCCTCTCCCATTGGCGACCACCTCAATATGGCGAAGACGGTCTCTGTGTCGAGCTCGGTTTCCCCAGGAGCGCCTTGCTGCCAGGTCTCCCAATAGTGGCTGTTCATCTCTAGGTCGGTTGCGGTGGATGCTGCAGACCTGAGGGTATTCATGGTGAAGAGAGCTTTGTCGACATTCTCGACAATTACTCCGCTCAGGTGCAGCACTGCGAAGAGGGAGAATGCACGAAGTAGACCTTTTGAGCTCCACTGGAACCCCAGAGAGACTAGGCGGTTGTGATGATGCCGTAACACTCCCCCGTAGCCGTCGAGGAACAGAGCTCCCTTCTTCGCCGTCGGTTCGGGAGATATGCTATAGAATCTTCCGAGGAAATAGCCAATGTAGAGTAGCCGATGAATGCCCATCACATCCCCCAGAGCATATCGTGCCACAAGAGGGTTCTGTTGGCATTGGTTTAATCCGGCTTTGTCGTCGACAGTGGCATCCAAGGTGAGTTGAATAATCGCAAGCGACCGACCTAGTCTTCGTACAATTTTTGTGTATCGTATCTCGCCAGGCACAGGAGCGAAGTGGTCGTTGTCCTTGGCCAGCTTAAAGGAAGTATCGCTGCTGTACTTTCCAATGTCACCGAGAAATACTGAGGTTAGCTACCGAAACTTTGTCGATGCCGTTGTGGACCCTAAGGGCGTTCAACGATCCCAGGATGGCAAGGAACCCCGCATCCACCAGAGCCCAGGTCCATTCGGCGGGATTGAGCTGCGGTGGACGAATGGAAGTGGAATCTTCCACGTGCGGCGGAAGGTTCCAAGACGCGAAGGATTGCGCTCGCCGAAATAGAGGGCGCAGAGGATGAAAACGGAATTCCTACGCGGTGCCACTCAATGCACGGCCTTGGTATACCAGCTCGTATTCTCCATTGCCGCGGTCATGTTGCCACAGGCGCTAGCCATGTGGGAGTAGACCCCCATGTTTCAGCGCACTGATGGCTTTGTGCTGGCCCCAGTATTATTCCAGGCTGGGGAGCTCGTTGGTGTCGCTACCGTTCTGCGTGATGCCGGCATCTCTGGCTAGACCCCGTGGAACTTACAGTAGCATGTAAGGATACACAAAGTTGGCGTAAAGACGCTATTTGTGTAAAGAGGAGTGGTTTGACGTAGGAATCTTGGACTTCGACCGAAGTTCACAAATCCTGTGTTTGTCGTGTCGCACGCCGAAGACGCGATTGTAGCAATGGGCAGAAGTATACGAGCTCGCCGCATCCAATCGCTTGATAGTCGCCACGTCATCTCATCCCTTGTGCCCTCGTAACTCGACCACTTCTTTTCCTCTCGCTCTCAAGGCTGCTTGAAGAATACGTACTGCCGGACTACAAAACGAGACATCGCCACAGGAATCAGGGCAATGCCAATGACGATCCGTTTTGGCAGGACTCTAGAATTATGATGACCGCCAACGGGAAACCTGTATTCGAACATCCGCTTGATGACCGTCGGCATAAAGTTCTGGAGAAGCACGATGACGAATGGACGGGCTCAGCATATACAACAGATCACCATACGACCTGCTGAGCATACCTGGGAAACCAGTGTGGCGAGTACTTGGCGGCCGGAGTTCAAAAGTATCGGATTGATTGGAATTGGGCGGGTCCAAAATAGGGATTGATAAGGGTTGAATTAATCCAGTCAATATCGCGAGATGCCGGCAAGTCTACCTAAGAAGGCATAGTAAGGGGTAAGTGGGGTGAAATTTGGGATGGCACGGACCGAAACAATGCGTGAAAATGTACTCTTGATCTTTCAAACTGGTTGAAAATTAATCCAGCTCTGTATTGATTGGATCGAGGTTGACAAAGCGGAAAGGGTGAAATCGCGGTTTCCCTTTTGGATATGGTAGTGTTAGCTAATCTTCCTAAGTCGGTGTGAGATGAACACGTTTAATTGCTGGACCAGTGGTGTTCAATTTTGTGATCTGGACAGGTAGAGTTTGAAGGCGAGACGAACGTTTGAAGGTATCTTCTGATCACTCATTATGCGTCCTTATCCTCATCCCTCCCCGGCCACAGAATCTTATGCCTCAATACTGCCCTCACGTGGCTAAAGAACACGAAACACCATGTCATCACTATGAGTATGGTCATCCCACTCCCCAGCCACAGAACCCCCTCGCTTTCGAACCCGCGCCCGATTTCAATTGTCGCAATCGTAAATCCAACATTCGGAAACACAAAGGCCCACCACGTGAGATGGAACGCCATCTTGGGCAGCCCGCCCAATGCGCTGATCACTGAGATGCAGAAGAACCAAAAGCCGAGCGCCCACAGGAAGCAGCCGGTGAAGAGTGCGAGGGTCTGAAGCACTTCGATCGCGATGGGGTGTCTCGCGAAGAAACCGTAATTCGGCGGCAGCGCATTCGACATCCCAATCAGCGCGAGGGTGGTGAAAGAGGGTGGCCCGACCGAGATGAACATGCCGGGTCTGAGGTCGATAGCTGGTAGTCCGTCCGTCATGAGGTGACCTAGGTAGATCGGGTACATTATCATGCTGACAAGAATTCCGAGGCCCTGGAACGTCACGCCTGCTACGATGATGGGTAGGCGTTGTTCTGGTGGCTGGTCGGGGGCGATGAGGCTTGCGATTGTCCCGGAGAGCATAACTGGGAATACCGGTAGAATCCAGGCCGGGGTCATGGAGTGAAATGTCAAGTTGGCCGCGGTGAAGAGGAAGTAATACTGGATTACAGCGACGGAGAAGGTGCACGCAACGTAGATCCAGTAAATTATGCGGAGGACAACGGGGAGCCAGGGGCCGCAGGCGGGCACGCCGTAGGCTTGGATGCCAAGAATTATTGTAGATATGGAAAGCCAAAAACATGGATAGAAGAGGCTTTCGGCGGGATTGCGAAGGGATTTGCGAAAGGCTCGGGGAAAGAGTATAAAGCGGGTTGTTATCGCAGAGGTGAGGCAGGTGAAGAGTAGAAGGTCAAAGATGAAGACAACGGTGCCGATGGTGTTTAGACCTGGGAACTTGTGAGGTTGGCTGTGCAGGAGCGTTGCTAGGCCACCTGTGGACATGGTAAGGGTGAACCATGCCCATGTGAAGTGTTGCAGTCGATCTCGAAGTCCCAAGTGGCCTTGCCATGAGGGCCGACGCTCGATATCGCGAAGCGTCGCGGTATTGTTGGTAATGACAGTAGTTAAAGACATGCGCACGCTGAAACTCAAATACAAATAACGAGATAAGGAGATCTAGACGATGCGAAGATGATGGTTGATGGCATGAGGACGATGAGGGCAGCAGAAGCGACCTTATCAACGTGGCGGGTCGGGCCGTTTGCTCCGTTCATCACGTGAATTATGAAGCATGAGTGATCTCAGACAAAGACACCGCGGCCGCGGGTTCGGGTGGAAATATCTTGAAGATTAGCTAGGGACCTTGCGTGGGGGTGATCCCTATTTGTTCAGCGAAAAAATGAAGGAGACAAGTCACTCCACGTAATGTCTTACACGTGATATGCAATGCACCCACGCTGAGAAGATCAGCTCATTTCTCTACTTGCAGCTGCAAGTCATAGTGAAGTAGATTTCTTGAAATTGACATAACCCCCTTCGCTAAATTGCCTTCGAAGCAGGCAGGAGGTGTGCAGTGTGCAAATCGTATTCAGTTAACCCCAGACACATGCGTGGGACCTGTACCTGGCAACCAAATCCTCGAACATGCGGTAAGATCAATGAATGAGACGTTGAACATAGACGACTTGAAATGAATCCAGGGATCTACACCGTGGAATTTAACGCGGATGCTTCATCAAGATGCTGGTTAGCTCAAGCACATGCAAACTCGCAGACTTCGAGTTCCGTATTTGCCACATGATCGTAGAAGCAGAAGTGCTTTGGCGATTTTAATGTTGCTGAGTAGTATTCTACCAGTGAGGATACTACAAGGACATCGTTGCAATCTTTCTGTCCAATGTGAGCATAAGTTTTGTCTTCAGAATGGCTGATGAAAGACCGAGTTTCACTCTTTTTAGACAGGTGAGTAATAGAACTGTCTTATTTGAACCTTCGCGCAGGCTGTCTATACTATTCCAATCATACGTGCAAGCTTTCGGGACGCATCGATGCCCAACAGGCTAGACGTCTCTCAGTATCGTTCTCTAAAGCCACTCTTTATTTCCTTTGTGCGACAAGAATTCGCCGCTCTCCTCGATAGTCACCTTCTCAATGACATCCTTCATCATAGCCACGCTCTCCTCCGCCTTCATCGGTCCAGTCCAATGGGGGTAGTGAGCCTGAAACTTCTGCATCATAGCCATCATGCTAGCTAGATCCTCCTCAGAAGCTACACACACATCAATTCAGTTGCTCGGTAAGGATAATGCAGCGCACTTACGCGTATCCAGCCTCGTATTGATGACCCCAGGACTTAAAGCCAGGAACACGACACCCTCCTCCTTCAACTCAATACTATACTTGAGCACAACCATGTTCAACGCCGCCTTGAGGGCGCTGTACACCACCGCCGAGGCAAGCCCGCCCGACTTCGTACCCTCGAGATCAGCCAATCCACTCGTAAGCACAATGATTTTCTTGATGCTACTCTGCCGTACGAGCGGCAGGAACGCATTGATCGCAAACATGACGCCAGTCAGGTTAACGTCAACATGTGTCCTCATTTCTTCTCGCAACAGTTCTTCCTTCCCTATGAATGCCGTGGGCGTCAGCGATGCGACCGGGTGGTTCTGGTAGGCGCCGTTGACGATGAGGTAGTCGACAGAGCCGTTTGTAAGCTTAGAGACTTCTGCCGCCGCTGCACTTAGAGACACGGGGTCCGTCATGTCGGCTGGAAGCACCCGGACGTTGGAGATCTTGTCGGAGGCAAGCTGATCGATAACGGGGGTGGGAGTGCGAACGAGGCCGACGACGGTGTTGGACGGGGAGGCACTGAGGTTTTGGAGCCAGGCGTAGCCTAGGCCACGGGAGGCGCCAACGACGATGTAAGATGGCATTATGAAGAGGGAGATCAAGATGAAGCTTTTGGTGGTTGCGATATGGTTTGGTTGTTGAGTTTGAGACGTGGAGGAATTTGGCACCTTTATAGAATATCGGCCTAAGCAAAACCCTTTTCCTAGATATTGGCAATGCTCTTTACCTCTGGATATTGGTAATACGTTCATTCTCCTAACTGAAGTGGCCTCTAAGTCCGGGTCCCCGTGTAGCATCGACTAAGCTAAGGTGATACGGCGGCAATGGCTCAGCGGTCTACAGGTTTATTCTAGGCTTACCGAGCGGTCACGGCTCACCCGCTGATAATAAGCTCATAAAAGCTAAGTGTGATGGAGTGTTTCTGGCAGATGTGGGTTGTTTATGGTCGCATTCGGACAGAGATTAGCGAGGGCCAGGGGGCTTCCGCGGGTGGAAAGTCGAGACGAGGCTCGGCTACAGATACTTCCGCGCTTATCCCAGGCTCTCCTAAGAGCGGATGGATAACTGTTTGCCCATTCTTTCGCTGACAAACCATTACAGTAGGCTCACTAGCCAATTGCTTCGTCTCTCTTCGACTATTCTCTTTCAGTCAATTTACTCTACCGCGGAAGACCATGACTGGTAGTCGTCCGTAGTCGTCTCGCGTTTCCTCCTACCCATCTTTCCAGCACCCCCGGCGAAATCGCTTCTTTACTCCTAGCGGCCGCTCACTTCTTTGAGCCTGCATCTCAATGTCCTCTAGGTCCCGAAGTACGACAGGCTGCTGGACTTGTCGGCTCCGAAGAAAGAAATGCGATGAGCAAAGCCCTGCGTGTTCCGTATGCACCTCCCTTGCCCTTACGTGTCACGGGTACGGCCCTCGCCCACAATGGATGGACGGGCAAGCCAGAGAGAGTTGGATGGCTGAAAACATCCGTCGCGTTGTGAAGGAGACGGCTAGTCAGAAGCGGCGGGCGGCCATGCTGCGGAGAAACCAGGACTCGGCGCCATCCACCTCGATGTCAATGGCAGAGAACGGCAGTGGTATAGTGCATCAGCGATCGCCATCTCCAAAGTCCGAAGATTCTGTCGAATTGAGTGTGCATTTAACGTACACTGACAGTTCCGCAAGACCGAGCACCTACACCGCTAACGACTCATCCCTCAATTTATCCCCCTCTCAATCCAGCTCCCAATCCAGCTCCCTCGCCTACTCAGACGACGACGAAGCGAGCCTGCTAATGCACTACCTCGACCACGTCTTCCTACTTCAGTTTCCCTTCTACAAGCCTTCCATCCAGGAAGGGGGCCGGGGCTGGCTCCTGTCCATTCTGATGCAGACGAAGCCGCTCTACTACGCCGCCCTCAGCCTAGCCGCGTACCACCTGCAATCCATACGTTGCCCGAGTGTGTACTATGCCGAAAGCAACTGTCGGGGTGCCGCAAAGGTTCAGGAGCAGCACGTCCTTGCGATTAGAGGCTTGCGGAAGCATTTGGAGGCCATCGGTGGAAGCGCGAGAAACCGAAGCTTAGTCGATAACATCGAGATGCTGTGTTGCATGGTTCTATTGATCTCCTTAGAGGCAAGCCGATCCAGGCATTCTCACCAGCCATGTGACCATTGCTGATTATCTCGAAGGTATTCATCCACCGCACAGACAGCTGGCGCGTTCACCTCCGCGCCGCCGCAATTCTCGTCGACGATCTGCGCACCGATGCGATGCAACAAAGTCGGAGGACGCTTTCACCCTCCTACAGCTCGGCTTTGCATTTCTTCGCCGGAGTCATGGCCTGGTATGACATCCTTAGCTGCGTTACGACAGGCGTAAAGTCGTTCTGCCACTGTGCCCTAGGGTGTCTTGCTATGGGTGATGGTTTCATCCAGCTTGATAAGGTGATGGGCTGTCAAAATTGGGCCATGCTTTGCATCATGGAGATTGCGACCTTGGATGAATGGAGGAGGGAAGAGCAGGAACGTGGGAGGTTGAGTGTAAGGGAGCTTGTGAGCAGAGCGGCTGACATTGAACGAGAGTTGGAAGGTGGCTTGGATGGTATGGTCAGGGCATCGTCGGAATCATCTGACTTCTCAACACCGAACTCGCAGGATCCTGTTTACCTGATCACTCGGGCCTTCGCAAGTGCCGCACTTGTCTACATCCACGTCGTTGCTTCAGGACCATATCCCAAGCTGCCAGAGATTCGAAAGGCAGTGACGAGGACGCTTGCTGCATTACAAGCATTCCCAGACCAGCATGTGGTTGCTGCCCTGTTCTGGCCGCTGTGCATTGCTGGGGCCATGGCACTAGATGAAGACGAGGACTTTTTCAGGAATCAGGTCACGCAAGGGCCGGTTTGTGGCCCTAGATTTGGAAACTCTTCAAAGGTCTCCGCTGTACTGGAAGAGTGCTGGAAGGTGCGCAGGGAAGAGAACGGGACGAGGACGATTGAGTGGAGAGAGGCTATGGAGAGGGTGGGCGTAGATGTTTTACTTGTCTAATAACCCCTTGACAGACACTATCTCTGGCAATGAAGATTACAATTCTTATCTCAAAGATAAAGAAAGTAAAGGGGAGAGCAACATTATTTGCCTTGCACGGAGAATCAAGGCGGAGGAGATGTGGAGTTTGGTGTTGTTGAGATTCGCAGGCCGACCCGTCCTACCAAGTCGGCTTCTTCCCACTGGGATCTCATCTTACGTCAACACTTCAGCTTTCATCCGCCCTATCAACACGGTGACACCAATACCACACTAATGCCTCCATTACCCTCAATATTTCTCAATTGGTCTCATTGCAGCTCTTCCGAGCAAGGAAATATAATACCTCGATGCCCCTCGCCCAAAAAGAGTCATCTTCCACGCTTTCCCGCTGCTTCGAAAGCTTACTCCAATGGGACGTTTCCATATCTCAATTCTTCAACGCTATTTTTCACTAGTCGAATATACTAAGGAGCAATCCAGATGCGTCCTAATGCATTAATCTACTTCAAGCAAAGGTGTCCACGAGAGACGAGTGCGACGCTCTATCGCCCCCCCGTCTGCACCACTTCAACAGCATTCCCGACCCCATGGGGTGGGGAGCCGTTTCTCAACGTTGTTCCGCGTATGTGATCGGGTTAGAGCACGGGTAAAGAGTCGTCGGGGAGGCCTCCGTCTCTTCCCAGGAGAATACTCCGCACTCGTTATGCGCGTAGCCTGCTAGCTAATGCTTAGCGCCACAGTAGGTCCGCATCATGATTCATCATCTTCTTGACCATGCCCGCATTGGGAGCATTCTCATTTACTTGCAATGTATCAGACGCTGCGTCCTTCCAAGCTGTTTTCCGTATTCCTGTCTTATTGAAGTGAGACGAAGAAAGAAAAATAGTGCCTCGAAAATCTATATTTATCATGAAGAGCGATGTCTGAGCGAACTTTCCATGTCTACAGCTTCATTCGAATTTATATTTCGGCTTTGAGGCGTCCCATGCCCGTGACGTACGTATCAGGCCCAAGCTTACGCCACGACGCGCCGGCCAGTGAAATGCACCAAGAAAAATCGACGGCAACTATTCCGCGGTCCAAAGAGCTTTATTCTTAGGCATTCCTGCAATTCGCCCTTCCATATACGCAGCGCTGGTGCCTGGCATCTTGCCGGGAAGTGCTAAATCATGACAGATTGAATGGGTTTCCGATGCGTCCAGATTGGGCTGATAGATCTTAGGCCAGGGCATTGAGAGCTCTGTCTGGCCGATAAGCATGTTTTATAAAGTTCCATCCTGGTGTCCCGCATTTCCAAGGTACTATTCGTTGCCTAGTACCTTTCTTTCGCTCTGCAGTTAGGTTCGTTTGTTTGTTTGTGTACTACCACCCCTCGTTCAAACTACCAATCGCGCGATTTTCGACGAACTCAATCTTTGGATATCCACCAACCGCACGATGGGATTCTTCGCCAAGGCCGCCATTGCGGTGTCACTCGTTACGTCAGTGTTTTCTTCATCGCTCTTCGAAGGTTCCGGCAAAGGAAAGATGTTTCAATCCAGAACGAATGGTGCGTTCTCGTCCCACGACTAAACCTTTAGAGATACTGACAAGGAAATATAGGTGCCAGCACATTTGGCACTTTGGAGCATCTATCCCTCGGCCACTGGGTTGTTGGGCCGCTGCCCCTGGGGAAACCATGGGCAGACCGAACTGTCAACAACACGAACCCGTATGACACTGCGGCTACTCCCGTGACCGGTAAGCTGTAAAAGCCTCTGTCGTCCAATTCTGTTGCTGAAGTAACTAGGAATGACGCGTTCCTACTCTTGGACCGTCACAAACACCACTCTCGCACCCGATGGAGTTGAAATCCCAATGCTCGTCGCAAACGGCCAGTTTCCCGGCCCCCTCATTGAGGCCAATTGGGGTGACTGGATTGAAGTCACTGTAACCAATGGGCTGGAGACCGAAGGCACCAGCATTCACTGGCACGGATTCCTCCAAACTGGAACACCATACGAGGATGGTGTCCCTGGTATTAGCCAGTGCCCTATTGCGCCAGGGAAGAGCTTCACATATCGGTTCCGAGCGGAGTTGTACGGCACGAGTTGGTGGCATGGGCATTTATCCGCTCAGTACATCAACGGGCTCGCGGGGCCTATTGTCATCCACGGTCCGAAGTCACATGCGTATGATATCGACCTTGGTCCAGTCATGCTGAGCGATTGGTATGTCATATTCTTCTGGGTTCAATTTGCCATATGCTTGGTCGACCTTGCTTCCGGGTCCTAATGCTGCGTAGGTTCCACACTTATTACAAAAACTTACTCGAACAAGTTTATTATGCCTCGCCTGTCGGCCCTATTTTCCCACCCATGGCTGAAAATATGGTATGCACATCACGAATCGCTTATTTTCCACCGCTAACTTGACCAGCTAATCCAAGGGAAAGCAAGCTATAACTGCAGCAACACCAAGCTGCCCTGTACACCTAATGCCGGCTCGGCACAGTTCAAGTTCACGTCGGGGAAGAAGCACCTCATTCGACTCATCAATCACAGCGCCGAAGCCCTGATTTTTTTCAGCATCGATGGCTACAACGTGACCGTGATCGCGAATGATTTCGTACCCGTCGAATCGTATTCAACCGATCTCGTGACCATTGCTGTCGGTCAACGTACGGATATCGTCGTCGAAGCCACTGGGAAACCCACCGATTCAGTATGGATGCGCATCACCGAGGGACCTTGTAAGAATCACTCTTTTCTTTCTCCATAGAGGCTCCAAACACTAACCACCCAGAAGCCGGATTAGGACCTACAGGCAAGACCGGTTGCAGTCTCAACGACGGCCTCTCCTTCACCACAACAGCAGCAATCTACTACGAGGACGCCAACACCGACGTGGCTCCGAACACAACCAGCAGCATCAATCCTTCCCGCTATCTCTTTCCTCTTAACTGCAACAACCAGCCGCTCGACGTTACCGTGCCAGCCTACGTCATGCCAGCCAAAGAGCCTTCAACTACTCTCTCGTTCCTCATGACCGGCGGCGACAACAGTACCGGGCAGTTTGTATGGTGGATGAACAATATCACCTTCCGTGCCGACTGGAACGATCCGGAATTGTACGTTCTCTCTCACCCCCCATCCTTTCCTAAATCATCGCTAATACTCCCACAGACTCGAAGCCAAACTCGGCAACGCCGCCTCCCTGCCCGTCGAACGCGCCCTCTACGACCTCGGCACCAACTCCTCCGTCCGGCTGATCATGACCTCGGTCGGGTTCCCCGCCTCGCACCCCATGCACATCCACGGCCACAACATGCAGGTGCTGGCCGAAGGCGTCGGGTCCTGGGACGGCACGACAGTCGTCAATGCCGCGAACCCACAGCGTCGGGACACGCAGCTGATCCAGCCGAACGGGTATCTCGTTGTCCAGATCGACCTGAATAATCCCGGTGTTTGGCCATTCCATTGCTACGTCGCATGGCATGTCAGCGAGGGGATGAGTATCAATTTCTTTGAGCAGGCGCCGACGCTGGAGAAGGAGGTGCAGATACCGTATAAGATTGCGCAGACGTGTCGGGATTGGAGTGCATGGACGGGGGACCATGTGGTGAGTCAGATTGATTCGGGGTTGTAGGATGTGAGACAAAAGGAATGATCTATGTTTGCGCGATGGATGTGATGTGAGGGAATGAGGAGGTCATGCTTGATGCACTTTTGTATACTATTTGATAATTTCAAGATTAGAATCCTGTGTATATGAGGTTGCGGCCTTTGCGACTGTGAATGGTTTACATGGATTAGTTAAGCGTCAAAGAGGCCGCGAGTGGAAGAAATCATAAGAGGCGAAAGTTCATAGGCCACGGAAGTGGTGTTATACCGAGGCGGAACGTGGCCAACTCAATCCTCATGTAACATCGAACGTAATTGCTAGGTCTTGTCGGCGATTTACATGAATAGTATGACGGAAGGGTCCAACGTACCTGCAGAGACTTATAATTTCTCGATAAAAGGAGTTCGATCATTCCCTTTTTTTACCCTGAACACCAATGATGTGCTGAGCAGCCTTTAGTAAACAGTTGTCCTGATCTTACAAAGGTGACTGACCTCTTCCATAGAATCTTTCATGTAGTAACGGTACGTTGTGACAGGGCGAATTTGTCCAATGCGATGGACGCGCGCTAAAGCCTGGTCCTCTAGAGATGGGTTCCATTGAGGCTCTAATAGATGTACTCTTGATGCCTCACGCAGCGGACACCGGCTATTTCAAGCGCTTGCTGCACCATGTCTAGACTCGGAGTCCAGAACGAAAATACAACGCTAAGAAGGCCAATTCCAAGTTAGTAGGAATAGACGAAATTAGCGGTTTCTTAGTTTTAGAGGAATAACATCCTTCTTCTCGGGAAGGCCGGCGACGACTTCAGAAACCAGGGCTCGAACCTTGCTTGAAATAGACATCTGACCGGGGGTGTTTTGTGTTAACGGCCTCCAAGTGCACAAGGATCTGGAGCGCAGAATCGCAAAGCTTCGGCACAATTATTGCAGAAGACGCATTTCCAAGAAGAGTAATAGGCCTTCGAGCGATATTGGGGTACATCCAAATGGCCATTTGATCCAGATAGTTCAACAATCTGCCCGCATTGTCCACATGGTAGGTCTCCGGTCACTAAGCAGTTAGTCAAAATCTCAGAGACAATGGGATCAGCGTGCGATGAGGTTTCTGCTTCTGGTAATTGTAAAGACGACATCGACGTCCCCAGGTTGCATGCGATGCGTAGTTTGTTGATCTGCTGGATCGCGCTGAGCCAGAGGCTTCCTGTGCCGCTACGGGCTTCATCGACGCCGTCAAGTATGGCAGACATCGGCTGCTCAATACTTCGATAGTGAGCCTTCTCCTCCAGATTGAAGGCGGCCGGCACATCTACAGCTTGTTTCGGAGCGTGTACGCATTCCCATCCCCATCACAGAACGAGTAACCCGTCCAGATCGGGCCGCCGCCGTGGACGGTATCGTTGGTCTTGGCCAGGAAGATTTTGTCATTGTTCCACAACCAGTTGATGGCGACATACGAGAGAGCCGCGATAACCTCGGGTGGGTTGGGGTTGACGTTGTCCGTGACATCGGCGGCGAATTCACCGTTCATGGGGGATTGCACGGGCATTTTGGGGTCTTCGCTGTATTTGTAGCCCGGGTCGTTGGAGGGGATCGCGATGAGGGTGTTGTTGGCCATGGTGTAGATGGAAGTTTGGATGGATATGATGGCGTCGCCGAGGGCGGAGGAGGCTTGGGCAAAATCAGAGTAGACTCTATGGTGCCGAATGTCAGAGACTGTGAGGAGTGGAAGCGGAGGACGGAAAGAGGGGGGGGGGGGGGGAGGGGACGTACTTTCCCTCTGGGGTCGTTACGAGGACAGATAGGAGACCATTCTCAAGGCCGATGGCGGCAACGGTGAAGGTGGTTTCGGGAAAAGTGACGGAGGCTGCGATGAAGAGGCCTTGGATGATACCCGAGAAGCCGGCCGTGTTGTCTTTCGACGGCGGTGAAGCATCTCCCGTGAATTCGGCCGGCATGCCAGGTAGGTACGACGTCAAGACGCCATAAACATTGGCAACCGCTGCTGAGATGCGTCCGAGGAAGTTGCTATAATTCTGCAGGGCCCACAGCACGAAGTAAGCAGTTCCGCCAGCCCTGAGACAATCTGCCTCATTGCATGACATACCGCAGCCATCGCCTAGGTAGTGGCAAGCGTAGCTGTTCCGGCCGGGTGCGTAGATCTTCAAGGTGCTTTGAATGTTCTCGTTCCAGAGCGTGGTGGCGACGTCGTTGTCGTTCCAGAGTTGTTGGGTGTCTTTGAGAGAGTCGTAGCGGAAGTCATTTACGTCGCGGGCTACGAGAGTAAGAGATATCGGGGAAGCCGAGGTGGTGTCTACAGTTTCTTGCTATTAGACGATGGTTTGTGGAAGAAAGAGAGGAGAATGGCGAACCCAGAAAGGGCAAAGCTGCCAGAAGCATCGAAAGGACGTTCAGATATATCATGTTGGCAAAGCCAACGTGCGTTGAACCTACAGTGGCCAATGTAGGTGATTTGTTGAAGACATAGGACGATGATGGAGAAGACGGTAACTAGAGATACTAAAGAAGATGAAGAGATGAAAACGCTGAGCCTCCATGCTTTAAGTACCTCTATGCTCCGGATTACTCAGTCATTCCTCGAGAATGCATTTCTTTCTATGACGTCTTGTCTTGTTAGTGAACACAAAATTGAATTGATCGGCGTGACCTCCCAGTCCCCGACCAGGAACAGTGAGCGATATCTCCAGCGAAAGTTCTCCAGTCAGACCATACCAGCAAGATTTTCCTCAACGTTACAATGAAAACCTCCCTTGGTCGAGTGCTGGGTCGTTGTGTGACGTCGATGACCTTCTTTCCTCTGAATTTATAAATTGAACCGTGGGTTTACTATAACGAAATCTCACTCACCACTCTCTACAACAGGAACTCCGCACTACCCTTCCAGGTATGGTGTGCTACTAACGAAGAGCTTAACTGAAAGTCTATGATTCTTTTCTATATACAGCCGAGTAAGGGTATATCAGCAGCTACGGACGACCGAGTAAGGGTGTCAGCAGCTGCGGACGACCGAGGGCTTTGGCAAAGGGTTGCCGATCGAGTCATCGCCATGCTTGCACCAACACTCAAACCTTTAAAATCAGCTTGTGCCTTCCTGATCGCGTAGTTTGGGATTCGGATCGCTACCGAAGGAATAGGCGCGAGGCTATAAGGATTCTCCCCCCCTGCGGTTGTGGGGTTGCCCCGGCTCACAGTGCCAACTGAGCCTCCCAAATCGCTAGGATGATGAGTGGATGCGCTACGGCTTCGAGTTAAAGCTGTGTGGGGATCGGGCTCTCGAATCTTACTTCCAATAAGTCGTTGCGGCAAATTTATGAGGGGAAAAGACGCTACACTTGTCGGAGAATAAGATTGCCCCGCAAAAAGTACCACCCAGATCTCGTAGACTAATCGGAGTCTGGCCACCATGTCAATACACAAGGAAGCTTTTTGAGAAGACTAGTCTCTGTTATTGTCGGCATTATAAATTGGCCACTTGAATTCCAGCAACGACGGTCCCTGGTGTGACTCGGAAGGATTGCAGAAATACTAGCTTAACTACGATGGAATCGTGGTGGTTGTTCGCAAGACTGGGCATGGCGATGCTCACGCGACCTAGTTGCTTTATCAGTTGGCTCCTGCTCGGATTAATAACGTGTCATTATTGTGGAGTTCTGGAAAAGATGTGCAGTTTTAATGTTGTGGCTTAGCGGGGAGATGCTAGGGACCCTGGAGAACAGCAACGATGTTATTAGAAAGACATGGTAGATTAAAGCTGGAAAAGATGTCGGTTCTGAAGTTAACACGTTAGGCTGGGAATGCTCCTTCGCAGCCTTCCTAAGGCGATATCAAGTCATGTGAAGTGGTTTCGCACGACGATTCGACAAGCGGTCGTAAAGCCAACAACACCAGCTGGAGGCCTAGTGACGTAGTTTACTCATGTTTGATCCCATGGGCTACAAAGGTATGATCTGGGATTCGAGGTTGTGAAGAGGGGAGAACGAGAGGGCCTTGAATAGTCCAGTGCGCTTTCTCTTTCCATCTCGTCGGCGATCAGCTACATGTTAATACTCCCTAGGTAAAGAGAGCGACGACGATATATAGTGGATAGCTCGATGGCATTTCGACTCGTGTGTATAAAGCAAGTCATGAGATTGTCGCGCGTGGAGGCCGGCCAGTCGAAAGTATTTCTTTGCAGCGAAGGTGCTACATCGAGTCGTCTACACTCAAAGCGGCGATGGTGTTCTTGAATAATCCGGCTCGAGATCCAAATGGTTCTTCCCTGCTTGGTGGATGCCTTTACTTCGCGGTTGGCTTGATGAGGTGCGCAGTACAGGTCGAGGACGGACCGCGTCAACTGCGCTGCTGGCAGAAGGGAATAGGCCGGATGCAATTTCAGCTAGACCTCAGATAGGGCCAATGAGCTGGTAGAAGAGACACGATGCGGTTGTTGATGTCGTTGCGATGGCCCAGGCTGGTGGAGATGATGGAGTCCGACTTGTCTTGGTGATCTTTTCTGCGCCCCGCAACTCAACACCACAAAGCCATCAGCCATCAAATATCTACCACCCCGAATCATTACTTGACTGCAGCCCTACACAACATCTCTCTAGCCAGCAATGGAATTTACGTCTCTCAGGTTCAGTAAGAAATGGCGACTGGATCACGTTAGTTGCGATGTCTTAAGCTCAAGCGTCTCCTGGTTTGTTCCACAAGAGAAATCTTATGCTACAGACCTCCCTCTCTTTCAAGTCCCCCACACTCGTATTAGCAATTCTCTGCCAACGCGACACGATGAACGTAGCAAAGCACGAAAACGCGAACCCTATCTTCCCTTTGCTCCTTGTGTCCTTCCCATTTTGCCAGTCCTATGGCAACATGAAGCTCATGATTGCGCGAGGCCTGTCTCGAAGAGGCAGGTGGCTGCGGTCTATTGGCTGCTTTCGAACACGTCCACAAAGCACGGGTGTGACGGCGGCAAGCTTAGCTCAAGATGACGGTCATCTCTGCCCCCACGAAGGGCTGCGTACGAAGCCGATCGCCACATAGAGGCGGGTAGGATCTCTGGCATCTATTCTTCCTTCTGGTGTGTATTGAAGCGAACACATCAGCGTCTTGCCTACCTAATTAGGCTTCAATTGGTCTGCTGGGTCTAGGATTGCGACGTTCAAATCCCCAGCTGTCCATCAATTTTCGAACCGCTGCACGTCACAGCGCTACCAGTCGGGGACGGCACGTCTGCGGAACAGTACCCTGAATGATCAGCAAGCGTGGCATGGAGTGGCATGCTATGGCCTTTGCGGCGTGGCTCTTCTTCGAACACTGCTTCAACTCTTGCGCATCCACAAAGCCGACATGATAGTTCGTCTTATGGCCTCCCTTAGGGCTCCTTTGGCACCCTAATTCTCCCTCCTTGTATGATGGGGTCAGATATCAACCTCGATGCGACCCAACAGCCTCAGATCTGGGCTGCCGTTGGAACCACGTACGTGCTGGCCGTAGTCTTTGTGGCCCTACGCACTTTTGCCCGTCGGTTGCTCAAGAACGCTTTGTGGCTGGACGACTGGCTGCTTTTCGCGGCTCTGGTTCGTTCTCCCTTGTCATGCCCTTCTACGACAGCACTTACAGACTCACCAGGCTTCGTTGACCGCTCTACTTATCGTGATCAAGTTCTGTAGGCGTCTCTTACTATCCTTCCCTTCCTTCCTAACGAGAGTCCAAAGCGATCGACACTGGCCTCGGGCGACATACCGCGATTTTCACGCCTAATGAACTTCCAAACGTATATGCCAGCATCTTCAAGTACTTATTTGACGGCTGGATTATTTGGACTATTACGATAACCATCGTCAAGTTCTCAGTCCTTGCCTTCTACTGGCGCATCTTCAAATACACCTCCATAGCCATCCCAATATTTGTCCTCGCCGGTGTCACAGCATGCTGGGGCATCGCTACTGTAGGCCCCTCTTCAACGTGAATACTCCAGAATATTCAATCTAACAAATTGACTTTCAGGTCACTGTCGTAGCCCTCCAATGCCCCCGCGAACATGACGGGTCCTGCCGCACTGTTCCCCTCGCACTCTTCTATTGCTCCGCCATCGTGCACATCGTCACTGACGCCTCTATCCTCGCACTCCCCCTCTTCTACGTCTTCAGCACCAAACGCCCGATTTCGGAGAAGCTCGCCATCGCGGGCATGTTCATGCTCGGCAGTCTAGTCGTGATCATTGCCATCATCCGCATCGTGTTCCTGGATAATGACTCCATGTCCGACCCCGACATCACATGGACCTTTGTCAACGTCGCCATACTATCGAATGTGGAATGTGCAGTCGCCATCATTTCAGCGTGCTTGCCGTGCTTGAGGCCAGTGTGTCGATGGCTGCTCACAGGCTCACCCTTCGCGAACCCTCCACTCAGTGGGCCCATGACCTCGCGCCAGCGGTGTGTATTCCGTCAAAATCGATTACACCCCATCCAACAGCCTAGGTCTGCCGTATTCGATGGCTCTCAGGACCTCTTCTCAGACACTAGCGGCACTTGGTCCAGTGGGGTGCTAAAATCGAGAACATCATTTCCTGATGATTTGAGCATTCAGCTTCAGGATTTGTCCGGTTTCTTGAATGAACCGAAAGTCGGAATTGAGCGAAAAGTCTGACATCTGAATTTCCTTTCTCTCCGCACGGTAGTTTGGGTGACGCAAAATCGGATGACACAATCTCCACGACGTAATGACTGCACAGGACCGCTCAGAATGGGTGGGAAATTTAGACGAAGCTCGTCCAGATTTCTCACGACCTTGTTACTCAATCACGCGTTATCTAAGGCTAGACAAAGAGATCGTCTTGCCTCTAGAGCATATCTATCCCAGCCCCAACCTCTAGTATCCCTAATTCAGCAACTACATATCCTCCTCTCACCCCGCCTTCCGCCCAACACAAACAACCGGCCAAAGCGTCGGCTGCATCGCGCCCAGCTTCACCTCAGCGCCCGCCTTCCGCACCAACTCCACATAACTCGTCATCCCCGTCACCGTGCCGATCTATTTTGCATTAGAGCTGCTTTCCCTACTTCAAGGTCCCTCGGATCTCTATTCAACTCACCTCTTCCGCAGTTAGCATCATGACATCTGTCCACGCGGGCCAGTACCTCTTCGGAACATCGAACTGCTTGTACTCCACCTCCTGCAACCCGTGCTTCTCGAAATGGGTCCCGAGGTGCGTGACCCAGTCATGGATACCCGGAGGTTGTTTCGAGAGCATGGAGAGGTAGAACTGCTCGAAGGCGTGCATGTTGGGGAAGCGGGCTGGGTCGGAGGGGTGAGTGGTGTGCCGCGCGATGTAGGCGGGCATGTTCCCCTCAGTCCATTGGAGGTATCCGCCAGGTTCTAGATATAGAGTCAGATCCTCTCCCCGCTCGCACCTTGGGTATTAAAAGCCGGAGAAGCGTGAAAGAGACGGTACGAAGGGGAATCATACTTAACAACCTCATCAAATTCTCAATCCATCCCCCGGGCTCCCCGTCTTTAACCACCAGCACGATCAAGCTCACTCTCACAACATCGTATTTCCCCACCAGCTCCTCCGGGATCTCCTTCATACCATCTAGCACGCCGAACGTCACATTCGGCGGCAGCGTCGACTCGTGCGGAAATTGGTCGGCGGAGATATCGAACCCGTCTAAAATCGCATTGGGGGGGAAGGCATCCGCGAGATCGAGGAGCCAGATCCCCGTCCCGCACGCGATATCCGCGACCTTCATGTCTTCCTGGATTGGGATGGATGGGTGCAATAGATAGCCGATTGCTTGACGGTAGAGGTGGTGCTGGAGGTTCAGACGGGCGGAGGCGGCGTAGTGGCGTTGGAGGATGTAGCTGTCTGAGGGGACGTGGCTGTACTCTTCGGGGACATTTTGCGGCTCCGGCATTTTGGAGAGACGTGGCCGCGATTGAAGTTTTAAGGGAAGGGCGTTGGAAGTCTTGAGTATATGTCACGCGATTCTTGAAGTTTGGAGGAGGGAGAGATGAAGTTTAGAAAGATGATAAGCTGCTTTTATCTCTCTTTGGTGGGACCGAGGCTTGTAATGCTAGTACATGGTCGTGGTTGGTTGGCGAGGTGTCGTCCAATCATGCAAGAGTTAGATGGTAGGTAGTGTGTTGGTGTTGGATGGCGGGGAACTGCTGCAGGGCTGAGTGATCTCAGGCATGTGGGGCTGGTGGTACAAGTGTCGGCAAGCAGTCTTGCTATGAGACTTGGTGGATCAGAATTAAAATATCATTTCCTCGAAGTGATTATTAGAATCCAATACAAAAGCCAATGGGAATAGTTATGGGTGCCTTGATCGTCTATGATATGGCTACGCTTCATGTAGAGAAAATCGAAAACGAACGTTTGATTGGGATAAAGGAGCGCTCTAACGCCCACCGCAGATGGCCCAATCGGGAAGCAGTAAGGCCATGTCCATAGCGAGCTACCCATGGCAGTCCCATCTTGTGATTGTTTATTCCCACTGATCGAATATGAAAATTCTGAGACTCAAAGAGGCCGAAAGCGTGCTATCTGCAGACCGTGTTGAGTCAACTCGAAATGCATGGGTAGAGAATCCTGGAAACCAAGTCCCCAGAATTACATAAGGTTCTGCTTGGAAAGATTGCCAATCTAAGGTCTGGTGTCGGGCATCGCGAAACCTAGTACAAATGAGCGGTTACAAATAGTGTGATGGGAGGCAGGTAAAAGTACGCAGGAAGATCCCTTCTTCATTGTTCTGGCCACCGTACAGTAAAATGACTAATTCCTTGTCGGAACATATGTGGTGAAGCGAGAAAGAGCCCCGACCGTTTTTCCGAGGTCGTCTAGTTCACTCTTGAGGGCACTGACGTAGATGGAAGCCCTGCCCATGAGTGCAACGCGAATTGAAGTATGCTCGGACCAAAGGACGCGCTCACTGCTGTAGGAGTGTTGACTTTCTATGGTGGTATAAATCGCTCCCGGTTGTGAATGCTCCCGTTTGGCCCAATGGTATACAGGGTTGCCTTGGATGTTGTAAGATACCAAGTAATAATTGTTATGTGCATCACTCCACGTCCACGGCTGGCTGGTCACGACCGACATATTGATCCTGATCGGAGCAGAATCAATCTGCGAATCGATATGCGAGTTGGCTACCCGGTGAGGTGAAGATCAACACACGTATAAGAGGACGGAGGCGAAGCAGGTCTGGTCGAAGCTGACAAGATCGCAGCCGGAAGTCGGACCGTACATATCCAAAACAGCGGATGAGCCCGCCTCCAAGGCAACAAGGCAACGAAGCAACCATGCGTCTTAGAAGCTCGTGCTATCGCCACACAGCCTGCAAGAATAAGCCCAAAGAGCATTGCAAGAGATTAGCGTGAAGTGGGTGATACAGGGCCTCGTGATGATTGGCAGGCGCAGAAAGGTGAGATAACCCTCGTATTGAGACGCATACTCCGGTAACCAATCCCACTACTTCTTACTCACCGATGCTCAATGTCCTTCATGCACGAGCGGCAAATGGACAGAGTTAGACTCAAGGACGGGTGGACGTGGTGGTCGATGCAAGGCAGCCTGGGCCTGGAAGAGCTGGTCCTTCCGAGTGCTCCCGCGGGCCAGAGTCCTTTGCCGTCCATGAAAAACACGTGTAAAAACCGCCGAGATATGTCGAAAGAGGGAGACAAAAAATCGGAGGCTGCTGCTAGGCATAAGCGTTATTTTCGGACTACTTAGGTTTAAAAACAATCTTTAAACAGCAACTTCTACTGGTCCAGCGCTAGTCCCTTTTCGGAGTCTGTATTGTGGAGAACGCTCTCTTTCACAGGATCATATGCCTTGCTTGAAGTGGATGGCTGCTCAGCCGGCGGCTGCTGCTCGTGGGGTCGATCGGCTGGCTTGCTTGCTTCTTCTTGCAATGGCGTTTTTAATGCTACGCATAACTTAGTACAGTGTAAGAGAGTTATTAAACCTAAATTTTAACCCTTACCATAGGCTCTTCTCATGGCCTGTGGCATGCGCCAGTCAAAAACATCATCGCCTATTTCACGTATCCCCTGATTCCTCAGTTTCTCATTTACACGCACTAGGATTCCCGCGTAGATGTTTGCAGGAACATCCTTCAAACTAGGATATTCCGCGGCAAGTTTATCAGCTTCGATCTTTGTGAAGTCCTGCCGATCTCTGTTAAGAAGGGCTTCATTGTCCTTAGCATATATCCCTGCTTACCAGGAACCTCCTCCACTCAAACGCGTTGTGTCCAGCAGCAGTCTGTGCCTCAGAAGCTTTGGCCCTAGCCTTGAGAGTCATTGCGCGTCGTGGCATTGAACTGGAGATTCAGCGTGACATCTTGTTGCAAGCGGGTAGAGTCGTTGAGATGGAAGGACTGAGGCGGAGACGTGCAGTTGGGAGGTGAAATATCGCGCTAAGCCTGGAAATACTTAGCGCCAATATGATATCGTGAGCACTGGGCATCTTCTTTCACTCAAGCTCCACTTCAAGGCGTCTGAATTGAAAAAAATCATAGTTCATATTCTCTAAGATTTACATTCTCTAAGATTCATAGTCTGCCCGATTTTCTACTCCAGCTCCCACTCACAAACTCTCCACCACCTTCGTCACACACTCAACCAAATCCTCTTTCTCTAACCCCAACAACTCATTCGCAAACCCTTCCTTTCCTTCCCAATCACTCGCCACAATCCCATGCACCGCCACGACCTCCTCCGTCGCCTCCGCATCCCCCTTCAACATCTTGGCCCTCGACACCGCCAGCAACTCCTTCGAACTACACTGCTCAAGCTCCCACTTCCCCTCACTCCCTGTCGCCTTCTCCAGCACCTTCAACAGCTCATTCTGCGTCACATGGAAGCTGTGCACATACAACAGCTTATTCTCCACCACCGCCTGCTCCTCCTTCGTCAACACCTTCACCACCGCCGTCCCAATCGTATCCAGGTTCGTCGCGCTGAACTTAATATCCCCACCATCCAACACCTGCACCTTCTTTTTCCGCACATCGAAACACAGCAGACCGCCCCGGAGCCCGTAATCGAAGAAATGCCCCGTGATGAGACTCGTCCACGTCAACTTGCCCCCTTCCCTCTCCCTCCCACACAACTCCTCGAGATGCGCGCGCACTTTTGCCTTTCCTGCCATCAACGGGAGGATCTCCAACGTCTCTGGGTCTGCAGAGTCGCAGCTCCCGAAGTCAGGCGGGATGATGCGCTTGACGCCGGCTACAAAGGCGGCGTCGGCGAGGCGGAGGCATTCGGCGACGTAGGATCCGGCCATTGTGATGACGAGGGAATCGAAGCCTTTTAGCGCTTCTACGAGGGCGGAGGTGGGGAGGTCGTCGGGGATGGAGAGGGTGGGGGTGCTGCCGTAGGCGGATTTGGACGAGGCGCGGGTGAGGATGGTGAGGTTGAGGGATGGGGCAGCTTGGATGGCGGACACGATGTGCGGGCCTAGGGTGCCATTGGCGCCAATAAGGGCAATTTTGGTGAAGGGCATGGTGGGTGAGAGTGGTGGTAAGTGGTGGGAGCGTAGTATTGGCTAGAGATAGCCTTGTTTTGGTATCTCGTGGGGGTAGCCAGAGAGATGAATAAAAAAAGGGAGAGGAAGAAGAGCGTTTAAAGTGAGAAAATGCGATGAGATAGAAGCGTTGTGTACTTATGTATTCCAAGGACTAGGGTACATGGAAATGAGATAGGATTAGGTCAATGAGTCATGCCACCAGTCAGCAATGCTTCCCCCTCTTTGAAAGCAGAGATATCGGCTTGCAAACAAAGTGATATTAAGGAACTGCCGATGCTATAGCCCATGTAGGTTTGGTGTTGGTTGGTGAACGAGAATGGTCGTGCGGCTACAAGCGGGGTAAAGTTTTTCACGACGATAAGACGCGAAGACGAGTCGTATGTGCGATGAGGAATTGGCTGGTTCACGTCAAATCCACGTCAATTTCTGCATCCTACACGGAGTAGTTAGTGGAAGTAAATGCATGAGTTTTCAATATAGACGCGCCAATATGTCGCGAGATCACGTGATATCCCACCTGTGTATTCCTCGCGAGCTGTGATGGTTCTCCCTTCTCTTTGCCCAAGAAAGAGAACAAGATCTTGAAGATGATATGATGCAGCATCTATAGGTCTTTCTGACATCATACCTCTTCAGACGACACCAGAATGTCACTAAAACGATAGGGATAATAACCTGAATTCGACGCCTTTGAACAACCCTCAGACCCTGTTGGACCATACATGATTTGTTCCAAACGGAATGTAAGAGACTGTGAAGAACCGAATTCTGGATTAAATGTAGCAGAGAGTGGTGGAGAATACGGTCGAGGATATTGTAGATGATGGTCGAGACGATTCAGGGACTCGATACTCTCATGACTCGGACCACAACGCTAACGAACCACCACAACCTCAATTCTATCCCATCCCACCACGCCAATGTTCGACCTTCCCCAGGCCAAGCGGTACTACTTCACCTCTCAATCTTATGAAACGACAGTCTGACATCTCACAGCGTCCGTCGCGATGAGCTCTACTCGCCTGCTACCTCTCCGCGCTCCTCTCCCGATCCCGCCTTGACCGAGCTCCTGCGCAGTCATGCCCAAGACATTTCCTTCACGACCGTCCAGATAGCGAGCAAACCGGAAGCAGCTCTGGACCGCCAAAATGCAGCTGACGAAGAAGACGAGGAAGAGGAACTCGAATTCCGCCTCTTCGCGCCCACCGCACCCCATGAGTCCACAGATGCGCCAACGCAACGGATCAGGATAGATTCTCCAGACCGAACCGGAAAAGAGGGGTTCGTCATCCCCGAAAGGCCGCCAGAGTATTACTTCGTAGCCGAAGCGGACGAGGCACGGCGAGCGCAACTGAATGCGACGGCGATTAGCGGAGAAGAAGTGCTGGAGCGGGCGAAAACAAAGTGGCCTGGGTGCGAGATGCCGTGGCGCGTTACGGAGATATCTTTGAAGGGGATGGCAAAGGATCTAGTCGCTGGGCATATGGATGTTGTAGTTGGGCTTGAGGGGCAGAGGCAGAAGAGGCCGGGAAAGAAGGCGAGGATTAAGACGAGGGGGAAGGCGAAGGAGGAGCGATTGAAGAGAGAAACGGCTGAGAAACTTGCAAAGGATAAGGAGATGGCGGAAAAAGAGAAGAAGGCAAGGAGGAATAGGCAGAAGCAGCTCAAGAAGAGGGCCAAGAATAGGGCCAAGAAGGCGGGAGATGGAGATGCGGCTGGTATCGTGGATGAGGGAGTGGATTCTGGAGAAGAGTCATGAAGGGCTTTGCAATTGCATTAATGTAGCAAGATCACGCATTCATCCCGTTCAATCCATGACTGGATTAAGGATGGTAAGAAACTTTCATTGCTGCAGCTTGCCAGATCTACAGTGTAAGGACAAAAGTATTCTTGAACTTTTTAATATTGCTCGTAGTATTTCAATATACTAATCGAAAGCTACAGCAACGAGCCACAGGTCCGATCTGCATACACCGCTCTGAGACTGAGGTGGTCCGGTACGTTTTCCGGTCTGTCAAAACGCTAGATTTGTGATCTCTTTTCCACTACCATGGGTTCTTCAAAGCACTTCAACCCGTATCAAAACATTGTCCGCAAATTAGTATCCTTATGCCGTGTTTCCCCGCCCATGAGATCAGAGGCCGCCATCTGGCCGAGATCCATGTAGTCAGATCTGTCGAGCTGTATCCGATTTCATAACATATCTCTTTAACCGTGTCTCAAACGAGCTAGCTCACCTAGCCTTCACCATAGTCGCGTTCCAAAACATCTTACATCAAACAACCTCACTCTATCACCCGTTTCCTCTACTCAAACCAAATACCACCCCTGAATATGGCTTCATGGAGGCCTTCAACACAATATAACTTGATCAATCACTCGCTGGTCCGAGATCCGGACCAGTACGTGGTCGTGTCACCGTACTTCAACGTACCGGGGTGCTGGCTCCATGAGAAAGAGTCCTCTAGTGAGTCTCAGCTCGCTGGCCGTTTGGTGGTGGAATCTAGCAACCAGCTTAACCATGACGAAGGCCTTCAAACACACGCCACCACACCATCTTCGTTCGACCAGTCAGACCCCTTCTCTGGCTGTACAGAATCAGAAGGGTTTTCGTTTGCTTCGTTTTCGGAGCATACCAGGGTGTCTTATGGCAGTGAATGCGATCCGCTCTTTGAGCTTGGTTTGTGCACTCCTTTCACCATCCCCTATTTACCAACTATCTAACGTCATCATCCAGGCGATCCAGCGTTTTCCGTTCACCCACCTGTACAGCGCCTGACTATGGCTCAAGTCTTGGCAGACCACGCTAGCGACATGAAATACGCCGCACTCCAGTTCCGCGACCCGTTTCCTTCCACATACACACCACACCCCCAACGGAACATTCTATCACAAGCCACGTGGACTACTTTACCAGCCTGTATACTGGACATCTACTACACCATGCCCGCGAGCACGCCCGAATACTCAACTGCGTCCCCACTTTCTCCGCCCCCCGAAAGTGACACTGTCGAGCCTCTAACCCCCGACGCCCCCCAGGCCCCCGGCAGTAGTACTCGATCTATCCTCAACAACTCGGATATTATCAGCCGAATCTCCGACCTCACAGCCGCTTGTCAGGATAAGCCCAGGAATGATAGTCCACCAGAGGGCCCCTTTCAAGAAGCCGCGTTGAAAAAGAAGGCGGTATCCGAGAGGCAGGCGGATCCTCGTCTTGCACCCGCGATCGAACTCGCCAAGACATTCTTGTCACACTTCTATCCTGCCTCACAGGGCTTCTCCCTCCGCGAGACCGCGTTCGACACCATGCAACACGGTAGATGTGGATGGAATATCGAAGTCAAAACCGCACCAGGATATTCTGCTGTCTTGCACCGTATCCCCACCGAATGCATCGCCGGCTTCCTCGTCGAGAACACCTGCGAGGTGGACGATGACGCGACTCCGGACGGCAAGCGCAAAACTCCGATCGTTGTTACTGCCATGGCTATTATGGCTGACGACCTGAGCACCGAAAGTACATGGGTGCCGTATCCAACTGTCACGCTTGGCGACATTATGAGCTACGACCTCGGTAAGATTGCGGGAGTTGCTATAACGAACTGCTTCATCTTGATTGGAACTCAGCTTCAGCTCTGGACCTGGGACTCTACCAAGTCTGAGGGTCTCATGATGCGTCCATACAAGCACCAGGATAGGGTGCTTGCCAAAATGGGTAGCACTTTCAAGCTTGCCGTGGAGGGAAAGCATTGGGAGTATAATTTGAAGTTGTTCGATCGGGTGATGACCGATGCTATCAAATCGGACGTGGTCTACACAGACGGCAGTAGAATCGATGGAGTCTACGTGGATTAAGGATCTCGGTCCTGGAGCTCTGCGATTTGGATATGGCATTGAACACTCGGGATGGCTGGTTTGCACCATCCGCATTGGACGATACTCATAGGTAGGCGTTCTCGGTGGCAAGGAGTTACTGCTCTTTTGGGTATGCGTAGATAGTTCGAAAGCCCAAACATGCGCTTGCCTGCTTTACTTTGCAATCTCTTTAACTCCCTTTCTGCTTCAGTATACGTTCATCGTACAACAACATCCTAACAGCATCACATCCGCTTCGTCATTGCTACATCACTACTCAGACCCAGATTTCGTTTACAGCCGCTGTCACATCTCTGTATCCACCACTCACACACTTTGGCATCACTAATTCACCCAAACCCTGTCTACAACGGCATCTACCATACACCTCTCGCTCACTACTCAAACCGCTACACCAACTACCTTACACATATGACACACTTACCACCGCCTAACTCCGCACACTCGACACTATGGCTGGTTCACGGAAGAATTTGTCTCGGAAGCGCAAGCACAGGGACTCTCTCGAATTGGCCAAAGGACCTCCGAACTCCTCAGACCCTGTACTTGATTCACCAGAACCGTCTTCTCAGCCATCCATGGGTACCGTGCCAACGCTACCTGCCATGAAATGCCTTCCGTATGGAGAGTATGGAATTGCTGTACAGCACAAAGAGTCTAACCTACGCTCCCAACGGCCCCCAAAGCCCGTAGGCCCTGTACTTGACTCACCAGAACCTTCTTCTCAGCCATCCATGGGTACCGTGCCAAAGCTGCCTGGCATGAAAAGCCTTCTGTATAGATATTCTGTACAGCCCAAAGAGTCCAATCTACGCTTCCAACGGCCTCCAAAGCCCGTAGGCCCTGTACTTGACTCGTCAGAATCCTCTTCTCAGCCACCCATGAGTACCGCACCAACGCTACCTGGCATTAAAAGCCTTCTGTATGGAGATTCTGTACAACCCAAAGAGTCCAACCTACGCTCCCAACAGCCTCCAAAGCCCTTAGGCTTTGGATTTGACTCGTCAGAATCCTCTTATCAGTCACGCCTGGGTATTGCGCCGCCAGTTCAACAACCTCCTGAGTCCGACGGCCCTCAAACATCTGATGCTATTCCCCCGGATGAACCTTTTTTCAGCACTGACGAAAAGTTCAAGGATCGTATGGAAACGCTCAGCTCCGCCTATGCTGGCCCGAAAGTGGCGGAACTTAAACTTTCCGGCCCGGATATGGTTGGATATCGCCTGGCAGCTGCGACAAGACTCGCCCGAACTTTCCTGAAGCACTTCTACCCCAAGAATCAAGGCTACTCCATTCGCGAGACTAAATTCGAAAATGCTTGGGACACAATTGTCGAAGGCGAAGCACCCGCGTGGAATCGCGTAGTGCTGACCTCGTTTAACGGGGGATTGGAACTCGTAAAGCCGCTCATGTACTATTCCTTCTCAAGAAATCACGTTTCTGGCTTTCTTGTCGAAAGGTTGGGGCGGTTTCACACTGCAATGGCCATCTTTGCACACGACTTGGTCAGGCCGGCGATATGGGAGTACAATGCAGTCATCAAGGTTGCGGACATCATGTCTGCCGAGCTGAAACTCAACACCAAAGTCGAATTTGCGAATGCCTTTTTCCTAATCAAAGATATATTGTACGTTTGTACTTATAAACGCCCGGGGGACTCCTCCGAAAAAAAGTGGTTTCTTCATCCGCATCCGCGGGCTGGGAGGTTGAAGTTGGATGTCGGTACGCCCGGTTGGATCGAAAGGTCGAATGGGTTTGAGCAATATATGAAGGCTGTTATTCAGATGGATGTCTACCACCTTTTGGCGATAGGGCGTGGCCACACTTTGGATCCAGCCTCTCCTGACGACGAGGACACCTCCGATGAAGAGGAGATGGACCATGGAGCCATTACACCAGATGGGCCTCAAGCGGATCGCGTGTAGACTCTCATGATTGTGTCTTAGACTGTCCTCTAAAGTGAACACACGCTCATTCTGGGCTTGTGTAAACTTGCCTAGTACCTCTTAAGGCCATTTGCTACCCCGTAAGATTTTGAAAACATAGCTCTTCGGGCCACCTCAGACGAAGTCAGAATAGACTGTCACTTTATGTTCAACGAAGCCTGAATAGCTCCTAAGCAATGAGATGGCCGTGTGCATAAACTTATATCCTAGTACATACCTTAAGGCACTCGTCGCATATGCTTAGGGCAGGGCACCCCGATAGGCTTTTAAACCTCTAATTACAATATGAAACTCCACGCGTTGGAAATTGAGCTACTGTTTGACTAACCGAAGACATGCTAGGTACAGTACTCCTCACAGTGATGCAGGGTGAGCAAGAATCGAGCCCGAGCAGCAACATGTCCGTGTGCCTAACCTTATGACCTAATACTGTGCTTACAATTACACCCACAATATACAAAGGTAGCCTTTTTAATTTTAGCTATTAGAGCTCCGCCTCCCCTTCCGGCCTAGCGCCGCCAACCTCACCCCATCCCATCTCCGTCTCCCCATTATCCGGACTCCACACCACCTCCCTCCGGGGAGCGTCAACTCCTCAACCACCGACAACGAACAAGCAAACACAATGAGCGACCCGCTCCTCGCCACCGCCGAGGCAACCGAGCACCCGTTCTCCGCCTCCGTTCGCACTCCCGCGAAACTTTACGCCATCTCCGACCTCCACCTCTCCTTCAAAACCAACCGGGCCGCCCTCGAAGAACTCGCGCCCCGCCCCGACGACGGCCTCATAATCTGCGGCGATGTCGGCGAAACACCGGGGCACCTGCGCCTAGCTTTCTCGAAAGCGACGTCGTGCTTCAAGCAAGTGTGGTGGGTGCCGGGGAACCACGAGTTATACACCCTCCCAAGCGAGGACCGAGGCGGGGAGGGCGCGGTCGAAGGACACGGCGGGGGACTTCGCGGGGTAGCAAAGTACGACGAATGCGTGCGGGTGTGTCGGGAATGGGGGGTATTGACGCCGGAGGATGAATACATAACATGGCCACCGCCGAATCCCTCGTCCCCCGGAGACGCAGAAGAGGCGGCACGACCCGAGGCTGAGAGTGTGCTCATCGCGCCTATCTTCACGCTGTACGACTACTCGTTCCGACCCGCGAACGTCACACTCGAGGGAGCCGTTGAGTGGGCGAAAGAGGAGGGCATCGAGGCGTCGGATGAGGTGATGCTGCACCCGGACCCCTATCCCACGCGGCAGGACTGGTGCGCGGCGCTTGTCGCGCGGACGTTTGATAAGCTGGATGCTGTCACGACCGCGAATCCGGATAAGAAGCTGGTGATTGTAGGACATTGGCCGCTGAGGCAGGATCTGGTTAAGATTCTTCAAGTGCCGCGGTTTTGCATATGGTGCGGGACGACGAAGACGGAGGACTGGCATGAGAGGTTTAATGCGAAGGTGGTTGTGACCGGGCACCTTCATGTGAGGAGGACGGATTGGAGGGGGGAGACGAGGTTTGAGGAGGTTAGTCTGGGGTATCCGAGACAGTGGAAGGAGGCGATGGAGCAGGGACTCGATGTCAACGACATGCTCAGAGAGATATTGCCGGGGCCGGAGCCACCAGCTGACAAAGACAAAACGATCTGGAGGAGGTTTGGGTGAGCGTGGGAAGAGAGGGAAAAGGATGCATTCAACTGCGCGTTCGGGGCATGCATAGGTGTTTAGGAGCATGGTCCATGTTGAGGGGTATGCGGCGTTTTGCATTCGTGATGGGGTGCACGGTGTTGCCGAATTCAAAGCGAGTGCAACTGAGGTTTTACGGGATTCAGGACTGAATTAAATACCCCAGAATATTTCAGATACGGTATGTGTTACTCAACGAAGATGGGTGGCGTCATACTCGCATTCTTGTATAGACTAGACATGCATAGTCACCAAGGCTCCTTGGTATATTCCAATGTTCTCTATTACTACTAACTATAACCCACATAGCTTCGTCAACTTTCGGTCATGTGATACTCGCCTGTATTCAATCTTCCACGGCTATAAAACCCTCATCTTTTCTCAACTTTTCTTCCAACGGGGTTCAGGAAGTTGCCTTCTATCAAAATAGAGCGTGGCACACTCCACATGGGCTTCTTTTGGATAAAATGGGATCGATCAACACAGCTCTAAGACACCTAGAGTTCGGGGATCGCGCCTTCCACAAACCGCGGACTGTTCCTAGCAATGAAGTGTTGTATGGGCGGTGCTGGAATACCCTCAACACTGCCCTCGATCTCTCTTCACGAACGATTCTCTCCATCTGTCTTCCATCGATGTTGCTTTCGCCCTCCATTTACAACGCTGCTCACCACCAAAAGAGGACCTCCAAACACTCCTTCCAACACCTCCATTCTTGAGCTCCTCTTTCGAGTTGCCCCTCATGAGCTTGTTCCAACACTCGATTTGATCACATGGTAAAATGGATTTGGGGTGTTGCTGGGCCCACGCGCATCCGAGCTTCTGAGATCTTGCTGCTCTCGCACCATTCGCGCTCGTGCATCCTTTTGCAGCACTCGAGTCCACCAAGTTTCCATGGTGTCCTTTCCTCGTCGATTTTAAGCCCCCGACCCTCCTCGCCGATGAAGAAAGAAGGCCCTCCTTTCACCGAGTGTGAGATTTTATACTCAATCTCGACAGAGAGGCACGTGCTCCCATTCCCTGCTCGGCCTTCTCCGATCGCTTCGAAAGTGTAGAAAGTAAAGGTAAGGCGGTCAGGAGTCCACAGCTAAGTCATGTGATCCCGGATTTCTTCCAGTATAAAAACTTCTTTTTGGACCTGGAGTTCTAATCTTTTCATCGGAGGAAGGAGGGGAGTTTGGGGATTAACAGTGTTTGGAACGTTGACTCATGGGTCGTGCGGATCAAAATGACATCGGCGAGTATGGGGTGCTGTGTCGGCGTTGTAAAAACCCACGACTGACAACATACATGACTGAGAGGAATGGGGGACTCAAAACACACGAGAAGCACACAATATGGTGGAGAAAAGAGAGGGAATAAAATCAGCAAGTGATCGGCTCGGTGGAGCTGGTGGAGGCTGGGAGAGGGAGCTAAGTACGCTGGCGATGGAGATCATTGATAGACCTTTACGGTACCACTTGGTGACATATACGGATGCTAGTCGGAACGAGGTTCGTAGGATGATAATCAGCATTATATTTGACTGAAGCGCCCAAACTGCACACCATCGCACTCCGCCTCGATGCCTGTTGCTCCCAGCCATTCGGACGCGGAACGCATCATTTTGCAGAAACAGAAAACAGCTGCCACCCATTGGTTGATTGGTTGGTCGATCGTTTTCGCAACATCCGAGCCTCCTTCCCGGACATCAAGGAATGGGGTCCAATGGTTTACAGATCTAGAGGATCGCCATTTGTCTGCAATGTGCTGATATTTTGCAACCCTCGATCCACCCCTCGCCGATGAAGGATGGAGGCGTCCGCAGCGATTCATTGACTTTATACACCCAAATGCTCGCTGACGAAGTAAAGTTACGAGTCTCACGTGTCCAACATCCCTCCTCCCTTGATTACTCCAAGTGTTGTCGGCACAATCTCATGTATCTCTATTTCCATTTCCGCGCTCGCTAGACATTGCTTCCCAGCCTGCAACTCCCATAGTCCGCTTCTCCTATCCCCTGAGACAAACAGCTCATGAGACCCTACGTTTTTCTCTTCCCTAGAAGTTTTTTTTATCTTAGAGCTCTAGTACTCTCCTCTTCTTGAAGCAACAAACTACGAGTCTCATCTTGAACACGTGTATGTACTCTCTCATACTATCGTCATCGCCTATCTGGTGTTCCGAATCCTAGCTCATGGATAATCCTTTCCATTGGCTTCTCAATAGGCTCTCTTTCAGCCTGCAGTTCCCGTAATTCACTTCCGTTCTCTCCCAACACAGGCCTCTCAGACCCCAGCTTCTTCCCCTCAGCCGCTAAATATAATTTCTGCGTACGATACTTCGATCGTGGATGCTACGCTGGGATCGATCTGCTACACTCTGCGCCCCGAAATATATCCTAATACTAGCAGGAGAGCTATGGCAATTACACCGATGCCAACTCCAGCCGTTGCGCCTATGGAGAGGCCCTGAATGGGGTTGCAGCGAAGCAGACAAGGTCGAAGGGGTTGAAATGCATGAATTTTGACTCGTGGTAGTGAGGGGGCATCACTAATTCGGAAGCTGGCGCGTTTGGCGCTCTTCTAGTGTAGTTGAATAGGCGGCGCTAGAAATGTCATGGCCGCGATACTATTCATGGAAAGCACCTTGCTGGTCGATGTCGATGTGCCTGATTCACAGATGATTGGGATGCTTACTAGTGAATCGCCGCTGGCATTCACAACAAGAGTAAATTGAACGTACCGACCCCGATGTTTAGGGTGATAATACACCGCAGAGTGACGCTGAATAGCGATGCTCGCTGTAGCATTGTTGCTGCAAGAATCTGCGCTTTTTGCACGGAAAGTGCAATTGAACTCACCACCTCTAATCACAACGCCAATAATACACCGCAGTGCGGTGCAGAACAGCGATGCTCGGTGTTCGATCGCCGCTGAAATCCACACTTTACACCCAAATAGAGTGAATTGAGTTTACCACCTCTAATCACAACGCCAGTACTACACCGTAGTGCGGTGCAGAACAGCGATAGGCGGCATTTAATTGCCGTGGAAATCCAGACTCTAAACATAAAACGGTGAATTGAACCTACTACCTCTAAATTGTAGCTTTGATACTACACCGCAGTGCGGTGCTAAATACCGAAGCTCGCTGTTGAGTTGCCGCTAGAAATCTAGCTTGAGAATTTTGGTATAAAAAGAGTGAATGAGATGTACTATTTCTAATCATTCCAGTCACACTACACCGCGGGGCGGCACTAAACAGCGATGCTCGTTGTAGCATCGCCGCCGGAGTCCGAGGTTATGACTGATGGTATGGAAAGAGCGAATTGAGCTTACTAACTCTAATCTTGAAGATGATGCTACACCGTGGGACGCTGTTGAATAGCGACGTTCCCTATATAATCGCCGCTGGCATCTCAGGTTATGGCTTCTAGCCCTGAAAAGAGTGAATTGAGATTATTATTCTCTTATATTGGCGGCCATCTTACACCGCAACGCGGCGCTGGAAAGCAATGCACTCAGGTTGAAATTGATGTGAACTCTGATTTCTATAGACGTCTAGCTAGTTGTATATATACTAGGGGAGGGAAGGGGGCCACCCCCAGGGTGGCGCGCTAGTAAGTTCAGATGAGCCCTGCACAGCTGAGGCTTCAGCTCGGTTCTCTACAGCTGAGATTTCAGCTGGGTTCTCTACAGCTGATGTTCGGAGAGTAGCTTTCTGGCATATGAGTTGTTGATCCTAGGTTGTAGTGCTGCAACCTGAGTAATGCTCGCTATTCGACGGCCGCCGGAACCCCAAAGCGTAGCTTCTAGTGCGAGAGAGTGAACGAAGTCTGCCATCTCTAATATTGTTGATAATGCTACACCTCTGGGCGGTGTTGAATAGTGATGTTAGCTGTTAAATTGCCGCTGGAGTTCGAGGCTGTCTTGATCAGTCTAGACGGAGTGAATATAACTTACTGCGCCTAATATTCACAGCCGATTCAACAGCGAGCATCGGTATTCAGCGCCGTGTTGCGGTGTGACATCGCCGCTCGTTTTCTATGTAGTAGCTTGTAGCCTAGAAAAAGTGAATATAAGTTACAGCTCCCAATCTCGGCGGCCATGTTATACCGCAGCGCGGCATTGAATAGCGATGCTTGCTGTTGAATCGCCGCTGGGATCCCAGGTTATCCAGGCTGTTCTCCTTATTTGCACAGAACGGGTGAACGTAACATACTACCTCCAACCAGGGTGGCAACAGTACACCGCAGCGCGGCATTGAATAGCGATGCTCGCTATTGAATCGCCGCTAGGATCCCAGGTTGTTCTCCTTGCTACCGTAGAAAGGGTGAATGTAACTTACTGCCCCAATCTTGACGGCAATAGCACACCGCAGCGCGGTGTTGACTACCGATGATCGCTATTGAATCGCCGCTGGGATCCCAGGTTGTTCTCCTTGTTACCATAGAAAGGGTGAATGTAATTTACTGCCCCCAATCTTGACGGCAATAGCACACCGCAGCGCGGTGTTGAGTAGCGATGATCGCCATAATATCGCCGCTGGAATCGTAGGCTATGACTTTCAGTCTATAAAAGAGTCAATTATCCTACTCTTTCTGACCTTAGCGGCGATGATGCACCGCGATTCGGTGGTAAGTAGCGATGCTCGCTCTTAAATTGCCGCTTAGATTCCATGCTGTAACTAAAAACAGTAATATAACTTGCCTCCTATTTTTTGCAAAGATGACACACCGCAGCACGGCGTTAACAAGCGAAGCTCGGTGTTATATTGCCGTGGAATTCTTATGTTGTAATTCTTAGCCGAGAAATAGTAAACATAGTTTACTAGTCCTAATATTGGCGGCGATGAAACACCATAGGACGGTGGTGAGTAGCGATGCTCGCCCTTGGATCTCCGCTTAGATTCTATGCTGTCACTTGAAAGAGTGAAAATGGCTTGTGGCCTATTCTTTCCGGGATTTATACACCGCAGCACCGTGTTAGTGAGCGAATCTCGGTCTTATATTGCCGCGGAAATCCCATGTTGTAGTTCTTAACCAAAAAAGAGTGAGTGTAACTTATTGCCCCCAATCTGGGCGGCGATAAAACACCGCAGAGCGTTGTTAAGTACCGATGCGCGCTCTTGAAACACCGCTAAACCTCAGTCTGTATGTCGAAAGAGTGAATGTAACTCACTACCCCTGATCTGGGCGGCGATGGTACACCGCAGTACGGTGTTAATGTGCGAATCTCGGTGTTATATCGCCGCGGAAATCCCACGTTGTAGTTCTTGGCCAAGAAAGAGTGAATGTAAACTATACATCCTAATCTTGGCGGCGATATTACACCGCACTGCGGTGTTAAGCACCGATGTGCGCTCTTGCATCGCCGCTGAACTTCAGTCCGTATGTTAAACAAGAGAATCTACAAGTGTAACTTAATGCCTCTGATCTGGGCGGCGATGTTACACCGCACCGCGGCGTCGACTAGGGAAGTTCGGTGTTGAAGAATGGTGAGCAAATCTTTCGTTTAGATATTTTGCACAAGAATTTAATGTGAGTGCGGGTTGGGACCGATATGGTTGTTTGTCAGGATAAGAACACTTTAGGGCATAGTCACGTGGTGTGTTGACCCATATGTGAACAGTGAGTGTTCTGAACACTACTGCTGGGCAAAACAAGCATATTCTCGTGACTGATGGTAATTTCCTTGAGAGGCTGCTATAAAGACATATAATCACGTGGCTATAGAACCCCTGTGGCATCCACTGCTCCCCTGTCGCGTTCCAGGTATGAGACAGTTTACGATGCATAAAATTGATTGGTCCATATAGCACTTTAATTCCTGTCTATCTCGAATCTCTTGAAGCCTTATGAGTATGCATAGAACGGCCAAAACGTACCCGGGAGTTTCTCCAGACTGAAGACGTATTCTAGCTGACTGCGGAGAAGTAAAGTTGAAGCTTCAGCCACACGCCATGACGTCGATTCGCATCCTTCACCGGCCGCCAGGCCACCACACCTCGTCCTCCCGCCTTCTTGCATCCTCACCACCAATCGCAACATTTACGATATTACCACGCGGCCGCGCACGCACGAGCACCCTCACGCCCTGCCAATTAAAGGGCCGTCTCGGCCCCGGAGGCGGTCATGCGCTCGCGGGAACTCAGGCAGGGCGCATCCCAGCCTGAAACACGGCCTGCAGTGAGTGGGCAATGCCGCGTCACAACGTCACAGCCAGAGGCGATGGCTGCGCAGAGTGAGTTTGAGTCGTAAGCGGGGACGCGCTGCTTTGCTGGCGGCGGGGGGCCGTCTGATGTGTGGCGGTTGAGGGGTGAATAAGAGCACCACGGTATAGTGCAAACGGCTGCGGGCATCTTACTTATGCAAGCTGCCTGGCCTCGTGTGACCTAGGTATCCTATCGCAAACCCGCCCATTTCCTGTTTTCTGCGCTTTTGTTGTCCATCTTGGTCGCCATCTTCTTTTCGTCGTTTCTTCCCCTCACCTTCAGCCTTCTCGAACGAAGACATAAGTCCTTCTACTCTACTTACTCCTCTACCTACTCCTCTACCTACCCCTCTACCTACTAGGAATCTCCTACGAGACAACAACCAACGAGTGGAGAAAGAAGCGCGACCAACACCACCGCCTTCACCATGGCAATCAACTACGCCCTCCCCCTCCGCATCATCCAAGGTGTCTTCGCCATCATCGTGCTAGGACTAACAGCCTACGTCGCAAACTGGTGGGGTGGCCACTGGCACCAGTTCTCACCCTCCGAAGTCAATTTCCTAATCTTCGCCGCCGTCTGGACGCTTCTCGCGCTCGCCTACCTCATCCTCGCACCGGCCCGCTTCCCGACTGCAGCGCACAAGTATGGAATACTGGCTGCCGAAGCGGTCACCATGCTGTTCTGGTTTGGCGGATTCATTGCGCTAGCCGCATTTTTGAGCGATCGGATCTGTTTTGGGGGTGTGTGTAGTGCGGCGAAAGCTGCGACGGCTTTTGCGGCGTTTGAGTGGTGAGTTCGACATTTTTTCATGACTTCCCTCTGTCTGCAAGGCTGGGTATGAAGTAAAACAGCACGGAGGATCTATGGAAAATGGGAATTCCATCGTAGAAATATGAAGCTAATCAAGCCACAGGCTCTTCTTCGCCGGCTCAACCCTAATGGCCGCCCTCCACTGCTGGCGCACGCGCAACACCGGTGTCACAGGCCACGACCCCAAGGTCGAGATGCAGCAGGGCGTATAAACCCCCAGTCTCCCCAAAGACTACGAAAACTGCTCTTTACCTGGAGTGAATTGTGAGATGACTACACGGCTACGGAAACTGGGCTGGGAATCGACCGGATGTGTCGTAATGGCGTTTATCATGAACTAGGGGGGACGCAGGTGACATCTACAAAGACTGGCTGCTTTGATGCGCTGCTGGAGGCTAGGTGTTCAGGATACTGGTTTGGGAGGTTTGATCTCCGTGATTCTACTGCGAGCGATACCAAGATGCGATTCATTTTACCTGCTACTACTACTTCTTGACGATTATTCTTCACTATCACTTTCTCCGTGCTTTAGTAAATTTTCTGTATTCTTTACCACTGATCTGCTATTGCTTCTCCGGTACTTAGCAAAGGAGTCTACCTCCGTCGCTCTAGGATACGCGGATGTGGGGATGATCGCATTACTGGACATCACTCGTTGCAAGGACTGTAATTGATATTCCGAGACAGTCCGTGTGCAGATATCTCCCGCTTTTTCACTCACTAAATAGAGGATTTTTCAAACCGCTTTCACGTCTATCTTGACACAGTTCTGGTGACTTGACTTTGTGAAGGTAGACGTGTGGCTGCAACAAACTTTCTTTAATGCCTCTATGGGGGTTGGAAGTCTAGCAAAACTCTCTGTACCTGTGGCTCGATGGCTGGTTCCCCGTGCTTGGGGTTCAAATTTTATGGCTCGATCCGCTAAAAGGTGTTGCTTAGGACTCGCGGTCGTGTACTGCGATGGGTTCGAGCGGAGTTTAGGTGCACGATTAAACAATCCCAACATACCTAAGTAATAGGCCAGTGGAGGGATTTGCGGCCGGGAGTAAGGACTGGAGATGGAGATAGTTAGAAAGTACTAAAGAGCGAAAAGCAAGACCTATAAAGTACTAAAGAGTAGAAAGTAACAAGGAGCAAAAAAGTACTAAAGTACTAAAGAGCGAAAAGTAAGACTTCGAAAGTACCAAAGAGCTATACCCCGAAAGTGCTGAAGAATTATACTTCTAAAGGTTGCCTATACTACAGTACAATCGCAGTGCTGGCCTTCCAAGCTCGTCAATAACCCTCTTCCTCTTTTTCTGGGTGTGAAGCTCTCCACCATTACTAGACATGTGCTCACCACCGCAACTCTCTCCCAACTCCATCGTCAGTTTCCATCCTCTTTTTGACACCCCACCCTCCCAAATCCTGAATCGGACACAGCTGCTTCGAGATTGATACCCGCTCCCATGGGTTCATCTGATCCAACGCACCTCCAACTCCATCGCCTTGCGCTTTCGCCTGAGTTGATCCACCACACCGTCCCCCATATGGGCCGTAGTGTAAACCGTTTTCAGTCCTTCCTGAGACGGCTTACGGGTGTATCTTAAACCACGATCCCTCCCCATTGTGTAGATGAGCTCAAAGATTCGAAGTCGCTCCGTGGCGGATCTATGCGTAGGCTTTTGATCCACCACACCTTCCCAAGGAATAGATGAGCTCAAAGTTTTGAGGCTTCTCCATATGCGGTTTTGTGTCGGTATTTGATCCACCCCATCTCCCCATCGAGTACAAGTAATACCAATCTTGAAGCTCTCCCATGAACGGCTCGTCTGGTCGATTCTTGGTCGATATCGAACAACCACTACACCTCCCTGCTCCGGTCATGGCATTGCTTGTATTGTCTTTTGAACTCCCTCCATGCATGCCCGACGAGTACGACTTTGATCCACCGCCCACCCACACCATCAGCCTTTCGATTTCATTGAATTTGAACCTCCTCCATGACACGGCATTTTGAACATTGCTACAAGACCGCACCTCCCACCACGTGGCCGTATCTGGCGACGGCTTTGAAACTTCTCCGTTGGTGACTATCAGATCTGCTTTTGATCGACCGCACCTCCCTCGTCCCATCGGAAGGTTTAGTAGCTTCTTTCGTCCCTCCATGTAGGAATTGATGAGGAACGTTTTGATCCGCCACACCTCCCACCCCATTGCCTTGGGCTTTCGGTGATTTCGAATCTCCTCCATGATTGTCCAGAGGTACAATGTTGATCCACCACTCCACCCCATGAATTGATGTCCTTTACTGTTTTGAAGAACCTCCATGGCTTTCGTAGAGGTACACTGTTGATCCGCCACTCCCCCGCCCACCCATGTAGGTGTAGAGTTTTAGGTTTGATCCCAACCCCAACCCCTCGCTCCTCTGAAGAACCCATCCAGCAGCTGTCCGTCAAGCCTTTATACCCCTCCAGCGAAAGAAATTCCAGCAGGTCAGGTGCCTGTCACACAACCCCGTACTGACCCATGTGATACCCACCTCTCTTATCCCATTTATGCATGCATCCCTCACCGCTCCCACACTTCATATCACAGATCACATCACAAACCGCAGCAAAGATACCAGTTTTCCCACCCATCACATTCCTATCTAACACACCCTACAGTTACACTCCCCCCAATCCGTTCCCCAAGAAACCCCTCGTTCCCCACTCTACCACACGCACTCCCCCGCCACCTCGCCAGAGCATTCCAGCATCCGACTTGGCAACAAAGGACCAGCACTCACGGTAAAGTATTCGACTTCAGCGAGTCAATATCGGGAGAAGTGTCATCCATCCGCATAGAAAGTATTAAAGAAAAAGGAAAACCTCGCTCGCCCATCGCTCAAAAACCCCGCCATCATTAAAAGAAGCTCGTGACTAACCTTTTCCATGCATCCATCCCATAAACCCGGGTTACTGTCCGTTCGTAGAAAACAAACGTCACACCCAGCATTGAGGCCACCATCCCAATCCCAGTTCCCGCCCAAAAAGAACCATCATCGATCATGACTGCTCGAAAAAGAAATTCGTTTCGTCCGGCTCCGGCGTTGGTCAGGAAGGAAGGAAGCATGAAAGGGGTAAAGTCCGCCAGCCACCAAAAAAGAAAATCCGCAAAGACAGAATGAAAAGAAAAAGGTCTATCCACTGCACAGAAGCTCCTCTCAAGGCGAGAGGTATCTGCCATGCATTCAATCTCGCTTCTCGCTGTGCGAAGTCCCAGCCGGCGTTTTCAGCGCAACTGTGACAACACGCAAGAAGCAATTCCATTCTCCACCCCCATTACCACTCCGTCCATTCTCTCTCATGCTTTCGTGAGTGTGTAGTGAAAAGACACCCAGCTCTCAATGTCTCACGTTCCTGCCTCCCGTGGCCAAGCGGTTGAAGTCATTCACCCTGTTAGCGAGCGCCAAAATCTTCCGCAACACCTGCTGACCAGGGCCTCTCGGCGTGTTGAACTCATGGTACGCCGCCGTCAGTCTCTCCGTGATGATCTGCATGATGCTCGGCACCACATCGGGCTGGAGTTCGGGGTCCCGGGGGTCGACGCTATCCAAGGCGGCCTCGAGCCAATTCAGCCTCTCGACGATGAGGTTGTTGAGTGGTTCAGTGACGACGACGGCAGAGGACAGGGCGTAGAGCGGGGAGATGGTGGAGAGGTAGTCCGGGTGCCAGCGGGAGAATATGGACTCAAAAAGAGCCGGGGGACTGGATGAGCGGATCCACTGCTTATGTTATAGCGGAGACCGTAAACGATATGGATGTGAGTACTTACCATCGAGGTTGCTTCACCAAATTCGCCCAATTGCAAGAGCCTATTGATTTCCTCCTCAGTCTCCTCGAGAGAGCTCCTCGGGGTCAGAGATTGTGGCTGAGACTTCGTGGGCGAGACTTCGGTCCGTGGAGCGGAGGTGGATGCAGAGCCAGGACCACCGCCATACGAGTGTCGCGCCTCTTCAGCAGTCCTCAGCATGTTAAGATGGAAGCTCTCCTGGGAAGCAGCCATGGATTGCACCGTTCCAGCAAGTCCTTGCACAAGCTTCGTAAGCTGCTCAAGTTTTTGGGCATCTTTTTGGCGCTGAAGATGAGCTTCTCGCGATTGCTCAGCGAATCGGTTCTCCATCACCTGGGTGAGACTGTTGAGAGCTGGGCCAAGGGTGGCAGAGAGCGAAGACGTGACAATTGCTTCGAAATTTGTAGTGATCTTCTTTGAAATAGTATCCGACATCCTGCCGAGGAACTGCGGATTCTGGATCTGATTCTGCATAATGACGCTCATAGATGGGAGAACCGCCTGGAGCTCGCCTGGAAGAGCGCCCACAATGGCCTTCTTGAGCGTCTGCTTGAGTTCCTTGTCGATAGTCTCGTTCACCGAGTCGATCAACTTAGGCATTAAGGTTGTCTGCACAGACTTCGTGATGATTTCATTGAAACTTCTCTCAACATTCTGCGACAGGGTTTCGGAAACCAAGCGGAGGATGGCCTCTTGCTTGGCAGAACCAGCCGCAACATGAGCGCGATTGTCGGTATCAATGCGCTTGTGAAGCGCCTCTACCTCCTTGGAAAGAATCTTCGTGAACTCTACAGAGATGCTCTCTTCGAGTTTCTTCACATCCGGCTGAGCAATTGCAGAGCTAGCAGGTGTAGGGTGCTGCAGAACCTGGCTGAGAAGTCGGGTGGCCCATTCCGGAGCCTCCGTTTCTAAAGCCTTGGATTTAGAGCCGTCGGAAGACGGCGGCAGAGGAGAAGGCGAGCTAGCGCTCTGTGCTGCTTGAGCATACGACGCAGAGGAAGACGTGGCCGTTGATTCCTTGACTTTGGCACTGGCCTGGGAGCCTTCGGTGTTCGACTTGTCCTTCTTCTTCTTTTTCTTCTCCACCTTCTCAACAGGCTTTTCAGGACCATTGATAATTGCAGCCCGAGCAGCATCCTGCTTACTCTCTACCTTGGCCAGAGTAGAAGCCCTCATAGCAGCTTCTGGCGTAAGCGACTGGTGAGTCGCTGCACTGCTCTCTTTCTTGACGCTCTCGCGAGTGGATCGATCCGAGCCTGGCTTGCGAGCTGGCGTTTCACCTGCAGCCGAAGTATCCTCGCTGACGGAAGACAGCTCGATCGATTTGATGGTTCCAACAACAGCAACACCGGCCTTCTCCGCATCGACAGGATACAAAGCTTCGCCGTCGTTCTTCCATCCAAGATCTGCCTGTCGAACAGCTACTACGCTGACGCCCTTGGATTGCATGACATACAACTCAAAACGGGGCTTATCTTGAGGCTTGGCGTCGTCCGGTGCAGAGCTGACTGGATCATTCAGCATCTGAAGACTCCGGAGCTGGCCCTTCGAGGAGAAGGAGTATTCGTGAATGCTAGTCATGATGGCGGTTGCGTTCACAGCCGGAAGGGGCCTAACGCTAGTCTCCTTCTTAGCTAACTGCGCAATGTACGATGCCTGGGACATTGGCTGTAGATTGTAACGTGGGCAAGAAACGTGGATGAAGAAGACGGAGTTCCTAGTAGGATGTCCGACGGCCAAGATCCCAGTCCTAGGATGGAAAGAGACACTGCAAATGGCGTCCGACTCCTTCTCGTGTGGAAGATTGATTTCCTGGACAGGTTTTCCAAGACCGAGATCCCATAGCTGGAAAGAATGGTTCTGCTTCATTCCCACCATAACATACCTCAAGGCAATACCCTTGACGCACGGGCGTTCCTTGTCGAAGAAGAAGACGGATGTGGGCCACGATTTAACATTGGTCGATGTGGTGTGGTGCTCCAAGATCGGTTCCCGGATCTCAACAGGATCGATCTCCGAAGTGATTTCGCCGAGGTGGTCCAGAGTCAACGGACGAATGTCCCAGAAGCGCATCCGACCGGCCTTGTCCAAGGACGCAATGACCGTATCATCCTCGCTGAAGGCGAAATCCTTTCCAGCCTTGCCAGTCAAGATCTTGAGAGGACGATCTTTGAGGTACGCCTCGGTGTTGCAAATCTGGGTTGTCGGATCCGTGTATCTCGGCGAGCGTGCGACGTTGGGAAAGATGATATGAATCGCCTTTCCGCGGCCTACAGCAAAGTACTCCGGGTGCCGGCAGCTAGGCTTAGCGCGCGTCTTCAGTTGTCCACCAGATGTGTTATCATCTTGGGTGGCAGCGGGCGGAAAGATGATGCTGTGGTCCTGGACAAGCTCAATCACATCATCTTTGGTATTCACAGCAGTCCAGAAGACCGCTCCATTGACACCAATTCCAAGGATGGTTTCAGGAGCGCCCTGCGATGAAGCGAGGTCGGCAGCTGGAGCGGAGCAGGTAGCAAGATTGAAGATGCGCTCTTTGTAGTTTTGGAACACCTGTCGGTACTGGCCGTTATCCTGGCGAATGATTCGGAAACCATTAGTCTTGCCTCCGAGAGCATAGACGATGTAGAGCTTGGTCGCGGTCACCAAGCAACGATCAATCTGGTCGAATTCCTTCTTCAACCTCGCAACGTCCATAAAAGCCGACGAACGGAAGGAGGGGCCCGACAAGCTCTTGTTGACCGTGATGGCAGCAAAGGCTCTCATGGGGAACTTGAAGACTTGAATCTGCTGTTCTTCATCCTTGGCCGGGCTGTCCTCAGCTTCTGCGCTCTCCCAACTGTCCACAACGTCGGCGTCGCCAATGTCGGCCTGGGCAACTTCTTCGACTACCTCTTTCAAGGCATCGGCCATTGGTTTCGGCAAAGCCTCTTCCATGTCGCGTCGAGTCTCGGGATCCTCCAACTCCTTCTTGATTGAGATTGCTGCATCCTGCATAGCTAACTCAAGCTCCTCCACTTCTTTCGCCTCAGCCTTGGCCTTTCCATTACCGTTTGACTGTTTGTCCGCTTGTGCAAGGGCTTCCTCCACTTGCTTGTCGACTTGTTCGCCGATGCCACTTACGGCCTCGGAAACCGTCTCGTGCGGATTATGAGTTGGGAAGTGCGAAGTCGCACCCGGTGAAAGCTTTCGGGTCTTCGAGGCGGGGCCTGAAACTTCCGATCCGTTCTCTTTGCCGTCTGCTCCGGACGACGCAGCCCTGCCATGCTTTGGCTTGAGTATTTCCATCTTGCGGGTCGGTGCAGAAGCGCTGCTGCTATCGGGAAGAGGGGTGCGATTGCGAGGTGATGCAGTGGTATTCGCACGTTCAGGAAGAGGAGTGCGGTTGCGGGGCGACGCGGTGTTGTTGGCGCGCTCAGGAACAGGAGTACGATTGCGAGGCGTCGCAGCCGAAAGCTGCTCGAAAGGATTGACGTAAGTGAACATAGAGGGCTTGGGCGCCGCCTGAGGAGCTTCGAAAGTCGAGTCACCGGTCTTGCTGTCACCGAAAACGCGGATGGGCGACTCAGTGTCTGCACCGGCGGGCCCAGAAGAGAATGTCTCCAGCTTCGCGTCTTCGTAGCCGTGCGTCGGATCGTCGACGAGCGTAGCCGTGGAGAAGGCCGAGGCTGATTTTCCTCCTCGGAGGGCAGGAAGGTCGTTCTGTGGAGGTTTGGGGTGATTGAGCAGTCGCAGCAGCAAGTCCTGTGGGGCCTCCGTCGCGGGTGGGGCGTGTTCGGCTCGGCCACTGGGTGCGGGTGAAGCGGCGGCCGACGAGCGAGACGCGCCTTGCGATGGCTTGCGCATGAAGGACGCAACCAAGTCGGAGGCTGAGGTCGTGCGACCGTGTGCACCCTGTCCTTCCGCCATTGACAAGTTCTGCACGGACTGCTGAGATGGTCGACGCTCGGAGGCGCTGGCCTGACTTAGAGCTCCAGGGCCATTGAACCTCAGCAGGCTGAGCAGGCTTGCCGTCTTGTCAGAGCTGCTCTGACCGGGGGTTGGCGTGTTGTTGACCGACGAATTTGGCGACATGACGGCAGATTGGTGATGAGGTTGCGGGCCGGAGGGCGCGGGCGAGTAGACGGGCGAGGAAACGGAGGGCTGGTGGTAGTGAGGAGCTTGTCCAGACGTATCTGGCGAGGTGACTCCCTGCTTAGCAAGGCGAGCAAAGAGCTCTGAAGAAGGAGTTAGTACAGTGAACAAGCGTGGAGGTCCGGAGCCGGAGCTGTTGAGTGAGGCTGTTTGGGGTAGTAGAGACATGTACCGTTGAGGTCCGCCATGACACCGGAATTGGCCGGGCCGCCCTGAGAGGATTCGGGTTGAAAGAGTACAGCAGTAGCAAGTGCACCTGGGCAGCCCGCGATGGAGATGGGATGAGAGAGTGAAGTGGTGGTGGTTGGAGGTGTGACGTTGGAAATTTCGGCGAGGTGGTTGGGCTGGGGCACGAGAGGCCGCTGCTAGCGTGGCCAATCGGAGCAAAGGGCAATTGATAATGCGGCTGCCTCAACGTCAATGTTGATTCAGTTTACCACAGACTTGATACTAGAGTGAGTGAGTTCGCGAATTTCGAAGAACCGGTGAGGGGCCGAGTAGCTTCCTTCAGCTTCAGTCTATCGTTGAGCGTAAAATTCGACTTCATCTCATCAAACTTGGAAACACAGAAGCAAGCTTATATCTACTAAGCAAGCATTGCCCTATCAAAAAGGAACAAATATCTATACTCTTAGGTCTACTTTACCGCTTTCCACCTTCTCACCATCAAATCCGACCCCAATGACTCTGAACTTGGCGCCAGCATCCCTCCTCAGTCGACCAACCAGCACGTCGCAGAGAATGTACTCCGTTGCATATGCCCGGCCTACGTCATCCCCATCTACTTCAATCGAAAAGTACGCAAAGGGGCCAGTGAGCTGGCTGTAGGGAAGATGGCGTGGTACTGATTGGGATAATCCCATGTTCTGATCTTGATAGTCCCACATTAGTCGGCGATGCTCCTCTTCATCCTTACCTCGAGTTTCAACTCGAATATTGACGATTGCGCTAGATAGCCGAGGGGTCTCCAGAGGTGTTATAGAAAGCTCGAAGATCTCCATGCCTACGCTGTGGCTGTTCATCGTATCCCCAGCTTCTATCAACAGAGATATCTCGGACAGACGAGGGCTATCAGGTATGCCTTCCGGAAGAGGATCCCTTAACATGATTTGTACAGTCTCTATCTTACTGCTTCCGCCGCGGAGATCTACGAATGAGTACTTTGAGCCGATCATCAGGCCAAGTTTTGTAGTTCCAGAGATCCGGTAATTCTTATAAGACATCCTAATCTGCAAAGTGCCATCCGCAGGCATATTGACAGTGAAGAGCCGCAGAGGACGCATAGTCTCATTGAATTCATGGTAAATGGCCAGTCTCGACGGATGGTCCAGAAGCTCTCCATGCAGAGATCCGTACATCTGATGGTCATCGTCCAGGACTGCGTGTCGATGGATAGAATGTGGCAAAACTGACTGCGAGCCAAGTTGCGAGTGTAGCCTCTTTCCTCCGTATACATCCTCGAGCTCAGGGCTATGTGATGCGAATGCACGGCTGAAGTTTGTGTAGAAGAAGGACTTTGAGCCAGCAGGATACAGCCGGGCTGAGCGTGTGACGGGATAGGGCTGCACTTGATGTGCAACAGGATACGATCTCCCGCCGTGGGGTTGATCATCGCATGGGCAATCCGGTTCTTCTGTCAAAGGTTCCCCATCCCACATAGCTTGTTCAACAGCTCTCCTCTGTTTGGTGAAATGCTCGAATGACCAAGCTGGAGCAAAGATGCCCACAGAAAGGCCCGTCTCAGCGAGTTTGCTTACGGCGATGCCCGTGTGCGTGCCGCCGCCGCCTTTCTCGGGATACGTCACTCGAAGGTTGCTCAACTTGGATGAATTTTGGGCCCAGACGTCAACACCAAAGTAGACGTTCTCTGGAAGAAATTCGTGCTGCTGAGCGAAAGCCCTCGATTCGACAGCTTTGTCCTCTGTCCAGCAGTAGTTTGTGAGTATCCCGTCGCATGCCTGTGTATATGGCAAATTTGCGAGAGACAAGCCATTTTGGTAGACAACTTTGTTTGATACAGTCAGGGCGTCATACCTATATTGAATTAGGCCTGGTAGGAGCAACATCCTTGTAGCAATGCTGAATGATGAGAACGAGACTTATCAAGACCACTGACCAAATAACTCTGCTCTCAGCACCCATAGTAGATCTCAATTGCCTCAAAAAAGACATTAGAAGATTGAGATCCCGCTCGCTTTTATCAAAGGGTTTCTCTATGTTAATGAGCCACCCATCAAATCCGTAGTGCTCAGCAATTGCAGCGAGCTTGCTGGCAAACGGGAAGTGTAGTTGGGCGCCTTCCGCATCAATGACAGTGCTATTCTCGAGCATCCGGTTATTTTCTCTGAGTGCCGGCTCAACTAAAAAGGTTCCGAGTACCTTTACTCCATTGCGATGGAGAGTGTTGGTCCAGGAGGGAGGAGGTACACAGACTAGTTTATGACTAAAGTATACGAATGCCTCCACGAATTGGAGATACTCGCAAGAATAGCTTTCTTCGTCTATGCCTACCCCTTGACTAGACTCATAGTCATGGTAGTTTCCCCCGTAGTCGTGGCATAAGAGGACGCTGGCTGACTGTGGGCTAGCACTGCATTCAGCTGGTGTAGGTCGGGGTAGGAGCGGTGTGTTAGCCCTCTGAATGTGATCTGAAGACCTCAAAGTCCAATCCTCAAGCTGATTGAAGGTATCGAAATACGTAAACCCCTTCAGAGCATCCAGTTTCTGTTGCGTGTATCTCTCTTCCGGCGTTGGGCCTGTGTCTGGGCTGGGGAAGTAATGCCGGAAGCCATCTCGAATTGGCCGAAGGATGTCCTTCCATCCATGCGTATTCATCCTGGGAAATAGCAATCCATGGTGGTTGATGACTTCCTAAACTTGCACATGCCATGACGTTTCAAGACCGGAGGCTTCATAACGAAGCTAGACAGTTTTGGTGAAGGGCCCGCGTCACTTAGCGGCTTTTTAAAACGCCCAAGCTCAAACAAACGTGCATCGTGTTCTCAACATCTCAAAACACCATCAGCTCCGTACAAACAGACGAATTCACGCTCAGAGACCTGTCCTATTGACCCCGTTCGCTCTCTACCGCCATCATGAATCTTTTCAGGTTACTAGGTACGTACAATCTTGGCGCAAGGCTGCGACCCACCCCTCCCCGTAGTATGCGACAGCTAGCTAACAAATACCACTCAGCTGACCTGTCCCATTTAATATCAATCCTCATCCTGCTGCACAAGATGAAAACATCTAGCGTACCTCTCCCTGCCGTCCTAATATCCCGCGCACCCCATTGACCCCTCACAGAGCGCATCCGGCATCTCGTTCAAGTCCCAGGTCCTCTACTTCGTAGTCTACGTAACGCGCTACATCGACCTACTATGGACCTTCTACCTCCCCAAAAGCCTTTACAATACCGTCTTCAAAATCGTCTTCATAAGCACTTCCGCCTATACCATCTACCTGATGATGACCGACTACAAACCCACCCACGATCCAAATCTCGATACATTCAAGGTCTCTTATCTGCTGGGCGCGAGCGCGATATTGGCAATACTATTCCCGTACCATTATAATTTCACTGAGGTAAGTTCAAATCTACCCTTTCAAGGACGAAGCGCAAAGTCGGCGGGTAGAGCTAATAAACAACAGATCCTCTGGTCCTTCTCTATCTGGCTCGAATCTGTCGCCATCCTCCCCCAACTCTTCATGCTTCAGCGGACCGGCGAGGCCGAGACAATCACCACACACTACCTCTTTGCGCTCGGCGCATACCGGGCGCTTTACATCCCTAACTGGATCTGGCGTACCATCGTCGTAGAGAAGCCTCAGCCGTTCTGGGACCCGATCTCAATTATTGCGGGCATTATACAAACGATTCTGTACTCGGACTTTTTCTACATATATTATACCAAGTGAGTTGGCGCGGATTCGTGTTGGCGTGTCAGGCTACTAACGCTTGTGCCTCACCAGGGTCATTCAGGGCAAGAAGTTCAACCTTCCGGTGTAATCAGACTGCCTGCACAATTATCGAGCACGACCGTTTATCCTTCACAATTGATCAATGAGCGATTACCTATTTTGTATCATAGATTCGGACACCTGCTGCGTAGCGGAGACTTTGGAAGGCAGGCTGGGATATGGAATAAGAGCGTGTGACATTTTCAACGGCGTATCCGGGATGCTGGAATGGCAACCGTGTCTGGGCAGACGGATGTTTGCCAGCTAGATTGGGTTGGAACACCCAGGGACGCAGGACAGATTGGGATTCGGTGGATTGGTACGGATTAGTACCAGGGTTCGCATACCCTCAGGAGTTCATGTAATTTACCCAATGGCATCACGAAAAATCTACAAAGTAAATTCGCAACCCTTTCCAGCCAAATTAACACTCAAGAAGTGCTGTAGCGAGTACTTCTTTAGCACCCCCGCAAGAGCCTAAACGATACAACAACTGACATCGAACAGCCTTACAGGTCGTAGCGACCTATTCACGGTTCACGAAAGGTGACCTCAGCCTCTCGAGACAAGACGCGCTCAAATGGTTGAAGAACCCACGAATCGAACCGCATCGCAACTTTTTAACGCACCTACGCGTCCTACCCGACGTGCTATATTTTCCAACACCCAATGTGTACACAACGCCCCAAAATGTAAGAAGAACTTCCAGATCGAACCGCATCACTACTTTCCCCTCTGCGTTCTTCCCGGCCTACCCTTACTCACCATTCACAACGCCCGCACGATGGCCCCAAATATTGCAAACACTCACACATCCGACCACCCTCCCCTTCAATCTACCTCATCTCTTCGATGCCATCACGAAACCAACCACAACCCTTCTCTATCAAACCCAATAAGCCATGTCACATGCCCACCCCGTGACCCTGCCTTGGCGAGGGTATAAAACCTCTCCTCCGCAGCCGCGACTCCATTTCTTCTGCAGAGATGGAGATTTGAGCTGTGGCTTCAAAAGAACAAGCGGCCGCATATTACAATGACTGTGGCCGGATCAAAATCACTCCTACCATGGTTTGATGACTGGGAGCGGGCGGAGTGATGCAACAAATGCGCGACTGAACGCTCTGACGGTGTGTGGTGTTGCGGCGCCGGTACCTGAATTCCTGGTAGTTCAAACTAGCGATGTCTAAAGCTGCATTCCCTCTTCTTCATTCTTTGGTGGTGTGAATAGGTAAGATGTACTGTTGCCTTCGGGATAGCTGGGCTATTGAAGAAGTTCGTCGATTTAGGTGCATAATTGATGGAATCATCAGATCAGGGACACCTCCCCACGACATTTGCGACTCTTTGGCATGGTTTTGCACACATCAATCCCCTCCAGAACGCGGGCACCGTGGTAGGATTTCGTCTAACCCTTTTTGATCCACCAACGTCTGGCCCATCGCAATAAATGCGTCGAGTTTTGATCCCTAACCCAAAGACCCAAGCACTCCTGTAGGACCAAGTCTCCGAGTCCGACAAGAAGAATTTATAGGACGGCGAAAGGACACAACACGTGAGGCACGTGAGTACCTGGCCCCGAGATCTCATCACTGCCCTCCAGCATCTCGTCCGCCACTCACCAAGCGAAAGGGAAAGCAACTGACTCTCACGTGGGGCGGGATCTCGATTCTCCCCGCCGAATGGCTAATATAGAACTTCCTCGTCCTCTAAGATTCCTTCTTCAAAGGGTTTGCGGGCTGGAAGGTGGAAGATCAACAGGGGAGACAAATCGGAACAATGCGGGAAACAAAATCCCCTGGCTCCTCGACAGATGGCTGGGTCGGGATTGGTTGCCTTTGCAAAAACCAAGAAAATAGAGCAGAATGGACCGTCTTCCCAACTTCACACGGTGCTGCCTCCTGTCAACAGCTCCACAAAATGAAGGACATTCCTACTATCCATAGTCACTCATCTACAGTAGTAAGGCAAGGTGACAAAGACCATCAACGAGGAGCAGTGTTAATCGGCGGGTTCGAAATCTCACTCCACCGATCCTCCATGAATGGGTATTGTTTCTCCTTTACACCAAACCCACCAGCAACCATCGCAAGGCCGCTTGATAGGTTGTTTCCCGCCAGAATCATGGAAGTACACATATTGGTATTTCGATCCTTCGAAGAAAACCAAAGCTCACTGGAGAACGGAGTTGCCATCGACGAGGGGAAGCTTTATAGGAGACTGGAGGAGGGGGGCACGTGAGACGCGTGAGGCACGTGAGCGGGCGAAGAGATGGGCAATCAGTTGGCATGGGAGAGCGTTTGGGAGCAACATGGCACTTGATCCTCACGTGGACGATGGGGGTGCTCTATTCCGGGGAGTATAAAGTCTATCGTGTTCTTGGACTTGTGGTCTTTATAGGCTGAGAATCGGGATCGTTTACTGGAAGAATGCGGTGTGAGAAGCAAACCAGCAGTCAATCAGACACGATGGAGGTCTGGAGTCAAATTGGGTTCTGCGCGCGTGATAGCTGTGGTCTTCGATTCCCAGAACATAAGAATGGATCAAAAGCATTATGGTGTCTGATCAGCTAGGAATGGCAATACTCTACACTATTCCTAGGATAAGGTAATGTGTACTGTACGGCTGCCATAGTTAGTAGCACTAATAGTTGATAGGCGGAGGGGATGATGTTTTGGCTATCATGCTGAACATTATCAGTGTGCAAGATGAATTACGCGCTCCAGCACATCAAGGTCGATCTCACCGTTCAGTTTCAAGACACATTCGACAGCGACCATGTTCTGCTCCGTTTCCAGGTTTGTTCTCCCACTTCTAGAACCATTGCAGGTTCAAGGGATCGATTTGATCCTCTCGAAGCAAACAAAGTACCTTTGCAGGAAGAACTCTTTGCGAGCGGATGTAGAATTTATAGCAGACCCAGATCGATAGAATAGCACATACTCCACGTGAATGGTCACCCACACCTGCTCACTCTCCTCTCATCGAGCTCTTCGTCTTCCGTCCGAAAAGACCACCTGAAAGCATGTCTTGATCGGACGAGAAATTTAATCGTTGTCGTGATTCCAAACATGGGCTAGCGGCGTTGATGAGTCATCCGTCCAAAGTTCGTCATCCACCAGAGAACGGGACGCCTAGTAGCACAATCACTGGTAGGGCAGCGCATCCCATTTCATCAGTTTCAGCTCTCCAAATCTTCCTTGATCACTGTCGTAAAGTAATAGAGAAACGATAAACCAGCTTCGTCACGCTTCAACGGATGACCCAGAGCTGACTTCCACGTCTCACGAGGCCGTTCCGAAGTGTTTTCTAGAAAGATTGATGGCTTCAGAGTCCAGGGCAAGTGCCCCGAAGATTTCTAAAATCACTAGCATCCCGTGAGTAGCTCAGATTCAACCCTTATGTTTCTGCTTAGCTCAATCGGAAATTAGTCTACGCAATAAGAAAAAACCTACAGCGGCGTCAAAGACGGCATGGATGCTGAAAGGCACCGGCGAAGTTGTACGCACTATAGCATCAGCATCACTAGAAGCGGACGATGCCACAGTCTCCTCGGAGCTTAGCTTCGAGCTCCTGTGCAGCTATAACTGGCAGCGAAATAGAAAGGCAATCCTTGTTCCAGGTAAACTTCGTTCTTTGTGCCCCTCTCAGTATCATCGTTGACATTGTTCCAGGTGGACCTCCAAAATGGGTACTTCCACCCTTGCCAATCACTCTAGCCCCAGATGCCGGTCTCCAGTTTGTAGATCAAAATGCCTTCCGTGTTCCGAGGTACCCTTTCGAGCCCGCGTTCCAGGCGTTGGCCGTCATGAGCCCAAATGCGCAACTAGATGATGTCGACATCATCGCTAATCGCAACAGTCTGCGCAAGCTGCTTAACTTTGCTGCTGGGAGGCGGCAAGATCCGTTTCGTATGGATTTGCATATGGTGAAGGATACGCTCTTCATTAGCCGCAAGGAGAGAAATGCTCGATTCATGATTCATGGAGCTTTAAATTCTGGGTACGGTCATAGCTTCGAGCAAGCCTTCACCAGACCTGAGGACGGCTTAGACGATTCAAGCAGCCACCATAGGGTCATTCGATATCGTCTTGGCGATCTGAACTGTGTCGTCCGGTTCGAGGTAGATGCATACTACGAAGATACGGGCGATCCGGATGTTGCCAACTCCATGCAGCAACCTATTGACCAAGCCATCACGATGATGGCGCAAAGGGCAGTGAAGAACCCACTGCCAAGTGCAATACCAAAGGGCACCACGAAGGTCATTGTGGCAGGGTTTTCCGTAAGCTCACACAAGCTAGCTGAGATCAAAGCGAAAAAGGCTGAAAAGCTCAACGACGCCATGCCGCAACTCTGGTTCGGTCGCACGCGATATCTTCTCACTGGGAAGCATGTGAACGGCGTTTTCCGTTCAATCAGCACCTCTCATGTTGAGCCGAAGTTTACGAACTGGGAGATGGTCAACCAGGAGAATTTGCGCAAATTGGTCGGCTTGCTTGCGGATCTAAAACGCATCGTGCGCGAGACAAAAAGAGGAGCTGCCATGTTGCTGTGCGAGTCTAAAGGCGCTCCTCTGCGGGTTCTAGAGGCAAAGAGCGAGAGGAGCGCTCTGCCTGAGGAAATGATCATGAAACATTGGAGTTTTGGGAGGGGCGATGTGAAGTAAACCGCACCGCACAGGAAATCTCAATCGGAAAAGAGGTCCAATGAGTGCCGCGATACGAATCATGCAACTTCAGCGTTTAGGACAAGGGTAAACTGAACCGTATGTAAGCAGCCCTCGGAGAAGGAAGACGCTGAGATGGTCCCCGCGATGTCCGCTCTGTCTTTGTCACTTCGACCACCAACGTCAAGTCCACAGTCGCAAGATCCCATACTCAATCCCAGCTGCACTTGGTCCGTTTGGGGGGATATACCGCGGATTTCCGCATCAACCATGAGCTTTCTCCGCATCGGGGTGCTTGGCATCACCTTTCCATAGCTTTGACGTGTGCACATCCACGCGCGCTGTATAATGCGGGATTGGGAACACAAGGAGCGATGGTCGAGGAAAAATAATCGTCGGATACGTAGGTAGCCGTTGCATCCGTCCATATTCGAAGGGAGTACATTGTACACGCCCGCGGAATTCCGCATCAGCCACGGTATCAGGAGACTATTTAAAACTCTTCATTCCATCCCTTACAGCTCTCTCACCATCTCACCATCTCATCCGCATTCAAATCTACCAATTTAAATAGCCATTCCAATTCCGATTTCAATACCATCAACTCCTCCATTACCCCCAATCCAACAATGTCCCCCCCAGCCCCCAAAACCGCCCTCGTCCTCCGCGCCACCGGCTCCCAAGGCCGCGGCGCCGTCACCCACCTCCTCGCCGCGGGCTGGCGCGTCCACGCACTCGTCCGCGACCCCACCGACGCGCGCGCCCTCTCTCTCCAAACCCTCGGTGCCAAGCTCTTCAAAGGCGAACTTAGCACCCCCTCCGTCACCAACTCCACTCCCCCCTCCGCCGCTAGCACCACCGCCACCGTCCCTGGATTAGACGCCGCAATCGCGGGCTGCGCCGCCCTCTTCCTCAACCAAATGCCCAATTGGACGCCCGGCGGGGAGGCCCGCGAAGCCGCCACCATCCTCGCGGCCGCAAAGGCGGTTGGGGTCCAGCACGTCGTGCACGCGACGGGGCTATCCCTGAACGACCCCCAGCATGCGGAGAAGATGGAGGGGAGTATTGTGGCGCCTGCGATCCTCGGGAAAGGGGAGGTAGAGGAGCTGGTGAAAGCGAGTGGGATCACTTACACGATTCTGCGCCCAGGGTGGTTCATGACGAACCTCACGCTGCCGCTCGTGGGCGTGATGTTCCCAGAACTCGTGGCATCGGGGCGGTTCGTGCATTCGTATGGCGAGGGGTGCGTGCTGCCGCTTGTGGACCCGGAGGATGTAGGGGCGTTTGCGGCGGCGGCGGTTGAGGACCCGGCGAGGTTTGGGGGGCAGACGATTGCGATTGCGGGGGAGAAGTTGGGGATTAAGGAGATTGTGGAGTGGATTGGGAGGGTGGCGGGGAAGGAGGTGGTGGTTGTGGAGAGGTCGGACGAGGAGTACGAGAAGGTGAAGGGGGAGCCGTTGATTGCGGGGCAAGTTTTGAGCAGAGAGATGGATGAGTTGGTAGATATTGAGGAAGTTAAGAGCTGGGGGGTGAAGGTGACGACGTTCACGGAGTTTTTAGAGAGGAATAGGGAAAATGTGGTTGCGGGAAAGTGATGCTCTGAAGGGGAGGGTTCAAACAAGGGGTCTCCGGGACAGCGAGCTAAGTGCTTAAGACAGGAGGTAGTCAAATTTGGAAAGTTTCATCAAATCGTAGTTGTTTAGATTACCTTCGTTCCGCAAGCTGATGCATGAGCAAAGAGTCACATGTCTCACGTACCTCGCTCTCTCCTTCTCGCCTTCTATAAAACCTCACCTCCCTTACTCACAGTTCTATTCAGCAGGCTCTGGTTCTCCTCCGAGGATGAAACAATTCTGGTGGTGGACTTCATGGTGGGAGCAAACTTACCAGCTTTCCGAAGCCATGGCAGCTGCGGTGGTAGACTTGGCGAAATCCCACAATGACTACCGTTATGTGGTGCTCCGTGGATTCCAGCCCACAAGTGATGATACTCAACACTACCTCCACAATCAATCGCTCCACATCTCTCCCCTCTCTCGACTAAATGCGCCTCAAAGAGGTAACAGAGAAGCTCACGACCTCCCCCTGTTGCTAGACCTCATCACACCTCTACCTCTTCCACACCTCTACCTCTTCCACACCTCTACCTCTTCCACACCTCTACCTCTTCCACACCTCTACCTCTTCCACACCTCTACCTCTTCCACACCTCTACCTCTTCCACGCCTCTCCCGACGCCACCACCATGATGTGCTTCAGTCTGAGTTTGCGACTTGGTCATTGAGTTTGATATCCCACCCCCAAGGCCATAAAAGACCACCCTCGAGATTTTGATCTCCCGCCACCGGACTATTAGGGCGCTTATTCCTACCTTTTTGATCCTCGAGAGAACCAAACCCCGCTGAAGAAGAACTTGGTCCAAGGGGGTGGGGGATTTTATAGAAGATTTGGGAAGGGGAGAGGGGATGGGGCACGTGAGACACGTGATTAATCCCTTGTAGGGTTGGTGTTGGTATACACTCCTGTGTTCGTAGAGAAAGGGGTGCAAGACTCATCTGGCTTCTACCATCGGTCGTCACGTGCCGCTCGCGTGCAACCTCTCTCGGTTCTGCTATAAAAGATCTCCTCGCTCACTCGACTTGTTTCTTTAGCAGGGCTCGGCTTTCGTCTGAGGATCGAAAACCGATCACAGACAACCGATGGTGGGAACAAAGACTACACTACGTTCATCTTATGGTGTCTGCGGTGGACTTGGAGTTGAAGTAGAAGAGCAGAAACAAGCAATCGATGTGGTGTTTTGAACTCAGCAGAGGCGGTGATACTAAACACTATGCGCGTGATTAGATGAACAAAGTAACTTCGCTATACCGGTGAAGATTACAAGAAAGAGAAAAGGCCATAGACCAGTACTTTTCTACCTTGGCGGCGATCATCACTGCCCAAGTTTTGCAAGAAGTCCTCTCTACACCACCCCCATAAGGCGTTGGTCGTGTTCAATTTACCGCCGCCCGGGCTGCACCGTAGGCTTCGAGAGAATAACAAATTGATCTCCCAGACCCATGATGGCTGGCGAATCGAATTGTTGATCCACCTCCACCAAGACCATAATCCTCTGCCCAACTCCTTTTGATCCTCAAAAGGGCCAAATCCCGCTGAAGAAGAAATCTCCTCGGGCGGCGCGGAAGGTCTTATACGAAATTCGCGAGAAGAGAGGGGTTACGCACGTGATACACGTGCTTCGTGCCTTCGCCCGAGAGATATCATCATGCTCCCAAACTCCAGTGCCCTGACAGGTAGCCTTCAAAGAGAGAGACTTACACGTGCAATCCGTCTTCCGCAGCCTTAGCTTCTCACGTGCTGCTTACGTGCTCTCTTCCTATCTTCTATAAAAGCTCCGCTCGCGCAGCTAACAGACCTCTTCTCCAGCAGGGTTTGGACCTCTTCTGAGCGTTGAAAAAACGTCCGAAGAGAGCACCATGGTGGGAGCAAAAGTGCACGTATAAGGACGTGATGGTGGCTGGGTCGGGCTGTGGTGGACGTGGAGTAAAAGGCGCCTATCAAGACTGCGATGTGGTGCTCCGAGACCTTCGCAGGAGCGCTGCTGGTGACTACCACCCGCCTAAGAGACGAACAACATAACTTAGTCACGCCAGCGAGGATCCTGCCAAGAAAACAGAGTAACAGACCAGTACCTACCTACATATCTCGCTGCCCACCACCACCGTCGCAAGCGACAAGCCCCCTCTAACGACACCATTGTTTGTTTTGGATGCCACTTTTGCACCTCCCTCTCCACCCACGCACCATCGACCTTCACTATGGTTGCTTTTGCAACAACTCCACACCCCCATAACATTAGGGGTACGAATGTGTTGATCTCCTATTGCAGGTTCGAAACTTGGATGTTGATCCTCCACCGCCGGAACATCGTAGTTGGTCTCCAGCCCTTCCGATCCTCTAGAGAACGAAGGCCCGCTGAAGAAGAAATTTTTCTGAGTCGGGGGAGGATTTTATAGGAGATTTGCAGAGCGGTGAGAAAGAGGCACGTGAGAGGCGTGAGACATGTGATAGGAGAAGACCGGAGGACGATGCTTTGCTAAATGTGACTTACGCGTCCTACCTACCCTATTAACCTACCCTATCCTCCAGCCTCAAACTCCGGAGTCAGAAACACAGCATACCAGCAAACCCAAGCCAATCGCTAAATCTCATTTCATTCTCAACCCATCCAAGAATTTTAATATACAGCCCTCCCACCTCCCTCCTCTCCTCTCTCATCTTTTCAGTAAAAGTTACATATCCACTCCTCTAAACGAACGTGCATGGTCCAACTAAGCAAAAAAACCTCACACCCCAAAAAAAAACGCCGCCGAATGCAATCCCCATGCCTAGAAATGCATCTAGATCTCATTTCCAAAGAGAGAAAAAAAAAAACCACTCAGATTTTCAATAATCGATAAGTCGCCACCCAACCTACTACAACATCCCCATAACCACCGCTCCCGCACCCACGACCGCGCCCGCCCAGCTCCCCGTCACCGCCGCCGCCAGCGCCGTGCTCGTCTTCGTGGCTGCGCCCGCGGTTCCCGCGGCACCAGTCGCCGTCACGACGCCCGTCACGATGACGGTCGGCTGCCCGTTCCGCGCGCCGCCGGACGGCGAGCCGCTGACGGTCGACACAGCGTTCACGACACCCGAGGCGTCGGGCACACCGGCGGCGCCGGCCTTGATCTCCATGATGTTGGACTTTGTGGCGTTGAAGTTTGTCTGGGCCAGGGAGATCTCGTTGTTGGAGAGGTCGTAGACGACGTAGGCGGAGCGGAGGAAGGTGTCACCGAGCACGCAGGTGGAGTCGCCGGCGGGGGCGATGCCTTTTATTCAAGTTAGCAGATATAACGGGGGAGAAGAGGGTGGGGACAGGGCTTACCGAGGATGCACACAGGCTGGCCGCGCTGGTAGCCAGCTACGACGACGAGCTCGTTCATGGGGACTGAGATGGTCGGCGAGCTAAATTTGAAGTCGAGGGTTGTGGAGTCGCTTGCTAGGCTGCAGTCGACGAAGGCAGCGCCCTGAGAGCTGTCGTACTGGGCGTTGAATTGCTTGTAGAGATTTTCGACGAGGGAGTCCGGTAGGTACATGAGTGAGGAGCCGGAGTCGAGCAGAACAGGGACGTTCTCATTGTCGAAGAGGCTGCCCTGCTTGCCGTTGACGCCCATAGCGGTCAGCGCAATGATGAACTCGACGTACTGTCCGCCTTCCTGAATGATGGGTAGGGTCTGCAGGTTGCCAGTATACTTCTCGGTATCCACGCCGCCGAAGAGGATGGAGCCGGTGCTGGCGTCTAGGTCGTTCAGCCAGAGCGAGTAAGCGACCGAATTGGTAGTCTTGTCGTCGGCGAGCTTTTGCGGGAGATTGGAGTACGGCTGCCCGCCTGCGCGCTGCACCTCGACTTCGTTTACGGCATAGCCAATACCCAAGATACCCTCAGGCGAGGACGATACATAACCGATTCCGAACTGCAAGTCCTTGATAGCCTGTCCGCCAAAGTGGAATGTGTCCGTGGCGTAGTCGCCCGACGCGCCGGAACCGTCCACGTAAGAGATATTGAAGTCGGAGTTGACAAAGGTGTAGGTTGAGGACGAGTTTGCGTCGTAGGTGCCGGAGTCGGCGCACTGGTCGCTGTTCCCAGAGCAGAGGGCGGAGGACTGGGCATTGGCCCAGAGATCGGAGCTGCCGGTGTCGATGTGCAGACGGAGGGTTTGCGCGGGCGTGCCTAGCGAGGCATTGGCGAAGTAGAGCGTCTCGAGGTTGTCGAGGGTTTCTTGGACGGTGTCGCGTTTGCGACGAATGCGCTCGCGCGCGAGAGGGTCTTCTACATGGCGGCGCTGGATGTCGAGGCTCACGACGGAGGGGACCTAGAATTCAAGTATTAGTTGATATTGTATTGTGGAGGAAGTTTTCTGTGAATGCGGAGGTGTGCAGGGCCAAGCTTCAGGAATGCGGAGGATCCATGGATCGTTGAGGAGCCGCATTCCTCCATCGCCATCGGTACTTCGGTACCAAACCCACCAACGTGGACGGAAGTCGTGCGACAAGGATGATTCTTGGTACGTACATCTCGCTGAACCAGATTGATTGCCTCCGACACGGCCAATATCGCCGCGGCGGCTGCAATTGCTGTGCACCGCATTATGATGTGCGGATTGTCGATTTGGTGGTGGGAAGTGTATTATAGCCAGGCAAGTAGCCGCAGCTTCGTGAAACGTGGCAGAGGTAGATAAATGGCGTGGAAACTGGTGAGGGATGTCCGAGTGAAGCTGCCTAGATGAAGGGTTCACTGGAAAGTGGGAGAAAGGGCCGATTCAAGCTGCGGAGTGCAAACAACCGAGTAGATGCTGAAGTGGTGTAAAAGGCCGGGCGGTCGAGTGTAACAGTCTTTAAGAAAGCTGGGAAGCGGCCGATGGTGAGGTTCGATGACGCGTCAGAGGCTGGACAAGTGGTGAAGTCAAGCGCGGCGGCCGGTCAGCGGGTGCGAGTGGTGGCTGGTATTACGGGACGGAAGTAACGGCACAGACGAAGGAAAGGATGGAGGAAGGAATGATGAATTCGAAGTCACAACAGCTGGGACGCGCTGGAGGGGAGACGAGCGAGTGTGTTTCTTTTGTCGCCGTCAACCGTCGCCGTCAACCGCCGCCGTCACATCGTCAGCTCCTGATGCAGCAGGGGCTGCGGCGAGCTGAAGCCTGCTTCTTCTTGGGCCAAGCCACCGGTGGCGGCCCTGGGCAGATCTCACTTTGTTTGGCTCCACACCGGCGACAAGCCACCCGCGAGCACTGTCTTTGAGTTGGGAATCAGGTGCAACGAGCCATCACCGAGAACTATGTCACTTCGCTGCTTTCATCGTTGCGAGCATCTTCAACAACAGAACAACACCGTCCGGCGATGCCCTGAGTGCACGGGAGATGTGATGACGGGATCCAGCCGCCTCAGCCACGGCCACGCACGCCTCCCCTCAGTGTCTGCGAGACCTCCGACACCCGGCTGCTATCAATAGCCAAGGCCAAACCTCGCAGGGCCAAGAGAAACCATCCTGAAGCAGCTCCGTGCTGTGTCTCGTCCGGGCCCCCAGATTCGCAAGCCGTCGTCAGGGGCCCTGGCGCCGACATCAAGCTTCACGAACCCCGGGCCTGAAACCCAACCGCGACGCTGGGCTGCTGGGCATTCAGGAACAGGTAGCGCCCGTCTGCCGGCCATGTGGCGTTGGGCCCAGAGGCGGAGAACAAAGCAGCCTTGGCCATGGAATCATTCGAGAACTTTTCAATTGCGCCGACGGACAAAGAATGGGCTGCATGTTGAACACTGAAGTTTGCGAGTTGATGAACGACATAACTCGCACGTGGTTAGACTCATGTGACTTATGAAGAGCACGGTCCACCGCGCATAAACTTGACCGCGTAAAGTGCATTCATCGCGTCTCCCAGACTCAGCTTCAACTTCAACAACGACATCATGGCCCAAGGCGAATCCTCCAAATCGGCTGCCCGCAACGGCGTCAAGCCCAATCCCAATGCTGTCGGCGGCGCAAACTACGAACTACCATGGTAGCCTCTATTTCCCATTCCATCCCATCCCTTCTAACCCCTCCACAGGGTCGAAAAATACCGCCCCGTCTACCTCGACGACGTCGTCGGCAACACCGAGACAATCGAGCGCCTCAAGATCATCGCAAAAGATGGCAACATGCCGCACGTAATCATTTCCGGTATGCCTGGCATCGGCAAGACAACGTCTGTTCTGTGTCTCGCGCGGCAGCTACTCGGCGACGCGTATAAAGAAGCGGTACTAGAGCTGAACGCCAGCGACGAGAGAGGCATTGACGTGGTTCGGAATCGGATAAAAGGGTTCGCGCAAAAGAAGGTCACGCTGCCTCCAGGACGGCAGAAGATCGTGATCTTAGATGAGGCGGATAGGTACGTTCCCATACCCCAATACACCCCACCGCTATCCCACCACCACCCCTCGCCGCATCGCAACTTCCACAGTCTAAACCGAACGCGAGCATCTGGGCTAATCAAAAATGGTGTCGCCTAGCATGACGTCCGGCGCCCAACAAGCCCTCCGCCGCACCATGGAAATCTACTCCTCGACCACCCGCTTCGCCTTCGCCTGCAACCAATCCAACAAGATCATCGAACCGCTCCAATCCCGCTGCGCAATCCTGCGCTACGCCCGCCTCACCGACGCCCAGATCGTGCGCCGCCTGCTGCAGATCTGCGTCGCCGAGTCCGTCGAGCACAGCGAGGACGGCATCGCCGCGCTCGTCTTCAGCGCCGAGGGCGACATGCGCCAGGCCGTCAACAACCTGCAGAGCACGAGTGCCGGGTTCGGGTTCGTGAATGGGGACAATGTGTTCAAGGTGGTGGATAGCCCGCATCCGATTAAGGTGCAGGCGATGGTGAAGGCGTGCCATGAGGGACGCGTGGATGATGCGTTGGGCGGGTTGCGGGAGTTGTGGGATTTGGGGTATAGTTGTCATGATATTGTTAGTACCATGTTTAAGGTTACGAAGACGATTCCGGTGTTGAGTGAGCATGCGAAGTTGGAGTTTATTAAGGTATATCATGTTTTTTGGTTCTTTTCATCTCGTTGGAGAGATAGGGGCGTTGGATATGTGCTGATGTGGTTTTAGGAGATTGGCTTCACGCACATGCGGATCCTCGAGGGCGTGCAGACACTCCTACAGCTCCAAGGATGTGTGGCGAGGCTTTGCAAGATCAATATGAAGCCGCAGCTGTTCAAGGTATGAAGGGCAAGCGTCGCGAGCTCGTTGAAATTCAGCTCAATTCTGAACTGAATTTTCTGAGCAATTGGTAGGTAAGTATGCATTTTCAAGCAAGGCGTTACTGGCACGGCGCATAGTATCTGAAGCATGATGGGATGAATATCAGATACCTATCAATCAAAAGGATCAGTTCTTCTACAAGTCACAAGTGTTTTCCAGCTCTGATGACGTGTCCCACGTGGCTCGTACTCCGTGATTTTGCCTCCACCATGAGAGCCTTTCACTAAGCTGTTTCAATCCTCCGTCTTTCCGCCTTGTCGAAGAACGGAAGAGATTGAGAGAACAGAGAGGGAGGTTTTATACCCACCAACGGCCAAGGAATGCGCTCGTGCTCGACAGCACGTGGGTGTCATATGCTTTCCGTTCTTGAGACATGACCAGAGGAATGCGCGTAAGGACTCGCATCTCGGCATCACACGGAAACCAGCGTGATCGATCACGCGCCCCATGTGCCCCCTCTTCCCCCTCTCCTATAAAACCGTCCGCCTCCTTCGTAGAAACTTCTTCTCCAGGGGGTTCTGGTTCTTTGAAGGATCAACAGTCAAACTTCGACCGTACCATGGTTCTCGTGGTGGGTGATCAAAGAGGGATATCCAAAGTCGTCGTGGCTGGTGGTTGTGGTTTGGTGTAAAATCACCGGAACAAAATGGCAATGGCTGTGTTCGGTTCAAAACGAAGGCAACAAGGCTTGCATGGAGGTGTGTTGTTAATGAACCTATGACGATTAGCACTGTCCCCGGGACGTGGTGGTTCTTTAGCGGACGCAAGAGGAGGCTGCGGAACGTGAAAAGAAGATCGATCCTCGTGATCGCTTTGGGAGGATGGAGAGAAGTAGACTAAAATTGCGGTAGACAGCATCAGCTGCCGAAGAAGGCGATCAGTGAAGGGCAAGCAGACGACGCCAGCACAGCAACCAGCAACCATAATGGAGAAACACCCCTCGTTTTGATCCAGCACCCGGGACTTCTCCATTGGTGAAGGTGTGGAATTCTCGATGTTCGGTTGATAATTCGGCTCGCCGTGCACGTGATATATTGGCACGTGATGTATAGATCTACTGTAGGCACGCTTGTTATAGTAGATCTAACGTATATTAGGCCTGCACGGGCCTCTCCTACAAGTATATAGGCTAGCTAGATTCCTACATAGAATCGACATCTATTGTCCTCCAAATTCTTACCTCACGTGATCGGGAAATATCACAAAGGGTCGGGTACGTTTTGCTTCCTAACTTCCCACATGATGAGTTTCCATTAATCTTTTGATGTTCACTCAAGCTGCCTCTGGAGGACGAAGCTCTGAGATGCAGAGGAGATTTTGTAGCTAGCAGAAGACGTGTGGATGCGTCTGTGCTCGGTGCACGTCGAGGTCAGGTGATTCCAGAGACTAAGTGTTTGTAGTATGAGAAGATTGAATATGGGAAGGTAGAAAACTTTAACGAGAAATCAATTCAGCAGGTGCGTAGTTCATGAAGGTGATAGAGAGATATGTAATTTAAACAAGAATGGAGTAGATAAAAGTGTGTATATACCGTGCCACTCCAACCATCCATCGGCTGAGCTTATTCATAAGAACAATGCCCACAAGCACGCATGTACTCAACCATCCAACTCGCACGTCCACCAACCACAAACAAAGAACCTCATCTCCGCTCCACCCCACCAGCAACCTCGCCCTTCCCCCAGTCCTCTCCTAGCACCCAAATTCCCTCCTTCGCCCTTCCTCCAATCCCGCCCGCGTCTTCAAACCGCCTCCACACGGTACTCACTACCCGACCGCCCGGATTCGGCCGTACCTTCACTGCAACCCCGCAGCCTCTCCGCCCACGCCAGACTTCCATATCGATCAACCCGCCAGACGTATTCCGCAACGTGTCGATGACTGGCGAGCCATCGTCTGACCACACCTGCGAGTATGCGCACTCATCGGGATAATACACCCTTAGCTCCAAATTCTTGAATAGAGGCGGAGGTAGTGGGTGGGTTGAACCAGCGGTCGGTGCAGGCGGGAGCAGCGTGCGAACCAGCGACGCCATAGCGGAGCCCGCGAGGGTCGTCGTCTCAGCGGGATGCGGCTGATGTTGGACCGGATGAGGCGGCGGCGTGGGAAGGCGGACTCGGGGACGGCGGCCTTGCATATTGACCCTGAACGAGGCGGCGGCGGAGGTCGCCAAATCCGCTGCTGAAGTCTGAGTCGAACTGCTATCAGACCCGTTGCTAGTCGCAGACATTGAGGTCGAGGCCGAGGCCGTAGAGCTTATTGACGAACTCGAAGAGTTGATGGATGTTGTTGACTCCTGCGGTTTCAGCGTATAGTACCCGCAAATATGCACGCTACGCGCCTGGCGCAGCAGGCTCGGATACAGCGCTTTCAGCACCAGCAGGCCGTGCGGGTAGGACGCGTATAGGGAGAGCCCTGAGCTTGTGCTCTTCGGCGCGCGGAAGCGGATGTGCTCGGCGACTTCTACGTTGATCTGGCGGCTGGTCTGCAGCAGCGCAAAGGAGGTGGGGTGTGGGAAGCCGCTGTGGCCATTGGAGCCGCAGTCTTGGGGTTTATCGACGGAGATGGGGTTGATAATGGAGAGTAGCGACGCGTCGTAGCAGCTGCGCACGAGCGGGACGTGGTGCGCGGGCAGGCCTGGGATCGCGTTGCGAGGGATGTAATCGGGTGCCCTGGGGTCGTCGCCGGCGACGGGGGCGCTGGTGATGGTGATAGAGTCGGGATCTGAGAGGGCGAAGTCGTAGATGGCGAGGCGGAGCTCGGTGGGGAGTTCCAGCAGGAAAGACCGACTCGTCGCATGGGGATCTGAGGGGGGCGGCATTTTGGGCGAGAGGGAGAGGTTGTGTGAAGTGAGGCGGGGGGTTGGTGCAGTGTTTTGTAGTAATGCTGGACTTGAATGTTGTGGGCGGTGAAAGGTTGGTTGAGTGAACGTCAACAGACCAGGCTTGGCGCTTCCAGCCGAGGGGAATGTGCCTGCCTGCTGCCCGTTCCGCAGGCAGATCCAAGCGGGAACACACCAATAGGGGCCCCGGTTCTGCGGCGTACCTGCGGGCGTGAAACACCAGCCTGAGTGGCCACGGACGGCAGACTCTTGCAGCCAACCTGGCGAGCTGCCGATGGTGGTGCTTCTCACAGCGACACGTTGGAATTGTCGAGGGTCACACGGTGTAAGGCGCTGATAGGCCTCGACATGTGTGCTGCCAAGGACAGTGTCACGAGGATGAAGAGTCATCTGCTTGTTTCGTCCTCGGGCTTTCACTTTGGAGTGGGATGCATTCACTTCGAACTGTTCGAAGTTCCTTTGCCTTCTCCTTTTCGCGTATGGGCTTCCACGACACCTGCCTCATGGACATGGATACTTAGGCCCGCATTATGACTATGTCAGCACACTCGACGGCCAGCGAAGATATGGATTCCTTGACGCTGTCAACGCTATCCCACAGTCCGACCCTTGTAGACAACCAAGGTTCTGACCACGAACAGTCTCACAGTGAAAATGGCGGTAACCTGCGATTCTTTGACAGGCATTCAATTCTCGACGGCATGCGAAAGCTGCTTATGCCTTGTAGCATCCAGAGGCAGCAGCTGTTCGCACTTTCTGGGCCCGGGGCCCTGGCAAAACCCAGATTGCTCTTGAGTTCACGTATCAGCAACTGAAGGACTCTAAAGCGATCATATGGCTCTTGCCCGGCCTGACGAGGTCAAAAGAGAAGGCTTGGTTTCCAGCCCTTTTGGCGCACTTTCCCTCAACTCCTACGTTTCGTTCACTTTCAACCCGGTCATCAACACGAATCGAACGCAGCCAGTACCATGGGTAGTGACGTAGATGCCACAATTTGGCACTTGAAGAACTTGCCTCTTTATGAGACGACCAAACCATACAGCGTCAATCTCCCACTTCCAATGATACTTCCTGGGAAACGCACAAACTAAGTGTCAAGCGCTTGCGCAAATATTCGCTTTCGAGACATGAGAAACCATCAGGACAAGTTGAGTCTGGATACCAATGGCTTCATATATACAACGGAGATGATATCTGCTTTAACGGATGAAGATTTTGGTGACACAGGCAAGGTTTCGGAAGTCTATATAAGCAATGGGGCCGACTACTTGAAGCGCTCTCTCGGAGCCAAAGAGGCTGTGTTTCTAGCACAAAACGTTTGAAATCTAGATCAGAACTCTCAAAGGGTTTCAACTTAAAATGAATACAGATTCGTCGCCGACACGAAAGCTTTCCAGCACTTCCGCGAGCAAACTACAACACGAGCGCCGATCAACCAATTCAGGGTGCCCATGTCGGCGAGTACATATCGAGTCATAGTCTTTTGTCGTGGCTGACGATGCAGATTACCCTACATCTCGAGTTCACGACCTAGTCCGACGTATATTCAAGGAGGAAGCGGGAAATCAGCTGTTGCGTGAGAATCGGATCCAGGTCATTCAGTAAATTCTATGCCAATCCCTTCAAGCGATCAACGAAGCATTAAAACTAACTTTCTAAGCGTTTGGCGGCCCTTAAGAGGCCCTGTCATAGACTGGCCACTCGCTCTCTGCGATTACAGCTCCCTAGACGTTGACACGGATCTCGTCGCGACCGACAATGTCTATCCACACGTTGTTTCTGAGACCTTCAACGTATTCCACAATCCAAAGCACGCTTGGTACTATCTGAGCAATCAGATGCCTCATGAGAGCTTGATCTTCAAAGGCTTCGACAATGCCGAGAAGGTGGCAAAACGTGAGAAAGTGCCCTGTCTAATTGCGGAGCGCACGACACTGACCCTGATATTCAGATTGTCCACACGCAGCTTTCGAGCTGATGAACACTTGGGACCCCGATCAATTCCGCGAAAGTGTTGAGTGCGCGTTCTTGCTTGTGTATTCTCAGTAGTGAGACTTCGCCAGAAATGGTATAGTTAGCAACAAGTCAGAACATGAATAGACACGCATATGCCATGCGTTGAAACGTGCCTCGGCACTATTAGCTCCACGGTAGAGTCAGCATCATCTCCAGGCAACAACACCAGAACCAGAAATCACTTGAAATAGAACATGTATCAAGCACTCGTTTATGAAATTGGGGCTATATCAAGTGAAGAGTGATTTTAGAAACGTTCAAGATTGATAGAAAGTCAGGTGGAACGTGTGGCAGTTACATTTTCAAGCCTTTTCCCAGACTCGAAGCAGTCCCAACCGTCTCCATCCCTTAGGCAAAACCCCTAGATCCAAAAACCCTCGCCTCCAACTCCACTAACCCAAAGACAAAGAAACCAAGGCCCCCAGTCGTCTCCGATACCGCCACAGCAGTTTATCTCAGCGAAAAGTAATGCGCCCTAGCCCTAGCTTCGTCTGCCTTGACCTGGTGATTACTCCGCGAGGTTCCGACTTTGAGTTTCGATGGTGACTGTGATTGGATGGACTGTGGTTGGGATACTATGCTGATCGTCAGTCTTATACTCGCCTGATAGATGACGCGTGTGCTTACCTGGGCGGCCTTTTTCTGTCACCTGGACGCTGAATTTCTCATCCTTGCTTGCGAGAGAGGTGGCGGAAGGATTGTAGGCTGGAGGCCCGCCGGAGGTGCTGTAGCGGGGTGCGGATTCTTGTTGAGTGTTGGATTGGGTTGTGTTGTAGGAAGACATGATGATCGAGTATCGTCGGTGATTTGCTCTGAGGTAATTGAGGATAGTAGTTGCGGTGATTTGATAGGCTTGTGATTTGGAGAAGGTTTTGGATTCGCGTGAAATGTTCGAGTTGAATTGAGAATTTAGGACGATGATTGAAGGCTGATGAACTAGATGGATGCTTCTTACCATAACATCCCTCCTTCCTTATATACACCCCTTCCCGACCATCTCAATCGACTGACTCAAACGTACATATACTCGGAGTGTCTGACTCCTACCCGCCCTAACGCACTCGAAGCAAAACAGCAAAGCTAACCTCATAGACCCGTCTACATACCAGGGCCTTATGACACCATTCCCGTCACTATACGCCAAGAACTAGCTGTTACGCGCGGCAACGTGGCTCGGAGTAAGGAAAATGTCTTGATTTATTACGCCGAGCGTTGGTTTTCGTGGGGATTGGTAAAGGCGGCGATGATAAATCCATTCCGACAACTACTCCGAAGGATTTTATTCCGACAACACCAACCTGAACTGAAATGCAAAGTGCTGCTGAGAGCGTCGGAAGGGCGTCATGGCACGATATCCCGTAGGGTAGGGAGAGTATTAGGGCTGTATTGATGGATTGGAGATCTGATGCGATGGATGAGATGGCTTGAGGGTGTTGTCCGAAGGTGGGCGGGAACTCAGCGAGGCCACCTGATTCCCCTCTCCATCAGCCCAGAAGCTTGCGTTTCATCCACTTTCATAGCTGCTTTCCTTTCCTTTCCCTTTCTTTGCATAATGTGTATCTCCTTCGTCTTATCACCTTCATCGAATATCACGTCGCGAGCAAGTATGAGAGTGCGCTCGCCCTTACGCCTACGCCTATGCCTATTCTACGTGGTATCTAAAATACATGCAGAGAGTCTTGCACTCCACAAACTTCATCAAACCAGCAAATAGAATGTGGAAAGCTTCAGATATCTTCCTCAGCTCAAAAAAATTGAGTGCCTACAGATGAGGTCTCCAATATGCGACCATGAGGGCTATGCATCACGATAGCGATGCGGCACAGTTACACAGCCCTGGGCCAAGTGATGGCACAGTTGTAATTTGCGGTCTTGCTCTTGACGTAAAGTCTGCACCTCTCCCAATCTATTCTTATCATTCTTCTCTTAATGTCCTGCATGTTTCACTTATCGCAAAACCCCTAAATTTGCTGCAACCTTTGCACAAAGAGATCGTAGATCCACTGACCACATGGAGACCACTACCTCAAATCTACACGATAGCATCGTTCTCAGCGAAGCATCCCACTCAAATCCCCGCGAGTCCGCCCTTCTTCAACCCGAAAGTACACAGCACCCTACAGACCTCTCTCTCACGCCGAACCCAATTCAAGGTTTCGACACCGAACCCCAATGGCCCCCCTCCTCTACGGCCGTCGCCAAAGCCGTCGGCCTCTACGTCAAAAGCGGCGGCATCGCCATCCTGCTGCGCCACTTCGCCCTCAGCCGCAAACGCGACATGGCCGCCTTCGGGCTCCCGTAGGCCTACGACAAGCCGATAAAGAGCGCCTTCCTGCTGCCCTGTTTCAACGCGCAGGTGCGTGGCGAGAAGTTCCGCGGCCTGCCCGGAGCGCGTGAAGGTCGCGGGGGTCAGCTGGCGAATGTGCGGAAGTGCGCGCAGTTGTACTGTTCGACGCGGTGGGTTTCGAGCGGCACGGTACCGGATACGCTGGTTGCGCTGGGGAGGGTGGGGAAGGGGTGGGCGGGGTATTGTGGGGATGGGGTTGATGGGATGTTGTTGCTATGTGTCGTATGCGGGCGGAGAGGGAGGACTGGGCTTGTGGTGGTCGGGGCTGTGGTCGTTACTTGTAGTGGGAACAGATGTTCGGTACTAATTTTGACTGCGAGCTTAATTGAAACGAGCTCTGAAACAATTTGATGAGAACCCCAGATGTGCAGGGTGTCAGGAGAACCAAAGTAAAGAATGAGCTCGTTATATGTATTCATCAGAAGCGAAATATGTTATGCACAGGTAAGGAAGGAAAAGAAGGTGTGAAATCTTTTGGAGTAGGAAAGGCAGCCTCGCCCTCTCACCATCCAGCTCCTCTCCAGCAGCTGCAGCCAGCTATCCCATGCGTCCACGAGCAGCTGACTCCAGTCCCATCCCTCACCACTCATCGCTCATTCCTCAGTCGTAGCTTTCAAAGCTTAACCAGACGGGTTGCCGTTGAACGCCAAGTCGTTGACCGTCCCACTCGGGATACCGCTGATCTTGTTCTTGTTCGAAAGCGTCTGAATCCTAGTGCAAAGCGCTTGCGGCGCCCTCTTCCCCTCAAGACCGATGAGGTAAGCCGCAAGACCGACAATATGCGGCGTCGCCATTGAGGTACCAGAGATCGTGTTCGTGCCGCCGTTGTTCCAGGTGCTCAGAATATTGACGCCGGGCGCGAAGATATCGACGACGGATCCGTAGTTGGAGAAAGACGCGATGTTGTCGTTAATATCGGTGGCGCCGACGGTGCATACAGTGGGTTCAGAAGCCGGAGAGTAGTTGATAGCATTGGCGCCGTCGTTTCCAGCGGCAACGCCCAGGAACAGGCCGGCTGTGATGGCGTTGGCGGCGGCGGAGTTGACAGCCGTGGACTTGGAGCCGCCGAGGGACATGTTGGCGACGGAGGTGCCGACGCAGCCGGAGCGGGTCTTTTGGTCGTTGGCGGCGTAGTTGATACCAGCGATGACGCCGGAGTTGGAGCCTTGGGAAGTCGTTAGCAAAGAATGTTTCCGGTGGGAAAGGGGAGGGGGGATGCTTACCACTTCCGCTGGCGTCGAGCACCTTCACGGCGTAGAGCTTAGTCTTCTTAGCCACACCATAGGTCTTGGAGCCGATGGTACCGGCGACGTGAGTGCCGTGGCCGTTGCCGTCAGTGTTAGAGCCGTCGCCGGCGTAGTTGGCGAGGAAAGTCGCACCTGAAGACTGTTAGAATCGCGCTGGGGACTAGTGGTACAGAGAGGTTGGGGATTGGACTTACGGCCCTCGAACTCGGGATGTGAGACGTAGATGCCAGTGTCAATGACATAGGCGCAGGTACCAGCGCCCGCGCTGCTGTCGTAGACGTAGGTTGTGCTGCCCTTAGCGACGTGCGAGATGCGGCCAAGGCCCCAGGGAGCTCCGGTTTCGGAGACATAGGTCTGGTGCTTGACGATGGCGTCCTTCTCAACGTATTCGACCTGGCATTGTATTAGAGACCTATGACAATGCTGGAAAGGAATTCAATGCTTACATCAGGGAGAGCAGCAATAACGTGGACGAGCGCATCAGTTAACGTCCCGGCGAAGCCCTTGTAGCTGCCAAAGCTGTACACGTGATCGGCATCGTCGGTAAGCAGCTGAAGAGCCTCTTCGAGGACGGACTGAGCAGCGCCGTTCTTCAGCTTGACGATGTACTTCCCGGGAATGACAGATCCAGCCCGGGGAGTGATGATTGGTGCTGCCAGAGCAAGCGGCAGAACCGCGAGGAGGAGTGATTCGACGCGCATGATTACTGGGAGCTACCAAGTGATAGACGGAGACGGAGAAGACGAGTGACGACCTGCGAAACCAATGATGTGTTGGACTGAAGACTGGACGAGTTGAGCTGGGTGAAGAAACAATGAGTGGGAAAAAGCTATCTTATATACTTTAATGACCACTAAGTCTTGGTTACTGGTGATGTTGTACGTGCCATAACCAAAGGCCGCTACCTTCCTAGTGTGAGTTGTTGGGAGACACGTCAATCCCATGGCTCCATCCATATCCAAACTACAAGTCATCACGAACTGAAAACAGGATGTGAACCGGGCGGCTAGAAGTGGCAGCATTGGCAAAGGGGAAAACGTGGGTACGGTACTGCCTCACTAGGTAGGTAGAAGGCGACTGATATCCATATTGACGAGATTGCCACCACAATGCCGCCATGGCTGACTGAAAAGGCTGTACTTCTGGAGGACCTCCCGCGCCGTTCCACGCCGGAAGTCTTGGTATTTCTTGGAAAAGAGAGGGGTGGCACCCAGGAACCCACTTGAATAGCAAGGTGGTGCTGCCGTCACACCAAAAGCCTCGCCAGGATAAGCATGTGGTCCGTGGTCTGAAGGTATCAGCCCAAGGAATACAGGAAACATCGTGCTTGGCGGTGGGAGAAATGCCCGCGGACATTCTTAAGGTCTCTTGGCTGCGAAGGGGGCTGTCCTGATATATTAAATTTTTACCATCTAGGAATGTCACGATGTCGATCGAGGCATAGCAGTAGGGGGGTAGTGGGGTCTAAGAAGGGCCAATTAGGTCTCGACTGTATCGCGCATGAAGTAGGCTTGGGGAACGACATTAGACCTCCTGGTTGGTCGAAAGAGTCCTTCGCTTCAATAGTCGATTTCCGATGCGTTAGTTACGGCCAAGTGCCAACGGCTGAGGCAAGCTTCTTCCCGGAGCTTGCTTCATGGGGGTCTGCAGAACGGGGATCCTCTGATCTCAGCATGGTGTACAAGGTAGCTTCGAAGGAGCCTCAGACGAGGCAAACGTTGATACGTAAGCGTAAATGTCTGATAAGGGGCCGCTCCATGCTAGAAAATCCGGGGACCGAGGCGACCCGTTTAGATGGATGCCTCGCTAGCGTGTCGTGCCTCATCGTGAGCAGTCAACCGGGAGGCCAAACCCAATTGCTAGAGGCTAAATCGAATCAGGTCATGGTGGGACACGGCTACTGGCAATGGTACCCCCTGGAGTTATTGCAGCCTTTGTCGATTGAGGTGACAGGAAGGTTAGCATAAAGGGCGAACAAAGAATACTCTTTCAAGGGAAGACCTTGGACAGGCCGTTGAGTGCCCGGAGAACGCATTTGCCCGACTGGCCTCGCCGGAGGACCCTGGCATGGTGGTAGTCAGTAGTGTGGCCATGAAGTTCAGTGTCACAGTCTCGTGAGATGTCGCTATCGAAGGTCGTCTGCTCCTGCCGCTTTGGGCCTAGCAGTATATCTTGGCGGCCGGCATTCAACTCCAGCGCGGCGATGCCTGGGGCTGTAATTCGCCATTGCGCGATCATGTACCTGTTGATCTATCAGTGACAGCTACGTGTATAGAGCCTAGGGGAAATGCAGAGGGGGCTTCCAGAGTACCAGACCTCCCCGAAACGGGGCAATGGCCACTTGCCGCCACAACACCGAGCACGCCATGAGGGGGGACGACAGAGTACAACACGATACGGTTTGACGCCGGCACACCCTCAACAAGAAGAACAGGGTTACTCCTCACATCACCCGCTCCTAGGGTGCGCCACCAGCGGGAAGGGCGGAGCTGTGGCTGCGAGGGAAACTTGCGCCTCGTATCCCCAGACTTTACCCCCGGCCGGAGAGGCCGCTGTGTGGTTCGATTGAGGCGCAGGCTAGAACTACTTGCTTCGCACGGTAGAGCAGCCTTACCGGTAGTCTGAGTCTTGGGAGGGTCCTGTGGCACGGCGTGCGGTTCAATCCGGATCCACGAGACAAGCCTTAACAGCGGGCACTTGATGAGCACAGAGGATACAGAGCAGCCTTCCGATTTGAGCCCGGCTGGGGCACGCGCCTCAGGGATCGTAAGCTTGGCGGGCGACCCAGGAGTCGTCAAGCGGTGGTGGTGTTGATGAGGCGTGACTCCGTGATGTCGGTAGATCCGTCTTGATTGTCATCGACGTCCTCGCCGTTCGTCGACTTGGCGACCGAAGAAGGCAGGCGGTGTTGAAATAGAGTTGCACTTATCGGCAAGCGGGTACAGCCGAACGACCCACGGTCAATATCGCTGCGAGCGCTACTAGCTGCAGCATGCACACTCGGCTTCTAGAAAGATGTTGTTCATCCCGCGCTGGTTGAGTTGCACTAAAGAGCTGTACGTATCGCGCAGTCACTGATCTGTGTGGTTGTTTGCCTTCGTGGAGGACCAGCTGAACAGCTCGCTATACAGATCCCGAATGATCCCACTGACGTCTTTCCGTGGCCCATTTCCTCTCACGGAGGTGCAATATGGGACACTGACTGGGCTAGGATCATGTATTGCTTTGGAATGCCTCTAGATCATGTCAGTACAATCCCCCAGATTTCATACTGACCTTCCGTTCATCTTCGTAATACCCGCAGAATGACTCAATCGAGAGATCTAGGCTATAGTCAAAGACCTAAGCACTGCATCGGTCCAAAGCAGAGCATCTCCGGCAAGAAGCCTCCATACAAGCCTTAAATAATGACGATGAGCGCATCCGGACATATGACAAGCACGTTATAGGGGGGGCTGGATTAGCAGTAAACTGATGCCGTAGGATCACAATCCATGGGGAGAAGTGCAACGGCCTCATGGTCACGTCGTATTGCGATTGTGCGGAAGTGTTCAGGCGACTGTCATGTCGGGCCGAGATATATTGCTTTGAGCGGGATGCTTCCCGCCAATGGTAATGCTACCCCTCTTCTGTGTTCAGTACTCTTTCAATGGGCAGCCTTCAGAGGCTGCCTGCGTCTTCTCCTTAACCACCTGCCACGTCAGTTTCATCAATTGTTCGGACAATGCCTCGTCGCGAGCTAACTCGCTCCCGGGCTCCACTATGGCCGGCGGACAAATGTACTGCCCACTCTTCTTGGTGGTCGTGGCGGCAAACATGGTGCTCACGCAACCCTCGAACTGGCTCTTCTTGAATGGCGCCATTCCGTACTTCATAGCGTAGCCGCCGAGTGGATATGGCTCGAAGATATGTTCGCTGCTCTGTCTGGTCTCTACAACACCCGGATGGGTAGCGTTTGCAAGGATTCCGGGATGGGCCGAGGTGAGATGGCGTGTCAGGTATGTTGCGTACAGGATGGAGCAGAGTTTGCTTCTGCCGTACTGAGCCATTGCTCCGTAGTCTTTGTTCAGTTCTTCGACGGACTCGAACTTGGTCTCTTTCGGCGCGCTCTCGTGAGTATTAGATGCCAGATTCACGATCCGGACGGTATTGCCCTGCTCTGCCGTTTTCTTCAACAAAGGCAGGAGATGGCTCGTCAGCACCACATGTCCGATGTGGTTCTGGGCCATGTGCTGGTCTATTCCGTTCTTTGCTAGCTGGGCCGTCATGATACCCCTGGCAGCGTTGTTGATGAGGATGTCAAGTCTGTCGGTTTCCTTCGCAATCTGGAAGGCCACGTCGCCGGTTTTCGACCAGTCGCTGAGATCGCACTGCATCCATCGAACCTTCTCGGCAGCCGTGTCACCCAGCTCAGACCGAATGGCGGAGATTGCGTCGTCTACGATATCCTCGGACAAGGACAAAATAAAGAGTTTGGAGACATTCTTGCTGAGGAGCGTATGTGTACAGCCATACCCAATGCCTTCCGAGCCGCCGGTCACAATAGCGACCTTTCCAGAGAGATCGGGGACGTCTTCGAGGGAGAATTTGCCCGATTCAGGTGCCAGAGAATGAGCTCCGGTCAGGTTCTCTGCGAGGGTATTCTTGATGGTTTGCATGCTGTAGGATCTTATACGGATTGAGGAAGAAAATGATCTAAAGGTGCGATACGTGATAGAGGTCCGAAATGTGATAAAGGAGGACATAATAAGGGATAAATAGGCCCCCGCAACTGCGGCGGGCAGTGTATATGTCCGTCATGATACGGTCATGGCCAAGCGCGTCTGGCTCTGGCGTATAATGGCGATGGTGATGTCAGCAGTTGGTGGTTGAAAGTCCATGACGATGGAAGATTGAGTCGCGAAGAAATCTCGACTACGTTTAAAGCGGCCTAGCGCCACCGATCTTCTGCGTCCCAACTCGCCACCTCGCCACGCTCGCGTTGTCCCGTGTTTTGCCCCGCAGCCCACCACTCGTTTGCAACAACACAAAAAAACACAACACACCAATTACATCGACCATATGGCTCACGGCGGGCCTCAGCGTCAAGATGCCGAGAGGAGCGAGAGGAAGTAAGGGGAACGTCGTGGCACAGAGAGCAAGAAGAGCTGCCAGAAAACGCGCAGCAGAGGCTCAGCTAGTACTTGCTGCTAGAGAGTGCGTCGCACGTGCAGCTATACCCCCACCCTCGACGCCAGAAGTGGTGTCAGTGGTATAGTATATGTCTTTATATATACATATCTGATCCCTCTAGTAGAAATCCGGCCAATCCAGCTGGTCATCAGGCCCGAAAACCGCCAAGGAAGACTCCCCAGATTTTTATAACTCGAGACCGTGCGCCAAAATCGCGAAGCGTGTACTCACTCAGAGAACTGGCTATAGAAGCAGGTCAAAAGCGAACGGCAGAGCAAGCGCATCTAGAGCTTGCGAATAGAGAAAAGCGCCGAAGGGACCTTGCAGCCACCTCATCCTCTGGACAAGCAGTGCAGTCAGTGATATAGTTCACCTCTTTGCCCATATACGACTAATATCTCTAAATAGAAACCTTACTCCAAACCCAGCTGTTCAGGTACAGGCTAAGTCATCAGAGCAAGACCGCTTGGGAATTGTAGACCGAGAACAACACGATCGGAGACCGATAGTTGCACCCCCACGTAGAGATTCAGCTGTGGATCCAGTTCAAAAAGAGACGACGAACCAAGGGCAGCTAGGATCCGCAGCCAGCGGGCAAGCGGCCGACATAGCACTACTTCTAAACGTAGCAGTTGAGTAAGTTTAGAGCAATGCTTTCTTCCGCGCGCTCCGCTAACTTCCTCTGCTAGGAGTCCCGCAAGAACTCTGGGCAGGCGTATATCGAATATCCAGTTGAACTCTCGTTCTGAGAACATGACTGGGGGATCTTTCCTTCCACAGCAAGTTGCGGACGGTGATGCGGCAAAACTAGATAAAGACATTCTAGCCGCAGCTATCTTCGCTCCCGCCCCACCGTATGTTTCTTCACCTTTGTTTCTATTTGCTCTATATTCACAACTCTCTAGCTTCGATAAGGATGAGGAAGGTCTACAAGACAGAGATGATTTCCTACGAGACGCTATCGCGAATGTAGAAGTCCATCACGAGAAAGTTCGGTACGTCACCTTCATCATTTTCCATGTTTCGTAGCCGGCAATGTCCCACTGACACCGCTTCCTACCCAGGGCCAATATCGTAGCGTCGTGGTCCACACAAAATCAGGACGTAGAACGCCAGCTCGAGAGCGTCCTTAACGCTACGTGCCAACCTGAGGACGACGAAAAGGCTGCACGCATCGCGACCATGCTAGCAAACATCAGCACACCATACAAAGTTGAAGACGGCTCGTTAGTCGCTCCTCTGCTCCCAAACTCATCTATGGACACAATGAAGTTGCTGGAGGAATACACTAAAAGGTCACAGAAGCACGTTGATACTTATCGGCGAGCTCTGGATAGGAGAGGTAGCCTTAGAGGAAGCGGTGGTGTTGATTCTAGAAGGACCAGCCACGGAGATATCGTTATGGGCGAGTCACCAATCTCTAGGCCGGGAAGTACCATCCCTATTCCCACTGTACGAGGAGGTATGAACGCTGCAGCAATCAACGGAGGCGATACTGTGATGGGCGGGACGGACGAAGCTTTGGCGCCACCTCCGCCACCACCCGCTCTTAAGGACACGTACCACCACGATGCTTCGAGGGATCCCAGATTGATGAAATGAATGACCTCGCTGGTTCTCCCTATGCGGGATTGTGGAACTTGCAAAGTTGAAAAGCAGCTCTCTGCCATGGTCACGTAACGCCCAAATCTTGGAAACATTGGAGATTTGGCTCTGTCGGCGTCGCTTCATCATCCAGTCATAGTTTGGATTACCTGGGGATTAGGTTTGGTGTTAATGCTTACTGGACTCACTACAGTCCCAATTGTACAATATATGGCACCAAGCAAGTGTATAATATTCAAAGGTCTTCTGGCTTCATCCAACGTGAGGACCAATACTGGGATTAATATGATGCGGATGATATTGGCTACTAACCTTGCACTTTGAATTGATTACTAATTTATTCTCTGCGCTCTTCTTACCTTTCCTTTCCATCTTCTCTAATAATTAAGTTTTTGGTGTTTTTAATGCACTTACCTTTAACACCCTCATTCACCACCACCAACCAATCATCTACGACTTCTCACCAAAGAACTGTATTGGCTTCCTCTTGCGTGTCGATTTCCGTGTCGGCTCTATTACTTTCTTTACACCCTCACCCTCGTCCCTTTTCCCGCGTTTGGGCGCCGGCACTTCCGTCTCTTCTGGTGGGCCGTCGTCTCGTTTCCGTTTTTGGGAGGCGGAAGACTGTGACAATTCCTGCATTGGGACAGGCTGCTCAGTTTCCTTACCTTCGTTCTCCTCAGCCGGCGCCCCATCTTTCCGGGATTGCTCCAGCGTCTCCACGGTCATCGCTTTCGCGGGTTCTTTACCCTTACCCCCCTCTTGTAGTGGTTGCTTTGGTGTGTCCGAGCCAGAGTCGTCGGATTCGGCCTCATCGGAGGATATGTTTATAGGCGAATTTGTTGTAGGTGTCTTCTTGGGCGTTCTTTTCACGGGTTTCTTGCTATTCTCTACCTTGATTGGTGGCTGCTGAGATGTGTTCGAGCCGGACTTGTCAGAGTCGGAGGATATAAGTATAGGTGAGTTTGCTACTGGTGTCTCCGGTCTTTCAGATCTTGAGAAGCGGAACCAGACTGTTTCGCAAAGGTGACAGTCCTCACCCCGATACGGCGCTTGTGGACAGGGATGCGAGCTAAGGCTTCTTTCAACGGGGCTGCGGAGTTTAGGTTGACTTGGTTCTGGGGTTTCTGCACGTCATAGGTACAGGCCCAACATCATACGAATCCACATTCTCACTATCACTCGGCGCCCACTCATACGCCTGCAGCCCCCACACCGGCAGCGAGTGATTCTGCGCCGTCTCAAAGCTGTCAATAATATACCCACACATAAACCTCTCCCAAGACCTCCCGTCTTCCTTCTCCACATCATTAACCGAATACCGGATCTTCGCCCCCGGAAGCGAATTCCGCAGCGTGCTCCCCGCGAACCGGACGTCGAACACCGCGTGGCAGATCTCGTGAACCAGACACCACGCCAGCATAAAGCAGAAGCGCTGGTAGAACGCTTCGCTCATGTCGTCTCGTTGCGTTTCCGTGTACTCGAAAAATGACCGCTTGATCCGGATAAGCAACGTTTCTGGGATCTGCGCTAGCCGCGCCTCGCGCGCTTCATTGCGGATGATCGGGAGCGGGTCGCCTGGTTTGCGGAGATGGTCGTCGACATATACGAGCAGGGTGTTGGCGTAGTCGTAGCCCATAGCGTCGAGCTCGGCTGGCTGAAATATGATCTATTTGTCGAGCCGGCGGAGGAAGTCGATCGTGTCTGGGCGCCTGCAGGGGTTAGCTTTGAGGTCGACGGGGACGAGGTGGAGCTTCTTGGACGCAGCTGATACGGCGGGGTTGGCGGCGTAGCGTGTTATCCAGCCTTCCACCTCTCTGTGGTTGAGAAGGTTGAGGAAGCGGTAGGTTTTGCCCTCGTACTCGACTTCGTCTCGGCTTGAGTCGTCGAAGACGGCGAGGTTGGGCTCTGAGGGGGTGTTAGCAGAAGTTGCATTTTCAGTTGGGGCAGCATTTGCAGAAACCTCGCCTGAGGTAGCATTGCCTCTGTCACCATCACTGCCATCGCTTCCAGCTGCAGCATCAGAGGCTGTTCTATTAAAGTCATGCTTCAGATACATCGCCTCATCCGAGTAAGCCGCCGTTACAAACCAATCCATGATACTCGGCGTAGTGAGAAATCTCGTGACCAACTGCAACGCTGGCTCTATATTAGTATACGCTGCCGTCCGAGATGTTCAGAAAGCGGTTCCGAGCTACGATCGGGTGTATGTTTCCATTTAGATCGCTTGCGGCGAGTGCAGGAGTAGTTTCGATGATGGAACGCTTTCTAAGATCGGCTATGCTCCACTTGGGTTCATTGCGGTCATCTATGGTTCTCTTTAGGATAGGCCGGGAAAGCGGCTGTAGTTGAGGGGCCAGCCGAGATTGTTGCGGGGGCTTTAGTCGTAGCCGTCACTGGCTTCTTCCCCTTCCCTTTAGCCATTGGCTTCGGTTCTCAAAGATTAAATTCGATCAAACTTACGGTAGATAGGAGTAACAATGTCGAAAGACTTTTCTAAATAGCGATAGAACCATATAACGAAGTTGTAAAGATTGACGGTACGGAGAGAGCACTAAACATTTCTAGCACCTAGCAGTCTGGACAATGCATGGAAGAAGCACACGAGTCAAATACATAGCAGTGTTACGAAGCAAGACAAAGGAACAAAGGAGGAATAACGATACAATAACAATATAGTACTGGATCTTCAAGATTACATACCATGAGATGTGACAATTGCAGTTGCTTTACCTACCTTTATACTTCTTTGTATCATGTATGGGAACAACCGTTTGTCCTCTGTATCGGTTGCTTCTTTGCTGTACTTGAAGCATCTTCACACTTACTCCGTGTCTAGCGGTGTAGAAAGCTCAGATGACGTCGAGTCCCCATCCTTTATAGTCTTAGAACTAGCTTTCTGTGGAGTTGATATATTTGATGCTTTCGTATCATCCTTCAACGCTTTCGGCGCAGGGTTCGTAAATTCAGAGACCGTAGGACGCTCCGGAGACCCTGCTGTTGAACTCTTAGTTTTGTTGTTTTGAAGTCGTATTGATTTCCTGGGGTTGAAAGCCTCTTGCTTGCTCTTCACGGGTTCGCCGGTTCTCTGTCGTTTTGTTGGTTTGCGATCATCGCATTGGGTGCGCTTCCTAATGAAGGCTGGAGAGTTCTCGCCTTCGCGCTTACGTTTTCTCGTTATGCGAGTTGCATCCTCTCCTGTCTCGTCTTGAGAACTTCGATCTCGTTCGGCAGGGTCGATGGTCTGAGCCGTGCTGGTCTGTCCTACCGTTTCAGGCAGATCAGGTGGAGGAAGAAGCTCATATGTGAATAGCGTCTTGGAACGACGCTTACGTGTCGCTCTAGCCTGTAGCGTTGATGTCAAATCTAACTTCGGAATCTCATTAGTCCTCTCAATCTCAACCCAAGTACTTTCCTGGAAGAATTGGTTAATGTAAGCCATCGGGATAGCAGAGACGACATGGGGTACATTTCCTAGACCCTCCGCCCAGTTGTGCGCGCTGAGCCCATAATTCGGAACAACATCGTCACGGTCTTCTGTGCCCGGAAAACATGCATTCAAATACCCGAACGTGGACATTTCCCAAGCATTGCCTTCTTCAGCCTGCGGGTCGCCGACGCTGTGAAATATGTGCTCCTTATCTTCGAAATCCTTACCGATTCTCGACCCAGAGAAGCGGAGGAAATTGATAGCGTGCGACATCTCGTGTCCCAGAGTAACGGCGAGCTGAAAGCATGCTCTCCGATACAGCGCTGGATCCTTGTCGATGCCTGGCTTTTTGAAGTAAGCAAGGATAGAGCTGTTGATTTTGGTCACTGCTTTGTTTGGAATATCCGCGAACAACTTTGGACGGTAGCCTTCGACTTCGTCCTTTTTCGCGCCACTGAGATCTGTGGCAGCGAACCGTTTTGTATGTCCAATTGGCGCGGGCCGGAATCTGACGTACCTGGCTAGCTTTATTAAATACTCTCTTGTTCGCTCTGTGACCTCTGGCGTAATCTCGACGGGGTCAAGGTAAAGTCTTCGCATACTCTCCTCTTCTTGCTTGTCAAAGTGATCCGTGAGCCACTTGTTTAATGACGCTGCGTTGAGGAAGGTCTCACCCATGACCTTTTTCTTTCGTTGTATCTTCTCGTATTTTGCTGTCTCGGTAAGCATAGTTGTAACGTAAGATTCCACTATAGCCTGTGAGGTTAGAAATTTCGAAAAAAGCTGCAGTGCGGGTTTCATATTTTTGTATACTTCAGGCGGTATCCCATCAAAACAGTCTTGCCGGGCTAAAGGGTGTAACTCCTCGGGAAGATCAATATCGTCGACTTCCTCCATGGATATGATACCGTAGGAATCAAGCCGCTCCAATGCAAGACATGCCGTTAGGTCCTCTACTGGCGCTTCGAGAGACGTTCGTGGAGAGGTTCGTGGAGCCATTCCGCGATCATGTTGGTGAGTAACTAGAGTTCAAGTAATGTTGAGCAAACTCAGTGTGTGTGATAGAAGATAAAACAGAAAACTCGGAGCGCGATGACTTTTGCTACTCGGTTGGATGGCAAACAAAGGAAAAGGCTCTGAAAATGCAGGAGAAAGCCAGTGGGTATACAAGAAAACAAAGGGTTTGACTTCTCAGACAAAGCCTTTGTGATGAGTGAGTTGTTCATGGGCGGCAAAACTGTGGGACCTCGTGAAAGCATCTGATGGCTTTCCAAAAATCGCTCCACGAACGGCATGCTGCTTGCGTGTTTGTGTCGTCTTACATTGACTCGGTCGTAGTGATCTAGCGTCGGTAGGATGGCAACCTCGCAGGGACCTGCAGCTGGTTATCGAGATGGCTAAGGATCTGCAACGCATAATTATAGGATAGATAATTGGGAGGGGGCATTTGACAAGATTAAAGATCAGTAGAGTAATGTCCTTTGTGAAACATGTAGTAAGTTGTCCAGGACCATTTCGTACGGCTTGAATCCAAAATTTAAGGGAACGTATCATATAATCAGGAGGAAACCCCACGTCTCGAGCACCCGCGATCTGGTGAAACCAACGTAATGGTGTCTGCTCTGTAGCCTCATCACAGAACTCATCTTGTCAAGCGTCGAAAGAGCCATGTTGAAATCTCCGATGGTCTTCCTGCTCTGGAAGGATAGCTCGTAATAATCTCTCACCATCGAACTTGTAGCGATCCTATGCGCAGTCACGCAATAGTAAGCCTAAAGTGCGAGTTGCCGACATGCTTCAAGCCGAAGCCCTAGTCATTCGTGATGATCCGACGTTGAACCCGGATGATCTGGAGGTAGATCTGCATGCTGAAGAAGGCAAGGAACAGGTAGTAAGCTTAATTAGATGATTTCATGTAATTCTGAGGATTGATCCTGAAGGGTAAGGTAGATGGGCTAGACGAAGGTTGCATACGAAGGCTGAATGCGTGGTGGAGGGATTGGTCTTTATGGAAGTAGCAGATCGCTCTTTCTGGAGGGCAGCAGGTCGCCCTTTCGAATTCGGAAATAGGTCATTCGGCTTCAGTAAAGGAAGCAATAGAGTATATCCCTCCTCATAATCAATGCGAAAAGCTCTAGCTTAATAATGGGAAGGGGAACTCATTGTGATAGGGGAAGAGAAGGGGATGAGGGTTCGGAGATAATTTCGGAGCCGCAGTGCCCGGAGAAGCCGACCGACTTAGCTGCAGTGGCTGGCCGTGTGGCTGGCTCAGTCGCCATCCCGAATCCCGGCTCGGACCGTTCCTCTTCTCTCAGTCAAACTCCACCTTAACCTCAACGTTTCATGTATATGTCAAGAAGTTCAATACAGACCTGGAGTGCCTGTCGGCTAACGCGCCAGTCCTTTCATTCCCTCATTGCTGCCGCCATTATCTCATGACTTGCAGGCCAATGCTCGTTGTCAGCATATATTACCCACCAAGTCACAAGTTGGACAGACCGTTGACTGCGACTAAGAGTTTACGTCTGAGTTTTCATGCCTCGCACCGATAGGTTATTAAGATAGATGGGGACAGCGCTAGTATAGGCGATGGAAGACATTCTGAGCAGGTTACTTTGGACCAGTCTCAATGATTTGGGTGAGCTTGGATTGACCGGTGAAAATCTGCAAAGTCGGTTAAGGAGTACCCCAAGAAAGCTGCGCGGCATTCAAGGACGGTCGGTTGAACGTGTTTGTATTTTCACTTTATTTACCAACATCTGTACATCATCCTATCGTTGAACATTTCAAGATTTCCCCGACTTAGCACACACAAAGCACACTAATACCACGCCCTTCAACAGCACTGTTTCCCCCAAATTCAAGCATTCCTCATCCGCATAACATCCTCTTCTCTAACCCTCATTTACGCTCTCAGCTGCTGCCGCCTTTGTGCACAACACACACAGCACACCCTACTTCGACTCATCCTCCCCATAAGGCCTCCTCTGCACCACTCTTCCCACAACATCATGCTCCGCATCCCACGCCGCCAGCTCCGCATTCGGCACCCTTACCAGCTGATGCGTCGTCGCCCCAGACTCATCCAACACCAGCACCGTCTGCCTAATCTCATACTTCCCGAACTTGGGCAACACGTGGATCCACACGTAGTAATAGACCCCGCAGAAAATGATACTATAACCACTGTTAGCAAATCGCTCACAAAAATTCTAGTCTTCCATCTGTTTGAGTTCGGGGGGTAGGGTCCTGGGGCAAAAACGTACATTCCAATCCCAACCACGCAATACGTGGCATACCAGAAGCTCACGTCGCCGCCGGTCGCGCCGCCGGCGGGCGGGTACCACGGCATGATGACCGAGTACAGGTTCGCGGCGATGCAGAAGTAGACGGCGACGTCCCAGGCGCGGTACTCGGCCTTGGGCAGGCCGACGTGCTTGCGGCGCCAGCGGTAGACGAGCAGGCCGACAGCGAGGGTGAGTTGGAAGAAGGAGCTAGGGTAGATTGATAGGTCGATGACTGCGAGGGCGGGGTGTTAGCGGAAAATGAGGGTCATGAGGGGTGGGATGGGGACGCACCGAAATTGAACGCATCACCAGCCGGCGGCGCGATAATCATCAGAATCGTGAGTGCCCATTTCAGGAAATACGGCCCCAGCGGTGTTCCGAAAGGTTTCGTGGAGGTCCAGAATTTGGTGAAGGGGAGGACGCCTTGTCTGCTCGTAGTTAGGTTCAACCTCCACGCCTCGACGTTTCTAGCGGGAAAAGGGCACAACTGACCTCCCACACTCCCTGATAACCCGACTCTGCCCAACCAACACGGCCAACAGGTTTCCAAACGCACTCAGCATGATCAGGAAATTTAGCGCCTTTGCCGCCCCGCTAGTGCCAAATACATTCTCGAAGAACACGCTCGCGGCGACAGCCTTGGACTTGAGGATCTCTTCTTTCGTGGCGGCGGAGAAATAGGCGATGTTTGCTAGCATATAGAGAATTGTGGCCACGAGGAGGGAGAGGGGGGCGGACCATCTCAAGGTCTTGATGGGATTCTAAGGAGAGTTAGTGGAGGAGCTTAACGAGGAGAGGATGGAGATAGAGGTGGAGATACAAACCTTGACTTCGTTGACGAGGTTGAAGGCGTTGTCGTACCCGGCATAGGCGAAAATGACTTTGTAGATGGCGTTTGTAGCGCCGTAGGCCGTTGCGTCAGAGGAACCTTCGAAGGCGTTGCGGAAGTTGACCGTGGGATCTTTGACTCTGGTGTGGCCGCCGAGGACGACTAGGCCGGTTATGCCAATGCTAAAGGGGTTTAGATGAGAAATACCAAAGGTAATTGTTTGGGGAGGTTTACAAGATCAGAGTCAGGAGCTTGATGAATCCGATAGCGTTGGACAGCCTGAGAGACCAGCGGGTGTTGAAAATTAGAACTGCATGTCAAGAGTTAACTCTGCTGAGGCCGAGGGGTAGGGTTTGGGGTACTTACAAAAGACGGCAACCGTGTACCCAGCAACAGCAACGCCTTTCTGCTCCCACGGACTCGGTGTATGTCCGGCCAACTTGAACAAGTACTGCGCCAGGACTATGCCGCACAAATTAGCTGCAGAACATGTACTAGAACCAAGTGGCTTACCAATAGCATTACTGCTACTGAAAGAAAGGATAACAGTCTGCACCGCAAACACAGTCGGGAAGAAATATTTCGGGCGCGGATATGCCTGCTCGAGATACGCGACTTCGGCCCCCGATCGGCTGGGGAAGTACGACGCGAATTCCAGATACACAGTGAGCGAGCTTGCTGCGATCAGGAAGCCGATTACCCAGAAGAAGAGGGCAAGGCCGACGGAGCCAGTGCCCCTCAAGATGGTTGATGCTATAAGCTATTATTCCAGTGAACTAGCATGTTGCAGTGGAGAGGCAGCCTACGCGTGGAGAAGATACCTGTCCCAATAATCTTGCTCAGATTCAAGAACAGAATAGTAACCCATCCAACGGAGTATCCGAGTGGTGACTTGACTTCGACCGGAGCACCACTGGCTTCCTGGTATGTAGGCAACGAGGTGTTCCCGCCCTCCTCGACGGTATACTTGAGATTGCCGTCGCCGACGACGGCAGTGTTGTCGTAAGCGCCACCATTGACTTGCCTATCGGACTCGGCCGCATTCTTCTCGTAGTCGAATTGAGACATTGTAGACAAAGAGGAGGCTCAGAAAGAGCACGATGATCTTGTCTCGTCCTAGGTCTGGGGAGTGGAACCAGAAGACGGGAGAACCGTTCAACTTGTACTCTGCTCATCCTTGCCCACATGCGAGATAAACGCTACAGGGCCCCGTTGAGGCGATCACAGCGATGCTCATAGCTCTGTGTGCTTGCGTCATGGATGAACAGGCGCTTGTGGCGAGGTTTTGTTGGTTATGGGCACCTCCACGCCGAGTTGCAGGACCGCAGGATCGCAGGATCGCAGGATCGCAGCGTCGAATCAAGCCCCGATGTGCTCCCGTGGCGTAACCTTGGGGATGGTACACTCCCGCAGCGTAACCCTGTGAATGGCAGTATACTCCCGCTGCGGCAGAGCTAGCAGAGACCCGTGAGACAGGTAATCGGCAAGTCGCGTTACCACAGTTGAAGCGTCTTACATCTGCGCAAGGAGCTTCACGCATTGCTCCAGCGGGGACGTCCCTTGATCCTTCGCGCTGTCCGTAGCATTGGAAATCCAATCGTGAACATGGGTGGTCGCCTCCGGCCATCTTCCTCCAAATGGCGCAACACATCGAATTTTTCTCGTGTTGTCGTGCTATGCCCGGGTTATTCGGCCGGCAGAGAGCTTCCCACCTGCTTCATTCGTAAGTGCATAGTTACGGTTTTGGTTGTTGCTCCCATTGCATGCTTGCAGGGGTTGATGAGGTTGGATGTCGAAATATTGACGATCGTTCCTGGTGCGTGGGGGCATCCCCGCAACAAAGTCTTTATATACGGCGATCCCGACGGCACCTATATCATTCTAGACCGCGGTAGCTTTTTTCATATAGTAAGACATAAAACCTTCCCGACACGCCAGTTAGTATCTACGCGTCCTTGCGGGTGATCGTATGAAGGGAAAGGCGATTGCATGTCTGGAGCCCAAAGCAAGATGAGTATGATTAAAGGCCGGATAGAAACATTGGTTCGATGCCTTTATGTGGTCAAAAGTTGCTGTTAGTGACTGCATGGTTTTTCCTGAAAGATCTTTTTAGCTCATTGCTGCGCATATTTCTCGTCTTTCATGAGGCATCTGTAGCATTATCATTATATCGAAATCAATCTTCTGATAATCAATCGATCACCCGAAGAACTGATTCTTGGGGCGCGGGAGTCCGAGATGTTCCCTCAAAGTCGTTCCTTCATAGTCTTTACGGAAAATACCACGCCGTTGCAACTCAGGTATGAGTCGTTCAGCGACGTCGTCCAAACCCTGGGGCAAAAATGGGAAGGTAACTGTGAAACCATCGGCTGCGTCCTCGGCCAGCCACTTCTCCAATTCTTCGGCGACCGTCTCAGGCGTGCCTACGAATGCAAGCCCCGAATAGCCACCCAAGCGTTGCGCAAGTTGCCGAACGGTCAGCTTGTCCTTCTCGGCCAGTTGAATAACACCAAGACGGCTGGTCTTGCTCGAATTAGTCTCCGGAATGTCCGCTGGCAATGGCTTGTCCGGATCAAATCCAGTCGCGTCACTCCCGAGCGCGATGGACAACGAAGCAATAGCACTATCGTAATGGACAAAGGTGTCGAGCTTGAGCCGCTTGTTCTTGGCGTCCTCGACCGTATCACCGATGACGATAAGAGCCGCCGGTAGAATCTTGAGATGGTTGGGATCGCGCCCAGCGGCCTTCGTTCGTCCCTTGATGTCTGCGTACAACGCCTTTGCAGCATCCAAGTCTCGTGGCGAGCAGAATACAACTTCGGCCGTTTCGGCGGCCAGCTGTCTCCCAGGCTCCGACTGTCCAGCCTGGACAATCACGGGCCAACCCTGAACGGGTCGCGCGATGTTCAGCGGGCCCTTTACCTTCAACTCGTCGCCCTTGTGATTTAGCACGTGCAGCTTCTCCGGGTCAAAATAGACACCGCTTTCTCGGTCACGGATGAAGGCGTCATCCGCAAAGCTGTCCCATAAGCCGGTGACCACGTCGTAAAATTCTCGTGCTCGCTTGTAGCGCTCACTGTGCTCTACGTGCTCGTCGAGGCCGAAGTTTTTCGCGGACTCCGGATTACCCGTCGTGACGATGTTCCAGGCCGCACGACCATCGCTGAGATGATCCAGCGACGCGAAACGCCGTGCGATATGATATGGCTCATCATAAGTCGTCGAAGCGGTCGCCGCCAGCCCAATCTTGTCCGTCACCTGCGATAGTGCCGAGAGCAGCGTGAACGGTTCAAAGGACGTCACGGTATGGCTTCGCTTCAGCGCTTCAACGGGCATGTTGAGCACCGCCAGGTGGTCCGCCATGAAGAAAGCATCGAATTTGGCCGCTTCTAGCTTTTGGATGAAGGACGTAATGTGCTTGAGGTTGAAATTGGCGTCCGGGTAGGAGCCTGGATATCGCCATGCGCCGGTATGTAAGCTGACTGGTCGCATAAACGCCGTGAGATGCAGTTGCTTTGGTTCCGACATGGCCTTTCTGATAACCCAAGACTTCAGAAGCTAATATGCTGCAATGGATGAGGTAAATCTGGAGAAAATCTGGGCGAGTTTGTTTGAGATGTTAGTTCAGTGAGATGAGTTGATATAGATGAGATTTAGATGCCTGTATAGTGATAATTACAAATGCGATGGAGCCCGGGAGCTCCAGCGGGGTTCGGCGGATGATGTGCGATCACGACATTGATAGGTGTATTAGTGATCCTATTGGACCCGGGCTACTTGATAGGAGAGCAGCGGAGCAGCATAATAAAAAAGCTAAAGCGACGTCCTTGAGGCTCTTGGTGCAGGATGAACATGAATAAAGTTGATGGAAGAATCTCCTGGAGTTCTGACGTTGGATGAGGTACAGTTGCATCATGCTTAGCAAGTTGTTCACGTGATCTACCGAGGATGTAAGTGACACAAGTTAGGTTCCACTTGAGTCAATTGGGGAGAACAGTTACTATAGAAAATATTCAAGCATGCAGGACCATCAAGATGTCCAAGTTTGGAGACTTGCACGTGATCAGCTACGACTACAATGTCTGTAGTTTCACACCTCTCGCCTCTAGCACCTTCGTCCCTAGCCCCCTAAACATAAGAAGTGACGCTTGATATATGCTCATTCATCGCCACTGTCTTCAGGCTATCCTCTTCGTCATCGTCGTTGTCCCCGTCGTCCTCTTGGCTTTCCACTATGATTGCAAAATTTACAAGAACGCGACACACTGATATCTTCCACTGAGCCTGTGTTATCGTCTTCCTCCATCTCTCCATTTTTCGGTGTAGCTTGAGCATCAGACCTCAGCAAATCAAAGTCCTTGCCAAGAAAAGCTTGAAGTCTCTCAGGCAGTACATCTGGAAGGCGCCTAGTAAGTAGGATTTCATACTTCCTCGGTCCTTGTAGAACTTACATGTTTTCACATCCCTTAAAACCCTTTCCGTCTCATCTAAGATTTCAGGGTTAACAACGAAGAGCTCGGAAATGCGCCGTCGCCAATAGCCCCAATGAATATTTCGAGGGCTTTGGGCGATTCTGTCCGATGAACTCTTCCATCAGGTTGTCTAACAAATGGGCATTTTTCTGCTCTCGGTCGTCAGATCTGATCTTTTGAAGCCTCTCTGGATCATGATTTCCTATGACATAACCCTCGTAGACCCGATACTTCCAAGGCTCCTTGTACTCGGAATCTGTAACGAAACGTTTTTCGTCCAGGTTGACTTTCCTGAGACTACAACAAGTATGCGTCATGTCGAGGGCCTCAAAAGTAAGAAGCCGCACCAGGTCAGGTGATAGTTTGGACAGCTCGTCGTCTTCTATGCTGATAATATCGAAGTCATGATGGAAAAGAAGATGACGCCAGTTTTTCGTTTCACCCAATCCCCACCACCAAGACTTCGTCAGTCCGCCATGGTCTGCATGCGCATTCCAGAGTGATTTGAGGGGCGAACAACCCTTTCATTTAGGGTTACACCAACAAGCACAATTGTCTCTGACCGTAAGAAATAATAGTTCTCTCATTATCTTCCAGGATAGTGGCATCTCGAAGGCTGGGCGTCCACGACTTCGACAGTCTGCCCAATCTAAAGTATTCAAAGCAGATTCTGTATCAGCACATAATGAGACTACAGCAGGTGCTTGATAGCATGCGCAATACCAACCACTCGAAATGGCCAAAAGCAAAACTAGACGATGGCTCCACGAAGGCCAAAGTAGCGGCGGACGGCCTCGAGCAGGACTTCAAACACCTTTTGGCCCAAGCAGAGGAGCTCCACATACGCTGTAATGACGCGATCACCTTACTTCTGAGTAGCGTCTCTATCTCAGAGTCGAAGAAGGCGATCGAGCAGGCGAAACGCGTCGGGAAACTGACGTTTCTGGCTTTCATCTTCGTTCCCCTCTCCTTTACAACCTCCTTCTTCGGTATGAATGTCAAGGAGTTCAGCAAAGCAACGAGCTTATGGTGGTGGGCGGTGTTCACGGTCACAGTGTTTATTCTGACTATTACCCTCTTCTTCTTGAATATAGCTAGACCTTTTCAAGCTATATACAAGTATTGCAAAAGGCGGCTTCTATTGTAATACTCGGGTGGATCTGTCATTATCCTCGCAAACGCTGTCTTCCCTCAGACTAGTATATCGTGCATGTCACTGCGGGGAATCCGATTGCCACCTCGCTCACTTTCATTTGAAACGACGGGAGGCGCGTGGGAGATGAGTACCTAGATCGGATCATCGGACTTTCCTAGAGGGTGATCAGGCGAAAATTCTCGCCGCCCTGCTTTGAGTAAGTGTACGGAGCCACGGTTAGAAAGGTGACAGCCAAATCTAGGTTTACCGAATCCTGAGTGATCGCCTGAATTTGGAATATCACGCCCTTTGATTTTCTACCGAGAGTTCATAAGAAGCGCACTCGAAGCCATGACGGTGCTGCACTCATGAAGATGGGGTGCTCGAATTTAGAAACGACGAATGAAAGCTTGTAGAAGGAAGAATCTACGGCGTGGCCCCAACTTTTGGAAGGCGGCGTGAACAGTCTTTCTCTTCCGTGAGCCGCTCATGCATGGTGCCCATTTCAGCCTCGTCTTACCCGTCCCATCAGGACTTGCACGCTCGATTTGCCTGAAGTATGCCGTGTCTTTGCTGTCAGCCTTGTAGGCGTTCAAGTGGGTTTTTTGACTGGTAGATGGCGAATCAATAAACGTTCAATTGCGCGGCCAGCATGGTAGCAAACTGCCCGAGAAGTCAAACCCACTTTGAACCCGAATACTCGAAAACGTCAGTCACTTCTCAAGAGCCGCATAGTTGCTATTTTCTGGGTGTCTTAGCATAGCCGTTGTTCACTAAGGCTGTTCTAGCATCAAAATAGCCCACATTAAGGCGTGATAGAACCTCAGCTGTGTAGTCAGAGTGGTCTGAGCAAAAGAAATTGTCCCCACTGGATAGCCATACCATGTTCTCCAGCGCTGGAGTATCTTCATCACTACCCATGTGCCATGATTCACGACCTCTTTCCCCGCACTCGCTAATGCATGTGGGTTGGCCAGACTCTCGCCCCATCTGCACAACCCTTGGCTTCAAAAGTCCTCCTATGTTCTGCAACCCGAGAATCTCACGGGCGATCTGCACTCGCTACATGCATGACGGGAACTCCCGCAGTTCTAGCTTCAGCTGAAGGAGCTGAAAGGCTTGAGCTCTCTAAAATCCACGCGACCATGCGGAGAGCATGGCTATAAGGAATCGAGACCTTTCTAGATACAGCCTTCTCGTAAACCTCGCCGATGTTGTTCACAACCCGTGAGGCCTCCTTGTTAAAACCCATAGCCGAGCTGTGGAATGGTGTTGATAGTGACTGGCTCAAGATAAGCTTCAATGCTTGGCCAAACCTTGGAAGCTTATGGTGGAGCTGAAGCCCCCAGCAACTGCTCCCCGCCTTTACTTGCACCTTTTTTCGTTGTCCCTCACTGGCTGCTTCGTGCGCCAGCTGAATGGTCGAGGATGATTCCGAGACCGCGACTCACAGTCACACGACCTCCTGCCGTATTCTCTCGGCGCGGGAATTGGAAGCGAGCTGAATAGAACATCTCCCCATCATGCAAACGAGCGAGCTTTCGGACCAATTGCTGGGCTTGGAGATTCCTCCTACCACGCTGACTTGCTAGATGGGGCCGATCTCAGCTCTGTGTAGTAGGTATACACCTAAGCAACCGAGCGAACGCCTGCAGACAGCACCTCAAAATCAGTGGACGTGATACAGGTTCTCGAATGGCGGGCTTGACTTACGTGGCTGACTGAGCGGCGTTACCGTTATGCCATCCCAAGGTCTTACGACTATATGCGGCAGTCTCTCAGGAAGAAGCAGTGAGGGTGCGTACGGCAGGTGCGTCAGGTATATAGCCCCACACTCTTCCGCCGCCCTCTCTTCTCTCTCCATCATCATCCTTCATCATTTCCTCCGTATCTCTCCTATTATCTCTGCTCTCTTCTCTGGCGCGATACATACGCTCTGCCTCCTTGCTAGCTGGCCGAGCCGTAATTGTTTTCTCTTTCGAAGGAGACTCCGATAAACCGCCATCATCCACATACCAGCTAAGCTCCAACGATACGATAATCACAATGACCCCCCAACAGACACCAGCCAACAACACAGGGACTGCTTCGAGCGCCACACAGGATTTGCTCAGCAGCTTCTACAACATCGACAACCTAGTCACTGTCAACATCACTCTCCCAGACGCAACTTGGCAAACCATAAAGAACGCCAGACCGCGCGGCGAGTTTGGCTATATCGGACCGCCGGGGCGCTATGACTGGTACCAAGCCACCTCTGTCACAATATCCGGCACCAAGGTTGCGACACAAGGCACCACCTTTTCCAACGTGGGCATCATCAAGAAGTCATTTGCCGGATCTTTCAGCACTACGAAGCCATCGCTTCGCCTTGACTTTACGAAGTACGACGACAACGAGACGGCCATCGAAGCGTTGATTGGGACGAAAAGCCTGATCTTGAACAACTCGATCCAGGATCCTGCGTACATCCGGCAGCCGCTTGGCTATGAGCTTTTCCGACAAGCAGGCGTGCCCAACTTTCGCTGCAACTTCGCAAAGGTCATTGTCAATGGCACCAACATGGGGGTATACGTGAACCTCGAGCCTTTGAAGAAGCGCTTCATGGAGAAGCAATTCGCGGGCAACGACAAGGGAAATGCCTATGAGATCGAGCTTGATCAGGATCTCAACGCTGCCACGCTTGACTCGGGCCATATGAGCTTCGAAGGCTTCTCGAAGTACGATGACAAGAAGGACGTCAGACTCGTTTCCGGGCAGATTGTATCTGGAGGCTTGGCCGCTGCGCAGCAAGTCGTAGACCTCGATGCGTTCATTCGGTTCTTCGCGATGGAGTCGCTGTTGAAGCACTGGGATGGTTACACGCAACAGACCAATAACACGTACGTCTACAACGACAAGAAGGCTGTGGCCAACCCAACCGTCGCCGATGTTAAGCTCAAGTTCATTCCCTCGGGTATCGATCAGATCATGCAAGAGGACCGGCCGTTTCGTCTTGGGAACAAGGCGGTGCTTGCTCAGCTTGTCAACTCTGATGCCACCGCCAAGGCGAAGTTGTTTACGCAAATCCGCGCGTATGCAAACACGATCTTCAGCACGACTAATCAAGACACTGTCTTGAAACCACTCGTAGACCGTATTGTGGCTGTTCTGATGAGCGCGGGGGCCAATTCCACTGATGTTGCGGGACCCATCGACGTTGTTAGGAAGCAACTCAAGCTGGTGAGGGGAGGGGCCTTTCAACTCATTGGAGAGAAGGAGACGTAGTGTGCAGACGAGGAATCGAAGTCGGGAGGAATTCTTGTGGACGAAGAAGGTGCTTGAGACGAGCTGACGTGCTGGTCGAAGATTGAGGTCGTTCTTTCTTGCTTAATAAACTAGCACGTGACGTACTGATGAACTGATGAATCCACATTTCCATTTCCTCTTCAGCTCTAGTTGAGCGTATTCGGCTGAAGCCAACGTCGAGCTTAGTAGCATTCCTCTTTGTATGATTACACTGGGTGCTTCACGTGATTTATGGTGGAGCTGGTCCATCCCGTCTAAATCCAGTGAGGCGCAGCTCGGGGAGTACAAAACACCAACAAACTCCCTTGCTCAACCGTCAGCCTTTAGGAATGGTAAACCTAGACACCAACTCGATGGCCTCACACTCCAGGCTATTTTGATCAGATCGGAGCCTTGTCCCATCTGTTGCTCCGTTGCCTTCTCCTCTATCTCCAAGTCGCACCACCAATGGCTGCGACGTGTTGCGACACGCAGCGGGGTGCTTGCAGACCACTCACGTCTGATCCCGCCCCTCCTGGAAACGTAGCCGTCACTCAAGATTCTGGCCGGTGCCTTTCGTGTAACAGCCTTCGCTCATCGAAGGAAGGGGCGGGGCCGGCGGGTTCCAACATGTAGCCTTCTATCTATAACTGTCGTGTTTCCTCTCCTGCAACCCTCCTTCAGATCCTTTCCATCCTCTTCAACCAAAGCCGGGTACTCTGAAGCGTACTGCCTATACTCCTTCTATAATAACAACCTCTCTCCACCTCCAAATCCCACCCCGCTCACAGCTCCTAAATCCATCATGATGAAATCCCTCACCCTCCTCGCCCTCGCCGCCTGCGCCCTCGCATCTCCCCTCCCTCCACCCGCCCAAATCCCCTTCCACGCGCACCCCTCACCAACCGTCCAACTCGCCCTCTATGACTCCAAAAACGCCTACCTCGGCTGCGCAACCTCCATCGGCCAATGGACCACCGACGCGTCCCAATGCCGCTCCTTCGCCTCCACCTCCACCTCCACGTCCCCTACCAGCGCCGGCGAATCCTGCGGTACGACGCTGCTCTCCGCCGAAGCGGGCGACGGCACCTTCTGGAACTGTGCCGACAACGGCGCAACCGCGTTCTGGGTCTCCAACGCGACCGAGGCGGCGGCGGGGAGGAAGGTTAGCGATGAGGCGGTGCATGTGTGGGATTTCTATCGCGATCGGGATGATGCGCCGCATTGGACGCCCGGGCCATGGTGCTGTGTGCATACCCCTTGAGTTCTGAGCGGATGAGGAAGAGACGTTAAAAGTTTGGGAGCGTGATGACGCGCGGCAGGCCTGAGGGCGCGAGGAGACCAAGCACCCAATACGCCATCCGGAGCCTAGAAAAGTGCTTGGCGGTGAAGCATATGGGAAAGCTTCGCATCGCCAAGCTGAAACGGAAGTCTGAAGCATGCAGAGTTGGGAGGATGGATCTGAAACTGGGAGTTGAAACAGGCAAGCGCCGGCGTCACGTGACTCGGCTATCAGGTCCCTGAAAATCTCTCGCATACGCTATGCATAGTCCTGGGGAAGCAGTCCTCGTACGGATCAAGAACAGTCAGCCGAGAGACTGCGTAGATCAAGAACCGGCGCTTAGCGCGATGGTCTCCAGCGGCGCTTGGCCGAAGGCCACCATTGAGTCCGGGGAGCTTCAGAGGGTGATTATGGAGTCGACCATATGATTTGCTATCTTGAATATGTATCAGGTGTTGCAAAATGGTAGTGTGAAATACTATGGAAAATTTCAAGGTGCTATTATCTCTCCGATCTAAACTTCCATCTTCATCACACAAGGAGTTGAGAAATTCCGACGTGCCTAACATAACCCACTGCGCGTGACTTTCTTCCCTCTAGTTCTTGTTCTCGCATACCTAGAAGCAGCTCTACCATCTCTAAGCTGTATACCCTCAAAAGGGATCGACACTGAATCCAAGACTCACTCCGTTTCTGTATACCATAAACCGCACGATAGGAACGACCATGGGGCGACCACTAAAATCGCTCTGCTCAGGATGCCGCCGCCTCTAGAGTTTTAGGAAATAGGGTTTGTTAAGGATGCAAAGAATTCTGAGATGTAAGGCGGTTGGGATAGTGTGGGGGCAGATAGATAGTGGGAACCTGCAGATGGGCAAGCGATGGTCCGGCTCCACTCGAGTATCGTCTCCTCAACCCGCTAGCCTTGTATGGTTGCTTCGACTTCACCTCCACCTTACCTGCAACTCCACAGTTTCCCTTCCGAGTAGCCTCACCACCCCTTCACGCGCAGGCTTTGTCGAGCTACCTACTCGAGAGTATATACGCTCAGCCTTGCGGCCTTCAATGAGAGCCTGGAATCAAACTTCCAATAGTGTGCCTAGCAACTGAATGAGCGAGCAGAAGCAGTCGACACGCGATCGCTGCTTGGCACTTGCCAAGCTCTGCATGCTACAGAAATCACAGACCGCAATGCCACCAAAGCTCAAGCCTCGATGTCTGCACCTGACGTGTTCGCTATTGATTTCAGCCTTTCCCCATGGAACGCTGGCGGCCTTGGCTAACCCCTCATTGCAATTCTCCCAGTTTCTCCACTCATCTGTACTGCACTTCTCGCGCCCCAGCACCAGATGCTTGCGTAGGTTGCTCTTCACGTGCCTTTTTTTTGAATTGCGAATGTGATGCAATATGCACTGAATACCTTGCACAAGAGATGGCCCATTAGCTACGCTTTGAGGCTTCTCTGCTAACTATAGGCCTTTGAGAGTCTGAGTGCGGCTTTACTTGCACCTTCCCCGGAAATGTCCTGTCAAGTGAGGTCAACTCAGCACGATAACGCAGATATGATGAGCTAGACTTACCGGACTCTCCGACCCGAAAAGTCTTGAACACAGTTGAGGACATCGCTCCACAAGTTCCAGCATGAGAGTAGTGTCGTCAAAGCAGTAAGAGAGCGTGTTGTTCAAACTCTTGCACCAGTGATTGAATTTATCATACTCGCAAGAACCATTGTAGGTGGAATTTGTGCCAAGTCCGGAATCTGCTCGATCTATGAGCAGAGTCATGCCGCAAGATCGAGGCTGAATTGTGGCTTGTGGGGTCCAAAGACGAGGGGCTGGAACGTAGAAAGGCTATCGGCGAAGAGCTGAAACCTTGGAAGAGCCTTGGGTCAGATCAACACTAAGAGGGCAAAGGGTAGCAAGACTTGAAGCTCCCCACCCCCCCCCCCCAGTCGGGCGCTTCAAAGATATCCAGCCCGACATGCTGCATGAACACATCTTCCAATCAAATCATGCATGAACTTGGCGTGCCTCACGAACCTTAGCAGGACTAGTCCCCGCAGCCTCTTACCTTTCCATAACCACCCCAAGACCGAACAATTTCCTCATTCAAAGATGGAGCACCTCAATCTCCCGAACAACGCGGACGACCGAATCAAGATCCCATACTATCGTCCCGTAGGAGGAGTCTCCTACTCATACGACGGCCTCGATTTCAGGACCTATCCCCAGCGCTGCGGCTGGGACCTCTCCGCCTGGTCATCCATAACCGCAGAAACGAATGACTTCTCCTTCTCATCATGGCTAGCCACGTCCAACCCCACCCAGTCGCTTGAAAACCTTGGTTCTTTCCTGCAAACCTGGTTATTCTTTGGTCTCTTATCGCACGTGACAAGGCTCGATATCAAGACTGCAGATTTCCTGCGGCGAGATGAGTATGGAGACGTATCCATAACCACCGCAGCGTTGCAGAAGTATCAAGAAAGCTGGGTAGCGCATCCGAACGAGGAGAAGAGCGAGGACGAGGAGAGGGACGATTTGGAAAGGATGAGGTCTTTACGGGATGCGGAAATTATCCTGCGCCAGATCGAGAACGTGATCTCGGCAGCGTTGGAGGGAACATTGGAGGATCCGGTGGTGTGGAAGCCCGAGAGTGTGCTTCTCAGATTGAGAGCTAGGGGCTCGGTCGAGTTGACACCGGAGGAGCGCGGGCGTAGTAAGACTATGTCTGCGGTGCTCGCAGACATCCACTTCTCGTGCTGTCTTCTCGTTGCCGCGCTGAGCGTTACAAGTGGCGAGGTTTCTTGGCAATACACAGGTGTTTTTCCGTTGCTGCATCTACGGATGATCGAGGACGGGTGGTGTCCGTTCTACATCCGGCGAGCGTGGCACAACTTGGCGATCGAGAATCAAGTCCGCGCTTTCGCGCTGGGGAGCATACGCTGTAAACTGGACCACTCAGATTGCCATCGGAGCAAATGCGTGCAGGATCAGGCAGGTAGCGCTCACGAGCCTGCTCATTGCGTGGTGGGTTGCAAGTGTGCTCTGATTCAACCTCCGATAGAAGAAATGATTGAGATATTGAAAAATGGGGACATCCCGGTTTTGTTATTGAGCGAGGACGAAGATGATGACACCGTCTCTGAGATGAGAGTACAAGTACATGCAGCAAAAGATTTTCCTTACATTGCTATATCCCATGTGTGGGCCGATGGCTTGGGGAATCCAAAAGAGAACGCGATACCGGAGTGCCAGGCAAGACGGCTACATCAGCATCTGCTTTCATACATGAGAGAAAGAGAAGAGTCAGAAGACACGTTGTACTTTGCCGAGACCTTGCCGTTCTGGCTTGACACACTTTGCATTCCTATAGCACCGGAGTATAAGGAGCTACGCAATGCGTCCATAGTGCAAATGCACCAGATTTACCGAGACGCGGAGGCTACTCTGATCTTGGATCAAGATCTGGAGAATTTACCTCCTTCGGAGGCGAACGTCAACGTCCTCGTGCGGCTAGCAATGTCTGCCTGGTAATGTCAATTGATCCATGAGAAAGACACATAGCTAACTGTACCCCAAATAGGAGCACAAGGCTCTGGACTTACCAAGAGGGTGCCACAGCGAGAGGCCTGTACATTGCAGGAGATGGCCGGTCCATCCACATCGACATGCTCGTAGACCTATACATGAACAAGCAGCGTTTGCAACGCGAGTTCAAAGATCTCCTACAGATATTCCGCTTCCGGATTGCCGAGAACCGCATGCTGGCGCGGTCGAACGACTATGATGATTGGCAAGCTCAATGCATGCTTCGCGCACTTTTCCAAAGAACGACCAGTCGAGGCGACGACGAAGCGATTTGCATAGGCTCATTCCTAGCATTTGACATTTCTACAGTTCTCGAGGCCGAGCCAGGAGATAGAATGAAAGCCCTCCTATCGCTTTTCCCGACAATTCCACCTAACATCATCTTTGGGTTCGGGGAGCGCATCGCCGAAAAAGGTTTTCGCTGGGCCCCAAAGACATTTCTCTACCCAGATGGTCTAGCCTTCTACCCTTTACCTCCAGAGATGTTACGAGACTATGCGAGTGTACAGGGACCTGGATCCTCCTCCGTGGAGAATGGAGCAATAGATTTCGCCACCTACAAACGAGCAGAATCTTACCTTCACCCTGAAGGTCTTGGACTGGTGACGTTCTTTCCGAGTATCAGGCTTATAGGAGGTGAGAGCCTCACCCAGCACTTTGTTCTCCGTATCGAAAGCACGATGGACTCCTTCTCTGTACGCTTGGTTGATGGCCTAACCCCGAGTACTACGTTCAATCAACTATCTATCCTGCATCCAGGGGAGATAGTTGACATGGCCTCGTCGTGGGGATTGCGAGGCATTTTACTCGAACAGACTAGGAAAAGGATTGAAGGTCGGACTATGGCTCGATATATAGGTAAGGTCACGAGCACACCGCTTGTTGACAATGAAATCGGGGGATATGGAACACTAATCGTAACAGGGATACCAGTGGAAGCGGAATGGTGGTTGATAGATTGAAGTAGCTTCGCAATGTAATATCTTGCGTCGGATGATTTGCTATTGTTGCAAAGACTTCCGGTGGGTCATGGTGCTCACACCCCACTGATGAAGTCCAACAACCCAAAAAGCAGCTTGTTATCAACACTACATCCATCATGCTGATTCTGTGCCTGCCGAAAGCCTTCGTACAGCCAGGTCCGTATCGTGTGTACATCCAACCCTCGGTAATTTTGCTGCGATATGAGGACGTAAGCTTGCGTACACGGCGTGGTAGATTCGCGACCCTCTGCGGGGAAAGAAACGCAAGAGGGCGAATTGGAGGACATGAGGGCGAGGAGTTCGGGGTCTTCGGTGTATCGAATGGCTAGAGATGGGCTTGAAGCGGAATTTGATGAAGGGGGTGGAAAGGCGCATTGTGGGTATTGGAGTTGACATTGTTGGAGACATGGTTCAGGGACTACGGGTAGTTGTTGATGGAAGACGGCGTCTGGTTTATTGAATCCAGCCCCCTCCGAGGTGAAGCCCAAGTCCTTAGATGTGTTGATATCATGCCCCAAAGCCACGAATCCAGTCTCGACCCTCAAACTCCCACCCCTCCACTTCTCCAGCTCTGCCTTCGACGCATCCAACTCTTTTTTCATCTCTTCCATCACCCTATTCGCATCTTCCAAGCTCTTCTCCAACGACGCAATATAATCTCGCCGCCTCTCGCGATGCCTCCTCTGATTATTCCGGACGCGTGTAAGAGTATGGGCAGGGGATACAGTGGTACGTTTCGCGGCAGGACGGCCAATAGGGGAGGAGGACGTTTCTGGAGTCCTAGTCTTTGGAGGCATGTTGGCTGTATCCGTTGGCCCACAATTGATGTGTAGGTTAAGGTGAAGGTTGATGGGCGTTGGCGACCTCGAAATGAGGGTGCCAAGACCGGTGACATATCAACTACCCAGTGCCTAGGTATCAACTGCACCCCTCCTCGTGAGCAACGCGAACACGCATTGGCTGATTCAAAATCACATCACGTATTGTAGATTATAGAACTTGCGTTATTGGTGACATATCGATCGTAGCTGAGCTTTAAGACTGCTTATCATCGATCATGCACGCAGCAGTGACATATCGCTATTCTAGAGAGATATATATATATCTTGAATCCAATCTGAGTAGCTCCTTCTTCCTCAACCCTCATAGAATTTCAATTTCAAAATTCTCCATTCTGCATCACCTCAATCGACTCGCTCATCTCTCTTAATCCCACTCTCATATCTCCTACCGAATTCCCCAATCTCCTCCCCAAACTTGATTCCCAAGTTTCATTCCCAAACCTCATCCCAACCACCCCAATGGATCCCCAAACCATCCACACTGCCGTCCAATCCCGCTACGGCACCGCCGCCCTCTCCCCCACCTCCCCCAACAGCACCTCCATCGCCACCGCCTTCGGCTACACCCCCGCCGAACTCTCCTCCATCCCCAGCGACGCCAACCTCGGCCTCTCGTGCGGCAACCCGCTCGCCCTCGCCGCCCTCTCCCCTGGCGAGACCGTCATCGATCTCGGCAGCGGCGCCGGCTTCGACGTCTTCCTCGCTGCCAAACGTGTGGGTCCCACAGGCCGGGCAATCGGAGTCGACATGAACGAAGTCCGTCTCTTCCTCTCTAATCCTCTTCTCGCTTTCTCCACAGGGGATTATGCTCGTCTGATCAAGTTTAGGCTATGCTCGCCCGCGCCAACCGCAACCTCTCCACCCTCTCCCCCACTCCCACCAACATCTCCTTCATCCACGCCAACATCACAGCCATCCCCCTAGATAAAGGCATCGCAGACTGCATCATCAGCAACTGCGTCATCAACCTCGTGCCCACTCCCTTCAAACCCCTCGTCTTCGCCGAAATCCACAGGTTGCTGAAACCCGGTGGGCGCGTCGCGGTGTCAGATATCCTGGCGCGCAAGCCGCTGCGGCAGGAGCTGAAGGAGAGCATGGCGCTGTATGTGGGGTGTGTTGCGGGCGCGGAGGAGGTAGGGGCGTACGAGGGGTGGTTGAGGGGGGTGGGGTTTGACGGTATGTGTTGGTGAAATGAGGTGGACTCATTTGCTGATGAAAGCGTAGATGTGTTGATTGTGGATGCGTGGAACGATCTTAATTTGTATAAATCGAGTGCTGAGAAGGAGAAAGGGGGGTGCTGTGTGGAGGGGGAAAGTGCGGGAACGGAGAAGGAAGAATGTTGTGGGAGCTGCTGTGGGAACGGGAGTGGGGAGGAGAAAGGAAAAAAGTGCTGTGATATAGCTGATTGCTGCCATAAGAAAGAATGTTGTGATTTGGTGCGTTGCGGAGGTGGGGAGAAGAAGGATTCATGCCGTGGAAGTGGGGATGATGACGGGGTTTTGAAGGAGATGGCTGTGAATCACGACTTTAACGAATGGGCTGGTAAGTCATTTTATACGAAGGACGAGCTTTCGGCTGTGCATTTCGCTAATGAAAGAGGTTGTAGGGTCATTCAAGATCTATGCTGTGAAGCCGTAGGCCGAGCACTAATGATCTCGTCAGTATACACGAGAGGGATTAGAACTTACAGGCAAGTTCATGAACATTTTCGATGTGCGGGGATTCAAAGTAATAACAAAATCAAATATGGAACTGTCTTGTTTGAAACCTTATCACCTGTGAATCTGAATTCGCCTCATGAACCAGGCCAAAAGCTCTATGTTCGCTATGCTACAGGACTGCGATCTCATTCCGACTAATTCGTCGGTAATCTGCCCACGACCTCAGCCATCTCTTCATCCGTGTAGATCCTGAAGCCCTTCGCCTTGGTAACGCTCGCTAGCTGCACGTTCTTCGAGTCCAGCTTCTCTTCCATAACCTGCTTCAGTGTCTTGAGCACCAGCACCTCGGCCTCCTCGAGCGAGAGGGACTTGTGGAACTCGTTCTGGAGCTCGGCCTGAGCACCTTCGGAGCCAGATCCTATAGCCTTGGCATCGTAGCGGTAGAATGTGCCGGAGGGTTCCGCGTGATATCTAGATTCCAGTCAGCCAACTCCTCCATTTTTCTCTTGTCCATATATTATAGCGCCAAAACCTACAGCGATGGTCCATCCTCATCGTATCCCGCAATAAGCAACGCCACGCCGAAAGGTCTACTCATGATGCTCTCCTCACCCTCAGCGCCCTCACCAAACCGCAGCGCTAGATCGCATATCGCCTGCGTGCAGCTCTCAACCCGCAGCGGCTCGTTGTAGTGGAAGGCGTGGTTCTGCGACTCGACGCGGGCGTGCTCGACCATGGAGCGAGCGTCGGCCTGCAGCCCGGACATGGCGCACCCGATGTGGCTGTCGATCTCGACAATCTTTTCGACGGAGGAGGTTTCGAGGAGAGTGGAGGTTACGCGCTTTTCGACGCCGAGGATCACACCCTCGCCGGTTGCGACCTGAGGTTTGTGAGCTCGTGTGAGGAGGTTGGATTGGTATTGGCGTTGGGATGTAAGGGTAAGCTTACACCTATTGCTGTGGAGCCAAGTTTGATGGCTTCGAGGGAGTATTCGACTTGGAAGAGGCGGCCTTCGGGGGAGAAGGTGCTAGGCAATTGTGAGCGGAGATGGGGAGGGTCTGAGGTTCCACTGACTTGATGCCACGATCTAGAGTTTATGTGATTAGCGAGCATTCTGTGTGTATGAAGCGTAGTCTGCTTACCATATTCGCTCCGAGCTATGAACTACCAGGCGTCAGCGCACATAGATAGAGATTTGGAGTTTGATGTACCATGATGCCTGTCTATTCACGAAATGGTGGACTGCTTGAAGATGTCGAAGGCCCAGCAGGAGAGGATGAAGGGGAGTCGACAAGTCAGAGAGGTGAAGCAGTTGGATGGGTGGTGTCTTTGGAGCAGCAAGCGGGATGGTGAGCGGTGTTGTCGTCGAGCTTGAGCTCCAAGGCAACATGAGCCGCGTTGTGGAGTTTCCCTTGGGAATGGCCCAAGCTCGGATGCCAAGAAACTATGCACGTGACGAGGGCCGCGACAGCTTAGATGTTGCTTCGATTCCACTTCAGTTCAGAAGAGACTAAGGTGAAAAGCCCACGAGCTAGCTTGAATGACAAGTTACTATGAATAGATCGGTGAAGTGGAGTAGAGTCATGAAGCGCTATCCAAGTGCCAGGGCCCTCTCTCCTAACCACAAAACTTCCTCTCTCAACCACCATCAGATCTGCGATTCGAGGCGCGCAACTAACATCATTGTGCCAGTCTCGCCATCCAATGGCCGTAGAGATTGTATCTAACTCTTTTCACTGCCTGCCAGCGAATCTTGTGCCCCAAATGGTCCCCTGGTCAAACCTCAAATCCTATCCATAGCTAGAACGGTAGCTAGCAGAACAATGCACAGTCTACCCTCCAAACGAGAAGACTGCACGGAGGCGGGCATACCAGCTGTCTCGGTTTCGAAGGTTCAGTCATGAAAGTACTGTCTTCTTCTACACAAGGGGATTTCTACGATGATACGAAGTAGGTAACACAGACTAATGCAAGGCACGAGGCTGGCTGCTAACAAACAAATTTCTCGCCCAGCCCATCGACACCTCTCCAGAACACCATCGTTCTTCTCTAGATAACACCCTGTGGCCCAACAACAACGGACACCATGTCCGCTCCCTTCGACCGCTTACCAGCGGATCTTGTGCCCCAGATATTCCAGTATGTGCCCGAGCAAGATCGTCATAGCCTTACACTTGTCTGCAAATCGCTTCAAGCTGAGGCCACCAAGCTTCTCTATTGCGATGTCAGCTTCCAGCTCCACTCGTATATGGGCTCCCCAATCACATTCCGCCTGTTGGCCCTCTTTCTTCGCACGATCATGGATCGTCCCTACCTTGCCGAGCTTATCAAAGTCCTGATAGCATATGGGCCAATATTTCTATTGCTCCCGAGTAAGGTAAATAGCCAGGGGAGAATACGAGTCCGCCAAATCCTGTCGTCAAAGCAACTGCGCACTCTCAGTGATCACCTCATTAGCATCACAAACCCTGACAGAGGGTTTATGGATACTTACGATATTGTTGACGTCATGCTCGCATTCATCGTCTCCAAAGCCGTGAATGTGAACTATCTCACTCTATCTAGGAACTTCATGAACTTTTACACGCCAGAGACTGTTGGACGTTTGATCGAATTGCCAGTTGGGACAAGGCTTGCGTTTCAAAAACTCCAGAAGGTTCACCTTGGCATCAGACATACCACTGCTCCTACCAATCGTCCAATGTTGGAGCTCATGAACCCACTGTTCAGTCTACCCAACTTCGCGTATCTTACTTTGTCAGGTCATGCTATATATTGGACGGATTACTTCAGTCACATACATTCGCGAACATCGTCATCACTCACCGAGCTCGTTCTCGCTTATGGCTCATCAATATCACCGGAGACGGTCTGCCAAGTCCTGCAGTTCACGTCGAATCTCAAAAAGTTGACCTACGATACCTACCGAGACGAGCTGAAAGGCAAGATGCTTCAACTCAATCAGGCGCTTTTGCTAGTTCGTAAGACTCTCGAAAGTTTCAAGCTCATGGCATCGGCTTGCTCGTTCTCTGAAGGCGTCGTAAGTGGTTCCGGGCCTTCTTTGAGTAGCATGGAAATGCTTATGCATGTGGAACTTCCCCTGTTCATTGCCCTTGGACGTCATGAGCTCTCTACGGCGACGCTTGAGCACACCCTTCCAGCAAGCCTCCGCTCCTTGACATTGGGACGCGGCGGAATGTCAGGTCCTGACAACAATCCGGCACACCCATTCAAACAAACATACTACATCGACGAGATTCTTAGGTTCCTTGAAAACAAGGACACGAGCGCCCTATCTTTAGAGTGTCGTACTCTCAAATTGTGCCCCTGCCAGGAGTTTAAGCATTGCCCGAGGGAGTCACCACTTTCTATTCCTGATCGATCGACACTTGAACTACTCCACAAGACGGCAAGTGAACAAGGTGTCGTCTTCCAGATTGAAATCACGGGCTATGGCGTCCCCGCTGATTGGAAGGAAATCATCCCCAACGATATGCCGTACTTAATGATTAAGTCTAGCATCGGCGACCCTAATGACCCATATTATTAGATCAAGCTTTCACAAAAAGCGCCAATGCTTGACCGGTATTCGCACCCAACATTCGTTTCAACTAAAGCAATGCCGTCCTTTAGGATTCTACAACACCGGCTACTTGTCGAACCCATACAACTGTCTTTTCTTCTGTATCAAGCCGAATAGTCGCCAATTAAAAACCCACTGGCAACCACTATCACTTCAGCAGATGGCATCCGTGCATCAACGACATTACTTTCTTCACAGCTCAGACCAAGTCACCTCCTCCCACCACCTCTCTCAACCCAAACCGCCCCGCTTCTGCATCAAACGCCACCTCATACCCAAACAGAAACGCCCTTCCGGTATTCACAAACGGCGCCCTCGCCTTACCCTCCTTCTGCGTCTCAGGCACCACATACACCGGCTCCATCTTGCTCCCCTCACCAGCCACAAACTCGTACCCCGCCACTACCTCCTTCTCCTCGCCAGCCCCCTCGCTACTCAAGAAACCAACCGCAATCCTCACCCCATCATCAACCCGCCGCTTCGTCGGCTGCGACAGCGTATGATTCGGCGTCACCCGCCCCACCGCCCGCCTTAAATACATCTGCGCGATCCCCGTATCGACGAGCGCCGCGCCGCAATCCTCTGGTTCGTCGTTCACCCGCACGCACATAGACGGCATGGCCCAATCCCTTGAATCCTCAGCGTGCGTGATGCCCGGCTTCAGCTTCGCCCACGCGAAGTCCTCGGTATTATTTGGTGTAAGACCGAGCGTCACGCCGGTCGTGTTGATGATGTAGCCCGCATGCCACGACTTTAGGTCCACAGGGACATCGTCGATGCTATCGATGTTGAGAAACGGGTTCAAGGCGGGGATGCCATGCGGTTGCTCCCCATCCCCCGTGTTCCGCCCGAACCCAACGCCCATGTAGCTGATCCCCGCTGTCGGGAGGGCTGTGCCAGTGTCGGAATGGTTGGATGGGTTTGGGGGACAGGTGCCGGCGTCGGTGAGGGGGTTGTACCAGGGGCAGTGGGTTTTGGCGTCGACTATCAACACGGGGACTGTGGATGTTACCGTTCGGGGATAGTCGTTGGAGCCGTTGAAGGTGAGGGTGAGTGGGACTAGAGAACCGGTGTAGAGGAAGTTGCTGCTCGAGAGATAGGAGTGTGCGGGCGGGTAGCCGGTGGTGTCCAGGAAGGGGAGTTTGGGGTGGCCGAGGAGGATGCCGGTGCTGCCGGTGTCGACGGGGAAGAGGATGGGGGTGTTGAAGATAGTGACGCGGAGGAAGGGGGGTGAGTTGAGGTTTACGGGAGAAAGGAAAGGGAGGAAGACTGATGAGAGGGGTGAGGACGATGGGAAAAGTTGTTGGTTCGACGGGCAAGCTAAAGCTTTGTGTATCATGAGAAGACAGAGGCATGCAATGGTAGATATAAATGGAAATGGCATTCCAAAAGACATGTAGAGTGATGCAAAGGAGCGATTGAGTCTTACCCATTCACATGACCGGTACTCGATTCTTACAGATCAGACGCCGCGAACGTGACACAGTACACACCACGTCTTCAGTCTTCTCGCGAGGTACTTGGACAACAACGCCCTCGCGCATAACACGCTCCGAATTCTTTCGCCTGTCGTCTCAAGATGTCGCTGTGACTGGTCCTCGCGAATCTCGGTGGTGTTCAGCTGAAAGGGCGCCGGGATGCGCAGCCGCACGGCGGAGCTTGAATGCAACAAGCTCAAGTCGTCGAGGCCAATCAGACATTTAATCTCTTCTCCAAAGCGAATACTCTCAAGACCGGATTTCGCACTACGGTAAAGATGGAAACGATATGGTGAATCGTGATGATTTGTCGTTGGAATAGGTAGTTGCAGGGTCCATTTGCCTGCTTTAAATAGATCGATGTGTCAGCGGAATTCCCGCCGAAGTGGAGGATCTTCGCTTCGCCCTGAGTTTCAAGAACGTTGCACCGCACGCCACAATCTCCATGTATCTTCTTGTGATAGATGATAGAGAAGAGGAAAGACGGTAAGATGAGTATCCAGGGATAAATCTCAGCTCAATTCGGTGGTTGAAGGCGCAGCTGGTACCTTTGTAATCATTTTCCGCGTGACAGGGGGTACAAACCAAGCTTCAAAGCTCAGACTAACGACGGGACCGCTGCTTGAGCTGAGCCCAGCCAGGGCCAGCCGTCAGCCCCAAAACCCCCTCTATGGCACCGTGCCACCAACACTACATATGGACACAATGGCCGCCTCTTTAGCGGCCCGTTTGCTGCATTTTCATTTCCTCTTGTCTTTTGAGCCTGGGTGACAGTGTATTCCCCCCAAGAAGCACCCCCAGACCGCTATCATGTCCAAGACGACTACTTTCTCAACCATCACGCCCCTCCCCTCCATCATCACCAGGGAGGCCGTCATTTCAACATACCATGACCACATCGCCATGATCGAGCTGAACCCGCTCGTCGTAGAGCGTTTCAAGTGCAAACCGCCCGCCTATGCAACAGCAGAGGAATTCCATGCGACTTGGTACACCATCAAAGGCATTTACTACCCAATCCCTTCTACCCATTCCCCTTTCTAACCAGCATACGCAGACAAGATCCAATACATCCCCGGCACCTCCCTCGCCAATGGCTCCGTCTCCTACCACGCCTGCTTCCACGACCTCCCCGACGCCCTCCAAACCCACGTCTACGCACCCCTAGGGCTCGACATCAAAGCGAAATGGTCCGTCGGCGGCTCTCTCCCCGGCGAACCCCCCCAACCTGCTGAACTGGGCCTCGGGATACCGAAAGAGGGGCTGTACCTCAGGGAAGACGTCAAAATGAAGTGCAACATCATGATGATCAGCTTCGTAAAGAAAACCTTCAAAGAGGCGCACTCAAAGCTCGTAGACAGACTAGTCGAAAAAACCCACCAGCTCGAAGCAAAAGCGAAAGCAGAGCGCGCGAAGAACCCGCCACCGCCTCCTCCAAACCCACACACCTCAATCGCGCCAGGCCACAAGGAGATCGCGCTCATGAGCCCCATGTTCCAGCCCGGCACCGCGGGCTACCAGCACATGGCCGGCTACCCGAACTCCAACACGAGCAGCCCGATGACGAGCCCGCAGCCGCAGCACGCGCAGACGTTTGGCGTGCCAGGGCTGCCGCCGTTCAACCCGTATGGGCAGAGTGGCGCGTATCAGCCGCAGGCGCAGAACCCGTACGCGAGTGATCCGAGGTATTCGCAGCATGGGCAGCAGCCGCAGTATGATCAGAAGCCGTTGCCCGATCCTAGGTTCTCGCAGTATCCGGATCAGAAGATGGATCCGAGGTACTCGCAGCATGGGGATCAGAGGGTGTCGATGCATCCGGCGGATCAGGCGGGCGATCAGAAGTATCGGTATGAGACGGGGCAGCCGCATCCGACGCAGTTTGCGCCGGTGGAGCTGCCGACGAGTTTGGATGGGAGAGGGGGGCAGACGGAGCCGGTTGAGTTGGCTTGAGTTGGTAAGGAACGGGGAGGAAAGACGGCGTACATTTCATGTTATGGGTCTGAAAGTTCAAAGACCGAATTTCATAAGTCACAACACGGGGCCGACTATTTTATACGAGTCCTGATTGCCCGCTTTCGTGCTTGTATCTCTTTCTTCTTGTTTATGCGATACCCCGTGTATGGCTACATAGGCTTGCTCCTAGGGTAGCTCGCAAGGTTGAGAGCGTCGACTTACATGCGCCATCATATTTTCATTGTGTCCGTTTGTTACCCCTCTAAGAAACCCGATCCGTGTGTTGAAGAATCAGTGAGCTGAAGGCATTTATACTCCCACCACGCAAGACCTCCACGGTCACGTGAATGTGTGAAAGCTAGATTTTTTACTCCCCCCTACTCTTTCATTTCAACAGAGAGTTAGCTATTCATGTCCCCAAATATTTGGGTGGGGAAGGCAGGCTTTCACGTGAGTTCGGAATAGTCACATGTCCCATTCACCTGCCCCGGAGCACGCCCGCATCAACGCCGGTAGCACAACACCTCCACTCCTCGTCCTGTCTCCTCTGCCACGACACTCTTCTACCCTCTTACCTCCCAAAAATGCCGAGAACACTCAAGAGATTTCATCGCTACCTCACTCACGGTCGGGATCGTCCTCCTCGTCTAAGTAGTAGCGACGAAAGACTCGCCAGGCTAGTGCGCGAGAGTGCAGAGAAACACCAACACTGGTTAACGCGTATGCCCCTCGGTCAACCCGAACACGAGCCCTGCATCGCGATGTCCAGCGTCCCTCTATCGACCCAATCGCAGTCCAATTTCTTCGTCATGCTCCCCCCGGAAATCAGGCTGCTCATCTACGCTCTAGCGTTGCAAGGCGAGCCAGACGAGACACTCGAACTCACCCTCCTCGACGACCCGCACCGCCCATCTTTCAGCGTCAAATACGCACACGACTCCTTCCCGCTCTCCCCCCCACACATCGACCAACTCCTCTCCCTCCCAAAGACCTGCCGCCTAGCGTACGTCCCTAGCCCGGCTCCCAGAAGCCTCCAACCCACCCCATATCATCTAACCACCCACAGCTACGCCGAGTGCATCCACGAATTCTACGCGCGAAACACCCTCAGCACCAACCAACTCGGCTGCATCCTCTTCCTCCCCTCCGCCCTCGCCCCCCCGCTCTTCCAAACCATCCGCGCGCTCTCGCTCCGCTGCTACGCGCGCCGCCGCTACTGCGAGTACTCCTATCTGGATCCCGCGCCCGACGACGAAGCCACGTGGGAGGCGGCCTGGGCGGTGGTTGCGGGCATGAGGGGGTTGAAGAGCCTGCGTGTGCACATATGGCAGGGACATGCATTCGGGTTACACGGCCATCATTGGTCGGAGCGCCAGCTACTAGAACCATTAACAGCTATCCATGGGGCGGATTCCTTCATCGTTACCACGTCCTGGGTGTTGGATCATACGACACCAGTAGAATATCGGGAAAGATGCTGGCCATTCCAGATTCAGCGAGGGATTATTCCTTAAGTACAAAAGCACAGCACATGGTCGTTTTCGCAGGCTAGAGCGCCACGACAAAATTTCTCTGTCAATTAGGATGGTCCCACGCTCAGAGCTTAATTCTACAGAAGTCCTCATGACCTAACAAATCTTAGCTGACCCTGGCTGTTTGGCTGAAAGGACGCCGACAACCCCTTCGCCAAATCCTCAAGCTTCTCCGCCGTCTCGGGGCTTGTAGTCTCTAGTTCGTCTTCCCAGCAGCCATCCAGGCCGTGCGACAGCAGGGCGATCACAGAGGTCTTCAGTAATGGCAGGTGTCTGGTCATTGCGACGGAGATGACGAAGAGCACGGCCGTCAGCAGAGTCTCGGCAACGGGGAGGATGAGCCACTGCCATCGGACCTCGACGTAAGTAGTGGACGCCTGTGCCGTTCCTCGAAAAGTTGTCGCGTTAGCGTTGTCGCCGCCTGCGGATGGGGCGTTCCTAATTTGGGTCGTCAAAGTGGCCGCGAGATTCTCGGTGAATGCGCTCAGATTGGTGGAACCTAGATAGCCTCCCCAGTCCAGAGCCGAGCCAACATCCGTTTTGAAATTGTCAAACGAGGTATTAAGAGCGGAATGTGGGTAATCGAATATTTCCATTAGAGCGTGAAAACCGAGCCCGTAAATCTGGCCACTTGACTTTGACTTGTAGAAAGCTGCTATGGCGCCTCCGTAGGAGGTATCATTGTATGCCAATCGTTCAATGTGAGGTGGAGGTTGATGAAGGCTGCCTGGTAAAGCAGTTAGATTTTGATAAGTCTGTTCGCACAAGAACCACGTCGAGTAGTACGCTTCCTCCAATGACGGATCAGGCCAATCATCTGGTGCTATCATCCGGCCGGGGGCAATGATCATGGTTGCCATTGTACCGATGACCTCCATATTCTGCAGAAACTGAAATGCAAAAGGATCGGGTGTAGCAGTATACGAGCCCTGCCCTGGCACAGAAAGGAGAAATGGTTCAAAATCCGAACCACGGATGCCGACCTGATTCCATGAAAGGCTAGGGTCCGACGGCATGCGTCCTGGAAAATCCCAGGTGCACCGCTGCAAGTTATAAGGTTTACTTCTCTCCTGATTATGAGCGCTTTCAGTAAGGTTGAAAAGCGTGGTACAATTCTGTGTAGCGACGCTACGAACATTTCTGAAGTCGCTACACACTCCAAGTGTCGTGAAATCTTCCCAAGAGCACACTGCAGCTGAGTCCGGGCATTTAAAACTCGGCGAAGGAACTTTTCCGGTCATTCCGCTGATGAGGGAAGCCTGTGAAGCCATTAAACCACCTACAACAATTTAGCTAATATTTGAATGCAGCATGAGGCCAGAGAAGTTCGTACCATGTACACCACCAGGTGCAATGTCGCCGAACGCAGAGGAGGTGTAATTGTAGGCCACGCCTACCTCCACCATGACCGTGTCGTTATTCATAGGAATGAGCTTTTCGGGGAAATTTAGGATCTGCTGTGCACTTGCTTCGATCCCTAAGGCTACTATTGTAACAAGCGCAAGGAGCGAGGCTACTATGGCCTGGAAACGGACACCGCATAGCATAATAATAGACCCCCAGGGACCTCGAGTGGCATCATCGAATAATTGAAGGTGATCTAGTCGGCGAGTTTGACGGTCAAAATGCTGCCACTTGAGTTGAGCCAGACACGCCGTAATAGGCACCATCATTGAGGTCTTTCCAACGGTAGTGAGAATGGCAATGACGGAATTGGGTTGAATCGGTAGTGTCCAGTTTGAGAGAGGTTTGTTGTTGGCCGTGGAGAGAACGACAATGATGAGAAGCATGCTCAGTATGCTAAGTGCTGTAGCTCCTATCTCCCACCACCACCACCATTTAAACACTGTGGTTCGGTTCTTTCGGTCCCAGCTCTTTATAGAGTTCGTATTGCTAGAGGGCAGATCGTTGGTAGACGAGGTAGGCTCGATCAATGGTGTGCTGCAATTCTTTTCTTTTGTAGCCAGAACGTCCGGCGCCAAAGCTTGAGTCGAATAGCTGTTGATAGATGCATTGCGATGTGTTGCGTTTATCCCATCTTCGCCGTGGTCTATGGATAATACCGGTGAGATTCTTTCTATTGAAGGTCGGTCGTGGAATGTCTCGCCGGGAAGACTATCAGATAAGTCAAGTCGTGGTTGGAGAGACGGCTCCGTTCCTGTAATTGGACAGGAAATACGCAGGTCCATTTTTGCGTGAAATGTTATGAAGCACGAAATCTTAATGCGAACGTACCGGTTTATAAGCAAGAGAGCAGATTCAGCCTCGTCGAGGCTATGTTTGGACACTCTTGCATCGGTTGGTATCGAAGGTGGAAAGATGGATGTGTAGATAAGGCGGTACAGCTTGTGGCCGCATGCTGCTGTGTAACGAAGGCTATTCTAACCCTGCAAAGACTATTCCGGCCAATCAAACCTCTCTCATAAGCTTCCAGTACGGTACATCATTTACCCTTGCAGCCATCTGCACGCTAATCACAGCATGCCGCCACAAGCTGGATTGGTATCGGGGCAAAAGCAAGTCCAGAACAAGCGGAATCGGGGGCTGTGCCCGCGCCCTCGCTCCAGTCAGCTCACTCCACGTTAGAATAGCAGTGAGGGGCTACGGACAAATGATATTGTGGAAGCTCTGCGCTGAACATAGAGTAGGCGAAGGGAGTGATGTCGGTCAAGGCACCGAGGCAGAAAAACTCCTCATCAACCACAAACTGTTGAAAAGCAGTCGAAATTATCAAAAAAAGGCGGTGCAAGCATTAACATCAGCCTCCTCGAGTACTTTTCGGAGCGTATTTGGCGTTGGTTGCGGTGTTCTAAAGGTGGAAACTTTTGGTGCCTTGTTGCCTGACCGACATCACTGGCTTCGCCTATTCTAATGTGGCATGAGTTCGTTTCAACCTTCAGCCTGCCGCGGCTGAATGGAAAGCTACGTGAAAACTAGTCGTATCCTAAAGATGAGAACCTCTTTCGTTAGGTAAGAATATCCCTTAACCCATATATATCTTATAGTAGCTAATTTACTATGTAAGGCACGGATTAGGGTTTACTAAGAGGGTAGAATACAAGGGGGTAACCTGAGCGGGCTGCTCGCCCTCCCTGTCAGTTTCAGGGGCATTATAGTAATATCCTAGGAAAATTGTGCGGGTACAACTATAATGCCCCCAAAACTGACAGGGAGGGCGAGCAGCCCGCTCAGGTTACCCCCTTGTAGAAGATACGCAAGCGTAAAGCTTTCATACCTCACACCAGTCGCATAAGTCAGACTATTGCGTGAGTTTCACGTCGCCAGGGTCCTCCATTCATCTCTAGCCTTTCGAATATCCAGCCTTAAATAGTTCGTTCTCGCATCAGAGCCTGGGCATTGAAGCCCAAATATCACGTGAATTCAGCGAAGTCACATGCTCCATCCACTCCAGCGTACTGCGTTCCAGCGGACCTTCTAATTCTTCGGCTGACTCAGTGAGTTCTTCGTCGGGTATTTAAGTTCCTTCTCCTCTCGTAGGCTCCATACTTCATGGTGGAGGAGAGGCGTGCAAAAACTGAAAGAGAAACAGGACCGATGGAGTTGGATCAACTCCATGGCAGCCATTTCTCTATGGTTGGTCGGAGGAGACGAACATCATCAAGTCTCTATAGAGCCCCTTATGGCGGAGATTGCGTTGCGAAGTGTGTGCGTGCGCTCCATTAATGCTCAAGTTGGTGGTGATATCGAGCACTTCTTCCATTCGTTGATCTCTAGCATGCACAGAGCAGATCTGGCTTTAACATCTTAAGAGATAGATAACAATCATCATCAGCCCAGTTCTATGCACCAATGCAGTCTCTCCATCGCGGAATCGTTCGGTCTCTGTTGAACCACCGCACCCCGGGCGCAGACATGCGCTGACTTGTTTTCCGGAGTTGATGCCCACGCAACCCATTGTTTCTTCATATATCCCAATTTTCCTGACCACCCATCTGCCTCCCATCTCTACCTTTCAACTTTCACGGATGTAGAAGTTTTTATACCCCAAACCCAGCGGAAAAGCCGAGCAGTCACGCGGTTTCGGCGAAGTGATGTGCCCCCTTTCCCTCCTCTTGCACCCGGCCAGTAGATCCGATTCGCTCTCCAGACGGGCCTTCGATTCTCCGGCTCACGTGGCTGAGTAACCCGACTTCTACCGTGTCGAGGAGTGGGTATTTAAGCAGTGTCCGAGCTGGAGAAACTTCTCTTATCATGGGTTTGAGGGTTTAGTTTCTTCAAAAGGGCTGGTGGGATTTAGTCATTCATGGAGTCGGGGATCAACAAGTCCCGAGAAGAACAGAATGACGTGTGTGCAAACTCACTCGAGATACGCAATGATTAGGAGTGCTAGGATGGCGGGCGATTTATCAGACATGAGGATTGGGACTCTGATGATGGAGAGTGTGGGGGCCGTTGGGTTGGGCAGTGATGATCAGAAACTTTAGGATGGGTGGGAGAAACGTAGCGGTAGAATGTAGTAATGGGTATCGAAGTGGAGAAAGGAAGTTGAATACCATCACTGTAGATCTTTGCTAAGGAACGAAGAAGCGAAATCCATGATGTCGAGTAGCTCGTTCTTTACTCACTGACTCAGTGCTACAGCCATGGTCGGAATGACTCTGCTCGTATTTTTCGAACTCTAGTTTCGACTCGTCCATGTGAAATGGGAAGAGGGGAGGACGGAGATAATCTATACCTGCACTTGGAACACGTGACTCTCTCGTGTCGTTCTTTTACTCTCCTATAAGAGGCTCTATGATTCAAGATCGGTCTTAGAAGGCGACGAGAAATTCTGAAAGCGCCACGGAGGAGTACGCGAGATTAACATGGAGTACGGAAATGATATTTTGATTACATTTGAGCCGTGCGATAGCTAGAGGAACATCCTGAGATATACTTGTTATCTATGCTTGCACGAAAGGTATTACTTGTGTCCGAAAGGGCTGCATCGCGTCAATCACTGCAAGTAGGCGGACGAAGGGGATTTTGGATTCTTTCGAGAAGGTACTCTTTCTATGATCCAATTGCGGCGACGCTTGCTCGCAACGCACCTACGACGGTAAACGCGAGGAATGGCGATATAGCATACGATATCTATTCCTAAGTCAGCTTCCATCTTACATTCATACCAACCGTACATCCTGCTATGCGTCAAAGGAAGAGTACAGCTCACCGTCAAAATCTTCGCAATCTTATGCTCATCCGCCTCATCTGCGTCACTAACCTGCACCATTGTAATCAACTTCATCGCACTCGGCCCCGTCGGCATCAGCATCATCGTGAACCACAACATCGGATCGTCCCCTAGCACATTCGTCTTACTCGCCAGCGCGTAGATCACCGAAATTGATGCCACAGGCCACACTACGAAGCGGATGACTAGTACGAACAGTGTCGTGAGCCAGGGCAGTTTGGCTTCCCGGGGCCCGTCCGGCGAGTTTGCGGCGACGCGGGATAGATACAATGAGACGCCTGCTACAAGTAAAGGGAGGGGTACGAATAGCTGCCCGATGCTTTTGAAAGAAGCGGTCAGCCAGGCGCTGAAAATGCCGCCCTCGTAGGTGTCGTAGAAGAAGGCGCGATGGAGTGGTGGGACAAGGCCGATGATCGCACCAGCGACGGCACCTAGTAAAGGTGCATTTAAGAAGTCGTAGAGGAAAAGCAGCCACCATTGCGTTCGCGGGCCGAAGTTGTACCAGCGGCGTTTAGGGATGTACGAGGGACGCCGGTTGAAGCTGATGTTGGCTGAGTTCTCGCGTTGACGAGTGGGGAAGAAGGTCGTGGGAACGACGGAAGTTCTGCGACGGGTGTGATCTGGGACGCGCAGGAGAGATGTTTGCTCCGTTTCGTGCGTGGGGGAAATGGCTTCGTCATCGTCTTCGATCTCATCGGAGGAGTCCTTGTCGTCTGGATCTGGCTCATATGCGTGCTCTGAATCCATCAATCGTGGACCGACGGCAAAAGTGAGGCAGCTGGAGACGGTGGCGAAGACGAGGAAGTACGATTTTGCTCGTTCAATGGCGGCTTTTGATGATTCGTCCGTGACGATTAGATTGCTCAAAATGCCCGTTTCATCCAATGATACGATAAGGAGGAGCGGATATGAGGTAGTATTGTTGAACATGATGGCGGCGGTGATCCAATCTGGGAACTTGAGGAGCAGGTGTGCGGATATGCCAATTAGGAATGAAATGATGTGACAGATGAAGGCCCATATGAGAATGATGAGATAGCGTTGCGCAGAGCCGGCGTGCAACTCAGACCCGATCTTGGTGAGAAGGAGAGCTGGAAGAAAGACTTTGACGCATACTTTCGATATCGCCTTGCCGGTTGAGCCGTCCAGCAGCTTGAACTTTGCTGTGAGGACGCCATAGAAGACGACAAGCAAGACGGACAAGCTGGCCTGGATGGCCGCGAGGAAGGAATTGAGCAATCCAGCGGGAGCCATGATGGGGATTGAGCTGTGAAGATGGGCGACCTGCCGTGGTGGGGGAAAGTGGGAGGAGGTGTCGTCGTTGCTTTTGACGGCTGAAGGGGAGGAGGCGTGTTTGGCGTTCATGCCGTCATTGGTTCGGGTTCTTGCGAGCTTGTTTTCCGCATGTTGCAGCAAAAAGCCTACCCTTTCGATACCTTCGATCTTAAATTCACGATAGCATTGTTCAAGATGCAGTAGTCAAGAGTGCAAGACAATGATGATGTATATGGGCTTGGGTGGCCCACATGTCTATATTACTCGCGAATCTGATCTCCACACCCTTATGCAGCACCTGCAGGGATGCCGCTGCCAGAGAGGGGCAAAGCATTATCATGAGAGGATCTCTTTACTTTCGCTACTTGCTTTTGGGCAGATACACACTCATCTCAAAGCCGTTGGTGTACGGTAGAGTCGTGTTGTGAAAGCCATTTTCTGGCGCTCGCAGGTATGCTAGCAGGTCTGCGTAGCCTTTCGCGCCTGAGGTGGTGTTGTCCGCGAGAACCACGGCGCCGTACCTAAGCTTGGGCAGCACCGTCTTGAGTGTTGGGAGTGCGAGCGCCGACCATACTAGATGTTATGCATTAGACATATTGCTGGTATAGTGTACGGAAGTGTAGTTGACGCATTCTACAGAGGCTGCAGCTCAGACTTGAAGGCACTCGAACTCGACCGGGCCAATTGGAGGTGATTACAAGGTAGTGAAACTTACTATCAAGGAGCAGCAGGTCTACTTCGGGCAGATCCTCCTTTAGGGTCTCAAGCAGATCTCCTACTCTTAGATCAATCTCTCTCTCCACCACCTCTCCACACTGCTTCCAGTACTTCCTCGCAGTCTCTGCCTTTTGTATCTCTTTCTCTGTCCCAATGACCTTTCCAGGCTTTCCAGTCGCAGCTTTAGTCTTAGCAACGGCCAGCGCCAGGTAGATCGTGCTAACTCCGAAACTAGTCCCTGCCTCGACAACGTTCGTAGCCCCAGTGGCATTGATCAGCTGGTACACAAAGTGGCATTTGTCCTCGTCGAGGGCAATGAATTTGTCAAGCATAAGTGTGTCGAATTCACTTTTAGGGGCGCGATCTGGTTGTTTACCCTCCAAGTCGTCTAGGACGTCCGAGGACATGACCTTGCCGGTTTTGGAAATAGCGGCTTCCTGCTCCAAAGAAATCTTGTGGAGCTGGGACAAAAGCTGGAGCACATGCTCCGGGGCCTCGATTGGTGACGGGGAAGGCATGTTGTTGGATTCGAGGTGGATAGTAGGAGGGCAAGTAGGCTCGATGAACTCGAAGGACTACGATTAAGCGAAGAGAGAGTATAGAGCACCATACAAGAATGACTCACAAATGCTTACAAAACCTCTTTTTTCCGCGGAGAAAGTGTGACTTTACCCCGCATGCCAATATAACATGGGGAAGACTCGGAATTAGACTATAGGGATATCGTTGACTCTCCCTAGCAATCCAAGTAATGTGTGGACAATAATTTTTCTTTTACACTCATTTACGTAAAGTCATAAGTTGAGGTCTATATGGGATACTGCAGCGCTAGCCACCGGTATTCGACTCTTGTTTACTGTGCTAAAGTCTACGAGACTGTGTGTAGACTGTCCAATATCGAGACTTTTCATTTCGTGGTGTTTCGATATAAATCGCGTACTTGGGATCTACTAAACCTTCCAGCCTCAGGCGTGGCTCTGCCAGGGAATACTTGCAGATCATTGGACAAGGGCGAGTCGATAGGTTCAGCTTATTTCATATGTTCTCAACTTCTTGATTATTCATGACTCTTCCGTGTTTTACTATATCGCCTCTTACGCCCAGTACGTTCCAATCTCCCTCAGATCCTTAATCAATGCCGGGGGGTTATCTATCCCAGCAAAATGGCCACCAAAATCGTGATCTGGAGAAACTCGGGTTAGGAACAACAACCTGAAATTGGTATGCGGGCATATGCGCTTACTTCGGTATAGAACAAGATTCCCAACTTGAGCAACTAGTGCAGGTGGCCAAAACCCGGGATTGTACTTGAAGCCACTAAAAAGCATGGGTGCGTCAGTCTGCGCTTTCGAGTATACTGTTTTAAGCGCCTCAGGATTCTGAAAATATATATACATGGACGAGACGAGGCTTTTGGTGAGATAGTATAGTGAGACACTTTTCAAGATCTCGTTGTGGTCGAGGACCGAGGGCGGCGTTCCGGCGCGAGGATCAGACCCTATTAATCAGAATCTTGTTAGAAGGGGAACTTCCTAGCAGGCCTTCTGTCCAACTCCTGAAGACTTACAATTTAGAAATTTCTGTCCGATCCAGGCAAGCTGGCCAACTGGATTGTCATATAGGGCTAAGCCAATGGTGTTTGGCTAGATGCCAGTGGTTAGAGTCCTGGTGTGATATGATATCTTGAAGCCGCGTACGCACCTCGGTTGATTGCTCGATTGTGTAACCGATTCCAGATGAGTCGAAAGTCATAGCCTCTTGCTCTTCATATGCCTCGAGAGGCGAAAGGCTAACGTTTAGAGCAGCTAGCTCAGTCGGTGATTGGGGTGAGAAGGGTAAGAAACAGAAGTGGGACGCCCGAACGGAACCATTGAAGTTACCATATAAACTGTAAGCAACAAATGACCCCCAGTCGGTCCCATGAGTAGCATACTCCGAGTATCCTAGGACATCAGTCATGAGAGTGTTGTAGACTCGAGCAGTGTCGTCAATTGTCCAGTTTTGTGGCGGTGCCGACGAGAAGGCGTAACCGGGGAGAGAAGGTATGATGATGTCGAATGTAATAGGCGTGTCGGTGGACGTTTTTGAGTTCTGTAAAAGGGGATCAATCACGGGCAAAAACTCGAGAAATGATCCTGGCCAGCCGTGGATAAGGATCAAGGGAATCGCGTTTGGAGTCCTTGACTTTTCGTGAATGAAATGGATAGTGAGGCCTTCTACCTCGGCTGTAAAATGGTTGAATCTGTATGTACGGCATGAAATAAGAGGATGTTTGAAGAACATGGGTTACTTCGTACTTACGCATTTATAGCCAGCTGTTCCTTGTCCCAGTCAAACCGGGTTAGCCACTCTGCCCGAAGCGACTTGAGAGTATCGAGAGGAATCCCAGCGGAGGCACCTAGATACTCGGGGCCGCCGGGTAGTTGGGTATTGTTGACAAAGTTAAGCATACGCGAAACGCCACTTGATAGGTTGATCCTAAACGGACGCAGATTGAAGCCGCCGCCGTTGCTGGAGCTGGACTGAACCGCCGAAATTGCCAAGAGGCCAAAAGCCACCGAAAGGTACAAATACATTGTGGTGATTTTTTTGGTTTTCTTTTCGATTGGGTCTAAACTGCTCTGGGGTGATTGTGCGAGCTAGTTTAAGCTGGAAGTGATGGATCGAACATCTCAGAAAATAGGAGAGTCTCTACTCTTAAATACCACAACTTGCTGTAAGTCATAAGAAATCAAGGCGACGCCGTGAAAGTAACGGATATATCGGAGGACATTTCGGAGTTTACTAAAGCCTGGTTCAGGTACAGAGGTGATCTCGTAGAGATTCTCCTTAAGAGGCTTAGCTCCTTGTATCCTAGTCACGATTCCTACTAGGTACTCGAGATCGCTAGTCATAGAAAAAGCTCGTTATATCGTTCTGGTCGGGTTCACTGATACTCACATTAACCTCACAGTTGGACTTATCGTCCCAGGCGAGCCAGCCAACTGGCAGCTGGCGTAGGAAGGGCAAAGAATCAGTGAAGGAAGCATGAGTTGTATTGAGGTTGTAACGAGGGACTATATATACTAACGAGACTCCCTTGACAGCAAGGCACGGCAAGGGAGCAACACAACTTCGTAAGGGAGATAGTGCAACTCCGTAAGGAGGAGAAAGGGAGAGAAAACAAGGGAGAATAGAGACGTGTTACTAGCTGCCACCAACAGAAGAAATCCCTTTCTTTGAACCTACCACCGAGTATTGTGCGTGAGTATGTAGTGAATATAAATAGACTTGAACTAGCGACTTTCTGAGTAAAACTCACTTATTTGGTCTTTGACAATAAAACTAGATTAGATTACTCCAGTGCAAACTCCGAGTCATTACCCACAATTAACGACTCCGAAAGCCCCCGTACATATCTCTCTTCCATTTTCCCAAAAAGAAAACCAAAAAAAAGAACCAAATCATGCTATGAATTAGAACTAAGAGAAGCGCATAGGCCGAGGCACGTACTCGTTTCTCTCCTCGACACCCTTGAACTGCCTTGCAAGCCAGTCGCAGAACATGGTCCAGACTTGCTTAATCCCCGTCCAAATCCAAGACAAAACACCTTTTAGCGATTCGAAGAAATCATCCCAGGGAATGAAGTACACCGCCGCCGCAGCGCCTGCTCCAAATAAAACGCCGGGCCCAATAGCTGCTACCACAGCCGACGCGTTGAGAGTTGTTGAGCCCACCTGTAGACATGCCGGACCAAATTGGAGGTTAATGAAAACTCCACTTGCAGAAACCTCGAAACCAGCAAGGAACTTCCCAGTCCCCACAAGAAGCCCAATGATTACAGCGACTGAGCCCTTCCATTGTTCCCACCAGGAGCCATCCATGGAGGTCTCCCGCATCTTCTCGAACCGACGGCGCAACTCATCTTTCTGGAAATCATTCAAGGTGCTGGAAGATCCGCGCCACGCAGATCTGTTAGAATCAACCTTGATGAAAACATCTCGACCAAGGTATAGTTTGCGATGATGGAACCTTTTCCTTTCCCACCATTCATCAAGGCGATCATTCTTGAAGGTGGATGACCCGTCAACCAACAGCTGGTCGCGACGGCTGCCTCTGTTTGCGTAGAGGATCTTAAGAGTTTGGATATCGCAGGCGGAAGGCACATCGAATTTGATATCAATGATTGCTCCACTCACAATCATAGTCAGGTTCTTATAAGACTTTCGATCATGCGTATCGCTTTCAATCACGTCTTGAATAGCATCCTGAAGAAAGTCCTTGGTCGTGACTAAGATGAGGGACCGGCCTCCTTTGAAATTATTAGTCAAATGCTTCTTGAAGGTCCTCAAAAGGCCTTACCTGTACTAAATCCCCTTCGAGATTTCTGGTCGCACTTACGCTCGAGCCTTTTCACATTCTCGGCGCAGACGACAGCAATAATGGCCGTACGCCTCTCGTGCCATTCATTTTTGATGGTCTTAAGCACGGAGGATCTTTCGTTTTCGAGAAAACGTGTTGATGGTCTGAATTCTGTCTCATCGTCTGACGCATAAGAGCTCATGATGGCAAGAGGCGCTGAAGGCGGAGGGCGAATGAGATGTTGAGCAGAATGAAGAACCTGTAGTATGGGATAGGAGACAACGGTAAGAAACACTTGTTTCGACTTGGCTTGTGAGAAGACAGGCTGGCTCTAACATGCGAAAGATGGAAAGAAGATTTTCTGGGAGGAGTGCACAGCATTTATATTTCAAGACCTACTCAGCCCGGTGACAGTCACGTCATTCACGAGCTCATTATCAAACACGAAGTACTCACCATTCATCTCCTCATTCCAAGTTGATGGAGCATCTCTACCAATCTTCGGCTAGATGCCATCGGTAGGGCACACTGAGGGTGTGTAGTATTTCTGCGACATGATTGTCCCAGCCAATACGACATGCAGTAGATATGTAAGGCTGTGCATTACAGATACGCTAGTGATATGCAACGTACTTTAGTCGACAACCCCGGAAAGCTGAGTATTTGCATACACGCTAACGCAATATGCAACGACTTGCAGCCTTACCCCCCAATAAGTCGTCCATATCGCCCTACATCTCGCCGTCCATGTGATCCGTCCCCGGCTAGTGTCGGTACGCTGCAGCGTCGAAGTCACCGCCATTTCGTTTAGATAGCTCCCGGTCTTGTCTTGAATTGCTTTAGAGCCGCAATCACAGTTTAAATCACTCACCAAATATTACCATAGTGCCCACAATTATCGCTCTCACGTTATTGGTCGCGATTTGGAGCATAGGGGAAGAGCAGGCTCTAGCACGTTAACTGATAGGAATCTCTTGTCTCCGAGATGGGCGACCAGGCTGAGGATTCGAACCTGCACACAATTCAAGTTAGGCTTTGGCAAGACCCACGTAGCCAAATTCGACAAGAACTCTTCGTACCAATGAATCTACAATACCAAGATCCCAGCTGGATTGGTATTTCGTCATCGATGCCGGGCGTCACTGAAGTCGTGCCTCCTACTCTGCGCCAGTCAGACGAGTTGATGAACCCTTTAGAGCCAAGCAAAGCACACCAAAATTTGGGAAACGACATCCAACCTATTCAGTCTATCGAGTCGTTCCCCCCGAGCTATTCTGTCATGGCTTCAGATGCTCTGAACGAGACTTCTCGATCAGGAAAAGGCACTCATGAATCCAATGGAAGCAAAGCAACATACTCTGATGAGACGTGGGGCATGTTGAAAGAGGAGCTACGCCAACTTTACATCGAACAACAGCGGCCGTTACGTTCCGTGATGAAAATCATGTCTTGGAGACGCAATTTCAAGGCCTCGTAAGTTTGCTCTCTCAAGCGTTTAATCCTGGGATTCTACAACTGCTGGGCAGAGACCTTATAGCTAACACGAGAAAGGGAAAGAATGTATAAAGAAAAAATCAAGAAATGGGGATGGAAGAAGAACTTGACTACGAAGAACAACGGAACGGCAACCATCAAACCGCGGAATTTACAGAGACTTAGATGCAGAGCAGGTCCCACCTACGTCTCCAATCTTCCTGGTATTCAGGTGCCAATGTCTGATTTCTTAGCACCGGATCAATACGAGAAGATCAATAGATCGATTCATGGGTACATTGATGGCCTCTTCTGCACGCTGAGTAAGGGCTGGAAACGAGACACTTTTCGGCTCATGCCTCCAGACGGCATTTCGGAGAAGTCCACAGTGGCAACGCTCGCTAGACCAGTGCCAAAATGCTTCCATATTCATTGTACTCAACTCGCAACGACAAGCCTTTTATTCCATCCACAAGCTTTTCGAGGAAGCCACTCTTCTTATTGGCCACGATGATCCGATGATTTTGGTGAATTTTTGGCCGATTTGCATCTCTCTTCTAGGACTCTGCGTCCGAATGACAAAACATAAGCTAGACATCCTGTATGAATTCATAAACCAAATGAGGCAACGAATTCTGGATCGGCATGGAGATGGGCATCCTCTGTTTTTACTGCTGGACTCGTTACGCAGAGTCCGATCTCGACTTCTACCGACTAAAATGACCCATGCACAGACGGAGACCGAATTTACCAAAATGAAGCAAGCGCTTCAAATTGGGTACGAGATGACTATCCGCTCTTTTGAAACCGTTATCGGAGCAGATCATCCTATTGTTCTCCATATGTGGACCACCTACTTCAGATACTCAAATACAGCGCGCCTGGATCGGCCTGCCTTTTGGAAGAACTACAAGAGACTCGGCGCTCAAGCTAGGAAGCCCAACGTCCCATTGGAATGCACAATGGCCGTACTCTATCAGTACGCCTACGCCATATTGCATGTCGGTGGGACAGATGGCGAACTGATTGCGAAGAATCACACGCAGAATCCGAAACCCAAAGGAAGAAAACGAAGAGCGGAAGCTTCAGTACCGGTTTCTCAAAAGTGTCAACATTGCTATGACAATGCGCGAGACTGCGTTTGGGCCCGGCAAAATGCGAAAAAGAATCAAGAGAAGAAGTGCAACCTGTGCTTCCGCATGAAACTCCAATGCAATCCAGTACAGAAGAACGCTGATGGCACACTACCAGTGCCAGAACAGTTCGCAGACGTTCTATTGGAACTTTCAAAAGATCTCTAGAGCAAGGCGTCGTTACTTCTCTCTAAAAGCCAACCTCCGCAATGGGCAGTTGAGGCTAGGGCTATGTTTCTAGCGGCGAAGGTCCTTGGATTGCATCATCGCGCCGAAAAGAACCCAGAGTGCCTCGAAATTTTAAATTTGGCAATCACCAGGCTTCAAGACGGCGATATAGAGTGTAAGGCGCGAGCTGTGGCGTTGTTGAAGTTGATTGTGGGCTGGTATTATGCATTTGAAATGGAGAAGGAGGCTAAGTTGACGCAAAAAAGAATCAAGGATCTACAGTCTGCTATTCCAGAGATCAACCCAAGGGATCCGTATCGTGCTTGACGAGGAGAGATAGCAGATAATCGAGCAGTATAACCGACGACGTAGTAGGTTTCTAGAAGTAGCTGCATATAGAATTGGTGCGTCGTAGATGTAAAGTATCATACCAACTACCACCTTCCGCCGCGAATATCGGGTTTCTCTGAGTACCACCTAAATCCAGATGCCTCTCTTGGCACGCTTGTTGATGCCCTAAACCCGTCAGCGTAATAATGGGCCCAAAATCGGGCTGTGTCAGCCGCCGACTAGCCCACAACTCAGCTCGATGGCGGTGAGCTGATACGCTGGAACATGTATGCTTAAAAAAGCGTGCCAGGAAAGGCGTCCGGATTTGCTCAGAGAACACGGTACCCAGGTAGTAGGGGACGTAGAATAGTAGAGAGAGCCGCTAGTCTGAAATCATTTAAGCGTGACGGAACCTGCACGCGAAATATTCCACCCATTCTCGCTGGTGGGTGATTCTCGCCCGGGGGTGGAACACGTTAGATGGTTCGATATTTCCTCGTAGGCTATACCCTCTCTAGAAAAAAGAACTAAGAGCCTTTTTAAAGGATATAGAACGCAGCAATATTCAAAATCTACCAAAGTGTTCAGACCTCATTCTCGTGATCATCATTTACAGCTCGTCCGTTGCCAGTGACAAGCGCCTGTAGATTATTAGTTTCTTGTTCTACGCTTAATTAGAATGAAACTCACACAAGGGACTGCACCAGACGCACACAGCGTGCCCAAAGCAATGGTTGTCGCTTTCCAACCAAACCTCTGCTGCAAACCGCCACAGGCAAGAGGGCCCAGCAGTGCCGCAGCAGCTAGCGAGCAGTTCATGAGAGAAAACGAGCTCGCGTAAAGATCCGTTTCTTGGTCTTTTGACAGCTCCTCCGCAACGAACGTGCACTCCGCACCGAGGGGTGATAGAAAGAGAATGATGGTACAGCCTGTGGGCGTCAATAAATGGTACTGCCTTCCTAGAGATGCTCGCCATGCAATGTGCTTACCAGCAAGCGTAAGTAGTCCGCATAGCAGGATTATTTGCTCCTTAGAATTATGATCTACGAGCCTCAAAAGGATAAGGGGTGGCGCGGTGAGAAGGAATCCGGCAACGGCAACCCAGCGTGCGCCGAGTCTGTCCGCCATTGCTCCAGCAAGCGGGCCTGCAAATGCAGGAATCGCGATCGTGAGAAAGAGGAGGCCAGCTTGGAGGGACGTCCAGTTGAATGTCTTATTGACGAATAGTGGTAGGACGGCGCATAGGGATGACACTATGCATTCGTTGATGAAGCAACCATAGAGTGCAGCAAGGAGACGTGGAGAGTTGAGGAGGGAGATGATTCCAGGTAGGCGCCGGGATCGCATTGGAGTAGTCTGAGCTGGATCCGAGGCCGACGAAACGGGAGTGTCGGACGAAATGATAGGAACCTGGGATAGGTTGCTGTGAAGGGAAAGTTGGAGTGAGAGGTACTGTTCGAACAATGCGCTGACTGCGGTCCGGGGGCGGGCGACATCCAAGTAATGGCCTTTAGGTTCCACCTTCTCTTTCTCTTGTACCTCCCCTCGTGGTAAATCGTGCGACCGCTTCGGTGATGCATTTCTCATCCTAGAATTACTCCTCTGTTCGTTCATCAAAAGGCGTAACACGACATCGACAGCATCAAGAGCCACCATAATAGCAAACACCCACATCTTCCCAGATTTGTCGTATATGATACCTCCCAGCAAAGGGCTGATTATCATGCCAATATTGTTGGCTGACATGGCCGTACCCATCCATTGTCCCACTTGATCATGGTCCACGGTATCCACGAGAACGGCCAGTCCGACAGTGTAGAGGATGGAAGAGGAGAAACCTTGCAATATGCGACTGACTACTAGCATCCAGAAGTGGTTCGCAAATCCGAAGAAGATGGTCCCCGTGCTTATCAGGACGATGCCGGCATACCAAGGAACTCGCCTGCTTCTATAGCGGTCGACATACCAGGCGCATAATGCTGAGACCAGGTGTTAGGAGGGTTTCCATAATGTTGAAGAAAGACGGGGTATGGACATACGCGCTCCAAAGAAATCTGCTAGCGCAAAGGTTGCGATGAGGATGGAAGTTGACATTTGAACTACAATAAAGGTCAGCACCTTACGGAACATTCAAAATGAGACGGACATGGTGGGCGTACGTTGATCTTTTGGAACGAGGACTTGATCTCGTAGGATGAAAGGAATTACGGGAGCGACGACTATGACGAGCCTTCAGTATATAAGAGTCGTGCTCACTCCAATGCTTTTCTCACCTCCATAAATAAAACCGTCCTAGACGAAACGGCTGATTAGAAGCGAAAACATGGGCGTTTTGGTCGTATCTTACAGTGAAGGTTGCAATACATATCGTAGCGACTATAAAGCCTTTCGAGGATCTAATGTTAGAAAGAGATAGTGAAGGTGCCATAACGAAGGTAATTAGATGGCGGAAGATAGAGAGCGTGTTTCTCTTGGGAACGAGCGTAGGGACGGAATGTCAAGATGAGATCATGGACGCGAGAAGAATTCAATCACTGGCAAGTACACCGGAAGGAAAATTAGTAGAAAGTACCATCAAATCTTTGCTGGAAGGGTGAGCACTGAGGGGTTGAGATCGCTTCAAGGAAGCGGGCGCGAGGGGAATAACAGTGGCGCAACTGAAGCAAGCTGAAGGCCATCCATAGCTGACGAGTCTACTGTAACCGAATGCGGTGCAGTGAAGCCAATAGACAGAGGCTAGACGCCGGCTCTTGAGCCGCACGATGAATGTGGTTGATGTGTTGAAGCCACCGGAGCCGCCGAAAAGGCTAGGCCTAGGGGCAGCCGAGACACATTAGGACTAGCGCTAAGGGGTGCAGACTAGCGGTCACTACCATTGCTTGTTCCCCTGACGCTCCACCCACTTGGAGAAAACAGTTCAACGCTGTTTTCCCCATTCAGCCGCGTCAACTCCAACCGAAACGCTAAGAACGATATAGCCTTCAGGCCAGCCATGGAACGAGGCTTCGAAAGCTAAATCAGAATAGCGCCAAGCTTAGCCCTTTAGGTTTCTACTAACGACAGCATAGACATACGACAGCTTAGCCACAATATCGAATGCCATATAAATCAAAGTAAGACAGGAGTCGTGCATGCCGAGAGCTGTTAATTATATAGTAGCCGAAGCTATGTCCGCAATGTCCCTAGTTCTATCCTGAGACTGCGCATGCTTGATTATATGTTGACAGCGTGCCTTCCAGCCTTTTACAGTCTCTGTATATCTATTTACGAGTGCAACTAAAGCCAGCTATTACGTTTGCAGTATCTTCTCCTCTCATCATGGCACCCGCATTGCTCCGGAACGATTCTTATGATCTTGAACCTCGGAAATCTCCGTCATCTTCGAGATCCAAGGTCACCTCTATCCCTAAAGTTTCCGAAATAGATTTCAACGCATACGAAACTGAAGAGCGTCTCATCGACGATATCATATCAAGCCTCAAAGTTTCCGGCGGCTGCATAATACGCAGCATGTACCAGCAATCCACCCTCCATGCCATGGAGCAAGAAATACGGCCCTATATAAATGCCACCGGGAAAGCAACTAGTACGTCTATACGACCTTGAGATTATCATATTCTAACTATCATTCCAGACAAGCGAGAAGACTTCGTCCCTTCCTCAACAAAACTAGTCACCGGCCTCCTCAGCAAATCCCGAACCTACGCCCTCTCAGTAGTCGGAAACAAGACATGGCGCACAGTGTGCGATCACTTCCTCACTAGCACCTTATCGAACTCCTGGGTACGTAGTATCCTTAAAAGCCTCCTCTACACTCTTGTCCCGACTCTCCCCCTTCCGCTAACCATTCCCTACAACCAAACATCTCACTAACCATAACCACCACCAGCATGGCACTCAATCCCGCACCAGCACCTCCGCCCCCCAACTCAGCACCACCGTCACTTTCTCCATCTCCCCCGGCACGCCCGCACAGGGCCTCCACCGCGACGACGACATCTACCACACCCAGCACCCCGCCGCGCCCTCGCACCACCTCGGCCGCGACACCATGCTGTGCCTCTTCGTCGCCGGCAAGAAATGCACACCCGCGAACGGTGCCACGCGCTTCGTCCCCGGGAGCCATCTGTGGGACTACTGCGTGCCGCCGCCAACTTATCCTTCATCAGCCGACACGAACGGGAACGAGGATGGGGATCATACGCTCTTCGCACATGCGGCCATGAATCCCGGCGATGCTTTCATGATGCTCGGCGGCACTTATCACGGCGCGGGGTCGAACACCACGCGCGACGAGGAAAGGCTGGTGTATGCGGCGTTTGCGACTAGGGGGTTTCTGAGGCAGGAGGAGAACCAGTATCTGGCGAATCACTTGGAGAGGATACGGGAGCTGCCGATAGAATTGCAGCGGTTTGCGGGCTTTGGGGCGAGTAAGCCGTATATGGGGTGGGTGGATATGGAGGAGCCGGTGAGGTTGTTGAATGGGGACGGGGTGGAGATGGGGGAGGTGGAGTTTTGGTAGTAGATGGGGTTGAGGTGGGAGGGTTGTTGGTGGTAGGGCTGGTTTTGGCGGGCGCTTTGGGGATTAATTGAGAGCTTTTTCCGAGGGGTGGATGGCTTGCATGTGCCTGGTCTGGAATAATGTGTCTAGGTACACAAAATTGGCACCTAGTTATATGCGAAAGGAGGTTGATTGGAAAAAAGCTTGTAATCGACTTCACATTAGCATTTCGAGCGTAGCATTGCTTAAAGCCAGCAGATTCGATCAAAAAAACAAGTCAACAGTGGATAGAAGCACATGTGAAATGCAGCTAATAGTCCACGGATAGTGGCACCCGTTCGGAATAAAATTTAAGTAGCAGCAGCCAGTTACTGAGGACTGCATGAGGACTGTATGGGGTTACCTGGGTAATAGTTTCAACATCGCTACGACATTCACCTCATGGAAGAGTGGAAGTGCTTTGAGGACGATGATGCTCTAAATTAACTTTATGCGCCTATTATTCCCAAATTAGTCTCTAATCACAGGAGATAATCAAAGTATGGAAGTAATGAGCACCACCAATACACAGCAGTGCGGAGACATTTCCAACCACCTTCCCACGCAACCACAACCATAATCATTAACTGCTCGTCGAATTGACACCTGCCCCGCAAGCCATCGTAGATTGCACCAACGATTTTTTGAAGCACTCCATGGGTACCAGTCGCCCTGGCAGTTGATCCCAATTCTTGAGCTTTTCCCGTTCCCTCCTCGACTATGAAAAAGAACTCCAGCGAGCAGAGAAGAAGTTTATATACCCACCTCTCGGCCGCCGGATCATTCCATCTCCGGAAGGCTAGCCCATCCACGCTTAGGAGAAGGTAAAAGCACCTGCCTTCGCCGAATCCATGTGAACCCCTTTCCGACCTTTGCCAGATTATAAAACGTCGCACCCATCTATCATTCTTTCAAGCCCAGAGATCGAAGGATATTGGGTGTACATCAAGACGCCCAAAATAGCTTCTCATGGAGTGCGCGGGCATTCAACTGCCTAAGTCGCCCCCGCCGATGTCTGGGGCGTGGGAAGTGAGTTCAATACCGCTATAGCTTGAATTCCATGGAGAGTGGAAGTTGGAGAGTGCTGGGACAACGGATAGGTTTGATGATGCTCCCCTCCACTTCTTTTGGAAGGGCTCCCACATCTCACCAAGATTCTCCCCTTGTCGCTAGAAAATGCTAAAGGAGACCATCCTTCCTCTTTCGTTGGCCTTACCATCAGTAATTGAGCACGCTCTCCATCATCACCTACCCCCTTGTGCCACGCAGTTCCCCAGACGACACCATCATGGGGTCTCAGCGGTATTTTGCACTGCTTCTACCCTCCTTCCATGCTTGAGTAGCTCACGGCCGTGTGCACAACCCCACAGCCCATAGAAGTAGCAGCATGTGCGTGTTTGAACCACACCCCCTCCCACCATGGCCTCTGTGTCTCTGCACTGTTAAACAACCGCAGCCACAGCCATTGCGTTCAGCCTCGCTCGATTTTCCGACCACTACCCTCTCCCACCATAAGTCGATCACAAAGTCTGTTTTTGCACAACCACACCCACCGCACGCATCTCTCTTCGGCGTTTTTGATCCACTTCCCCACTCCTCCCACCACGTCAACTGCCGAGGCTTAGTTTTGCGCGCTTTGTAGTCTGGTTTCGAAGAACTAGACAGCCATCACCGGATGTCCCAACGGTTTTCAACGGTCTCGCCAGACCACCCTCTACCACCATCGCATTGACAATAGTGTCTCCTTTGAAACCCCGAGTCCTCCCCCTGATAGTTCTCAGAGAGATGTTGAGGACGGCGTTTTATACCCAGAAGAAATGCAATCCTTGGCAGGGACATGACAGGCACGTGAGTGCGACACCGGAACGTGACACCTCAGGCGTCCAGAGAAGGCCATATGCCATCGACAGAGCACTTCGACATCGGACCTTGAGCAGTGTCACGAGCAACACGGACACCTTCAAAAACGAAGAAAGTAGACACCACAAACATCTCAATCAATATTAAATCTATGCCCCAGATCCCGCCCACCGAATCCCCAGGCCCTTTCCAATCTGCTTTGATGAAAGAATGAAGAGTATAATACAGAGCCAATCCTCACCCCTTCAACAAGCGAGCGAGTGTGACCACAAAGAGTTTAGTAAGAGCAATAGCTGCGCAGCCGCGGCATCGAGCACACGCCGCGAATTGAAAGAAACCTGAATAGAGGAAAAAGGAAACTTTTCATACAACAGTCCCCAACCCATGATGAGTGATGATAACAAAAAACGACCTCCTAGGCAAAGGGAGGGAGGTATAATCCCACACCCGCACCCAGGACCCAGGAACACAGATGCCAGAACGCCTATACCCAACTCAACTCTCCTCAACCTCCAAAATATGCTATTCACGACCCCTGTGCCATAACATCAATATACCTTCCCCCCTTCTTCTTGTTCCTCTTCACCGTCCCGCCCGCTCTGGCCTGCGGCGCGCCGATCAAATCCTCGATACTACTCGCTGTGCTCATGCCTGTGCCTGGCCGAGACGGTGGTCCACTCCCAGCTGGCAGACTCGGCGGCATGAGCGTAGGCGGCAGCATCGACCCTTCGCCCTCCGCCCCAGGTGTGCCCACTCGCGCCGGCGTCCCCGCGCGACTCCCTGGCGCAGACGGCGGCGGCATACTCGAGCTCCTCTGATTAGGCGTGGAGGTAGGTGGGCGCGAGCCCGGCGCAGAATAGCTATGCGGCAAGCTCGAGCCAAGCTGGCCAAGCGCATGATTCGCAGCGACGCTGTTCCCACTGACACTCCTAGACGGGGGTCCGCTCTTCGGCGGAGGCGGGGTGGCCCTGGCCGCGGAAGCCGTCTCGCTCCCGCCAGCTTTCTTGTTGACCCATTTGCCCAGATCGGCGTCGTAGACGAAGCTGTTCTCCTCGCCGAGCTTGGCCTTGATAGGCGCGGGGGCAGCATTGGGGTCTTTCTTAAACCAGCCGGAGATCCAGCCTCCCTTTTGCGCGCCTTTCTTGTCTTTCGCGGCGTCGGCTTCAGCGGCTTTGCGGAATGCTTCGTCGGCTTTTTTGTCGGCTTCGGCTTTCTGTTGCCTTTTGAGTTCAGCGGCGCGACGGACGATCTCGTCGTCTTCGTCGTCATCCATGAAGGACTTCTTCTTTTCGAGGACGGGAGGGGCGGATTCAGCGTCGGGTTGGTAGGGCTCGTATGTGGGTGGTTCGTAGGAGCCGGTGGGTGGTTTGTAGGAGCTGGCGGGAGGCTCATAACCCACGGAGGGGGATTCGTAGCCAGGTGGGGGTCGGTCGCCTGATGGTGGACCTGAATGCTGTTGGAGGGGCTGATAGCCGGAGCTAGGTTCGGTCTCTTCTGCTAACGGAGCAGGCTGATACGGATTCGCGTACGGTGTATGCATAGATGTGACTTCGGGAGCATCCGGCGAATACAGAGACTGCGAGCGAGGCATCGGTGCGCGTTGAGGCGGGGCCATAACACCCGGCGTGTGTGCATTGCCTAGTTGGGGGGGAAGCATATAATTTTCAGAAGCGCGTCTGAAACCTTGGGAACCGTCCGAAGATTCCATCAATGGTCGACTGCCCTGGTATGGCGATTGAGCTTGAGGATCATAACGAGATCTAGGCTGCTCCGAGGACCCTCGAGGTGCAGCGGAAGCTCCTGGAGCATATCTGGAGTTTGGCAGTCCGGCCGAAGGAGGCGCACCAGGGTATGTGCCATAGGTTCCATAAATATCGGCATTGGAATGTACTGGGCTAATCGTGGGTGTGTTTCCACCAATCCTAGCAAAGGGACCGACTTCCGCAGGACCGTTTCCAGAATGGTTCGACACGGCATCGCTCTCGTCACCAGCGACGAAGCTAGTGAATTTCGCAAAGAAGGATCCAGAGACCTTATCCATGCTTGGTTTGGAGATCCAAGACGATGACCCATCCTTAGGAGAATGCGATAGCCGCTTGGTCAAGTCTTCGAGAAGCATGATGAAGCTATTGTTGTAGTAAGGCGAGACTCTCGTAGTAGCCTTGATAGCAGCGCCGATGGCGTCGCAGTAATGTTGCGCTTCGTTGCGATAACCAAACTCAGCCAAAGTAAAAGCGTGGGCGAGTTTGAAGTTTTGGAGGTGTGGTACAATAGCGGCACTCGAAGCGTGTAATGAAAGGGCATATTCGTAAATCTCCGTCAGCATGAGAGGCTCCAAGTCTTTTCCAATGCTCTCGGGATTAGCCCGATGATCTGCTCCTACGAGCACTAGATCGGACTGAGGATCGTCGAGGCCTCCGAAGTAGGCGGTAGATCGGCCAAAGATGAAGCAAATGTGAGCTGCTTCGATGCGACCGTATCCAGCCAGCAACCTTCCAAGGGAGAGTAGTGCCTGCACGTCTCCTTCGCTTCGGTTGCTGAGGATAAGGAGGAGAGACTCCTGCCATCGGTCAAGGCCCTGAAGTGCATTCCTGGGAGCGCCATTTGCATCGGTGCTCATCATTTGGAAACCTGCCCTCGCCGAAGCGGGGACAAGTTCGTCGATACAGTCCTCCCAGTTTCCGGCAAATACTTCATAGAGCACCGCCAAAGCCTGGGTATTTCCGCCGATTTTCTTCACCTCGTTTCGGACAAACTCTTGTACAACCTGCTTCCAGACCGACTTGTCGAGAGTAGACGACAAGAGCATGGCATGAGCCCACAGTCGCTGGTCAACAGCATGCCATACAGCCTTCTCGCGGTCTCCCCTTGTGAGAAGAGTTCGAAGCTCATCAACCGCCTTAGGATCAATTGGCTCAGCTTGAACGTTTGTTGATGCCGATCGTGCTCGTCCTACTATATCTGCAGCAGTGGAGTATGAAGGAGTTGGTGGCTCTGATGAGTCCTCTACACCGTGAGGAGAGAGCACTTTCCGGACGGCTTGTTCGACGGTTGGATTTCCTTCCAAAAGCCCGTCATTGTCGACAAGGATTTGCATGACTTTCCATAGCAAGATTTTCTCTTCGAAGCGTTTCAGCTCTTCAGGGCTCATCGCACGTTCCACGGCGGGGTTCTTAAAGTCGGTCTCGAAAGCGCCGATTTTTCCAGTCAGCCACGTCGAAACATCCTTCTTTTTGCTCTTCGCTTTGAGAGGGCCTGGGAATTTTGCAATGTCTTCCGAAAGTGGACAAGCTTCCTTCACACTTTGGATTCTGACCTCACCAGCATTGGCTTTCATCATCGGGGATGCACTCCCGGTCCCGTATCGCGGAACGTACTTGGGGAAGCTGGTGACGACAGTGCCTCCCACTCCCCATTGGAAAATTGGATGGCCTTTCCATCGTTGCAGAGGATCGGCCGCACGCTCGTCTGTGGGCTGGATAAAGTCAAAATCACGAGAGAATTGACGTCTATGAGGAATGATCGAAGCCATGTTTTGCGTTGTTGGGCCAGCAGTCTGAACAGTAAGGTCGTGTACTGATGCCCGTCGTTCTATATTAGCGCGTACAAGCATAGGGTTCTTCATTGTTGCACTCGGAGATATAGTTTGAGACCGCCTGGGCGGTGACATAATAGCGCTTTGTGGGGGCTGCCCTGGTTGAGGTTGCCCTGGTTGATATTGCGGCGTGTAATTCGTTCGTTTTCTTGGCGATCCAACGGTGGAAGACGGGCTACTTCTCATAGGCGGTGTTGCTGATCTGGCTGTCATTGGCGGTCTTGATTGAGCCTCGAAAAGTGCTTGACTGGGATCCCGTTCCTCGATTTCACTAACTTCTGCTAGAGGCTGTCTGAAGATAGCCCTAGGAACAGCCGATTCCGAATGCATGGTATGATGGCCTTGCTCGGGAGTAGCATGCTGACTAGGAGGATGGCCTTGATCGGCTTGATCTTGCGGCACCGTGTGAAACGCGAGAGGGCTGGATGTGCGCGGTGCGAACGGTTGCGGATGTGGCCTTGGCGGCCCTGTTGGATCCGACGCATATCGGGCATGTGTAGGAGCTGGAGGACCTTGCGAAGGGGGCGCAGGAGAATATCTTGGTACTGAAGGGGCAGCTGTGGGAGGTGCAGGAGAGTAACGGGAGCCAGCCCCGTGAGCAGAAGGTGGGGCTGGGGAATACCGAGATGGCGCTATAGGCGCCGGAGGTGGTACTGGGAGGCTGTTCGACCGAGTAGGAGACGTGCCCAAATCTGGGAAGGCGGGTAGTCTCTCAGGTGCTTGTAATTGGGCTATCAGCGGCGCAGATTGAGCCTGAGAGCCTTGCGAGGCCCACGAATCTGTCCGCTGGTTTGGAGGTGGCTGAGGAGGGCCATAGTTCCCGGGAGGTGGTGTTGGCATACCATGTTGTGGGGTGTAGCGTCCAGACGGAGGAGCATGAGCATGATGCCTGGGCTTTGTGACAATGGGTAATTCCGCAAAGAAGCCGCTACTAGCCGGTTTGGCCGGTGGCGGGGGCTGTTGGGTAGGCGCAGGGTTCAGTCCATTCATTTGAGGTTGCATGGAGTGGCTAGACGACGGAGGTGATAAGCTGGCGGCTGACATATTCGAGTGAGGCGGAGGTCGTGCAGCACCGGCACTAGTGTTAGAATACATGCTACTGCTCCTGGGTGGCGGAGGAGTTGGGTGTGCAGCTGGTACGACGGAAACGTGATGTGGAGCTGCTCTTCTTCGGGGCTTGACAATATCATCTGGAAGATCATACGGGGAGTGATAACCTCCCTTGGCCTTGTCCGCAAAACTCAGGGCTGAGCTGGGCAATACGGGTCGACTCGGTTGCTGCTGCTGCTGTATTTGCGGAGATTGACCATATGCCTCGAAAGGGGTGACTGGCGAGGGAATCGACTTCTGGTCCATCTGAGAAAAATCCGTGAACTGCGGCGCTTGCACCCCATAGGGGTTCGTGTTGGGCTTCGGCGCTGGGGCTCCGGTTGGAGCATACTTGTTCGCTGAACTTGACCCAGGACGAACAGATTGCGTAACCGATGGTTCTGGCAGAGGCATTTCATCTTCTAGGAAGCCAGGATCGTCCTCGAATTCGAAAGGCGGGACTGTCTCCACATTTTCGGGCAGGAAATCGTCATCGAATGCGAGATCCCAGAGGCCTTGCTGGCTGCCACCGTCGTTGTGTGCATCGTGGATATGATCTGCTCCAGCACCAAATAAATCATCGTCCTCAGTTGTCCCCCAGTCTATCTCAGGAGTCTTCACTTCTCCGACTTTCCCTTGAGGAATATCGGGGCTTGCGACTGGGCCATCCTGCTGTTTGCCGCCCAAATCGAACACTTCTCCGGATGTACCCCAATCGATTGATGGTGTTGCAAGCGATGGCGTTGCAGCTTGGGTGGCCAGCGGGGCCTCGGCATGTTCTTGGATGGCGTCCTCTAGAAATGTTGAGTCTCCTTGATGCTCATAATGCTCCGCCGGGAGATGCTCCTCTTCCACATCATTACTGATGCTCTCCTCATTGTGTGTCCCATTTGTAGCTTCTAGGCCCATTCTAGATACCTCGATCGGGCTTGCGACGCTATCTGATGTTATCGGGGTGCTCTCCGCGTCCAGAGTATTCTCATTTCCGTTCGTTGCTTGTATTTGAGATACCCCATTGCCCTGTGTTGTCTTGTCTGAGATGCCTTGGCTACCGAAGAAATCGTCGTGAACGGCTGATTCGTCATTGAAGACGGCCAAGGGTGCTGCGGGGGCCGCTCCTTTGACAGCCGGAAGCTCGTCGTCCATCACAGGGGTCGACTCGGGTTGCGACAGGGGCTCCTTCACGGCGCCGGATGGATGTGGTGGTAGTTCCTCAGGAACCGGGGACTGTTCGTCGTGATCTGGCCGCATGGCTGGGTTCCAGGATGCTGATGCGGGTGTTCCGCCATAGGCGTAGGAGAAGTCCGGACCTCCATAGTCGCTCCCCATTATGCAAATTATCGTACGCGGTGAAAGGGGTATATGTAATTACTGCGGTGGGCGTTAGTCCGGCTTCATGTGCGCGTAATCGTGTCCGGTGTGTTGTGTAGGCTCCGAGATGTGGACGCGACATTCGACGGTCTGTTATGACGAGAGTGCCTCGGATATGCGTAGAGTTGATCGTGAGGTCGTAATTGCAGAGTATTGGAGTGATGGTGATATCAGGGCGCTCTCGAGCCGTGGCAGTTGACAGATTGCCAAGGGGGAGATGATGGGATCCCTTGCGCCATCCATGGGGGGTACGTACCAATACAAGAAGGCAGAAGAAGCAGCAGCGGCCAGGTCGCGCGCAATGCTAGGCGCAACGTATAAGAACCGCGAATTAGTAGAAGAGGCGCGTAGTGGTGGAGGGCGCGTGGGGAGACATGCGGAGGGGATGGGAGAAAGGTGGTCTCTGGGATCGAGGTGACGGGAGTCTTGGTGAAGCGTCCCGGCCGCCGACGAAAGGAGCAAGGTGGCTCGACGATGACCCTATTGATCCGCGACGGGGACGACGACGACCGAATTATTGCACCGCCACCGTAATTGAAGACGGCCCCATACGCCTCTCTGAATATCACATACACTTCATCGCACATCCGCAAGCTTGGTGACCCCAGCAGCTGCTGCTTACCCGTATCTACCGCTGCCTGGGGGCCCTCTTACAGCCACTTGACCCTCAAACACCACGCATAGAGAACACAACCTGGAGTCGAGATAGTCCGAATACATTCTTGAGTCTACGCAGGCCTCACTTGAATGCCTAGTGTACATAATTAATTCCCTCGACTCTTCCGCGCCGGCCGCAACCCTCCTTTCATGAACCGCCATGTCCGCTCCTCATCAATACCACCAGCCAAATGCGCCAGACGATAGCGACTCCGACCTCGAACTGGACCTGGAAGAACTCGATCCCCTCGCTGCATCCTCAAATTCTGCGACTTCCCCTCCGCGCCGCCCGTCGAAGGAGCAACATAAGCCGTATCAGCTGGAGGCAAGGATACCTCTGCGCAATCTGAGGGTTGGCAGACTGCGAGCATTGAGAAGAAACACCGCATCACCGAGCTACGACGATGATGAGGATCTCCGGGGCCTCATCGAGGACGACCATGACACCCAGAGGAACTCCGCAGGTAGCTCTGGCACCATCGGGGACGACGATGCGCCGCTTCTCTCCTCTTCACAAGTTAGGAGGAGAACGCCGCGAAATCCGAGCGCTATGGCTAGACTTGGATCAGCCCTTCGTCTGCCGAGCTTCATATCTTCACAAACACGACCGATGACACCGGGGGGCCATCATCCAGCTGAGGACGAGGAAGAAGCGGAGGACGAACACGATCCCAGCTCAAACCGGAACATCGCAGTTGGCCAACTCCAGACCTCTCGATTCCCTCCAAACGCGGTGTCCAACGCCAAATATACCCCGTGGAGCTTCCTACCGCGGACCCTGTACAATGAATTCTCCTTCTTCATCAACATGTATTTCTTGCTTGTAGCATTATCTCAGATAATACCCGCATTACGGATCGGATACCTCTCCACCTATATTGCACCCCTCGCATTTGTTATATCTGTCACACTCGGAAAGGAAGCCCTCGACGATATTGCCCGACGAAGAAGAGACGCCGAAGCAAACTCAGAGGGATACACGGTTTTGCGATTTGAAGATAATAGTCGAAATGGCGTAGCCAACACCAAGACTTCGGACAAAAAGGGCAAGGGACGGAAGCCAAAGGGCAGGAGTGGGATGGGTGCCCGCCGGCTATCGGACATTGAGGACGAGGAACGAAACATGTCCACCACGACGGGAATGCCGACATCTAGCTATCAAGAGATAGTGAAGCCATCTCGCGACCTTAAAGTCGGTGATGTCGTGAAGCTTGGGAAAGATCAACGAGTCCCGGCCGATATGGTGTTGTTGAAGAGTTATTCCAATGAGGTTGCCGCCTCTGCCCCCGAGCCCGCCCCGTTTGAACACCCAGAGTTGTTGGATTTAGGTGTTAGTGCTGCCTCAGGGTCACTGGAAAAGCCTCAAACCCCATCGAATGCTCCAGAGCCGACTGGAGAAGCCTTCATCCGAACAGATCAGCTGGATGGTGAGACGGACTGGAAGCTTCGAATCACATCACCGTTGACTCAATCTCTCGACATTGGGGAATACACCAGGCTCCGGGTTGTTGCGGGCAAGCCAGACAAGAAAGTCAACGAATTTATCGGTACGGTCGAGCTGCTCCCAAAGTCACGCCGAGAGTATGACCCACATATCAGCCGAGACGAAGGAGGGCCATCCACAGCCACTGAACAAGTCAAGTCTGCTCCATTGAACATCGATAGCACGCTTTGGGCGAATACGGTAGTGGCTTCAAGCTGTGCGGTACTTGCCGTAGTGGTATACACCGGCTCCCAAACACGCCAAGCCCTGTCTACCTCTCCCTCAAGGTCGAAGACCGGTCTACTTGAGTACGAGATCAACTCTTTGACTAAGATCCTTTGTATACTCACATTGAGTCTCTCGTTCATCCTGGTTGCAGCCGACGGCTTTCGCGCCCAAGATGGAAATCAGTGGTATGTCCTCGTCATGCGATTCTTGATTTTGTTCTCAACGATCGTACCCGTTGGGCTGCGCGTCAATCTGGACATGGGGAAATCTGTTTACGCTTATTTGATTGAACACGACAAAGAGATCCGGGGAACGGTAGTGCGCACGAGCACGATTCCCGAGGATCTTGGTCGGGTAGAGTACTTGCTTAGTGACAAAACTGGAACTTTGACGCAGAACGGTATGTTTTCATGCAATGTCATATCAATTCGAGCTACTGATCACTTGCGCAGAAATGGAAATGAAGAAGATACATGTTGGTACCGTCTCTTACGCCAACGAAGCCATGGACGAGGTGGCCTCCTACGTTCGCCAAAGTTTCATCGTTCAGCCATCTGGTGACGCCACAGCTCCTCCCCCATTGATCACGCCCTCCTCTACATATGTCGCTCCCCTGACATCTGCTACAAGAACGCGAAGGGAAATCGGATCTCGTGTTCGTGATGTCGTCTTAGCGCTTGCGTTGTGTCATAATGTCACGCCTACAACCGAGGAGAAGGACGGCGAAACCGTCATATCGTATCAAGCTTCATCTCCCGATGAGATTGCCATCGTTCGCTGGACTGAGGCTGTTGGTCTTCGACTGCTGCAACGTGACCGACACTCCATGGCCCTCCAATCTGTCGAGACAGGGAAACTTGTCGTGCGTGTCAGGATTCTTAACGTATTCCCCTTCACATCTGAAGGCAAGCGTATGGGCATAGTTGTCAAATTCTGCTCCGGCACCTCATCCTCACCCACAGAAGACGACGGCGACATCTGGTTCTACCAAAAGGGCGCCGACACTGTCATGAGCACCATCGTTGCCGCCAACGACTGGCTTGACGAAGAAACCGCCAACATGGCCCGCGAAGGCCTCCGCACCCTCGTCGTTGGCCGGAAAAAGCTCTCCGCTGGCATATACGAAGAGTTCCTGTCCAAATACTCGCAAGCCGCCCTCGCCCTCCACAACCGCGACACTGCCCTCGCCGACGTCGTCAAAGCCTACCTTGAAAATGACCTCGAGCTACTCGGCGTCACTGGGGTCGAGGACAAGCTCCAGAAGGACGTCAAATCGTCCCTTGAGCTCCTCCGCAACGCTGGTATCAAGATCTGGATGCTGACGGGTGATAAAGTTGAGACCGCGCGCTGCGTCGCTGTTAGCTCTAAGCTCGTCGCCCGGGGACAGTACGTTCATACCATCGCGAAAATGAAGCGGAAAGACCTCGCGCACGACTCTCTCGACTTCTTACGTGGCAAACCAGACGCTTGTTTGCTAATTGACGGCGAATCCCTCGCGCTCATGCTGACGCACTACCGCGAGCAATTTATCTCCATCGCCGTCACCCTCCCCACCGTCGTCGCGTGCCGCTGTTCTCCTACCCAAAAGGCCGACGTCGCGAAACTCATCCGCGCACACACCAAGAAGCGCATCTGCTGCATCGGCGACGGTGGCAACGACGTCTCCATGATCCAAGCGGCGGATGTTGGCGTCGGAATCGTGGGGAAAGAAGGACGCCAAGCCAGCTTAGCTGCCGATTTCTCGATCGAGCAGTTCTGCTATCTCACCAAGCTACTCGTGTGGCATGGGCGGAACAGCTACAAGCGCAGCGCAAAGCTCGCCCAATTCGTCATCCACCGCGGTCTCATCATCAGCGTCTGCCAAACCGTCTACAGCATCGCTACCAAATTCGCTCCGAACGCTCTCTACCGCGTAAGTCCCCAGATCCTCTCACCCTCCACCCCCAACCCCATCTCATCTCACCCCGACAACCCCCGCTAACACTCGCACACAGGACTGGCTCCTCGTCGGCTACTCCACAGTCTACACCATGGCCCCCGTTTTCTCCCTCGTGCTCGACACCGACATCCCCTCCTCTCTCGCGCACCTCTACCCGGAGCTCTACGCCGAGCTCACCACCAACCTCACCCTCTCCTACCGCACCTTCTTCATCTGGGTCCTCGTCTCCATCTACCAGGGCTCCCTTATCCAAGTCCTCTCCCAGTTCCTCACGCCCGCTCCCGCCACCTCGCAGACCCCTCCTCCCTCCACCGACCTCGACGTCGGCAGCCCGGGCTTCTCGCGCATGGTCGCCCTCTCCTACACAGCGCTCGTGCTCAACGAGCTCGTCATGGTCGCGATTGAGATCATCACGTGGCACTGGGCCATGTGGCTGAGTATTCTGGGCACCGCGGGCGTGTTTTTCGCTAGTCTGCCGTTTTTGGGCGATTATTTTGATTTGGGGTTTGTGGCGAGTGGCGCGTTTTTGTGGAGGGTCGTGGTCGTGGCGGGGGTCAGTTTGGGGCCGCCGTATGCGGTCAAGTGGATAAGGAGGTTGTGGCGGCCGCCGAGTTATCGGAAGGTTAGGGGGGTGTAGGAGGAATGGAAGGGAGCGGAGCGGAGCGGGAGGGGGGAGTGGATGGGTAAGAGTGGGAAGAATTGAAAGAGTGGGAACGGGTGCGGGTTTGAGCATGGCGTTTTGGGGTATGTGAGGTTTGCATAGCGGATTCAATTTATTCCTTGTCGTCGTCTTCAAGCAATGATGAGCGATGATTGCGACGTAAGTGTCAGTGTAGGCTGTGTGTTGAAGTAGTTTCTGAGTGGGTGGGGAGACTCCTGATTCGAGATGAGGAGTACAGATTGAGTTGTGGGAGCAAAGGTCGTGGTAATGGAGTCAAGTGTGTCAGCAAATTCGTGAGCATGCGGCACTCTGAGATGAAAGATGGAGTGAGTAACTTCTATGTCCATTTAGTTATGATCAAATCTTTATTCGGGTTTAGCTTTCGGACAACAGAACGCTAATGTGAGGAGAACAGATCCCCGGACCCGGCCGCTCTGTGTGGCGTTCAGTAATTCATGTACAGTGAAATGATGCTTAGGGTATTGGGAAAGACAAATGTAGAGAGCTCAAGGGGCAGAACGTAAGCCGCATAGTTCTTCCTCATACAAGCATTCCACTACTCCCAAGGCCGGTAAGATGGGGCGATGTTTGGAACTAAATGGAGTGCCTGTATAGCGTTAGCTGATTTCGAAAAAGGGGACTCAGTACATGGCACTTACAATGAAAGATAGCTACGTCTCAACCGATCCCTGCTTTGGTCAATCCGTCCAATAAGTTTGCGTGTTGTTGATGACACAGCTCAGTTTCGAATGTGCTAGGAACGGTGCCGGATACCAGCTGCGGTGAGAATGCTCTCGCAAGATAGATCGAAGATCTGCAAGGCTCATTTCAATGAAACGTCTGACAGTAACCTTGTGCAAGACGAATACGGCAGTCAGTGCCGCGAGGTTCTGCAACCGTTTCTCCCGCCCGTGCAACCCATAGACCCTCAGCCCGTAGAGACAATTGAATTCGACATTCAGGATCCACTCCGCAAGCGCCCGGTAAGTGTTAGAGTCTAAACCTGGATATGGAGGTAGTTCTGGCATATCGGTTCTGTCGATTCCGCCCTTCGATGTGTTATCTAAATCCTTTTTCAGTGGTATTCTATTTCACATGATCACTTTAGTATGATGGCGCCATTACTGACCTGTGTTATACTCCGAGGCCATCCCTCCATAGGCGAAGAGGAAGCTGGCCTCCTCTTCAGCCATGAAGACTTTAAACTGCAGGCCCGTACACTCGACAATTCTCTTCAGCTCCGGCTCTTCGATCGCGTGGAGTAGATAGTATAAGCTGCAACGCTCCTCGAGAACCATGCCGATAACTTTTAATTTCCTGAATCGGGTATTAACTGCTAGAGAGTAAAGCTGACTGAAAAGATGGTCCGGATTTTGAATCTTCAGCAGTACCTTTTGTATGTTTTCAACCTGCTTGTGGAAGATCGCACGCACAACAAAGAGGACTTGCAAGCCTTGCTTGTGGTATCGTAGCCAAGTTTTGAGCTGCTCCGCATAGGCATCAACCGCCTGGTCGAGAATAGAGGGGTCTCTGAAGTGAGTTCGTTCATCCATCAATTCCGGTAAGCACTCTGGTTGCTTAACGTAGCTGTCAATACAGATAACGTCCCTCTCGAAGTTGAAGTACGTTAAACGTCTTGGATTTCTCCGTTCATCCAGCCCGGTACTCAATAGGTTCAGCGTCTCGTAGAAGGCCTCCCTGCTTGCCATAGCTACGTTGGGCCATGATCCTGGGACAGCGTTGGCTTCGGTGGGATGTTGGTACTGCGTCAATCGTATGACCCGTCCTCGGTCTGGTAAAGCGAGCTTCCATATGTGGACTCGAATTTCAGGCGGCAAGTAATTGAAGCAGGTGAAGCTATTGTCTGCTTTGCTGCCGGCTGCGCGTGTAGCCAACGCGCTCGTGGGTGACTCCATGCTCGCTAGAGAGGTCGGGGCAGCATTGGGTGCTAGGTGAAGCGGCAAGGCGCTGAGTAAAGACAAAACTGGCACCTCTGGCACTGGATCTGGTGATAGAAGTTGGCGATCTGATGAGGACGTGATGAGACGAAATGTGAGAAGGTTGAAGGATGGAGGTTGAAGTCGAGGTGACGTTAAAAAAGACATCTCCGGGCCGGATATTTTTCCGCCCTCAGCACCTTCCCATTACTTTCACATCATCTCCCTGAAGTGAATACTTGAAACTCGGTTAGTTGTCTGATCTGCACTAAAGAGCACCTTATGTGCTAACGTAGGCTTCAGCATCGGTCGTAGAGAAAGACGCCGAGGTCCTCACTCCTGTGCCGCCGCTTGATGTATCGATGAAGTTCAAAACTCTCAAGAATCCCGAAGAGACGCAATTTAATTTAAAGCCAAATATCACAGACGTTTGGAAGATCGAAACGGATACTTTGCCTGAGGCAGCAGCCCGACTTGTCTGGTCCAAACCGTTGATTACTTCTCAAGCTTCCGGCATGCACACATTCGAAAACGTCCATGAAAGGATTCGCGAAGTTGATTTTGGGCCGTATGAGAGACCCTAGCAATTACAGGGATAATAGTCTTACAGCTTCCGAGGGATCAATTGAGAAGAGTGAAGCTATCGACGGGGTTAGTAATGTATACACGAGCTAAGGAATCCTTACTAGGCCAGTATCCGATCTAGAGAATGCATTCTGGGTCAAGCGTTGTGATGCGTGTGATGAATTCCTGTGGTTCACTTCGAGAACTGCTGGACCACAGAAAGTCCAAAAGAGTCCAGAGCCTTCTCCCGACCGAATATCAAAATAAGCATCCTAATGCCACTCAAACATCAGCGCAAGCCCCAAAATTTTGCACATATTCTTTTAGAGGCCAACCTAAAGTCATTCAAAATATTGTTTCGCTCGAACTCGCAGTCCAAATTATCCATTCAGTCACCGACGCCCTCTAGAATCACTCAAAATGAAACATCTCATCCTACCTCTCCTTTTGGCTCTCAGCACCATCATTTTCGCTTCTCCAGTAGCTCAAGCTAACTTTGTCTTCCATACGCCTGACCAGCTCTGGCCACCCTTCAAAAAGCCGACGTCTAGTTCTTCTTATCGGTATCCCTATCAGACCGACGACAGCAATCGCCCAAATGGCGATAGCGTCGACAACGGCAACGACAATGGTGATGGGAATAACTTCAGTATAATGGTGGACAGTTACAGCAATGGCGTGGCGAATTGACCTGCTGGTCCGTCAGGTAAGTAGAATACTTCGATGGACGTCTCCGCGCGTTAGCGTACGCAACTTGTTGATGCGGTTGATACCTAGACGGCACTTCGGGACGCTGCCGGAGTTGCAAGGACTGCAATTTCTGCCTTTACAAGGATCGGTGCTGCTTCAAGCCTAAGCCTCTGCCGAGAGGGAATACGTTACTTCGTTCAACCGAGCCAACCAAACCGCCGGCGGAGGATCTTGGGTACTGCCTGTGTGGAGGAGGAGGGGTAGGGATTAGTGCTATCAATGGATTCAGTTCCTTGATTTCTTATTTGTACTAAGAGAAAAATGTAGTGTTGAATTACAAAGGCATCTATGTTCCCAGGTCCCACTCCAACAACGGCAATGGGAAAAAACTATCTAAAAGCATAGTCTTACTAACACAATTCCATCCAACAGTTCCAATCGCCATTCAGACGCTATCTATTTCCCATAAGACCTTCCGGAGTTGCGGCTTTGCTCGCGATTGCAATGAAACCACCCACCAAGCACATGACACCACTGAATATGGTCAATTCGAGAAACTCTCCATATTTGGCAACAAGAGCTCCGTTGACCGGAGGACCTATCAGGACTGCAAGAGAGGCAATGGCCATTCCCATTCCCATGTAAGTACCAACATCTCGGGGGTCTTTGGTACAGACACTGAAGGCTGCAGCAGCTCCAGAGACTCTTTATATACCTATTAGCACATCTCCGTAGCAATTGGTAGGGTAGATACTTACATCGTCCCAGAAGTGAATCCGAAAGCAATCGAATACACCACCAACGCTGCCGTGGTTTCCGCCTTATTCATACATAGGATGACGACGCCGGTCATTATGCCTCCAAGGCCGAACATGTTCAATTTCCCATACCTGTCTGCTAGGATCCCCGGAATGATGCGACCAAACGTGGAGGCCCCGTTGACAATCGCCAGCAGATACGAAGCAAGTGCCGCATCCACACCTCTGGAGACGGCATATGTCGGAATGAAGAAGAGCGGAGTCCACATGCCTAGAAACATGAAGAACAGCGAGACGATCATGAGGACGAAGGTGAGTTCCTTGAATGCCAATCCGATGAAAAAGGTGGTAGTTCTCGGTGGCAAGCGAGCGGTGATGGCCACACAGGAGAAGATCAAGAGTGGCAGCATTACGAATCCCATGACTCGCACTGTCCATCCAAAGCCCAGCGACGACTCGTTCAGTAGCTTTGAGAATGCGATGGGGAAGACAATGCCGCCGACGGAGGATCCAGACACCGCCACGCCCATTGCTGCGGCTCGTTTCTTGTCGAAGTACTGGGACAGTGCAGCAATGCATGGGAACATGAGGAAGCCCATGGAGGTGCCTATTAGGACACCTTGCGTAAGCATGAACTGCCAGTACTCAGAGCAGAGGCTTAGCATCATCACACCAAAGACGAAGAGGATGGCTGCAGGTCGGATAATCTACTGCCAGTTAGCAACTCGCTTTATTGTAAAGACTGATATACCAAATACCCATGCGCCATGACGATCAAATAACGGTCCTGCGATCACCGCTATTGCGAGCTGAAGGAAAGCTGAGAGAGATCCAATCCAGGCGATGTTGGCCGGTGATTTTCCACGGAGCTGGTGCGTCATGAAGTACTCTTGAAAGACGCCAAACGAGTTCGCAAAGCCGAGACCTGAGAACCAGATGCAGAATCCACCTGCTGCAACAAGCCATGCTCGGAGGCCGCCATCGGGTGCTTCGTCGATATTGGGAGATGTCTCAGTCTCCTTGATAAAGATGGTGGCGTCAGAGTTCTGGCCCTCGCGCTCACTAAGTTCTTGATATTCAAGGTTTTCAGGGATCATATTGGGATATAGCCGGAGGTTGCTTTCGAAATGAGGATATGAGGGAGGTGGTTGAAACCTCGAAAGTAAGATGCATTTCCAGGAAGCACAGAATCCATCATATATACTTACTATTGAAGAGTTCGCTGCATCTCGGAAATGGGACGTACGGAGATAAAAACACGGAGACTCGGTATATGCTGCTGATCGCAAGTTGTGATTGGCCTTATAAATCACGTGATGCGGGTTTAGCAAGCGTTGTTCGGCGAACTTCAGACGAGAAGGACCATGCCCGCAACTACACGACTTCTACTCATCTGAATGATTCCAACTTATCCATTTCCCCAATCGAAAATCTTCTACAACATGCCGTTTGAGACACGACACAGATACAAATATTCTTTGACCCATTTTTCGTGTGTCTTGAATCACCCAGCGTAGTCACTTCAAGACGGTCATGTCCGAGCCTGAACGCCGCCGTAGAAGGCCAGCTGTGTACGTTGTTGTCCCCGCTATCCCTAATCGACCTTAAAGAGCCCTCCAAAGAGGCGCCCATGTTTACAGAAAGCTACTACGATCAACTCAAGTTACGACATTGCATCTGTAAGGCTAATAATAGGGGTACAGATCATGCTCTGTCTGCAGAAAACGTAAAATTCGATGCAATCGAGAGTTCCCCTGTAGTAACTGTGTGCGGTCCAAAAATGACACTTGCGTGTATGACGACAACCCACCTTTGCGACGGCGTCTTAGCCATGGGGCGACCAATTTCACTACACTCGGAGGCCCCCAAGGAGCTATGAACGTGTGCAGAGAGCTACCACATATCAATGCGAATCACGATGCTTCGGAAACGAAGTCGTGTACTACGACGGACTTTGGCTTCACCCAAGAGCTAGTGGAGTCTCAACGGCCTCTACCTGTTGACAAAATGATCCCAAGCCGTCCTCAAATGTCATTGTCCAGTTCAACAAGTGCCTCAACTCCTGCTAGTCAGCTATCTGCCTCCGATATCGAATCCATGAAGCGAGAGATCAGACGACTTGAAGATGAGGTGTCTCAATTAATGCAAAGTGCTGCCCACTCTCCCGCTCTTACTTCCGACATAGAAACAATGGCGTCTTCTATAAGTGGAACTTTCAACATCCAACACGAGAAACGCCTTTTTGGCCAGGCTCATGTTAGCCAACGCAGCGTCATGCACAAATCCCGTCTATTCGGTCAAAGTCATTGGATTAACTCTGCTGCATTGGTAGGTCATAGGCTGCCTCACTGTGTATACCGTTTGCCACTGTCATGGATGCCTCGACGCGGTCTCAAAAACGTCAAGCTCCGGCGATGTGCTGAAGCACTGCATGCAGTGGCAGAAGAGTGTACACAGACAGCAACAAATTCAAGCTGTGAATCAACCGGCTAACTGGTCTTTAGTTCCGCGACGTATTCGATATGATTAGAATGATGGAGCCACATCTGCGAGAAGATACCTCGAAAGTGTGTATTGGCCTTCAACGGTGCAAAGCTTTGGCAAAAGTCATCAAAATGCGGCGAGAGCCACCGTGGCCCACACCGCCGACCTCGAAGGCCGACCTACCACCAAAAGAGCTTGCCGACAAGCTCGTCAGCTGCTATCTCTGGACGACCGAAACGATCTATCGGATTCTGCACGTTCCTACCTTCAGAAAAGACTACGAGGCGCTGTGGACATCGGAAAAAGAGCCCGATAACGCATTCCTAGTTCAAGTCAAGCTAGTTCTCGCGATCGGGGCCACCACGTACGATGAACACTTCTCTTTACGCCATTTGGCCATCAAATGGGTGTATGAGGCACAAACCTGGTACTCAGAGCCCGAATTCAAATTACGATTAAGCATTCAGTCTCTGCAAACCACTCTCCTACTCTTGGTCGCTCGAGAAACAGTAGGTGTAGGTGGAACTATGATCTGGACTTCGGTTGGCGAGTTGCTCAGAACGGCTATGTACATGGGGTTGCACAGAGACCCCGTATATCTACCAAAGAGGACGGTTTTTGCTGCTGAGATGCGAAGGAGGCTATGGAATACGATTTTGGAGGTAGCAATACAGTCTAGTATGAGCTCCGGTGGACCTCCGCTTGTCTCTCTTGACGATTTCAATACCGAACCCCCTTCCAATTTCGACGACGAGGAGCTCATGGCTGAGAATCCAGTGCCAAAACCAGAAGAGAACTTCACACAGATGTCCATCGCGATAGCTCTCCGCAAGACACTTCCACTCCGCCTTGCGATCACGAAGTTCTTGAACGATCTTGGTTCTCGGGATACATATGACGAAACCCTTCGACTGGATAATGAGTTCAGGGTACAATACAAAACGCTCTGTCAAAACCTTCAAAGAAGCAGAATGACCACCGGAAGCTCGCCCTCCTCGTTCGGAGTACGCGCGGTCGACTTTATCATGCGTCGCTACCTCTCGTCGCTTCATGTTCCATTCTTCGACCTAGGATTGCGAGAATCGACCTATGCGTACTCCAGAAAAGTAATCATAGAGACTTCCCTCCAGCTGTGGTGTGCAGTGTACCCCTCCTCGTCCATCATGGCGTCTCGGCCTCGCAGTGACAGTGACACGACCCCTTCGGCTCAAGACGATTTCACGCGCTTTCTGGTCTGTGGCTCCGGATTCTTCCGCACCGTCGCTACCCAGGCTTGCTTTCTCATAGCAGCGGAACTCAAGACGCAATTGCAGGAGCAAGACAGTCTAGGCCCGGTGCCTCTGCGACCGGACCTTCTTTCCGTAGTAAATGGCGGGAAAGCGTGGGCCCTGCAGTGCATGGAGGCTGGAGAGAGCAACATTAAGGGCTACTTGCTCGCGTGTTTGGCTGCTGCTCATATCGATGGTCTTATGAAAGGGCTCGAGAGGGACGAATTGCCGCCCTTATTACTTAAAGCTGCAGAAGAAGCAGAAGAACGCTGTTTGGTGATATTTGAGGAGAAGGTAGGGCCAGGTCAGACGGAGGGGGGGGCAGATGTGCTCGATGGGATGACACTGGGCACGCCGAGTGGGCTGATGGATGGCTGGGACTTTATGGTAAGCCAAGAAACATTATTGCAAACTCACTCATTCGTCCGTCACTCACGGTCGTGTTAGATGTCAGACGACCAATTCAGTTTCGGAAATGCGGACCCAATGAGCTGGGGGTTGAACGACGAGGCTATGCAAGAGCCATCACTTTGGTGACAAACGTCAGAGTTTCTATAACTACAGTGATTTGCCAAAAGTCTGGACACAGTTGTTACCACTGTTAGAGGTGCTTTGGCACATTCTAAAATTTCTCATAAGATGTCAAGTCCCTGAGAGGTCAAATCAGTGGAATTTCACACTCTAACAGTCGGCCTACTTGCCACTGTCGATGGTTGCTTCAGCACCTAAAATAAATCAGAACAAGATGAAAAATACGGCATATCCAAACCTGTGTCCTATTACTGTGGTAAAGAAATCAACCGCCAAAGGAAATGCAATCAACCGAAACTCAAGCTTCGAGACAGATAGTATCATCTGATCCTCCCTGCTAATGGCAGGATCTAAGCAGCAGCCCAACGCGACACTAAATCAGCACTCCGCATTCAGACCTCCCAGGCATGGCTAGGTCATGTCGACGGCCTCGCCCCTCTTAAGTGCTAGTCTCGTATTGCAAAACACTGTCGCCGGAGGCACCTTCAATTTCCTCAGCCATCGAATCCTCCTTCTTCAAGGACTCCCCTTTCTCAACCTCGTCGACCGGATCCTCCTTCTCCAAGGACTCCCCTTTCTCAACCTCGTCGACCAAATCCTCTACCGAGAACACCGCACGAATTTTCGGCTCGATCTTATCGAAGATTACATTGGACCAAGGCTCCTCCGCATTGAGGCTTGCAAACATCAGCTTCAGCGAAGCCACACACCCGTTCATATATCGCAGCTGACCCTTGGAAGGCGTGTAGCGCTTGACACCCGATAAATAGACGAACTCCTTAAGTTCCTTGAACCGTGCGAATCCGTCAGGCGAGATGATCTGGTCCGCATTGATCGGATGCCAACCCAGCTTCTGCACCTTGGCGATCTCCGCGGCCTGGAAGAGGTCCTTGATGGCGCGGTGGCGGTAGTTCTCGGTGAGCTTGAAGAGGAAGTCAAAGTCGTCGTCAGCCCATTCCGGGGCCAAGGTGCCGTAGAAATCAGGGGCGAAGCGCCATGTGGTGAGCAGTGTATCGCGCTTGTAGTTGAAGTAGAATGTGCGCTCGATGGGCTGCATCTGCTTGTCCTCTGCGTTGAGGGTCATTGTCTTGCCCTGCTTCTTGGCCAGCTTGAAAGCTTCCCTCCGGGACTCGTGGCTCGCGTGGAAGATTCCGGGGAAGCCGGGGGTGACTCGAGCTTCCTTGTAGTCGTACACTTCGACTACTCGAGGAGTGATGTCTTCCAAGGCTTGTGACCAGATCTTGATCCGAAGCTCGGCAGGGAGTCCACTGAACTTCGGGAACTCGGTTAGAATGACCCCGGGTTCCTCATTGATAGTAGCCTCAGGATCGTTGGCATTGGTGACAGCAGTTGTGAAAGCAGAGGCGCTGTCTTGGGTCTGGGTGGTGGGCTCGGACATCTTCGCTGTAGTGGCAGAGACGGTGTCGTTGAGCGAAGTGGTAGTAGCAGACATCTTGTGTTGATGTTGGTTGCACGAAGTATTTGTAAACGGTAGGTGAAGGTAACTGAATCTAAAAGTAGAGTGTGGTTTGGTGTGGTATGGTGTGGTGGGTATAGATGCTATGATGGGAGTTGAACCATCGGAATCCTGAAGGGGTTTTTGTAGGCGTGAGAAACCATCACTGGCGGTGAATGAGCGAGAGAAGCGTATTGCGCCTGCAGCTGGGATAAGATTTCACTGGGATTACCAATTCACTGGCAACCCATCGACAAGGCATCACGTGAAAGTCACGTGAGCGAAGCACTGAATGTGATAGTCTGGACCTGAGAACCTGTTGTCGTAGGAACTAGGATGGAGTGATTAAAAGTATATAGGAAACCGTTGAGAAGAGACCGTGCATCGTCTCCATTACTACACTTTCATCCAATCAAAATACGCGATACTTGTCCGTGTTGAGCAACACCACAAAGTCCCCTCGACCTGAAAATTAGGATACGGTAATAAACAAGCCGAGAGGCGGGCTGACACCCTGAAAGAACTTCATGTCCAGCCCATCCGCTGAGTCAATCCGGTAGCTGAGAGTCTTTCCCGCCGCACACGGCCCGCTGTAGATGGTGTAACCCTGTCCAGCATCGAGATGCTTCACAACACCGAAAATCTTACCAGCGGGAACATTCGCAAAGGTCGTGCTTGTATTTGCCGGTGTAGCCAGTTGCTGAACAGTGATGCCGCCATCAGAGTCAGCCGTGTAAACTGGCCAGCGTTGTTGAGATCCGTCCGGGTAGAGAAAGACGAGATTGCATATCTTGCCAACGTAGCTCGTGGGGATGTCGAAATTGAAGAGGGTAGACACGGTGGGAGAGACTATGCCCTCATAACTCGTGCCCATAGTCGTTTCAGGTTGCGAGCTGTCGATCGGAATGATGAGGTGTGGGACCTGATAACTGCCGGATAGCTCAGCCGGGCTAGATGTTGGTACAGTGGTCACAGCCGGCGAGATTTTGCTCATGGTCTTGGTGATGATTGGGTTGGATGTGGTGATAGTATGGATGGAGAAATGCACGGTGGTTCTCATACGGGTTAACGTGCCTGCACTCAGATTAGAGGGTTGCTTGCGAAGATATAGATGTTCGCTCAGCTACTGATCAAATGCGCCCCACTGCTACTCGAATTGTTTACGCTGGTGCTGTTTTTCTTCACCCCATTAGCAACGAGGATGGAAGCACAGATCTTTTGTCTCGAGGAGTGCTTCAGCCTGTTGTCGCCTAGATTTGGGTAGCAGAGTGGCAGTGTCGCGTTTGAGAAGCTGTAGTAGTCAGTCGCAAAAGGAAATTCATCTACTTACAGCGCCGCTGCCCCCTGCTGGACAGGTCAAATCGAACAGAGGAGTGGTTGATAGTGTAGGGCCGCCAACAAGGCCGAAACTCGGGCTAGGCGTATTTGGCTCGGCATCCTGTAGGGTGTACCAAAACGTGTTGATATTGCCAAGGAGGCTACACGCAGTCTGCTTCCAGTATGTCTGGGCATTGTCGATACTGGCCACAGCCAGATTCTCCGTTGGTCCGCTAACTGGCCAGCCGGTTTCCGTTACCCAAACGGGCTTTCCTTGAGCAGCACCTACGGTAGCATCGTAGGCATCGAAGAATGTGGCATTGGAACCCCCTATGTCATTATCGACGGTGTTTTGGAAGTATGGATACTATGCTATAGTCAGCGTTGTGCGAGATGATTGACAAATCTACTCACAGCGTCCATTCCCAGGAAATCGCAAGCAGAAATTAAGGCATTGTTGGAGGCGTTCACATATGCTGTCCAGGTGTCGACATGGCCTATGACCGCTCCGCTAGCTCCAGTTCCTTGGATTGCTTGTCGTACCTGGGTGATATAGCTCACAAGCTCATCTGGTTGAGCACCGACTCCGGAATTGTTGATGATTCCCGTAGGGGAATTGCGATAAAGGTCCTCGCTGCCAACAGATATGCCAACAATCAAGTCGGTAAAGGAAGTTCCATATTGGCTAATCGCAGCGTTGAGAGCAGCGATCTCGTTGTTGAAAGCGGCCGATCCTGCCGACGCCCAAAGACCCAAGAGAAGAGTTGTTTTGGTAGAAATTGCTGCGGGGATCGCTGAGATGGGCGTATTCGTCGTTCCGCCCTGGATCATAGTGTAAAGGCGTGCACTAGTGAAGCCGCTCGCTCCCACGAGACCCTGTGCAGTCGTGAACTCGGCTTCGAAATCCGATTGCTGTTTATTGGCTCCGGTGTTGAAGGTACTGCCATAATTGAAGCCACGCAACTGAGCGTTAACGGTCGCGATCGCGGCAGCAACGCCAAACGTGAAAGAGGTACGCATGTTGAGGAAGAACGAAGAAAGGTCTATCGAATTAAATAAGTGCTGAAAGAGAATTCAAGGTATCAAAGGCAAACGTTGAGAATGGGAAACCCAGGAAGAAAATTCGTTGTCTAAGAAGTGAGTAGCAAGTGACGTATCGAGCTGGCCAGGCACGAAACGGCGGATTCTAGCTCGCAAACATTTTGAGAAGTGGGGACACCAGCCTCAACCGCGTGGAAGCAGCAGAGCGGAGTAACCCGCGGGTAGTAGCTTTCTGGAAGCGGCTGCCCGACATCATGTGTGGATCGCCACCTACGATTTACAAGAATCCATGACACAGATTTTCCCCATGCGAGGATTTGCAGCCATTCGGTCTTTCGTAGCTGCAACGCTGTCACGCTACAAATCATACGTACAAGTAGCAGCTGCTCAACCTGCGTGCGTGTTCAGCCCACACGCAGGCCGATATATTCCGGGGTACAATTGTTCATCTTTACCAGGAACGCACGTGTTCCTGATCCTCGCTTCCGATCGACCGCGGGCGTCAATAGTGAGTTCCTGCATCGAACATAGGATCAAATCCGGTGTCCATAATGAAAACAGAAGTAGAATAGGATGTTCGGCAGGTCTGGGCAGTTCGCCTGTACGTCCATCGTGTGTATCCTGACATCTTTTGGAAGGGAGGTTGTATCTTAGGGCTTTATGAAAGCCGCAAAAGGTCTCTCGTAAGGTGATCCGGTAGAATACAGCTACCAGATCCTTACGATAGATGAGTATTGACGGAAATTGTTGGAAATGCGCATCGCTGATGGTTCGTCGAAGTCAGTGGAGCGTCAAGAGTGTCGTCGACTTAGTATTCTAGTGCGCGACAAAATAATCACTTCAAACACTAGTCCCAATGCGGCGTAGCTTTCTCCTTACTCCGCCCCTTCACAGTTCTGAGAAATGGGAAACTGCCAGAGCTGTGCTTAGACGACATACTTCAAACTTCTCCAACAGAATGTCGCCATTGCTCCATCAGTTCATGAAGTTCTCTTTGGGAAAGGGGAAAAAGAATCGAACACTCGACGCGCCCAAATCTGAAGCTGCAAGCGCACATCCGGAGCGTGAAGAGATCATATGCAAGAATTGTTCCGACCTGGACTTCTCGGCCTTGACCATAGCGCCTCACCGCTACGACGGAACCAGCTACATTGCCCGTAAAAGCGATGGATTGGTTGTCTGGCACTGGAAAGGGGACAAATCATGCGAATCTTGCAAATGGCTTCAAGAACTTGCACATGAAGCGGAGACGCACCGTGAACAGCGTGTGCCGGACCGTATAAAGCTCGTCTCACTCCAGGGCTCCAATTCAAATGTCCTGACACTCTGTTCTGTTTCCAGGTATTATTCCCTCTACGCGCCTAAAGAAGTCGAGTAACGTAGGTGGTAGGTTATAACGGTCGCTATGCTGCTTTCGACCTATCCATACAGCCAGCAGGTGCGAGCCATATTATGTCAGCCCAGTTGATGAGTATCAAGTCACCACAATAGCACACTTGATAAGATTTATGACGGGATATATGAGCTTTCCAGTGCATCCGAGGACGTCCAGAGCGACGTTCTCATCCACGTCCAGAATGAATAGTGGTATTGCGAGGTCTCGGCACGCAGGAATGGACGTTACCACTTTACATCATATTCCGTATTTTACGCCGACGTAGGCTACCTCTAGCGGTAGCATGTCTCTAGAAAAAGGCATCCATTTCGTCTAGTCTAATATACACCGTCCGACTTTTTTACACTCACCTGAATGTATGTATCGTAGAGTGTAGAGGCACCTCTGGCATTGGTAAACACCCCCATCCGTCTAGATGCGATTCACACCCTGTAATCTTTTACCGTCTTCTCCGCCGTTTCATACCCACCCGAGCCACTGCTAGCGGTGGTGAGAGCTTGTCAAACGGCTACATTCTCACGGTGTCCAATAGAAGCGTCGGAATTCTTTACATCATGTTGAGATATTTATACGAACGGAGGCCACCCCCAGCGGTCACAAGCATCTCGAAAACTACAGCGACTTTGGGTGCTATTGCGCTTTGGTAGTCCGATCAGCCTGGTCTAGCCCTGCGTATTGCCTCTCCGATTAGCCGCAACCTGTTTCGCCTTTTTTCACGCGTTTGTTCTGGCCCTTCCCAAATGGCCGCGCAGTCGACTCCAACCCGGCATACACTCTGGCAGTAAGCGGGTGACTACTGCTTGATTTGATGTAGAATGCGAAATAGTTCTCAAAGTTTTCCTTGCGCTCTTCCTCCTCAGCTGGATCAGCATGATAGCTCTTCGGATCCTGTGAAAGCATCTTGTGAGTTGAAATCTGGACATTACTATCCGAAATGGCGTCGACTGGAGTCCTACCATTGATTTCAGGCCCAGTTGTGTGCGCGATGCAATGGCCTTCCTCAATATCATCTCCGTTGTGTGACGCAACACCAGAGAGCTCGTAAATCAGGGCCAGATCCTTATTCTCTTGGAAGTCGGTCAAGTTCAACGTCTTGTTGGCTTTAATTCGGTCAAAGATCTTGATAGGGCCAAGAATAGCCTCGCCCTGGCGGTTAGTCTCACCCGTCTCACCAAAGTCATCTCGTCTAATCTTGACGACTAGTATCTCAGGGTGCTGAGAAGATCCGTTCGTTCGACACCTGATTCGTGGTCCCACCGCAGGTATCGCAGGCAACATGTATATCTTGGTCTCCAAACTTGGCCGCACCGAGGGCTTGGAGGTTACTATCTCCTGTCGTGAACACCACGAGAGGAAACTCATCCACTGCGCCGGTAGCTATTTCACGCATGGTAGCACAAACTGTACATTTTCACCGTTGAGAGAGGCGGATTTCGAAGAGACCTTCGTACTGTCGTTGCCACGTCGGAATACTCGCACTAGAAAATGTTAGCTTTACTATCAAATGCAAGGAATACACAATGGCGGGCCGTGAATCTATGGGCACTCGTTTACCGCTTGCTTGGGGTACCCCAACCAGGCCTCAAAACTCCAATTGCCATGTCAAGATTAAGTGAGCGGAACCTGAGCTTCCTCTTGATTAGTTAGCTTCCTGCTAGGGTGGGCGCTCCCGACAGTAGTATCTAGCTTCCAAAAAGAGTACTCAAGTAGTAGTATATCAATGTCTAGACCTATGGCCTTAGGGGAAGGGATGGAAATAGAAGGAAAGAAGCAACTTACGCGTTTAAGGGGTTTACAATTGCTTTTGACACGAGCCATTCGAGGAACTCGTTGGCATCTTCTTGCTCATTATTGCTCAACTGATAGTCCATATTTACGCGGTGTCTGGTCTGCCACATGATAAAATCAAAACGAGTGACTTGGTTACCCACAACACGGCCATCCCAATATACCGTCGGGCTATGTCTCTAAGCTCACAGATTGGGCATCTCCTAGCGCCGGTGGGAGCTATAGCGCAAGCTGACGTGGCCGTCCCGTTGTCGTGCTCTTCGATCCAGTTCAGAATTTGTGGAATATGAAGCAGGCCTTGCATAGCCGAGTGGCGGTAGCAATGGTTTCCATGATTGTGGAGGCCTCTGCTGCGTTTGTTGAGGCAGCGAGCAGGCCATTGCTTAGATATTCCTGCAAACTATACGATATGTTAGCCCATCAGATGAATATGTGAATCAAACAGTCTTACGTTTGCGGATCGGGCAAGTTGCACGGCGTGACCTAAGCCGACACGTTGCCGCTGACGCAAATTGCGGATTCGATCAGGGAGTGTGTTTACCGGGTCCAGCCCGTTCAGGATATTTCGTGGGCCTCTTGTCATTATGCTACGATTTCAGATTGACTTAAAATTAACGTCGGTAGTAAGCTTGTTGGCCTTTGTAGAGGAACGTGCACCTTATAGATTGATCAACTGTGACTGTATATACACCCAATGTCTAAGAAGATAAGGAAATATGCCCAACTCTCTTTGTTCTAGCAAACAATAAGATTGTTATTAGATGGAGAACAAAGCCTCTGCTGGCGGACGTAGACTCTCAATGGCGGCCCAGTCGTCGTTCTCGACCGTCTTTACGGTATTCGCGAACGATGATCTTGCTACAATTTAGAAGATATTTCTGATACCAGCCACGATGTAATCCATAGGACCTCTCTTCTTCCCATCTTGCATTTCGGCGATGCTAGCGCGTCTCTGCTCCTCCGAGACACCTACACCACTAATGGCTCGCTGACTCTCTCTCATACCAGTGTAGATATCAACATCCTTTATTTTGACGTATAGTGGGCGATCTTCTGGTCGGACGAACCAGCTGTAGACCTTCCAGATCACGTATAGGCCGATAAGGAAAGGACCGGCGAGGTATGCTTCGAAGAACGTTTTAGCATCCAAGTTGGGACCCCCGACTGGGTACAGCGCGACGTAGAATTGTGCGATAAGGCAGAGGACGTTGATGATCAAGCACACCCAGGAGCCCCAAACACCGAAGGCGGCCCTGAAGGGCAGCTCGTCTACGGAGTGACCATTGGCGGCCCTACAAGTAGTTAGTCACCGAGTAGCCAACCGATAGTGCAGTTTGGAGCTTACCAGGCCTTGCGGAAGCGAATATGAGCCAAAGCGATACTGCCGTAAATGAATAGTATGGAAAGACCTGACAATGATAAAAGCCAAGTAAAAACATCTCCACCATTCTTCGCCAAATTGATGAAAGCTAAGCATCCAAAGAGGAGTTGAAGGATGACCACAGAAATAGGACGTCCCTTTTTGTCAACATAAGCAAACAACTTGGGACCCATGCCTGTGTATGAAGTTAGCGTTATGTGAAAGTTATGAAACGGTGTACGCACCATGTGCGGCCAGAGCCTGCATCGTGCGGGTCGAGCCGAAAGTGCAGGAGTTGGCGACACTCATAACAGAAATCAAGATAACAGCGTTGAAAATTGATGGGAGGGCCTTGATGCCAGCGAGCTGAATGGCGACGACGAAAGGTGAGTGACGGGATTCGGATCCTGCGCCAGTGAGCAAGGTACTGTTGGCTGGTACGATCAACCCAATAAGGAAGAGGTTGACGATATAGAAAATGGCGATACGCCAAACAACCTGCTTGGAAGCTTTTGGAATTTCCTTTGCAGGGTTGGCAGTCTCGGCAGCAGCTAGTCCAGTGAGCTCAGTTCCAGTATAAGCGAACGATGCTGTAACGAAAACAGTACAAAAGCCGTGGAAGCCGTTGAGGAATGCAGTGTAAGGCGAGTGCCTATATTGCGTTATTAGCCTTGCCAGTAGCCACCTCAAAAGTTTGAGCATACCAGTATTTTGCACCAATATAGCCTCTGTGATCTGTTGGAACGCCGCCGCAGTTAATGATTATTCCAAGAATTATGAAGCCTGTGCAAGCGATAACCTTAATAACACTGAGGACGAACTCGACCTGTTCCAATTAACTCGGTCCTTAGAATAGCTTCAGTAAACTCGCCTCGCCATAGCCCCTCACGCCAAAGATCTGGATGGCAACCAAAGCGACAAGCAGTGGGACGATCCAAGCAGCGTTGTTGACGCCGTCCGATCCGGGCCAGTAGTGGATGATGTTGCAAGCAGCTGAGATCTCAAAAGGAAGGACAGTCAGCCAGCTGATGGCATACTGCCAGCCGCAAGCGAAACCCCAAGAGGGATCAACGAAGCGGCAGATGTACATAGTGAAGGCTCCGTTGATCGGGTACATGACAGCCATTTCTGCGAGAGCTTGCATGACGAGGTAGCTAAATGACCAAGTTAGATGAGGACAAAGCCTTTCAGCAGCAAAGAAGCATACACCATGCCGCCTAAAGTCATGTTAATTACCACGTCGCAATGCGAATAGCGTATAACGTACCAACAATCATGAAACCAAGAAGCACAGAAGCAGGTCCACCAGTTATAAAAGCACTGCCAGAGCCAACAAACAGGCCAGCACCAATTGCACCACCACTACATGCATACATTAGTACACAGATGACGATTCAGTGTGCTGAACTTGCATGGCAATCATCTGCATGTGTCTGCCTTTCAGATCTTGGTGAAGCCTGTTCTCGCTGACTTCGACCAAATTTTCTGGGTCACTACTGAAGGCCGGAGCAGCGTTGATATCCTTCTCAGCAAGACCTCCATTTTCGGGTTTCAGACTCATGGTTGGGGGGGGGGGGGGGGAGAATGAAAGAATGAAGACGCGACCAGGCCGTGAGATATTTTGGATAGATATGTAGCTGCGACCCCATTTTTAGCGCCGTGTACCCTTGTGACTGCGGCAAATGGTAGATAAGCATCTTCTGTCCGATTTGTGAAGGGTTGTGGATGAACCAATCATAACCACATCCGAGCAAGCCGCATATTAACTATTTGGGGAAGGTGACATGGTGGCGGCCCACGGTTGATTCAGCTATCAGGCGTATCTTTTGTGTGTGGGGTGTGGGGAGTGTGGCGCTTTCATTTCGGAACGCGCACGGCTACGCGGTACAGCAGACTGGCAGATACTGAAGAGTTGATTGGTGAGAAGCCTTGCATTGGTCTGTGTTTTGATCCCCTGTTGCTGACGTGCGTCAACCCACACACACAAGAGACGCTGTGACGCCTGCACAGTGCCTGATAGCATAGCATGTAAAGCTGTTCGCGGCAGATCCGACTACCAGTGTGTTTCGCAAGGAGATTCCGTCACGTGACATAAATCTCGTGGGCAACTTCCATATAATGTGGTCACGTGACGGAATCTCCTCGCGAAACACTCTGGTGTGGTGGTACGATTCTCAGGATAACGAAAACGGGTACGTAATAAGCGCGCCAGAGCTTGGCAAAGCACAGTGCGGGGTGCCTTCTAGAATAGGTAGCTGCGTCGCACCACTTTAAGCTAATCCGAAATTGTAGTAGCGCGGGGCATGATACCTGTGAACAGGATGCGCTAATGCATGATCCACCTGATGCATGCTAAGGCACGCCAAACATCGCGCCACGTCAGGGGGCTTTCGAACACCCATCCTCCGCGCGGCGAAGCAGCCGGAATGCACCTTCCTCAAAGCGAGTGGCCTTCAAGGCTCCGAGCCATGCTCTTTCGCCATAGAGCTAGCCCCCGGCACTCCGAATTTCGAAGAAACTCCCACATTCGTGATCGATCGGCGGCAGGACCAACACAGCGGGTGCAAGAGAGAACTCCTTTGTGATGTATTAGCACTCTTTAGCCCTCAGTACCAGCGTTGAGATCTTTTCGCTTCTAAATGCATTGAATTCATTCTTCTAGTCCATTTAGTCTTACTGCTGGACTGAGAAGACATGAACTGCCTTGTGGCAGGGCGCTGTGTGTCATGCGATGTCGCCACGTTGATTGGTCCCTCGTATTCAGCCAACAGGGATCCTTTGTTAGGGACGAGACGGAGGAGTGATAGATACTGTGTAATCTATCTTACGTTCTGTTCAAGTCCTCAGCTGATACATGTACCAGTGTTTGGAGGGAAGATTAAGCCACGTGACGTAGTATTGGTAGCAAGATTCATTAAGTCTAATCACGTGACTGAACACTGTGGTATCTTCAGCTCTTTGATGACATTCATGGAACTCATTGTGCCTCGCGGAGTCACGCCGCGGCTGTCTGAGACTAGCGCATGACGGAGACAACGAAATGTTGTCACACTCCGACAAAGAGCTGCGACTACAGGTACGAAATCGTGACGCTGATGCTGATATCGCTTTAGGATACATGCGAGAGAGACTATAAAGAGGCCTAAAGTAAAATTCCGTCTCGTGATGGGGTGCGTCTCGGGACCCAGGGATGCACATTTACTTACGTTAACTTACGCTTTGCCTTTACTTCGCTTTTTACCGATTCTCCCTCCCTTCACTCCCCTCGTCGTTCGTTTTACCGGAACCGCAGACTCAGCATATACACCAGTATTGGAAGTTCGAGTATAGAACAAGATATAATTCTGGAACCTCTCCTGTTCTCGCCCAGGGAAACGATGCGTCTTGTCATCTTGTCGAAGCGTAGCAGTATCACTCGGAAGGCAGTGAAAATCCGAAATCGCCGAGATAGCGCGATTAGGTGGCGGACCGGTAGTGTGTGCGATATAGTGACCTCCTTGTAGGTCCTCTCCAGCATGCGAAACTACGCTTGAAAGGCTGTAGACCAAAGGCATGTTCGTATTCTCTTGATAAGCGGTCAGGTCTAAACGCTGATCTGCCGCAACCGGGGTGCGAACTTTGAACATGTTTCCTGTCAGCGCCGAAAACCGTGATCGTATTAACTGGATGATCAAGATCTCTGGCGCAGATATAATCGACACGACTTCGGTGTGATCCATATTGTTATTGCATCTTGGATCGGTGCACTGGATGGATACCGGTGCTTGAGGTTGGAAATATTCTCTAATGCATCTTTGAAGAGTGGATGGTCTAGCTGTGATCGCCATGCTGAGAATGGGGCCCTCATCTATGCTAGGTGCGGTAGTACGCCGAGTGCCACATTCGCTACACGTCGCGTCTCTTCGAACGTTTGTTGCAAACAGGGCTTCATATTCGTCGGGCCATGTTAGGTTACTACCGTCATAATGAGACTCATTCTTAAAAAGACTCAATAAATAAAAAATGAAAAAGAATTAGGGGAAAAGGCAAGGATAATCAAGCAAGTGAACAATGAGCAAACGGCTGGGGGGAGAGTTAGAACTTACGTGGTGGAGTTTTGAATGATCCTATGCAAAAGCCAACGAAGAAATTCTTCTGCGTCTTCTTGGCCAGCCTCACCTAATAGACGGGGACGAAAGATGGTTCCTACACGAATGAATCTTAAGAAATCGAGAGAGTAAATTGGGTGGCGTGCAAGGTTCCAGACACCCCGGTCAAAACGGCCGAGGATGCCACCGATGGGATTGCCTTCCCAGTACTCTCTCGCAAGAGTTTGGAGCGTGCATACCGGGCATTCAACCCCTGACCCAGCTCCCGTGGTCGCTCGGGGGATTATCACCTCAATGGAGCACGGAATAGCCGGGGTGTTGTGCTGCTTGAGCCATTCCATAAACTGTGGAATGTGAAGCAAGCCTTGCATGACTGACCTGCGGTAACAGAAATTTCCGGGATTTTGAAGCCCTCTGCTGCCTCGGCTGTAAGACGAAGTCGGCCACAACTTGGGATACCGTAGAGCCTATCCAGAAACATGAGTAGTTGACTCAGGTTGAAAATTGATGTGAACTCTGTCTTATTTCGGGGGCCCGAAGGCCAAACTATATACTACGTAGGAAGTGACTGTATGCATAGGCAGAAGCACTAATTGGAGGCAGCAGTAGGCAGCATTAGGCAGGGTAGGCCACCGTACCCCAACCCCTCTCTGTAGAAGTTGTAACTGGCTAGGCATGTAGGCAGCTACTATGCCAGCAACTCCAAGTCTGTACGTAGGTGACCGTGAACCGTATGAGTTGTTGATCCTAGGTTGTAGCTGTTACAACCCGAGTAGTTGTGTTTTAACGTGTGATAACATAGACTTACAAAATTCAATCGCGCTTGTTGTAAAGCACTACCCCTAGCGTTCTGAGCGGTCCGCGGGCGCAGAGTGCGGCGGGTAGTGTTGAGCACATTTGCCTGATTCAGGTTATTCCTTTCGCGTTGTGATATCTCTCTTCCCATCGTGAGTGTCAATGGGAAAATCTGAAGACAGATTTCAGTGATGCTGGAAGTTGTTGGCCTCTTCAAGGAACATTGAACATGATTTATACATAGCCATTCCGTTGGTCGTCCGAGAAAACGAAACAAAGCGCTCGGTCAGCTGAAGGCTTTGTTCTGGGAAAGAATGCCTTTGTCTCGCTAAGAGGACAAAGCCAACTGGAAATAAAGACCTGTGACATGTGTGGGATAAGGCCAGCCGGGAACATAGTGTCTGGCAAGTGAGCGAAGACACAGCGAATTTGAAAGCCCTGGGAGATTTATTCATGGGGTCAAGTCGACGATATGCTAAAGCATCATCATAGGTCAAGTTAATTGACACGTTGAAACGCCTTAACTAGGTCGGTGTGAAGTCCGATAAATCGTAGAGTCGAAGGGAAGGCTCGACAACTGATATATAGATTAGCTAACATGACATATCGTCTTGCTTGAAAACTCGTAGCTTTGGATGGTTGGACATCTTCTAATCTGGAATAGGTTAGAAATGACATCTTATCGCCCTAAAGGTGAATAGGAGTAAGAAGCCTCGAAGTGCTACGCACCCTTCCAAAGACGTGACCAATCTATAGCTCCACGGAGTTGGCATTAAGCGCAATCTCAAATTGCATAGGCGTGAGAGGATCCAGCCAACTTACTTGATGAGAAAAGCAACCATGCACGACAACCTGAAATGCGACGCATCGGGAACGACATCTTAGTAGTACGAAAGATGATGACTCCGAAGAACAACCCTCAATTCTCACGCAGCCCAAGAAAAGAGATGTCCAATCTGCACCTCCATGAGTCTGACATCGATCGCGTTCTAACATTGAGTAGGCATGAAGCGTCTCAAGTGTCTCAATCTTTGAAAAGGCAACATGTATGAAGTCTCCAACGGCTCGGAAATGACATTTTGACATTAGCACCTTTGAATACCCGTGTCGGCGCTGGGATGCCTACTCACACTGAGTAAAGAGACGTCCGATGTACGCATTCAGGAAATAACAATAACCGCGTTTGAGCCTGGACGGGCTTGTATTCCTTCAGGAACCTATCCACGCCGGAAAACGATGAGAATGCACCCCCAATTCATGCTGCGGCGTCGAGTCTAAAGAGAGCGCCCTCTCAGGCGCCCAGTTCTCGATTACAAAGCCTGGAGATCGCATTGGTGCTTTCCTCGAAGCTGACTACGTTGAGAGCCCTGCAAGTCGCTAGGCGGCGTGTCGAAATGGAAGCAAGATCGCTCCTTTCAGGCTGTCGGGCACGAAAGAAAGAATATTTCCTTTCGAAAAGTAGGAGCTTTAGTTACGAGCGCCGGAAAAGATGTCATAAGGATTTGGAAGTCGACTAGGCAGTAGAGTTCTAAAATAGATGAATACGCCCAGAAAGGAGGTCTTCCAATCTGCAGTCCCCGAAAACGGCTTCTTGAGGTTTTGGACACTGAATAGGCAGAGGATTACTTGAACAGCTCTTGCAAATCCAGCTTACACTTAGTCAAGGGCACTGATACCTCCCAAACACACTTTTCTCTGCTTCTGCAAACTCCCTCATAATCGTCTCCCGTCTCTTCTCGGAACGCGGCACTACCTCACATGCAAAATCATTCGCGCCCACCAAGAAACCAGCACTATACCCCGACTCACTGCTAACATCAATTTCAATATCCCGTCCTTCGTTATCCTTCGCAGGCTTAATCTCGAAAGCCCATAGCATTTTCACCATTCCGATGAACAGGTTGCGCTCTGCAAGGTGCATCCCTGGGCAAATACGGCGGCTGGCGCCATATGAATAATGATCGCGGTCATTAGGGTCAGCGGCTGTGGCAAGGTGGGAGGCCAAAGTCGTGCAGCCCTCAAAGCGCGACGGATTGAAAACATCCGGATCTGGAAAGCGACTAGGGTCGTGATTCAAGCCGTACACGTTGAGGAAGACGGTACTGTCTTTCGGAATATGGTATCCATCAACAACGTCGTCCTCAGCCAAAACATGTGGAAAGGCTAAGGGCACGACAGGTCGCCACCTCATTGTTTCTTTGACGATACCCGCGACGTATGGGAGTCGGGTGTAATCAGCCCAACTGGCGGACCTCTTTTCTCCAACAATAGCATCAATTTCGAGCTGCGCCCTTTTTTGGACCTCGGGCCATTTCGCCATGGCCTTCATGAAGGCGATTATCATGGACGACGAGGTGTCCGACCCCCCTTCCATGACTGTTCCGCATAAGAACGCGATCTGGTGTTCGTTGAAGCCGAATGTTTCTCTCTGATCGAGAACTTGATCCATGAAGGATTGTTTGTTTCCCTCGATAACGCGGCGCTGGACGACGAGGTCCATGTATTCGAAGTAGAGGGTGTTCATTTCTTTGTGGACGCTTTTGGCTCTTGAGATCCAGCTCCCGAGAAAGCGCTCTGGTACCCAGCGGAGGAACGGAAACACATCGACTGGAGGTGTATTTCCAGGCTCCATGACTTGAGACCAGTCGTACATAAGGGCGTAGAGTTTCGTCATGTGAGAAGTTTTGATATTGGGTGTGCGGACGCCATAGACTGCGGACAATGATTAACTGGCACCGCGTTACGGAATGAATTTAAAATCGGCTTACTGAGGCTCATGATGACGCTGTTGCTGAAACGTTTCGAGTGCAGCATATGATCATACGGGGAGACGCACAGATCTCGAAGCAGTTGAATTGCCTCAGCGCTCACGAGACTGACATAGTTCTTCTCTACCAGGCCCTCGTTGAAAAATTGATGGACAAGCTTTCGATAACTCCGCCATAGGTTTCCATAGTGCATTGTCAAGATGTGATCTCCATCCGTGATGAGCGTATGACCAACGTAGGAAATCGGTCTTCCGCTGTAGACGGAACTTTTCCTATCCAGCATTTCCTTCACTAGCCGACGATCCGTTAAAACAATAGCAGTGGTAGAGCCTAATTTGAGAGAATAGATCCCGCCACACTCTTGGGCCCATTGTGTGAGCTTCAAGTGAGTCCGTTTCACGGGTATCTGATGGAGATTACCAATGATGGGTAGTGTTGGAGGACCTGGGGGTAAATCACCACTCCTCCTGCCCGCCCAGACCAGAGCATATATTATAGCAGCAAAGCCGATTGCAAGAAAAACGATGCTGCTAAGACTAAACATGCTGAAGCTAGTAACAAGTGTCGATCAGATCACCAACCCTTGAGGGTGTCGATAGGTCTAGATAGGATCGAGGAGTAAGAATCGGGGGGCATGTAAGATAAAAGGAAAGACAACTGAGATTGACTGAGGATGCGTTGGTTAAAGACATGTAGAAGATACATGGGGGCAGAGCTTGTTCAACCTTGTTATCGTGTAGTATCAGCAATGCTACCGGACCAGCCCCTGGCGCGGAAACGAGTGACCTTCCATTGGCCATCTTGTAAGCCGTGTCACCTACATACGTTGGACGTTGCGACGAGTGGCTCATTGTGCGTCCTGTCATCGGCTCCATGTCCGAGATCGATGAGACTGAACAACTGCACTCCAGCGAGAAAAAACATGATCCAAGAAGCCTGGAACAATGGAGCAGTGTTCATCGGCCAGAAAGTGTTTCAGGCCAAAAGAAGATTTAAGGAGCTTCCCGACTACTACTAGGATAGAGGTAATGTGAAAGACATATGAACGTTCTTCGAAGCAAATCGTTCAGCTATTTTGCGCAAATCATCGCCAGCGGTATCGTGACTGACAATACCCCGTCGAAGCCCAGCTATCCGAACAGTAACGGTCTTCAAATTTGGTAACCATGTAGGATCCGCGTTTGTCAGGCGATCGAGATGTTTTATGATTGCAGGATCACAGCTTTTCAAAACAAGTGTGACGAGCGATGACGGCAGATGGTCCACGAGTCGAACTTCAATTCTGTCGCTCCATTCAGAAGGCGCTCCCAGCAAATACTGGTCCCAGATCAGTGTGTGTAGCTTTTGAAAGTCCCTCATCGAGCCCTTCTCATTCGAAATCAGAGAGGTTTGTTTGCTCAGGTGTTCCGCGCTCCAGTGTATAGACTCCAGGGAGCCGCGATGTTCCCAAAGATATGGCGCTGGTGTTCGGCTTGTCCATTGCGTTGTGTTGATATAAACCAAATTTTTCACTGCTTTGGTAGAGCGAATCAGGCGAATGAAAAGATCGCAAGACAGCAGACATTCTTGTAGTTTGATTGTAGTCACGGAGGAAGTCCGCGCCGGGCATTTCCATTCAGAAGGGTCAGTCCTGTTGGGCCCTCCGTTCCTAAGCTGAAAAGTCTCCAGCGAAGGTAGACGAAGGAAGCCAGAGGCATTAATGATATCGATCATTCCATGCCTGCCCCCTCCGTTGAAATCAACATTTCTTAGGCGACCAAACTGTCGCGGTATTTCTCCGAGAGCTTTTTGCAAGACCAGATTCAAGATAAACCACGGAACGCGATGGAGGTCCCTTGATTCGACATGAAGGCATTCCACCTTTGAAGACAGAGCTACAATAAGAAAGAAGGCCACTGCCTCCTGCCGGTGATGGACTTCGGATACGGTAGCTAAAGCGTGAGGAAGGTCCTCGGCGTCGGCAAGGCGTTGGATGGTTTCAAGATCTGCATTATTCACTGGTTCCTCCACTCCACGTAACGCAAGCCTCTTAACGTGGGCGGCCAAGTCCGCCCGATTAACAATGGTATTGGCAAACGGTGCAAACCCAATACGGACGTCAAGATTGACATATTCATGGTAGAGGAAAGGGTTCGCGAGGACGTTAAGTCTCTTCGAGGTGAGTGAAAGCGCCCAGTACGTGGACTTTTGGAGGCGGGCGGAGAAGCTCAACGTTGACCGCACCAGGGACAGGATGTCCAAAAGGAGTTCCGAGGGCAGATCTAGTAGCACGGCCATGATTCCGGAGTACAAGAAGAGCCGATGGATACGGTGATGATGGGATGTAGTGGCCAGTCTCACCGCTTGGGGCATCAGCCCTGGAGTGCAGGTGGGGAGCTGATAGAATACGCCATTCCCAATTCGACCTAGCGGTATCTCTATGAAAAGAGACCTTCGTCTGTGGGACTGCTCCGCGGGTTCCTCCGCCTGGTGTGCGGGCCCAATTGCTGCATACCCATGTCTGAAATCTAAATGTGCCCTGGTGGTGGTGGTGGTGCTTTTAATTGATCAGGCGTATGTTGGGGCCAAAGGCCATGACGCCGAGCTGGCGTCTCCGCTGAATCTCAAGGGGCAGCTCAATCTATATACAGAAGCTGCAGAGCTGCAGAGCTGTTCTTTCCTTGCAATACAGCTAAATGTGCCCTTGATCAAGCCTGAAAGCATTCTGAGTGTGTAGATGATGGGAGCATTGATCCTATTCTAAGGCCGTCTTCGGTTGCAAGTTTAGCACTGGCGATGCACTCGCAATACCCTCTTTGAGATCTTTCCCGTGCGCGGCAGTCCGAATGGCGTCGTTAGTAATCGATCTGAGGCCTGCCAAGTGCTTTCTAACGGCCGGTGCCATTGGCAGGTGGAAAGGGGCTGCTTCTTAAGAAACCCGAGAGGCCCGGTGCTCACACACTTCCTCAGCATCGCTTTTGCCTGACTGCCACCGTCCTCGCTCCTCCACATCACGATTTGGTCTTATCGAGCTAATGTAGGCACCTTGGCAGCTGAAGGGAGCAGGGACATGCCGAAGCGAAGGATCATCCCTATCAGGAATCGCGTGTGAGGATGGCCACTAAAGAAACCAAAATAGTCACAGAAACGCCACATGGACTTCTTGATATCATTTTCGTTCGGGAGTAGCAAGGACGGGATGGTGAGTATCGCGGGGTGGGGCTCGTAATGACGTCCGTGGACGTGGAATTGGGCATACGAAGCGCTCTCCAAGTCGACCTCCTGTACGTCTTCTCCTTTACAGTCCGCCTGACTTCAAGAACAAAGCAGCTTGCTGCACTGTTCGCGGCTCGCAGTTTGTGGCTTACTTCCCTCTCTTATACGCAGCTCTGGTGGCGTGACGTTGAGCCAAAGATGTAAGGTGTACCGGCTGCTAAGGATGACGGTAGATACTTCTACTAGCGCTATCCGAATCCAAAGCCTTGCATACTGGCCGGCTGGCACCGAGAGAGGCCAGAGCTATCCGCTCTCTCTTGGTGGCCTCGCTTCTATACGCCTATATCGGATTGGCTGCACATACACCCTATGGCTTCACTCACTGCGCTGGTACACGGACCACACGGAAACCCACCAGACTACCCCTGTTGGGTCGATTGAGGGTCGAAAGCGCATACCAGATGATCTTCAGTTTGCAGTGTCATCTCTTCTCATCAACTCAACCATACGAAGCAATCAATGATGGGGGCCCGCGGTAGGCCATCCGTCATTCATGGCTTTCAGGGCCCAACGAGATAGGATGTGCTTCTCAAACTCTCAGAGCACCAAGGACCACACTCCAGCCGCATATTCTGTAAGCACGTTCTCACGCCTGATTGCCTCGATCTTCAGCGACACCCATCTACTCCTTGTGACGCCCCGCAGCCGTCCTACCCCATTCCAGGTGAGTCAGCCGCCGGCTGCTATCTAATGAGCGACGGCTCCGGCAACTCTCCTGGCCGGTCGGGCTTCCTACTGGCTCAAGAGAGAGGTGACAGAGCCGGAGGCCGATATGGCGTTGAAAAGAAGATTCCAGACCGGGGAAGAGAGACTGGGGTTCCCATCCTGCCGAACTGCACCTTTCCGCGAGCTCGCAACGCGCATCCAAGCCAGCCAAATGCATTTGCTGGCACGGCGCCTCGTCTACGAGTAAAAAAGCAAAGATCAGCTTAGGCGCAATGTCGACAGACTGCATGAAGAGAGTGGTGCCTCGTATCGTTGCGCATTGTAGTTCCTGCTATTAGAATCCATGGGCTCGCTAGAATATAGAACGACCGACAAGGCAAACACACCGGCACTCTGGGCAGTCTCTCAGTTTCTTACGAGCCTTTCAGGATCTCCCTCTCACGGGCCTTGGGCTATCAATGGCTGCCACACGTCTGAGCATATTAGTGCTTAGCTCGGCAAGCCTTCTGGCAACAGTTTCAGCGACATTACCGGCAGTCTTTGAGCCACTCGACGCGATAACGTACTTTTGCTCGCGATGGCAGCATTCTTCTATCGTGAAGAATGGCATTCTTTACATCAATGGCGGCGCCGAGACTTTCAACTATCCCATGGCCTGGCTACACGGAAATTGGACCAACAATACCTACGGACTCAATACGTACCTCCTCGAATATGACCTGAAAACTTCCTGGGATTGGAAGACCAATATTAGTTACTCCGCCATTGAGAAGACGCCGAATCCTCAAACTGGAACTGAGCCTCCGAACTTCATTCGCGGTACTATGTTCCAAGGCCCTGCAAATGATTCAAAGCTATATGCCTACGGTGGTACTAGCTTTATCGGGAACATGTCGGCTGCAAATCGGAGCGCAAGTTACTCGCAGCAATATCCCCTTTGGTCTATCGACTCGGGGGGCACTACATGGGATCAGTACGACCTCAAGCAGGACTGGAGACCCAATTTCGGTGCTGCTGCGGAAGCGTATGACCAGGGTCTTGCATTCTATCTCAATGGTCAAATCGATGTCGGTACAGATTCAGGGACCCTGGAATTTGGAAATACTACCATTTATTTAGATGGAATGCTGGTAATTGATCTAGTAAGACAAACCGCGGTGAACATCTCTACGAATGGGATGAAGGATTACCTCCCAAGAGTCGGAGGTGCACTACAGTACGTTCCTGGAGTAGGCGACAATGGCGTCTTGGTCGCTATCGGGGGCCAAGTAGATGAGAAGTCTAGAAATAGTACCGCCACAAGTGGAAGTTTAGTGAGTTATTCATTTCCATGGTTTAAGATCTCTTTGGGGTACAAAGGTAGTATAGAAAAGCTAGTATTCGCTTTGCATAAGCACGAGGCCCACTATTTCTCTTATGCCTGCATGGACGTCTTCCCGTACGATTGGCTAACCCGCCATCTCAGTTGAACTTCACCACAGTAGATGTGTTCGATATAGGGTCTTATCTACCTAACCCCTCCGAGAATGGTACCTGGTATAGCCAAACGACGACCGGCGACATCCCACTTCCACGTACAGGGTTCTGTACCGTCACAATCTCAGCGCCAGATAATTCTAGTCATAACATGTACGTATCTGCCGACGAAAACCATGTCTTCGGAACTCCGCCTTCATTCCACCTCTCTTCTCACTCTTCTCGCGCTAACACCATCCCATAGCTACGTCTATAGCGGCCACAACCCACTCACCGCAGTAATGTACGATGACCTCTATGTCCTCTCCCTCCCCACCTTCATCTGGACTCAGATCTACACCGGCAAAGCTCCACGCTGGGGCCACACCTGCCACATCGTCGGAAACCGTCAACTCCTCACCGTCGGCGGCCAAATCCATACCACCGCTGGAAAAGGATGCGACTGGGAGTACAAATCCGTCGCCGTTTACGACATGACAAACCTCACTTGGGGGAGCGTATATGACGCAAATGCCGCATCATGGGAAGTCCCAGGCCTCCTATCGAAGACGTTGAGCGGCAAGACAGCCGAGCCGGTGGGCGGCTGGGATGAGCTCGGCCTGGAAGATATAATGACGAAGACTCGTATCTGGTCCGCTGCCCCCGTAACCTCCACCCCCGAATCTCGTTCCAATGAATCCCGCGCCCCCAAAGCTGTCATCATCGGCGCAACAATCGGTAGCGTCGTCTTCCTCGTTCTCCTAGGCCCCATTCTGTTCTTCTTCCGCCGAGGGCTCTTTAAGCGGATAAAGCGCGAACGCTTCGAGCTCCAAGGAGAGCATAAGCTGGAACTGAGCCAGGACTCCGAGAAGAAGAACTATGAGCTCCAGGGCACTGCGGTGTACGCGGAAATGGACGACGCGTGCACCCCAGCTGAGGCGCCCAGAGATACAGTCACGTACGCGGTGGAGATGTCGGCGACGAGTGTACAAAAAGGGGCTCTATGGGGCGTGCCGATTGTGAGGACGCCGACGGAGTAGGGGAGCCTTCAGATAGTTGAATACCCTCAGAAACGTGGTGTTCCAATCTGAGCCTCCACGGAAATGACATTCAAGGTTTAAAGAGATAGATAGACCTGAGAGACCACAGATAGTTTTCTACATTGTCAAAATGACAACTGGAACACGTCCGATTTCCTCTAGTGGACCATAGGGAAGAGAAATCAATATATAAAGGACAGATGCTGGATTCACAAGCTCTAAAAATGAAATCGTGAGACTTTGGACTAAAGTCGAAGTCCACGCTTTCTCGAACGAATCTATCTTGGTAGTCGTTAAGATCGAGGAGTACTATTATTGCTTTCGACGTTCTATCTTTAATGATCGGCATGACATCACCTCTGCTCCGACACGTCTGCATTACTGAGACCTGTACCGATGCATTCCTCTACCACACAACAACACCCCAACGAAACAATAGAGCTCGACCACCATCATTCGAGTCAAACCTTGAATCATCTCGCTTTTACTCCCCCGATCGTGTCGAAATGTCGAGTCCCTCAGAGCAACCCCAGACGTTCATGCAACGCCTCGCCACCGCGCTTGTCTACGTTCTCGCCTTCCCTTTCATCGCTATTTTCATCGGATTAAAGCGCGTTGTCACGCAGCAGAAAGAGCCACCGCACTCATATCGCAACAGGCTACCCGCTATGAAGAATTTGGGACCGAGTCAGGACGCGAAGGGCCGGTAGTGTAGGACAGATCTGGGCGGCAGAGGTAATTGCTTTTGGCATCATTCATAAATCCATAGGCTCTCAAAGATGAATTGGTTCATTTCTATGGCTACAGGCAGACCAGGATGAGCCTAGCCATCGCATCGAATGATACCTGACTCCATATTCTGGAACCTCTCTTTCCAAGCGTCATGCCCACGGTTATATGCAGTGTCTGGACTTCCATATTTGGAACCTCGTCTAAGTACGTACAAGCACGGGAGTCCTAGTGCTAGATTGTCAAGTTCGGGCAGCCACGAGTCACAATTTTGACATCGCCCACTTTAAAACTCCTTGTCGCACTGCTGTCCGCGCACGCCCATCATGTTCTCCAATATGCCTCTCTGAATCCATCAACCACCACAATGCAGCTGCAAGCCCCGAGCGGCCTAATGGGCTTGCCAAACGAGTTGAAGTCGTCAATAACCTCATTTCTTTCTGACTCGGATCTGGCCATCCTGTGTCATGTGAGCAAAGATTGGAGGGATATAGCCACAAGGAACTTATGGCAGGAGATGGGAATTGGCGTCGACGGAAACTCAGTCATAATGAAAAGAAACTCCCGAGCATTGGAGCTCGATATCGACCAAATGACCGACCACCCTGGACCAGCTCATGTTCGGAAGCTACATCCATCTGATTCTTGATTCATCCCGCAACCAGGCCACAATAGCAGTCCTAAATTCTCTCACACCGAAAAGGCTCGTTGAATTCCGTCTCTCAGGGTTCCTCGATGTCAACTGCTTTGGAGAACTCGTTATTAAGCAGAACTGCCTCGAGCATTTATCATTCCGGCACTGTTGGCACTACTTTTCTCCTACTTTTGCCGAGACCCCGACTTTTCCCTCGCTCAAAACGCTATCCCTATACAACGTTCATCTCACAGACGCTGTCCCTCCCGAAGGAGAAAACAGCATAGGATTGATTGTTCAAAACGCTCCGAAATTAGCTTGTCTGCAATACACTTGCCCACGTGCACAAAGGCGACAAAATCTTCTAGAGGGTGTCTTACGATACAGAAATAAAGGCTCCATTCACTCTCAGTTGAGACTCCAGTCACTCATGCTGCACGGCCAGGATCTGTCTCTCGAAACACTACTAGTAGCTATCATTTCAGGAGTTGATTTTAGCTGGATCAGGACGCTCTATCTACGACGCTGTCCATTTGCTTCCAAATTCTTAGCAACTGTATCACGAGAAAACAATCTGCTTCTCAAAACGTTCGTCTTTGTACAGCACGTGGACGATACCTTGCCCCATTCGACACTTCCAGCCTTCCTGAGATCATTTTCCGGCTTGGAACATATGTGCATTGATCTAAATGAAAATCAGCCGCTACCTGCAATCGAGGATTTCGAGAACCATGCTGGCACTCTCGTCACGCTCATAGTGGGCCATAATCGTAACTTTGTCAGCCCGGCATATTCTCTCCCAGAGATCGCGCACTTGTGTGAGTCGCTACGCCAGCTGCAGCGACTGGCCGTCCACTGCCCAGTTCTGGAATACCCAACGAACCTAAATGGCGATCTCATCCCACAAGCTGGCATGACGGAGTTTCTCGTAAGCAAATCTAGAAATGGTGGAGCTGAAGCTAACTCCTTCTCCAGAAATCAGTGGCCACTCTTCCTTCTTTGAAGACTCTGAGGATTACAAACCTGCTCAACATAGGTCCAAAGGTTCGCTCCTTTGTCGATGTTCCCGATTTTGGATTGTGCCTTGATCAGTACGTCAACACCCTAGAGTCTCTAGCAACGCAATGCTTCCGATATCTGGTTCAGATTCAGAAGACTTCTAAAGTGGACTAACTTCTCTTCTCTCCTCTGACTTGTATTTCACATCTATATAAGTCGAGAAATTGCCGCCACCCAGCCGCCGGGTGCAATTGCCCATATCGCAAAATATATCCTCAAGGGTATAACCGACGTGTCTTGCTAAGCCGGCTTGATTCCGCTGAAGTGTTTGCTGAACCATTCCGGCTACCCAACCATGATGATGCCCTTAGAGACTAGAAAGCAGATCCAAACTTCTTGCCAATATCTAACGACAGTAGGTTTTCTAGGTATTACCGATAGAATGTCGACAGACAATAGTAGGTGGATCTTGAGGGTATTGAACGATGGGTGCGGTGTGTACTTGGCCTTAAGCAAGTGATCCTATTTCAGGAAGTAATAGCTCAATATACCTAAACACGTCAGAAGAAAACGCAGTTGAGTGAGAAGCTGCGCGTAGTCAATTCTTTGACCCTTTGGAAAGAAACTTGGACACACATTGAAGCACCTATGACATGGGAGAGAAGAGTTTCCTAAAGTATGGAGGCAGTCTGCACAGGCCTTTAAGGACTTCACTTTGCTTCGATCTATCTGCTCTTTATTTCACAATGGTTTGAGCGTGCTAGGTATAGTGAAAGAGACTCGACCCAAATTTAGTGAGCTTCATTTTCTGTTGTTGATGTCCCTTTCCATTACGTCTACGTCAGACTTTGCTGAGCTGTGCAATACCTGCCCTAGACTACGGCAACTTAGAATAGGATATCCAGACTTCAAGGCTCCATAGGGGGATAAAATGGATTCTCTCTAGGCTTGGCGTGATTTGGTTCTAGCATTCGGCCGCTACTCTCTGTCATTTGTAAACCTTCAGAATTACGACGTTTCCGGTTCGCGAAGTCGACGATCAAAATTTCAGATACAGGATCAAAACTAAACATCCGAACATACTACATCGCCTTATGACTGAATCCCTGCGATATCTGGCGGACCGTGGGAGCCGATTGCACTCTCTGGCATTTGTGCCTGTCGCCCGTGAACCGTTCCCGTATCATATCCCCTTTCAAAACTGTGTTCGCAGTCACTCGGTGGAGCGATTGGGACAAGATAGAGTGACTGCTATTCCGATCAGCTACGCAACCTCGCAGGCTATAGGTGATGCAGACATTTCCTCGAGGACCAGCCTTATTGCTCTTTCCATGAAGACATTATGCGCTATTAGAACTACTCAAGGGACAACTGAGAAGGTTTTCGGCTCTCGTCCTTGTAGCCAACTCAGCTGTACGAACTGCGGCGACTTTAGCGAGTACAGTGCCCAAGCTTAGCACGCTCATTGGTCATAATCAGTATGTAGTGTTTACTGAAATGCTGCAGCAGCTCGGTCGCATCGTAGCAGTACAATTTATTTGATGATCAAACTCCGTTCCTGAGCAATTCACATCTTGCCTGAATCCCTATCAGTAAGCTAAGGTACCTCAAGCAGCGTCAGACCAGCATGGGCAGGATGGCCAAATCAAGAATGTTTTATCTTCGATTTTTGTGGAGACGCCAGAGCCTTCCGAATTGAAGAATGCTAATTAAGACTTTCTCAATCCCAGTGGGGCAATCCACCAGTAACTAGTTACTCCCAGGCCCAATTACCTATTCAACCCATTCAGCAGGCACCAATTTGGCCCCGTCCTTCCCCAAAAACAACCGGAACGCCGCCCCTATCCCAATCCGTTTCCCGGATCCATTCCCAGTTCCTCTCCACGCTAAACCCGGTCCTCAATATTCCCCGCACTCTTTAGTGTTTCTTAAAGAAATTCAAGAGATTCGTCTGGTTCGGACTGATTCCTTTCGGACCCTTGTAAGGCTTGGCCTTGGGGGGCTTCTCACCAATCCTCATGACCTCCATCAGCTCCTCAAATTCCTTCTTCCCCACAACTCCCCCACTAGCCTCCTTATGGCCCCTAGCATAGCTCTCCCCGAGTCTGTCCTTCAGTGCGTCCGGTGCCTCACTGGACTCCGCAAAACTTCTAAGTGTCCGGATGATGTTGACCGGTTCATCACGCGCTTTAGCGCTCTTCGCAACACGACACGAGAAGTTAACACGGTCAGGGAGATAGCCCTCATTCGCGCACATGACGATCTCTAGCTTCTCGCTTTTGAGATATCCAGCCCAGCGTGTGGCGATGACAGGGTGGATCTGCGCTTTGCTGTTGATACGGAGAACGCAGATCTTACCGTCGAGGGAGAACTTCGGTGCCGTGTGAGCCCACTTCTCCACCTCTTGATTGACTTCCAACCTAGCGGCCTTGAGTGTTGGGTTATTCACGATTACGCTTGGTGTTTTGGCTGCTAGGAGCGTCTCCCATGCGGACTTGACATCGTAAGAGGCGGCGCGGCGAGGGGCGTTGATCATTGAAACGCATTCGTTGATGGCTTTGCGGGAATGGAAATTGAACATATCGTTCATATTCGGGAAGGGTTCCTTCCACTTCAGGTTGTTGCCTAAGTCGCCATGGGTCCCGACTGCGCATAGCCAGTCGAGATGAGCGCCTAGTTCCGGATGAAGCTGTGTGCAAAGGAAATAGGTTAGGAGTGAGGTGGTGACAACCGGAGGACAGTCACATGCGTTGATGACTACAGCGTTTTCCGGGAAGCCTCCAGCCTCGGCGAAGTGGTGGTCAATTATTAGGCCACGGTGCTCGGCGTCGATGATAGGAGGGGCTTTGCGAGATCCTTGGTCTAAGACGAAGATGAAAGCCGGATTATAGGACGCCATGGTGACCCGTTCGACCTCTTCGTGCACATTGCTCCCTTTTCCAACGAGATGCACGCTGATGAGCTCTGGTGGTAGGCCTAGATGCGTGAGAGTGCGGTGGAGGATGACGCCTGAGGTCAGTCCATCCGCATCTTTGTCTGGTACGATAAGCGTGCGTTTCCGAGCCTTGAAGCTATACATCCTTGTCAGCCAAGAGGACTACAGGTGTACGACACTGTATGTGGTGCTTCAATAGGCCAATCGAAATCAAAAACAAGAGAGCAAGTTGTGTTTTTCTGCATCAGATAGCTCTTCGAAGAACCACAAACAGCGTCGTCCTAGAGTAACGAAACTGGAGCTGAGCTTGCCATTCTTGAATGAGTAACTTCGCGCGGTCAATCTGGGTCTGTGGGGCTGGCCAGATGGCTTCGCCGGTCTCCGAATCGCGCACTTGAGGAGTGAGATGATAGTCTGGAATGACAACTCTGGGCTTCTTCGGCTTCTTTGGAGGAGAAGTAGGCTCGACTTTACGTTTTCCAGCCATGTTTAGGCTTTGTAGAGATCGTTGTAGGGTAAATGGTTGAGGGATGAGAGAAGGATGAAATAAATATCGGTAAAGGAAAGAGATGAGAAAGAGGAACGAGCAAGGAAATATACGAGAGTCGCACAGAAAGAGGGTTTCGAAGACGAGGCCTCACTTTAGCAATGAGTTTGGTTGTAATCATAGGTCACGGGGTCGTGGTGGAGGGTATTGATCAAGTGAGTATGGTCTCGAATCGATGATGTAGTGGCGCATTCCTCCACTAGCGTCTGATCTGGTCAATCATCGACGTGCCTTTGCACGGACGAGGATGTAATGGGTATGTCCACGTAGACTGTTCTATCACCGCTTAGGACTCTTCCGTAGTTTTCAAGAATCTGAGATAGAGTCAGGCGGGCACCACTTGTTGTATCGCGTGGTCAACTTAGGTATACTAGATGTTCGCGGGCTAGCAGCGTGATCCACGACTCCGATAGGATTGTTTTACGCACCTACTAACATTAAAAAGTTAAAATGTCATAGATCGAAGTGCTTTGGTGTTTCTTTGGCAATTTGGAAGAGGTGTAAGATTACAATCTTGAGCAACCTGTTGCCTTGTTAGGCCGCTTCGAGCGACGTGACATACCATTCGAAATATATCCTGACCATATCTCGCAAAACATATTGCAGTACCACGAGGGTAGCAAAGCAACATATTTATGCACGATCTTGACCATGTCATCAAACATCACTTCAGTTCTCCACATAGCTGCAGCATATTCTTTACAGACGTCAGGGAAGATTTGAAAACATCAAAGCCATTTTGATTTCGTCCAAGCCGTCAACCTATGTAAAGCCTCAGGAAAAGACAATAGTAGAGAGCCTGTGAAGACTCATTGAAGACCTCTTGGAAGGCTGAAAAAGTGGAGTTCGAATTCCCATCGATTGGCACAGTCCGCCTAAATGCCTCCGATCCTACAGTTTGGCGTCAGGTCGTCCTTCGCCGCACCTAGTTCGGTTGTAGCCTCGACCATCAATGTGATGAATTCGCACCTCTGGCAGACCACGGGTTCATCCTGAGACTGTTGAAGCTCTTTAAACTCGTTTGATTCTCTGCAAGCCTTGAGCTTCCCGTCGAGCCACTCTCTCATCCCATCACATTCGCCACAGACAACAGGTCCGTCATAAACGCCATTAGCCTCGTCCAGCTCAGTCTGTTTCTTATATTGCTCGCACAATCTCTGGAACACCTCCTGAAAGGCGGCGTCGGATTATGAAAACACTCGCCAACCTTCGTTTTGCGCTCCGTTGATATCAATCTTGATAACCTTCTCGATAGCGTCCGCGAGATGTCCCTCTGGTCGCTCTCCGTTGGAGAACCGTTCGTATAGAGCGAGCGTGTTCCGAAGTGTATGTTTGCGGCAAGCTTCGCTATGCACGCTGTCGCTCAGTGGGATTCCCATAATTTACCCGTGTCGAGGAGAAAAATGTAGGCTTCATAGTTGATGGCTGCCTGGCGTTTTATTGTCAGTATTATGGCGAGCATAGCTGCGCGACATCCGCTCGAGATGCTAGAGAGCCCTGAGCGAGAAGCGTTTCAGGGACTACTTACCATTCGCTTGAAATCTTCAGGATCGATGTCCTGCTCGCTGGTAGCTGTGTTGCTAGACGATGGACTCCGTTTGGGGACCCAGCCCACGCAGGGTGGATGTCGGGTGGTGCTGGCGGCTTCACACGCATAATGATGAGCGAAATGTGGTGGATGTATCCTAAGAGGATATTTCAGTGAGTGCAGGTAAGTGAAAGCAAACGGATGCCTTGGCTCTATGGCTGAAGTAAGTCCAAGGCTTGCAGCGGGTGAAGCTTTGTGGCTGATACTTTACTATGTCGATGTGGAAAGCCTACTGTGATGTTACGGACCAAGGCCTCACCTAAGGAAAAGTGGCAGAGACTTGAAGGTGAATCGTACTAAGCCTTGAAGAGCAAAATGCTATCTAAGGGATAAATGACCTGACCAAGAGCAGACAACGCTTCATTTGCCAAGGCTGAAGAGCACTTAAAATGGCACGAGAAGCGCTCCATTATAAAGAAGTATGTTTTTGATCCCCAATCCCATAGATAAAAGAAACGCACACATACTACCACCTACCACCCTCTACCTCCAGTCCTCTCACAGCTTCGCATCCCCTAAACTCTTTCTACCACCAAACCCAAACAAATACGCTGCCACCTTCCTCATCTGAATCTCCTCACTCCCCTCCGTAATCCTGTACCTCCGATGATGCCTCCAGATATGCTCAAACGGAAAGTGCCTACTATATCCGTTGCCACCATGTACTTGAATCGCCCGATCCGCCGCCTCACAGCACAGCCTGTTCGCCCAGTAGTTACACATAGAGACCTTGTCACCAAGCTTCTTCTCAATTTTCGCATGCGGCATCGAGTCCATCTCTAGTGCCGTCTTGCGGATCAATAACCGCAACATTTCGGCTTGCGTCGCTAACTCGACGAGTGGAAACTGGATGGCCTGGTTGTGCGCTAGCGGCACCCCGAAGGGAGCACGCTCGTTGGCGTAGTCGACCGAGGAGTTGATACAAAAGACGGCCGCGCCGAGGGAAGATGCTGCTTGACGAATGCGATTCTCGTGGACGAAGGCCTGCGCGACGGCGAGACCGTTGTGGATGGGCCCCAGGACGGAACTGGATGGAACCCAGACGTTTTTGATAGAGACAGTGGCGTGGTCGGTTGGCATATTAAGCGTCCTGGACATAGTTAGTGTCAACTGAACAATCCGAAATCAGAAGGACAAGATTGAAAAGAGATACGAACCATTGATAACTCTCCGCCTTGATCCCCGGATCATGCCTAGGCGCAATAAAACAGCTAATGCCTTTCACACTCCCATCCTTCCCCTCCGTCCTCGCGAAAATGAAGCAATGCGTCGCATTATGCATCCCCGTCTGCCACTTCTTGAACCCATTGATCAACCACCCCTCAACCCCATCCCGCTTCTCCGGCCGCGCCCGTGTCTCCATATGTGTGGCATCACTCCCATGATTCGGCTCTGTCAGCCCAAATGTAATCCGCACTTTGCCCTTCAATCGGCCCCCAATCAGTTCCTCCTTTTGCGCTGGTGTTCCGAAGTTCTCTATCATGATTACGTCGGGGAAGTTCCCGACCATTGAGTGCTCAGTCTGAAGGTCATTGAAGAGCCCGAGTCCTTTTGCGGCGAGGTGCTCTCGGATTACCGCCATCCAGAGATTGCTTCCCCGACCGTCGCTGCTGTTTTGGCCTCCATACTCCTTTGGTAGCGAGAGGCGGTAGAATCCTGCTTCATCTGCCAGCCGTCTCGACTCGCTGAGGAGCTCTTCCCACTCTGGACGCGGTAGGCCATTGTTGTCCCAATCTGTGCGGGCGTGTTCGCGGCGGTGATCGAAGAAGCGATTATTGTCGTTTTTGTTCTGTAATGGTGTGATTTTTGTATGTATGAAATCGTCTAGGTCCTTGAGATACTGAACGAGATCCGGGGGTAGCGAGAAGTTCATGGCGGCCATCGTGGAAGTCTTAAGGCGTGATCAGCGGAACAAAGAGAGTATAAAGATTCTGGAGAGCAGAGAAAGAAATGAGACAGATGAAGTAGATTTGTTTAAACTGCTATATACATTGATCATTGTGGTCCCATGCTGACTCGCATGGGTCGTTCGTTCCCGAAGAGAGAGAGTCGAAGGTGATCTTCGTGGGCGCATGCGGGCGGGGTCTGAGAGGCCGAGGTTGGATAGCATACGAAATCACGTGAGCAACACATGCGCCTCCAGTGAGTAAATGCGCACACTTCTCTGCCTTGAGCTGAGGTGGCATGGCGAGTTTATCGACTGTTCAGAATGATATGATTTCATACCATTCGAGTTCCTGAATACACTATGAGGGACCATGGACAGCGGCAAAGACGCGTATATAGGCCTGTAAAAGTCCAAGCATGACAGCTTGATCCCGTCCTACAGCGTAGACCAGGAATTCATGATCAACGCAGAAATACACAGTCGCAGGACTTTGACATTGAAGAAACCATGATTTTCCACACCTCTGAGGTGTCACTTACTATTTCCTGGGTGTCCAAATGCAAAATCGAAGGAATATGATATACAAAGTCTGAGGAGAAGGTCCTTTTTATGCCATGAAAATGCAGAGATACGCCGGTCGCTATGCATATATGAAACCCAGGGTATCTGTGATGAATAAGGGAGTGTGCGCCTTCATGGACCAAGAAAGTCGTTGAGAATGCCAACCAAGTCGTCGACTCTCTCTAGCTGGACGGAAAGCTTCACTTCGATCTGTGACCACTCGTGTAGCTTCTGCTTCTCTACCTTAGTCAAATACTTATCTTCGTTACCTTTGACGTCGGTACGCTCCGCTTTCTCGATTTGTTCGAGTCTCGCCTGACGCTCGATCTCGATTCTCTGCAGGATACGTGCCATAGCTTTGTAAGCATCCTCCAATAGCAACCGCCTGACCCGGTCCTGGTCGTAGAACCACAGGAATATGGTACGACTCGGGTGACGACTGTTGTCTTTTGGAATTTCTTGAAGATCTAGGAATCCCGCGGCTTGCATCTGACTGAGGATAGGACGGATTTCCTTCGGTCGGCACATACCCAAGCTTGCGACCTGTTTCTCGTCCAGTTTACCCTTGTTGTGCAGGAGACGCAGGAGCCGCATGCCGAGGCGTTCGAACCGGGACTGAACAGTCTCTTCGATTTGGTTCTGGATGAGGTACCGGCTTAGGCGTGGAAACTCGACATACCACTCGCTGACTCCTCGTGAGCTAGCCCAAGTAGCAAGGTGGCGTGGATCTTCTGAGAGCATTTTGATATGTTTTTCGACCAGCTTGCCTCGGTTAACCAAGGTATCGCCATCATGGTTAGTGTTTCCATTGACGAATTCGGGGGTTTCAGCGAGACCATCGTAGAGGTCTACACTCTTGTCAAGAACTTCTGCAATCTTCAAGACGCTGGCCTTTGCCTCAATTATAAGAATCTTGTCCGAGTCAGGGTCCGGATCGGCTTTATACTGATCGTAGCACCTGGGGGTCTGTTCTTCCAGAAGTTGGAGAAAGGCTCTATACACCTTGGACGTGGTCTCTCCGATGAAACGATTTGCTAGACGAACGAGCTGTTCAGTACGCATCGCAACGCTGACCTTTTCTGGACTGATGCGCACAACGAGATTGCCCTATTGAAGATTAGGAAAATCCTAGAAAGAAGAGCATCAGTTGCCTTACATCGAGCAACACGCCGTCATCATCTGCAAACCCGGCTTTGGAGTGACTAGCACCATTAACACCATTTGCTCTGGCTCGTTTGGCGGGCGGCAAGGCAGAGAACGTGGCGGGACGTTTGGAGCCGGTTTGGATGCTTGAAGTCGAGAAATCAAGTGCCTGATCACGCAGCTGGCGCATACGGTGTTTGAGGTGGCGTTTCAGCGCCTGGACCTGCTTCGGACCTTTGGGGGGCTTGCCCTTTTCAAAGTGATGTTCCAGAACCCAAGCTTCAGCGTCGAGGCGTTGGTCGGAGAGAGGCCAGAAATCTCGTTGGTCTACGGGCACGATCCAACCAGCCTTCAGCAGGCTGTGTAGGATGGCATGCATCTCAGCATCGGACTCAACGTAAGTCTCTGGCTTGTCCTGGACAATTGCCGATCCGTTGGCGGTGACTCCATTGCTGTTCTCAACGCTGCCGACTTCCCCACCATTACCAGCGCTATCGTCATTGCTTGTGTCGTCACTGGTGGTCTTGGTGGTGCCCGCTTTCTGGCCGTTGACTCCCTCGTGCTTCGTCATGGTTCCATTGGGGAGTGTCGAGCTCACATCCACCTTTTTGTGAATCCTTCCGTAGGCAGCAGCGAGATCAGAGACTTTCGCATGGCCCGAGTTCAGCAAGGTGGTGACGATTTCGCCAGCCTCCTGTCCATACCGTGCCTCTACCAGTCTTGCGATTTTCCCAAGGCGCGCGAGATTGTGAGCATGTTCGCAGCTGACTTCGTAAAATGTGACTTCGTCGAGCTCGGATTGGAGGACAAGTTGGAATTGCAGAAGGGTGGCGAGGCCGTGCCTGAAATGCTTGGTGGGGAGTCTTGATGCTCGAATAAGACCAGCCAGATGCTGTCGTCCGACATGCGCAACCGTAGAAAAGACGTCCTAGCGAAATCAGCACAGAGCTTCAAATTGGTCGCACAGGCGAGAATTGTGCGAGGAATATGCGAAATCTAACGCAGGAAGCCGAGTATGGCACTTACAGCAGCCAATTCGCCGTGCTCCTTCTCTACGAGGAGCGTGCAGAGCTCCGTGACGTTCTGGACAGACAGTCAGTATGATTCATCCCACTTCGAGCATTAGGCAGGGCAAGCGCAACGTACTTTCGACATGATGTGCTAGAGATGTTGCCAGATCTCTAGACAGGCACGGATGCTACCGGTAAGAAGACATGAAGAGGCCTGGTGGCGGGGTGCTGGAGATGTATGTAGTAATGAGGTAAAATGGAAGCTCGCGGCCGCCCCGCTAGAAGCCCTGCAAAGTCGTCCACTGGTGTTCGATGCCAAGCGGTCACGTGAATCCCCAACTCGCTCTTTTGACATCTTCCCATCCGACCGCCATCCCCAAACAGCACCCCCCTCTATCCATTGACTCCCGCCCACCCCGTCACGATGCTCTCGCGCTCTGTTCTCCGCCGGGGCGCTCTACGGTGCCAGTTCGCACAGCCCGTGCAAAAGCGCTACCTTGCCGAAGCGGCATCAGGGTCGTTCCAGTATCAGACCGGCGATGCCAGCGGAGTCAAGATCGCCAGCAGAGATCTCGCAGGACCTACAACTACCCTCGCCTTGGTGGCAAAGGCTGGCACGAGATACCAGCTGCTCCCTGGGCTAACGGAGGGCCTGGAGAAATTCGCATTCCGGGTACGGCTATCCGATTGAGACGGAAAGAAAGCTGCCTTGAAGCTCTGCTAACCTTCAATTCTGCGGCAGGGCACGGAACGGCGGTCTGCGTTGCGCATTGTTCGAGAATCCGAGCTCCTGGGCGCCGAATTGGAATCCTACCACTCCCGGGAGAACCTCGTCATTGGAGCCAAGTTCCTGCGAGACGACCTCCCATACTTCGTCGAGCTCCTCGCTGAAGTTGCTTCCTCAACGAAGTACCTCCGTACGTACTAGTAGATGTGGATGGAGATTGGATGAATGGAGTTGACGATTGCAACAGCCCATGTCTACACCGAGGAAGTGCTCCCTCTCATCCAGCTGGCCCACAAGAAGTTTTTGGCCAGCCCCAAGGCGATAGCTCTCAGCTCCGCACATAGCCTGGCTTTCCACCGCGGTCTGGGCACACCCGTGAGCCCCGCGTCTTCCACGCCGTACACGAAATACCTAGCCGCCGACACCATCGAGTACTTCTCCCAGTTCGCCTACGCAAAGCCCAACTTCGCAATCGTTGCCAATGGTGCCGAGCACGCCGACCTCTCGAAATGGGTCAACGAGTTCTTTGGTGGCGTGTCTGCCAAAGCCCCGGAGGACCTGCTTCAATCTGTTCGGGATAAACAGAGCAAATACTACGGTGGAGAGGAGCGTATCGCACACGGCTCCGGCAACTCGCTAGTCCTCGCTTTCCCCGGCTCAAGCTCCTTCACCGGTGGTTTCTACAAGCCCGAGATCCAGGTCTTGGCTTCCCTCCTCGGCGGCAAATCCAACATCAAGTGGTCATCTGGTTTCTCGCTCCTCTCCAAGGCCGCCGCCAGCCCCGGCACCAGCGTAGAAACCAAGAGCGCCATCTACTCTGACGCCGGTCTTCTCTACATCAACGTTAACGGCACAGCAGAGAACGTTTCGGCCACCGCCATTGAGGCCGTCAAGACCCTGCACAGCATTGCAGGTGGCAAGATTGCTGCTGAGGATATCAAGAAGGCGAAGGCCGCCGCCAAGTTCCAAGAGCTCGAGACAGGCCAGGACATCAGCGCTGGTCTTGAGCTGACCGGCTCTGGATTGATTCACGGCAGCAAGGCGTACCAGCTCGATGAGACAGCGAAGGCTATCGATGGTGTCACGGATGCTCAAGTTAAGGCTGTAAGTTTCCCAAAATCTATATCCCAGTGTACCTAAGCTAATATATCCCTCTTCAGGCCGCCAAGACATTACTCGAGAGCAAGGCATCGGTATCAGCAGTCGGCGATCTCTTCCTTCTGCCGTACGCGGAGGATCTGGGACTCAAGGTGTAAATATCATATAGAGAAAAGAGCGGGTTGCCTGTTTGCTGAAGGGTTGGCTGGTCCTGAGTGTACCATTATCCTGTGATTAGTCCAGACTAGAAATGTTGTACTTGTGGCACATGAATCGAAGTTTTCTTGAGTTCGTTACGAGCGTTTCATATGATGTGATGTTGGTACATATACACAGGGTATCGAGCACTGATAGTGCGGCAGCTCTGACGTTTCCGGCTTCTTCCTTTGTGGGAGATGTGATGTATGTGTGGATTTTGCACTCTCGTATCCAACGCCGCAGGCACGGTTGTACCGTACTCCATGGCTATCCGAAGCCTCTGGCTTGGTCCTCCTCTCATGACCCAGATACCATGCCCTTCACCAGTTGTTCTATTCTACCCAAGTCCTGCGACTGCTCCATCTCAGGCCTTTCCCTCCCACTTCGCCCCAATCTTCTCCCACGCCAACCCGACTCTCCGCCTCAACACATCTACTGTCTGTGCAGCGTTCCGGCCCTTCTCTTTCTCTTCGCGACTTATCCGGGCAGCGGCGGCGCCGGCACCGATGGCGAGGGCGAAGACGGGGTCGAGGCGTCTAAAGAAGGATCAGAGGGGCTTGAGGGGAGATGAAGAGGGGAAGCTGGAAGGCGCACTTTGAGATGATGTAGGCGTAGCTCATGTTTGGGGGTTGTGTGCGCCAATCGCGCTTGGATATGGAAGTCTTAATTCGCGGTCAAAGAGAGACAAAGTGTATATACTGGAGTTGTAATCTGTGGAGTTTAATTCGTGGGGTTTGATAACGGTGGTGGTGGAGCTTGGGATGATCTGCACAGGTGGAGAGCTTGGGACGGGTGGCTGGAGCTTGGGCGGATGAGGTCAAGAACCACGGAACCGTGGATTAGGCAAACGAATTCCAGGATTCAATTTTGGAACATTTGCTGGCCTGTTCTACAGATCTAGCCTTGGAGTAATTCACAGTCATACGTGTCATTTTTGAGTCGGTGGTCATGGGACTGGTTGCAGCTGATCGGACCGCGCTCTCATAGTGAACGGTAGGGCTGCATATCGATAGCACATCACAGAAGTCCAGAAATGTGAGTTACAAATGTGTTGATTTGGGGGGTTTATGGAGAAGCGAAAAAGGTACAAAGACAGTGGAAATCAATAGGCCCGTCCCATCGTGCTGTCTTCCGCCTGTGTCCTATCAACGAGACCTGTTCCTCATGATTGCGCAAAGTGTAGAGTTGTCCATATTCCCCTGCGCAATACTAGACCCGCTGCCCTCTCCGTGCCATGTCGTGCATAAGAACCAAAAGCAAATCGCATCATTCCCACAACGCCGAGTTGGAGCGCCGTCTGCCGTCGAGAAAACCGGAAATCGAAAAGGACAGGCGAGCTCAGAGCGCCTCACCGAAGGTGTTCTCCCCCGAGTACCTATTGACGTGTCAGCCAAAATGCCTTAAGTGTGCGGGGAATAGTGAACGTACGTGATGTAGAGGAATCCGTCCTCATCCTTGTGCTCCTCGTATATGGAGCTCATCAGTGCAGCGGTCGGTGGCAGAACTTCGTCCACGAAGATGAAGATGGCCTTTTCAGGCGAGAGCTTGATCCGCTTCCGGATTACGTAGACAAACTGGCCTACAGTGAGATCGGCGGGTACGAGGTACTTCTTCTTGTCGATAGTCGCGATGTCCGACTTCTCGACTTTCTCGCAAATGACCTACACACGATTAGCAAAGCTGTCGGATGGTGACGAAACCCCGAGGAGCTGCAAAGAGCGTCGCTGGCGATAGCGACGACGATGGCAAAGGAAGGGAGGACGTACCGGGATGCGGTCATTGTACTTCTGGCGGATCCTCTCCGCCTCGGCCTTCCGCTTCTCGAACGTGTGCTCGTCCTTGAACTTAGAGCGCATGTTGGCCAGCGACTGTAGTTTGTAGGTTGGTACGGGTGTTGAGGTTGTATGGTGGTGCAAAGCTGGTGGTTGTGTGAGAAGGTGGCGGTGAGGTAGGTGGAAGATGAAGGCAGCAGCACAGCGCGGCGGGTTTAAGAGGGGCAGCCAGGCGGACAGGCGCGTCACGTGGGGTACAGGCAGGTGAATTCGGTGGATCGTGGTTGTATAAGCAGCCACGATCGAGCAGCAAGTCACGTATGTAGAAGTGCGTGCCAGCTGGGCCGTGGGAAGTGATTCAGCGGCGCAAACCAACCTGCACAGCCGCCCTTTGGCCCACGGAGTCATGGGGCTGAGCCGATGCAGCTATCCAGGTCACTTGCTGCCACCCAGAGCTTGACTCACCAGCCGCCCAGATGTCCCCGAAAGCCACTTCTCTGTATCATGGCAGCTGCCTCCAGCACTCCAACTCCTATCTTCCAGAGGGACACTTACACGTGATCTGGTACCTTGCAGCTCGACCTCGCGCTCTGAGGTCCCACGGGTCGCCGCCTCGCTTGCGTCGTCCGTGGTGTGATGACCCTCACTCCACACCATGCCGCCCGACGCTTCTTCCTCTCACATATCTAACTCTGCGCGCCTCCTTTCCCCCCGCCTCAGGCCTCCTCAATCTCCGCTGATGCCCAATGCGTCTCTCGTAAAAGACCTTGCCATTCTGCGTGCAATTGCATCACCATGGCCTCCGTCCGGCCCTCATTGCGGCTTCTGAAGCCGCCCTTCTTTCGTTCGAACTATGGACCGAGAGGCCTTCTCCGCGTGGATTTCTTCACCCCCCAATCCGCCGGCCGGACCGTGAGACAGATGTCTGACGGCCTCCCCAAAGGCCCTAAGCTGGGCAATGCTGGCAAAAGACCCGTCTTCGGCGCAAAAGCTCGCCTCGCTGTCGGCATTCCCTTTGTCGGGCTGCTGGTCTACTCAATGGCAAGCTCTCCAGCTTCATCACCCGGCGCCACCCGCTAATCCCCTAAAGCAGGCCACTGGCGAACCACCTGCTAAGGCCGATACCCTGACCATCGCCGAGAAGGATACACTTGCGAAGCGGGAATCCGGCGTCACTGAGCAGTCGCCAATGCGCCTGCGTATGGAAGCTTTCATAAAACAATACCAGAAAGAAATAGTCGCCGCCCTGGAAAAGGTCGACGGCAAACCCTTCCTCGTCGACAGCTGGGACCGACCTGAAGGCGGCGGAGGCATCACATGCGTGCTGCAAGACGGCAACGTCTTTGAGAAAGCAGGCGTCCTCACCTCCGTGGTGTACGGCAGCCTGCCGCGCGCCGCAATCGCAAAGATGCGCGTGAACCACAAGGCGTTGGACCCGGACGTAGACTCACTAGAATTCTTCGTCGCAGGCTTGAGCATGGTTCTCCACCCCTCAAACCCAATGGCTCCAACCGTTCACCTCAACTACCGCTACTTCGAGACCGCCGACGAAGCTGGTAATACATCTGCGTGGTGGTACGGCGGTGGCTGCGATCTGACGCCCTGCTACCTCTTCGACGAGGACGCGATACACTTCCACAACACGATCAAGTCGGCTTGCGACAAGCACGACAAGGCGTACTACCCACGCTTTAAGAAGTGGTGCGACGAGTACTTCAGCAACACCCATAGAGGCGAGACACGCGGTGTCGGTGGCATCTTCTTCGATGACCTGGACGAGACGGAGAAGGATCAGGAGCAGCTCTTCGCTTTCGTGCAAGACTGTCTCGGTGCTTTTCTGCCGTCGTACCTCCCGATTGTGAATCGCCGCAAGGACATGCCCTTCACCGAGCACGAGAAGCAGTGGCAGCAGCTTCGCCGCGGGAGATACGTCGAGTTCAATCTCGTGCACGACCGCGGCACGGCGTTTGGGCTTAACGCCCCTGGCGCGCGTGTGGAGAGCATTCTGATGAGTTTGCCGCTCACTGCTAGATGGCAGTATATGCATTCGCCTGTGAAAGGCACACGGGAGGAGAAATTGCTAGATGTTTTGAAAAGTCCCAAAGAATGGGTTTGAGCATTTATCTTGGGTAAATCGAAAAAAAGAGGTGCTTGTATATTGCGCTGTAAATCATGATACCTTTGTACAAATATCTAGCATCAAAAATAGGCGTAGAATGCAATATCATAGATCTATATACCCTGTTTCCCCACTGTCTGTAGTGCTTCGACATGTTTTCAATAATGTGGATCTGGTAGAAGCTCATCTCTCTGAACAACGGGTAAGCTTGCTAAGCCACCTCAGACAGTCGCAGATGCTTGTATATAGGAGAGTAGATGGTCTGTGTTTGTACCAGCACAGGTCTCTTTAATTTGTACGCAGGTCTCCAAGAGCCGCGACAAGCTACTCATTTGGAGCTCATCCACATATACGGCTGTTGCCGCAGGGTATCTAAATCTCTTGAGCCCTTCGAATATCAAGCAGTACTTACCTCTGCCTCTCTGGGCGTAGCAATAGCCCACCAATTATCCTTCTCATACCCACTCTCCACCACCGTCCCCCCAGCCGCCACAACATCCTCCTCCAACTCGCCCTTCCTATAGAGGTGGTAATACCGTTGGAACGTCTTATTCCCACCTCCTTCTGCTGGCATCGGTGCCGCCTCTTCCCCAGCAATCTTGCTCTCTGAGACACCAGACGCCTCTTCCTCGCCTGGTCTCACACGCTCCCCCTTTCCTCGTCGTTTCGCAGGCTTCTCCTGTTTGGGGCCTTTCATAACCCATGGCACCATAACATCCTGCTCCCCGCCCTTGTCCCACCCCCTCCGACTCCCCTTCTGCTCCAGCGCCCACACGTAAACCAACGCCCTGCCCCCTTCCCTCAGCATCGCCAGAATCTCCCCCACGGCCTCCCGCCGCCGCTCTACCGTGCTCAGATGATGCACAACCGCTATCGAGATCGCGAAGTCAAACGTCTTCAGCGGATGCGGTAACGCGAGGTTGTCGGCGACAATGGCGGAGTGCGGTTGGTGTGAGGCAGCGATTTTTGCGAGGTTGGTTGAGCGGTCGGACGCAAGGGTGTAGATAGAGGGATTTAGGGCGAGATATTTGCCGTTGCCGCAGCCGACGTCGAGGCCAATGGAGCCCGCGGGGAGGGTAGATAGGAAGGAGGAGACGATGGGCCAGGGCTGGGGGATGTTAGTGGGATGGGGCGAAGGTCTACAAGTGGACGAGAAGAATTAAGAAGAGAAGAGAAAAAGGATCCGGAAGAGGGAGTTATAAGTGCGAAGGAATTCTACAGGAGAAAAGAAGGGGTGTTGTAAAAAGGGAGGTGCTATAATAGAGGGCGTATGCGAAGGGATGGAGTGAATGCGGGCGACGCACACCTTGTATCGGGTCGAGGAGAAGTGGGCTGCGATCTGCTCGTACACGGCATGGACATGCTCGGCTTCATAGGCCTCGCCGCGCGAGTCTGATTCTGGCATGGCGAGAAAAGAAGAAGGGAATGCTCAAGGTCGAGTCTTCATGGTGTTGATGCTGAAGGCGACCATTGCGGACACTTTTTCCGGCCTATCAAAGCGTTCCCCTTCGGGAATGCCGGCGGCGGAGCAGAACTTCTTCGCCAACGTCAACGACCTCTGATTCTGATATACCACAACCTACCAACTATACACCTGCCTTCAATTGCGACTCAGTCGCAGAACTCTTGCTTGTATCATTGCGAGGGATCTGCCCTCTCTCTGCTGTAGAAAAACTTTTCCACCAACCTCACAACCCTCCATGTTTTCGCACATACACCCCCGAGGACCCGCCAGCGACCGCTGGCAGCACATATTTCCCTTTATTCTCGTGTACAGTAGTATCTGCATGTGATTTTTGGTTTCTGTCCAAGCTCTAGTCTCCTTTGGGATCGAGGTTGTGCTGCTGTGAAATATTCACCGCGCTGACCTTCACCTTCATATTCACCTCTGTCGTTTCTATTGACTTTCTATTGTTTTTGCAATTGTCCTATTGTGCATCTTCCAATCCAGTCAATTTTCATGCTTCACCATGGCGCCAATCCTATTGTCTTCAATAATGCCCCCGGCGTCGACATTGAGAACAATGGCCTCAATACGCAGGAAGAGAAGACGCCGGGAGCTGCTATATAAGCTTCTCGACGACATTCTGAGAACGATGAACTCCAAGCCCTCTTCATCCTCTTCGTCCTCCAAACATCCTGTCTACGACTCGATCTCTTCCTCACATCTTCGTCTCTCAATACCTTCGACAACTGCTGGTCAGTTAGGCCTGGAGCACCATCCGACGCGCACCGCCCTCGCAAAACTCCTGGAAAATCCGACCGTTTGGCAAGCAGCGACCAAAATGACTTTCGAAAGCGAACTACGCCTCCGCCCTCCTAAGCTCAAGGGTGGCTCAGCCTTGCAAAAGACCCGTCACGATCACGTGAGTTTACCTCCAATTTCAACGCTCTTGCTTTTACGATGCAATTTGACTAACCTTTTTCCAGGTCTCCCGAATTGCGAAGTCCTGGCCACTGCGCTGCACGAAGCTCCGCGCTCCGAAGGGCCTCCAAAACCCTATGAACTACTGCTATCGTCGCAGCGTGATGCAATCCCTTCTTCATCTCCCTCAGCTGCTTCATTGGATCGATGGCCATAATCAAGGCCAGAACGCTTGTGCTTTTGCCACCCCGTCGACAGCGTCCGGAGGCTCCCCAGGTGGCAAGCACGTTGCCAAAACGGCGCCGAAATCCTCCCAATGTCTCGCCTGTGCAATGAAGGCATTCGTTCCTCTATACTGGGACCCGCAAAACCCTCACGCTGAGGTCCCCCAATCAGCAGTAACTTCGTTTGACAAGGTCGTCCGAGCGTCACCCGTCGTCCGCGAATCCAGCCTTGGAATGGAAACACAAGAGGACGCCGAGCAGTTCCTCTCGGTGCTTCTTAATGCCTTTGAGTCGTCCACAGCGTAAGTGCTTCCTATTTATGGTCCAAAACGTCGAATGCTAACATTTTCTACCAGAACTCCTGCCTGGTCCGCCCAATTTGCGTCGCTCTTTCGTCTGCAAGCAACGAATACGGACACCTGCGCCTGCGGCACCGTCACGCACCCTACTACCGGTGCTGAGACCACCCTCCGCCTCCACCCAAATGGTCGAAAGGACACCATTGCTGCCGCTTTCCGTCGGCACTTCGCCCCCACGCAACTTGAGAAACGCTGCGCTGCGTGCTCCGGTCCTGGCAAGAACGGCCAATTGCCCCCAAGCCGGGTGCACACTCGTACCCAAACTGTGGACGCCGGCCCGGAACTCCTAGTTGTCCAATTGACTATCTACGACGATTACGGCAATATTATCAACAATGGCACCAAATTTGACGACTTTTTGGATCTCACGAAGTACCAAACGGCCAAAGATCTACCATTGAAGTACAAGTTGTCGTCCGTTGTTTGTCATCAAGGCCGAAGAATTGACGGCGGCCACTACGTGGCGCACGTGTCAGGGCCCCAGCGAACCCACATCATCTCCGACAAAGTTGTCCGCAAAACGTCCCCTCCGAGCCTCACCAACGTGGTGCAAATCGTCCCGGGAATGGGCAGATTTACGCCCTATCTTCTCTTCTATGTGAAGATAGCGTAGGCCCTTTGGGGTACGTAGGGTAGTTGTTTCCAGTGGGTTGGGTGGTTGTTTTGGTCACTTTTGATGTATATTCTCTCCTTTATGCCCCTCTTATGGCTCTTTCTGTATATACTATCAGCATTCGTGGCTTTTGTTACTTCTCCTGCTTCTTTTCCTTTTGTTCGAATATATTTACACATAGCATGATCCGGTGTTACGGTTATTTGTTAGTATATATACCCAGTGTGAATGGATCCTTTTCTCTCTCTCAATTGGACATCTTTTGGTACGCTTTTGATAATATAGGTGAACGTCTGTGGTCCTTCTGGCCTATTCATCTCATGACAACATAAGATTTCATTTCTGTGGGGAGTGAACGTCTGTGGTCCTCCAAGCCTATTCATCTCATAAAAACACAAGATGTCATTTCTGTGAGGGTCCAGATTGGAGGACCGCGATTTTGGTCGTGGTTAGCTATCTGAGGCCTCTCATGCCTATCCACCTTCACGATGTCATTTCCAGGAGTTTTAGGTTAGAGTACCTCTTTCCTGGGTTCGTTTGATCATCTGAAGACTCTCCTGCCTATTCAACCTTCAAATTCTCATAATTAGCCAGTGCATCATTCAATTTTCATTGTTAGCACCTCAGGGGGTGCGCCATTCAGTCAATGAGGGTATCGATAATCCATAAACCTTCCCTTCAACGCATCCCATGATCCCAATCACTCAAAAACAGCCATGTTTCTCTCGAGCTCCCTCCGCCAACCCATAGCCAAGCCCAACTTCTCCCCCCTTGGGATCACTTCAACTAGACTCCTCAAGTAATCCGCCACCGCCTGCATACTCTCTTGCTTCTTCGAAGTGAACTCCGCATCGCGAAGGAACGTGATACCCCTCGCAGAACACCGCTCGTCAAATACCCTGACCAACGCCAGCTTCCTCGCAACCGCCTGGTCATCAATAGGCGTGTGAGCCAGAAACGCCCTCGTGGGATTCCACTTCGTGAATGGCACGACGCCCGAGAACTCCCAGTCGAGAATGGCGGTGATCTTGTGCGTCGTCCTATCGTACATGACATTGTGGAAGTGAAGGTCCTTGTGCGCTAGACGGAGCTTGACATGGTTCAGCTCCTCGGCGTCTCGTTGAATGGCGTTGACGAAGCGGTTGATCTCGAGGAGCAGCTCGCGCATGCCGCCTAGTGCTTCGTGGCGTCTGATGGCGTAGATGTACTTCTGGATGTGCGCGGTGATGTACTCGACGTAGGTGGAGAACGGGCCTTGGATGTTGAGAGACTCGACGCTCTCACGGGGCCAGATTCGCGCGATATCTGGAACTTGCCAGAAGCTGTCTTCTAGCACGGGTCCTGGGACAATCTTCCCATCGACGATGCGTAGACCGCCGATGTGATGCCACTCAACAGCGTGAAGCTCGGCGAGATAGTCAGCAAAAGTGTCCAGAACAGTCATCCGCTGCTTTTCCTCGAGATGTGGCCACTCTGCGTCTAGAGTGTTGCCAACGGCACGTGTGAGGATTGTGTATTCATGCCGGATCGGGTTATTCGTAGACGAGTCGTAACGAACGACCTGCGGGATCGGGATCTTGGTGTTGCTCGCAACCCACAACATGACAGCGACTTCATTCTCGGTTTTGATGCGGGGCAGGTGGGTGCCGGAAATGCGCAGCACGAGGTCTCTCGCCGGGGAGTCGGGGTAGACGAGCAGCCATATCGAGTGGTATTCGCCCTCATTCGCCCATCGCCGCACGCGTGTCGGCCGCTCGAGTCTCACGGAGTCGATCAGCTGGTGGATCTGGTGCTCGGGGATCTTGGGCAGCTTGTCGTTGATGTTGCCGAGATTGTAGAGGTTCCCCAGGCCCGACGAGGTCGGCATGGTCTGATGGGGCGTGTCAGGATATTTATGTCCTTTCTGCCTAGCTAAGGGTCTCTGCATGGTGCAGACGTTGCGCAACCCGGCGCTAGTCCGGCTGTGAGCCCTTCCGCGAGGAATGCTAGCCAGTCAAGTGTATCGAGCTGCCATGACTGCTGAAACGCCAGCGCCGTCTGATATTGCCTGTTGCATGCACTTTTATTGAGGTGAGAAGTCGAAAGGCATAGATTTTAGCTGCTAAAGAGTTTCAATACATGTTCATAAACTCGACTCAACAACATTATAAGTAGATTAGAAGCGAAGGAGCGAACTAGCACCTAAAAACGTAACCAAGCTTTCAATTTTCGAAGTCCATGCACGGAGGAATAATCACCTTCCAATCGTGCTGCTCAGCTTCGTTGAGAACAGCTGCCATTACTTCTTCGACCTTAGTCTCATTCTCCGCGCATATGACGAACGTTGTCAAGTAGAACATTACAAACGGGTACTGCGAGTTCATGTAATGATCGAGGCAGTACTGCCATGCCCGTTCAGACCATGGTCTATCAAACGGCATGACATTCCATTGGTAGATGTGACCTTCCCAAGTCGCAAAGTTCAGCCCGCCCTTTCCCAGCCGGCCCACCGCGGGCATCGGCCATGCGCAGTAGTTCGTCTGGACGGAGCCTTTGGCCACAACAGCATTGGGGTGCTTTTCCTTGAATGAGTTTGCGAATTCCAGAAGGCAGTTGGGTGGCGGTAGTACTCGGAGCGACGAGGTAAGCTGCATCAGATCTGTATCCGCTCCAAAATCGTAGGGAAAGTATAGGTCGAGGGCCCCATCTACACCTTGAAGGACCACAGGACGTGTCTGAGGAGCTTTGTACTCTTTAACGAGACGAATGAGCCCGTTGCGCTCCATTTCATCCACGACGGTCATGATGAAGCGATTTTCGTCCCGAAAGCCAAAGCCTCCAGTCTCACGACGACTGGCTAGTAGTCCTTGGTCTAGATCCCAGCATCTAACCCTACTGCCTTCGTACTTGACACATTCAGGTGGCGGATACCTGATGTCGGGTGTGTCTTGCCACGTTATCTGGTCCAGGAAAATCTGCTGAACCGCAGGAGGAATCACATCTCGGATGACTTGCTTCGCCACCTCCCTGGGGGACGGATCGCCCGTGAGCATTAGCAGAGCATCATCTACAATGTCGAAGAGCGAGAACGATAGACCAGGTGTCTTATCGATGATGACTATTTGCCAAGATTCGACCACAATAGGGTCGTACGTTGACGTTTTCCGCAAGCGAAGGTCGTTTTTGATATCTTCCAGAGCGACTTCAGTAGTCCACTTTGCAGCATCGATCATCTCCTTGGTTTTGGCGGAGCACTTGCGCGTGATGAATAAATCATCGTCGGCTGGATATATCGTGGGATCGGCGTCGACTCCCTCGTAGGCGACAAGAACTAGACGTTCCGTACGTTTTCGCAACTCATCCAGGAGTGCCTCGGCCAACAGATCGCCAATAGCCATTTGGCCCGTGACATAGTTTCGACTTTCCACCTCGACAAACGAATCGTCAGTCTGTTCGGCGGACGATGAAAGGAGGCCTTTGCTTGAAGGAATGAAGCCGAAATAGACACCAGTTGTGCAATCGAGTAGCGGGATGTCGGGGTCGTACCAATTTTCACGATAGAGCCCAATCATCGACAACTTGCAGATCGTTGTATAGTCGTCAAAGTTCTGGCAGATGCTCCCAAACGTCCAAGGGGTGAGCACTTGCGGCAGCCAACGATGTAGCATATCCCAGCAAGGCTTGATCATCCTGAGCCCTTCAGTGCTACACGGGATAATGCCGCCCAGGATCCGAATGGTTCTCACGTCCCTAGCTGCAAGCGTCTGCGCACATGTTGCAACTCTGAGATACTGGAGGGCATGCGGACGCCAAGCCTTTTCGAAGAAATCGATATAAGTTTCTACCTCGCTAGCATGTCGGCCTTTCAGAAACTCGTCGATGGTTGCAGCTTGTGTTGCATGCTCAAGAACATCGGGCTCGCTCTCGTGCAGGACGAAGACCCTAAACCAGGCGCGTAAGATGTCGGTTCCACCATCGAGAATTCTGGCTTTTGGGGGGGTCCGGATTAGCAGAAAAGGCTATGCCAGTGGAGTCGTCAAGGTCGGGTACGATACTGTAAAGTCGCCGGATAGCATCAGCGCAAAGATTGGCAGAGAACTGCTTGAAGATGAGGATTGTCCCGTCATCAGGAATATGTTGAAGCTCGGCGATGGGGACTCGAGGGTCTAAAGGGGATTGATGAACGGTAATAGGTACATCAAGACCGCTGCACGGAGAGATCGAGTTGACCGTTGGCCTGTGCACAGAGAGTGTTGAAACTGGAGTACATGCATTAATGAACAAGCTGCTGATGAAATGACCCCGGAGACTTACCCATCTTGCGGTCAGCCATACCCCGAACATCCCGTTCCAGTTCCACAATCCATTGGATATGGTCAGCAGTATCTCCTCCTCGTTTGTAGAATCGGCGACTGATTTGTTTCCGGAGCTCAAGAGCTTGACACAGCTTGTAGATTTTTATCTTAGCTACATCTGGAGTGAGCAAGCTTTGAACGAAGACGGCTTCTTGTTGAGCTTGTTTCCAGTCGGTATTCAACGACTTCATCTCGTTGAAATGTCTCATGCACCATGCTTGTCCTTCACTCTCAAGTACGGTGCTGCATGGCTGTCCGTCAATCTCAACTGCGTCGCACTTGGTTCCTTTTAGTAGCGGGGACGTCGGTGGCTCAGACGAGTGGATGAGATTCCGGAACCTTGTTTTGTTGTTTGGGGAGAAGCACTGGGATGCCTGGATGCGAAGCTGTGGACTCATGGCGAGAGGAAGAAGTGCTCATTTAGCCTGTGGTGTGAGGGTGAATCTAGGAAACCACAGAGTCCTAAGGGAAGGGAGTAGATATACTGATGGGAACGACAAGAATACTTGAAATGGATATCTATTTCTGGGATATGTAAAATTAATTCAAAGTCTTCAAGGCTACCACTTGAGGTCATGTCGAGACTCGGGGGAATAGCTGCAATCGTTCTTTCAACCATCGTCTATTTCTGGGATTTCCAAAATAAACCTAAGTGTCGAAAACGCAAGCCGATATCTAGCTGGCGTTTAGTGTATTGGTCGCAACTGCGCCTTCGATCGACGTCTATTTCGAGAAGCTGTAGAAAAATGGCGAAGTGTCTCTAAGTTGAAATTCTATTGGCATTTGGGCTGGTATAAATTGGCGGTTCGGACCTCTGAATATGCACCGATGCGGCAAAGTCGACATGCAAGAACGTGGCACAGTTCCAAGACATTGATGCCTCGCGATCAGGCCAGTAGCACGACATTCAGCAATCAGATGGGGGCAAAAGCCACCAAGACGCTGTGCGTTGTCCGGGCAAAGACGCCTATGCCGAAGGAAAGTAGAGTATTAATGGGGAATTTCTCTTAGGTGCCGTTCTTCTTCGTGTGATATTCTGAAGTTCCTAGAGGAGCAGCTCCGCGATCAACACTATGGACACATCGTACAAACGCCACACATGAAAGTATGGGCTGGGCATAATGCGGGCCGTACCCGGAAAAGAGCCGGTAGCGACACGACGCGATGCATGGTTCATGCACGTTTACTCTGGTGACGGTTGGTGTGGAGTTGCCGGTGATGTTGCTTTTGCGGCGACACGGCGGTTATGCAGCTGGGTGGTTGGATGCGAATGCGGCGAGGCCTCGCTTGATTCCAGGGGTAACGAAGAATCTCGAGATTCTGTCCGCAAACGTCTGTAGTTGTCAACGTTCGGGTAGTTAGAGATGACAAATCTGGAACCTTGTAAATGGGCGTCGGACAAAGTCCTGTCAAACCCAGCTTGCCATGTACTTGCAGAGTGGTTCTTCTCTCATGGGTCTAGAATCACTTCATAACATAGCAAACGTTTGACTTGAAGAGCTTGTTTTGGGAACATGAATTGCCTACCTGGAATATTCTCCTGCTTCAAGACGATTGCTATTCTTATCTGCAAGCCCAGTGGACTGTTGATCCCAAGTAACGAAGTAGCCACACAGCCAACGCTCTGAGCATGAGAACACCACCAACACTCCGAACTGCAGAGAAGCGCGCAGTGTGCCAATGACCGGTCAGGATGAACCACGCCTTGTACATGACTAGCTTGCATATTGCATATAGGACAGAAGCCTACCCCTCATAATGATGACGACTTCGATACTGCGCTTGCGAGTCTTTGAAAACAGTGAGAATAGTTCGATAATGGATTATCGGCATTACTTCGCCGAGAATGCGTATCTTCCTTACCCTCCGAAGTTCATCTTCAACGCAATTGTAGGCTCGCCACCCTCATCCCTCCGCTGCGCATCCCTAGCTCTCGCCTGCACACCCGCACTGCCCGCTTTGATCACGCTCTCCATGAAGCTTCTCTGCTCGTTACTCATACCACCCACTACCACTTTGAACGCAGTCTGATCAGCTCCCGCAAGCTCGAGCAACCGTGCCGCCGTCTCTCTATACGTGTCAGCGCCCTCCTTGCTCGCGCGTGCGAGCAGTGTAGGAACCACAAGCGCTATGGCCGTTTGCTTCTGCTGAGTCTTCGCGAGGGCAGGTACGAAAGAAGTCAATGAGTGCGCGATAATAGTACGGCTCTCATCTAAGCCTTCGACATCGGACGGGTTAGCCAGGAAGGACACAAGAATCGGGAGAAGGTGAGACGCCATCGCTGACTCCGCAGCACCCTTGCTGGGGAGTAGGAGGAGCGTACGGCAACAATTTGCGGCCACCTTGCTGGTCATGCGGTTCTCTAGGCACTCGCCGATCTCATCGATGAAACGCTTTAGGAGCGGATCACTGCCCTCTAGCGCCCGCGCTGCTGAGCTGAGCAGAATAGTCGTAGCAAGAATAGTGTTCTTCTCGCAGGGCAGTGCCACCTCCGATTCACGCTTCTGTGCGTGTTTGAGGATGGTTAAGAAGCGAGTGAGGACGCCACGAAGCTGCACAGTGGTCTCGGGAGCTGATGAGCGAGCAAGACTCGTGACGAAGCGCCTGAATATGGGAAGTGACTGGGGTACGACGGTCTCCTGGCACGATCCAGTACACAATATAGTCGTGAATATGTGAAGGATGCAGGCATGAAGGTCGGTCTTGATGACAGAAGGGAACACAGCTGCGGCGTCTACAAGAGCTGATAGAGACAATCGCAGCAGCGCTAAGGCTTCTTCAGATAGATCGGGACGAGCTGTGTATGTTGCGTTAGCATAGCAAATGATGGTTGCCGCAAGTTTCGCACCTTGTGACTTTTTCTCAGTCAAGTTTGGTACCAATCCTTCCAGCACAAGGACCATGATCTTAGTCAACTCGAACAGCTGATCGATGTCCTCTGACAACTTCTCTTCACCGACAGGCCCACTAATGATTGTTAGCTTATAAGTCATCGCATCTGCACAGGAACATACTCATGCCCTTTTCTCGCTGATGGGTGGCCTAGACACAGGTTCCTCGCGATCTCCACGATCACGGATTGTACACTTAGTCCTTCGGTCAGTGCCAACCGATCGAGCATATCCATAGTCTCCGAGAAGACAACTTCCTGGTAAATGGCATGACCCGATACAGCCGGTCGAAGTATCTTCTTCAATGCCTGTAATATCCCTAAGATCTGCTCCTTGGTGGCTTGCATGTCTCCCGGTCTCCCCACCAGCGCTTCAAAAGCAAGGCCGAAAAGAACGAAGAAGAAAGCGACCGGCTCGTCTCGATAGTTGATATCGCTGGGTTTGCCATTTGCGCTGGGCGTTGAGGGCTCCGTTTTCCCATCGAGTGCATCGAAGACGAACTCACTGTCCTCATCAATGAGACTTGCAATCGCATCGACAAGATTGAGCCAGGAATCTTGGTAGAACTACTAACTCGTTAGGGATTGTCATCATACATGTGATGAAAATTTACCTTTAGCAGCGTCTCTCGGTTCAAGGCGGCGTATATCGTGTCTAAGCTTCCAGAGAGGGAGCCGGGTCCTGACGACGAGATATCAGGCTCGAAGCGTAGCCGTGCGTACTCTCGCAGTGATGAGAGCCAAAGAGGGGTCAATTTTGCGATATGTGGTTTCAAGACGTCGACAAGGTATTTTTGCTCTGCGCTAGCAATCTGAAGCTCCGCCCACGCCGAGAATACGGCCATCTTGACCATGACCTGGGCATTGGAGCTGAGGCCTTTCAGGTCACCGATGGAAGCAATTTCAGATTCACCTAAAGACCAAGTTAGCCAAAGCAACATGAGTTGTTTGCTAGAAGACCCTACTGGAGAAATTTTCGAGGGCTGAGACGAGAAGCTTGAGGATACGACCCATTCGATCCACATCTGTGACAATGCCAGTAGCAATGAAAGTCGCACAGACATTGACGGCTTCTGCCGCTAGCTCAGGAGAAGAGTCTGCCGCAAAAGCTGGAGTGAGGGCTGAGCCAATCTGGGCTTGATATTGTTCGAGAAGTGAAGCTTCCGCAAAATCAGGGTCAGGAGTCTTGCCGAAGATCTAGTTGTAACAATCAGTACAATCCGTAAGTAGTCATACAGAGAGCTTAGCTTACCTTCAGAACTTGGTCAATAATCTTCAAACCTCTAATTCGTAGTTGCACAACACCCGCGGTAGATGCAGAGAAAGCGATGCGCACTACATCCGCAATCCTCTGCTGCAACGCCAGTGCAGCTGGAGAATGTTCTTGCGACGCTGCCTCCCCACTGATCATGGAGAGAAGCTCGCTAAGACAGTCCATTGCAAATGTCCGCACTTGCCACTTCAGCAATTCTTGACTAGATTGCGCCGAAGAGCTTGCGTCTTCACCAGCCGTTGTGGCGGAAGCAGCAAATCCAGCCACCTCCTCATCCTGTAGATCTGGCACCGCTGGTTTTTTGATCTGTGGAGCGGCGGCCTGCTCCGGCCGGCGCATGGTTTTGGTAAGAACGGTATGGCATCTTTGTACCCACTCCGCTGTGTTGGATAGTCCCGTTTGATGAAGCCAGTTTCGAATTATGTTTCGTACGACTTCATGCTCTGGAACTGTGTTGAATATTAGCCAGAGTTGATCTTCCAAGCCGGGCTCTGCAGTTCGCATGACCTCTTCCGCATTACGTCTCATGAGGTTGTGAAGTCCATCAATAGCCATGTCCCTAATTTGAACTGAGTGGCTATCGAGATCCTTTTGAAGGTGCTTGACGTAGGCGGCAAATTCCATGTGGCCGGGAGCATAGAGCGACAGATGTTCCTGGCATCTGAGGCATTCAATAAGGACCAGTCGCTCTTCTTCACGCTGAAACCTGTCGATAAGTATCATGATCAAGTCCCGTGCCTTTGTCATGTCTTGAAGGTCTGGTCCGAGAACATTGATAATACTATCAATACAGCGAGCAATGACTGCTGGAGAGGGAAGGTCGATTTCGAGATTAGAGGACGCCAATGACGCACATTCGTCGTTGTGAGTGTCGGCAACATACAACTGCGCAAGCATGCCGAGGGTGCCGGAAACATAGCCAGAGAAAGTCAAGCCAGCAGAGTCTGCCACTCTCGACAAACTCTCCAGAGCCCAAAAATGGACTGTTGGGTGGGGATCATTGCTTAGGGACATCAATATTCCCAGAATGTTCTTCAAATGATAGCCAGCTGCCATGCCGCCTAGTTGGGAGTGTATGCATCCCAAAGCAAGCGCACATCCTGATCGTGCATTGGGCTCCCTATTGGAAACAATCTGATCGACTAGGTAGTTGACTTCAGCTGTAGTGAAAGCATTCCCCGAGCTGCTACAGAGACGTCCTAGCGCCTCGCTGGCTACATTTCGAACATACGGATCAGGATGTACGATAAAAATCTAGGATACATCATTAAACAATCTCTTGAGACGGAAAAATCACATAACTTACATGCAACAGCTCTTGCATGACCTTTTCAACAGCGCCGCCTCTTAGATCACCAGAAGCGGACCGAGTCTCTTTCACGGCAACCTTCAGAGTAGCTAGTAAGGCCATAGCAATATTCACCATCATTGCCGACCTTCGTCCAGGATCTCTTTGTAGATTGTTGGCGGAGAGAAATGACGACATTTGCTCAAGTATGCTCTCTTGGACCTTCGGAGTCTGAAGCGGCAGACATATCGCGAAAAGATTGATTGCAGCATTAATCACCTCTGTAGAAGGCGGATCAGGAAGATTATTAAGATCGTCCGAATTGTTAATGTAGAGGGTTAGAGAGTCATGCTCTCGAGCTCCGCAGATTGGTGAGAGGAGCTAGAAACATAAGCACGTGGTTTGCCAAAGCAATCAGACAAGAAACCTACTGTTCGATCTACCATGGCTTCTGGTCCACTCCTAGTTACCCAATGATTCTGCGTGCTGAGATCTTGTTCTCCAGGTAGGGGTTTTATGTCGAATGCACGGAGTAGTCCAGTAACTCCAAAGCCGCAATTGTCACCAACATCCCATATACTCTCGAATGTGCCGGCGGAGCTGGCAATTGAAGTACTGAGAGAACTGGGTGCGTAATTATCAGGGTCCGCAAAACTTGAAAGTGCAAACGGAAGTAAGTTGGTCTGTAAAAGCATCTCGCTGCTTCCAGGCGGGCTTAGATTGACGAGCTTCGAGTAACATTGGAGTACCCTTCTCCGAACCATGAGATCAAAATCGTGCAGTTGAAGAGCTGGTGAGAGTCTTTGGGAGATATCGTCCGTGGTTTTCTTCGTTGGTAGGGTGTTCAGAAACATAGTAGTGTTTTGAAGCATGGCAGCCAAACGCTTAGTGACGTCCAAAGTCAGCAACCTGCTGTTGAATTCCAAAAAGGTCAGAATAGACCCAAGTGCGCATTCTCGTACGTGCGCAAGGAAGCTCAACTCTAAAACGTTACGTTGTACCATATTATCCCTGTTCAAAGGCTTTGGCAGGGCATTCTTCCAGAGCAGCAGTAGCTGAGAAAGATGAATCTTGACAAAATTTGGCCCGAGAGTCATCAGGCCTCCGATCAAAATCCAAGCGACTTGAATTTGTGTAGAGGAAATTCGCAAGTCGGAGCTGCTACTGGATTTCAGCAATGTAGTGGCTTGAGAGAGCACCCGGGAGTTGACATCAACGGATCCATATAACGGTTGCAGATTTGAAGTACTCAAAACGGCAGAGAGACCGTTGGCAAGCCCAACGCATCTTCTCGGGGATTGGCGAGGCCCAGCAAGCAGGCTCAGCTCCCGATTGACACTATTCATGCATATGGTGACAGAGGGTAGCAGTTGTTGAGGACAAGCCAGAACGAAAGAGCGTAGGCAAGAGGCGGCGTACACTTGAATAGTGTAGCTGGGATGTTGAAGAACTTGCAGCAATCCCTCTCGACAAATATCCGCTACTGCATTTGTCGCTGATCCTAGACTGTTCATCAGAGAAGAAAGCGCACTTAACGCCCCAGTCAAAACTTGCTTCGACGGTTCCGGCCTTTCCTTCAACGCTTGAGGGTAGTCCTTGAGAATCTCATTGACGAGGTACTTGGAAGCGTTGAGTTGGCCAGATTCCCCTAGCATTTCTCGCCCAATAACTTGCTCTAAAATAATTCGAACATATTTCCGCGTCGTAAGTAGTCGGTATCGATTTTGTACGATGCTTGAATAGCTGAGCAAGTCGTTGAGGAGGTGCCGAGCAATGTCTCCGTATTTGCTCTCAATAATCTTTTCGCCGAGGCCACGTAAAGTCTTCATATAGCAAATAGCAATCCCAGCTCGGCCACGATTGCTGGTGGCGGGACGACAATAATGACTCGATAATTGCCTGAATAGTTCTGGAATCGCAAATGCTAAACGCGTTGCCGGTTTCTGCGGTGCCGGCGAACCAGGCCTCTCAACGACGTCGTCGTCTCCTTCGACTTGAGACTGTTTCTTCGTTGGTTTCCTCTTCGTCTTGCTTCTCGAGAGAGTTTCCTTGGTAGCGGTTTCCGAATAGCTTTTAACCAAAGCGGCGCTAAGACACGAGGCCCCAGCGTGCCTCACTGTGCTAGATCCAGTTTCGAGTGCTTTCCATATAACACTTTGGAGTTTCTCAAAGTCGTTGGAGTTGTCGAAATAACCCGTCTCACGGACGAGCTGTTCCAAACACCAGCAAGAACTCGCCTGGACAAGCAGAGACTTGTCTCCTGAGGCAGCCGATCTTGCTTGTTTCCACACGTCTCTAGCTGCAGATTCATCAGCAGACCCACCAACCCCTCGGTATACTCTTCCTAGAGCCCTGAAAATGGTGGCCCGAAATCCGGCATGATTGTGAGCAATCTTGAGAAGACGTACTAGGGACATCGACACAAGGCCAGATAGGCCCACAGCGCTATCCCCAGCAGCTTCATATACGTATCCAAGGCTGTGGGCCGCGGCGTGCTTCGCTTTGATATCCTTCTCGCTCCTGCCTGCAGCATTCAGAATTGTTACCAGCTCGTTGATAGACTCAAAGAGCAGTTTGCGGTCTCCTTTCCCAAATATTCCAGCAAACGTCCTGCCCAGGTTGTTGCGAATGATGCGTGTAGGTGCAGGCGAGGGGAGGTTGATGATCTGGAATAGCTGCTTCTTGACGTATATCTGGTGGGCAGAGGCACCATCCGCGTCGAGAGAGGAGACATGACGAGCAAGATCGGACGTAAACGTGAGAAGGTAGAGGTCCTGCTGCTCAGAGGGGAGGGCGTGCAGTTTAGGGATGTCGAGCTCCGGGTTGGAGACGTCCCCATTCGCAGGGCTCTGCTCGTTTGTGGCCATGATGGTGAGAGATCAAAGGCGGTCGGCTTCAGTGCGATCGAATGCTACGGCGAACATGGTGCATAGCGGCGTCGTGAGGGCTGATACTAGGAGTTTAGGTTGTCGACAGTGCGGAAGAGACCGCACCTCCGCGCCAAGAATGAAATGTCACTCTCTACGAAGTATTCCCCTCGAATCATTGGTGCTTCGAACTTTGTCTCTCCAGCTCCAGTAATCAATGTCCACAGCACCACGACGTCTCTTGACGAAAGCCTGGTCCTCGGACCTCTACACATGCGCGGCCTGTCGCCATTCACGGTTCTTAACGACATCAGCATCACTACGGTCAGGCCATAACAAATGGTCGACAATCAAGCACGCCAAGGGGAAGAATGACGCCGTCAAGAACAAGCAGCGCTCCATTTACTCGACCATCATCGCAAATGAGTCTAAACGTACGCCCTCTCCCTCAACTCGAGCTTCCCCGACCTAATGGAGCACTTTCTGTAGTCTACGGAGCGGACCCGCACAGCAACCCACGTCTCGTCGTCGCCATATCCAATGCGAAGAAAAACGGCGTCCCCAAATCCGTGATCGAAAGCGCAATCGCAAGAGGACAGGGAGTGTCAGCATCGGGCGCCGCACTCGAGTCTATTGTGGTGGAAGCCATCTTGCAATCGTCTGTCGCCGCCGTAATCGATTGCCAGACCGACAGCAAGCTTCGGACCCTGATGGATGTTCGTCGTATCATCAAAGATCACGGAGGCAACGTCACACCCACGAACTACTTGTTCGAGAAAAAGGGTCGGATAGTGTTCCAGGAAAAGGAAAGCGTGGGTGTTGAAGAGGTTCTGTCCCCGGCTCTTGACTGTGGTGCGCTCGACGTCCTGGAGAACGAAGACGGAAAAGTTGTTGTATTCACGGAGACAAATGACACCAAAGGAACAGCGCGTGCGCTTGCTGCGGAATTGGGCATAGAAATCGAATCAAGCGATATAATATGGGACCCCAACGAAGAAACTAAGGTACAGTTGGAGAGCGTAGACGCAGCCAAGAACCTCAGGAGCTTCCTGGACGAGTTACAGGAGGTATCGGAAGTTCAAGGCGTGTACATGAACTTGAGCAGAGGTGACTTGGACGAAGAGCTATGGGCAGACTTGCGGGATAGAGCGGAAGTGTGAATGTACATTTTTGTACATGTGTACCAATACAAATGCATTTACCCAAACTCCAAATGATGCAATGTCGTAACTCCTCTCTCATGCGTGTCTGACAATCGCAACTATCCTTCCCATTCCCAATTGACAGCACTCGCCCTTCCTCGGCTCGTTTCTCGATGTAATCGTCCAAGAAGTTCGCGTCTCGGTCCAGGGTGATCGGCAGGCCCATCAATTGACTGTGATTCTCGTATCCTAGCTCTCTTCCCCCTGCACAGGTCTTCGCTGATTTCGCTTCGCTTCCTCCAACCTCTCCTCCCTGAGCGCCAGTCGCCGCGCCTTCATGCGCTTCAATTCCTTCTCAATTTCATCCCGCTCGTAGGGTACTCGGTTCGTTTGTCCTTCCTTGGGCCAGAAGTCGGGAACGCTGAATTTGCCATCGAGGTTCGTGCCAAAGTAGTACATTATGCCGATAGGAAAAAAGATGTAGAGTCCGAACTGGGAGGAATTAGCGGTTTGAAGAGGACGTGGGCATTGCGGCGAATTACCTTAAAGACTTCCAGATTGGGTCCGCCCATTGTGACTTGATGGATATTTTGGTTCTGGAATCCTACAGGTCTCAAGTTTTGGGGAGACAGTAGGTTTGTTGGGCGGAGGGAGCTCTGGAGTCGATTTCGCGATGCGAGGATCATCAGGTCATTTAGTCCGGCGATTACTCGGCCTCTATCTTATCAGATCCTTCCCCGCAACCACCACCATTCACATGCTTCTTTCTCTCTCCCATACTGCAGCAATACCAGGAGACCCCCTATGTCTGACTATGTTGAAGCTTGAATACCTGGCTCTGGACACGAGCATCTATTACCAGTATCACTCCTTTGTATGTATCAATTAGAATAGACGCTGGACTTATGATTTCTGCTTTAGGATTCCAGAAGTCAAGCCTCGGTACAATATCCAATATCTCATCGGCTTTCTCACTCACTTGTCAACCGACCCCAAAGCTTACTTACCATCCCCTCCGCCATGTAGTTTAGAGTCTCAATAATTCATCATTTCTGAACGTCTTCCGTAACCTCCTTCGTACCTGAATATACACTATCCGCTTCCCAACGAGCATCACGTCCTTCCTGACGCAGCAATAACCTCTGCAGCATGACCGAGTACGTAGCCATTACCTACCGTGGCAATGTTGCTATCATAACCTTGAACGACCCGAAGAAGCTAAATGCTTTGAACGCAGACGGTTTGTCCTACGGTTGGTCTTATACCTTATCCCACCCGACTAACAGGTAACAGGATACCACCAACTAGCCCAGGCTATGACGACAGTTGCTGCCCACGACGACATCGCAATCACAGTTCTGACCGGCAGTGGACGATACTTCTCAGCCGGCGCCGACGTATCAATTGGCGGCTCACAGCCCAGCAATGAAGACACCACGCGCTTCTGGCTGAGGTCGTTTGTCTCCCAGAACATCTACATCACGCACGCCTTTTACACCCACCCCAAGATCCTCGTCACTGCCCTGAATGGCCCTGCCGTCGGTCTCTCCGCCGCCCTAATCGCCTTCTCCGACTTCATCTACGCCGCGCCGCATGTCTTCTTACTCACACCATTCTCTTCTCTTGGCCTAGTAACGGAGGGCAACGCGAGCCGCGGCTTCGTACAGCGGCTGGGTATAAGCAAGGCAAATGAGGCCCTAATAATGAGCAAACGGATTAGCTGTGAAGAGCTCGTGCAAGCTGGCTTCGTAAACAAGGTGTTTGACGTCGGATCGAAGGATAATTCGGAAAAGTTCTTAGGCGAGGTCTTGAAGGAGGTGGATGACCGTCTCGGGGCGCATCTGAACGCGGACAGCATGGTGAAAATCAAAGCGCTCATCCGGAAACCGGAGAGGGGCATTCTAGACAGGCAGGGTGTGGAAGAGGTCTTTGGTGGGCTGGAACGCTTCACCAAGGGCATTCCTCAGAAAGAATTTGCTGCCTTGGCCAGCGGGGCTAAGAAACATAAGCTATAGAGCAGGGTGGGACCAATGTGTTTCGAATAGAGTGTATTTTTTTGGTCTCTTTAATATCATCCCTTGGAATTTCCACCTTACTACGCTCTCTCGGCAGTGTCTGAAGCGCTTCAACCCTTTGTTGAAATCCAGGATGTGATGTCAGGATTTTGACCACAGCCCACCACCGTCTGAGGTGCTTCAGGGCACGATTAAAAATGTGAACCGGGTGCGAATCTTGCTGCGGTGCAATTCAGGCCTGCTCGACTGCTCTTGATTGTCAGTTACCTTGCGAGGCTACCTTAGGAGACGTGATGAAGAAAAATCGTTGTCCATCTTTCTACGTTTTGAGAAGACCTTGTAGCATCTCACACTTGACGATTGGAGTCGTAGTGCTGTACTTCAGACGTACAAATTCGCGCTTTCAGCTAGGTGGCGCACAGCATCAACCCAACTGGACTCCTCCCTCGCCGACAAGTAGCTCACCCCCAAGGGCCTCTCCGCCAAGGACCGGGGCTTTTGGAGACCCGTTTGTACCCGCAGATCCATGATCCCCATTTGACGGGCTCGCCCTCTCCGAGTCTGCATGTCGAGCCTCCTCTTTCAACTTCTTTCGTTCTGCCTCCTGCGTCTTAGTCATATAGCTGCTGTATCGTAATGTTCCTAGGATTAAGGCCGCGGATATGCCAATAGCAATTGCAGCTCTTCGCGTCAGAACCCAGCGTAAGCCCTCGACTTCACTTCGCGCATCGGAGTTCAAGGCGACGGTGATCTTGTATCCTAGTTCTTGAATCTGTAGAAACGCAATTAGACCTTGTTTGTATATCTGAAAGCTTGTGACGTACCTTTGTTTCCATATTGCGCTGCTCCGTACGCACTGCCATCTTGCGGTCATCGAACATACCTTTCAGTTCGTCTTTCAGTGTGAGACTCTCCTGTGTCATTCTCTGATTTAAAATGTCAACCTCGTGTTGTAAGTTGGTGCGCGCTGTCCGCATCTTCTCCGTCTCGGTGTTGCGGTTGTTCGCGATTTCAGTGCGGAGTTCGCTGCACGCTGCGCGGAAGAGATATGTTTCCTAGATATCATAGCCATCAGCCGATGCAATCAAACAATGATGGATGCTATTGAGGTCTCACGTTCTCAACATTGCTCTTGCTAACCAAGCCGTCCCTCGCAAGCTCCATGTTGTCCGTCAATATACCCCTCACAGCTTTCATGATGGACACTGATTGACCCTGGCTGAATCCTGAGGCTTCCAAGTCTTTTACTAGACCGTATGTGTCAAACTTTGAGGCATTAGCATAGCTCAGCAAAAACTTGACCACGCAAATACGTACGTGGTGCACATAACGTGGGGCCTGGAGGTGGGGCGCTTTCTTTGATTCTTCACTCGGCGACGGAAGACGCAGAACATTTTCCAGAGGGTTGGATTGCGCAACTAGAGGCGCGTCTGGTGTCGGTGTTGATGGTGTAGACTCGGCGCTATCCAATTCCTCCGTCTTTGAAGCTTTTACGGGATTCTCTTCCGGAGGCGGTGCGGGAGGAGCGTTTTGCGACTCCTTCGTCTGTGAACTCCCTGCTTTTGCTGGCGCTATCGGCGCTTGAGTGTCTGACGACACTACCGGAATGTCACCGCCTCCAAGAGCAGTCCCATACCGCTCTGGTCTCACCTCTCGGCGGCGTGTTGTGGTGGAGATGGAGTGGGAATGCGACCGAGATTGCTTCAACGGTGGACTTTTTTGCGATGCGGGTCGGACTGAGCGGTAGAAAATAGGATAGAGGAAGGTCAAAGGTTTTGACATTCTGCTGAATGTCTGCGTTGCTGGTGGGAGTTGGCGTTGACGATGAAATAATCCCTGGGCACGATCCAGCAACAAGGTTTCTCCACGGCTCTCGATCTAGAGACTGCCCTGCCAAGCTCCGAGGCCGGAAGCACGTGTTTTGTTAGTGCTATGCGGCAAAACTTCAAGAATACAGAACGGACATAGAATAGCATGATTAATGAACAGGGTATCCTAACATTTGCACATGTTCTCTTCACGTTTCACCAGAATCAGATCTCGAGCCGAAGTACCTGGACATCTCGAGATCACGCATGTACTGTCACCAGTTCAGCAAAAGTACCCGCAATACTTCGTATGCATGTCGAGGTTACCTTCCATTAAAGGAATATTGATGTTATCAGCTGTTGTAGAGAATGACTGATTCGGGCGTTCCAAGATATGGACATAATACGCAATTCCACCAGCATCTAAGCTTTCTACCTTTGTCTCTCCATTTAAACAAACCACCATGCGCCATGAACCCCTGACTATTCGAATAGGCTAAGGAAACAGATCAGTGCTATGAATACCAGGTACGCCCACCTGAAAGCTTTGCAAGAATAGAAAATTACAGTGGAGGCGGCCGTATTTTGACATTCTCCACGAGAAACGAAACGTTATCCTTCATATATTCGACAATAAGTGGTATACCCATCGTAGATCATCCCAAAAACTTTTTATTTCGCCGTTTCCATTCCGGGAGGGATTCGTTCAATTAAGACAGTGGTGAATATAAACGAGGTATAGAACAGATCCCGTCCGAAACACCGGCGCCGACATCATCATGCATCGTGGAAAGAGCGAGGCGATTTCACTATAAAGCATTCGCAATGCTTACTGCGTGTGGGGCGTTGAAGCCCTTGCTGGCGGAGGCGTGTACTAGCTCGTCAGGGCCGACAGTGCTGGAATGCGTGCTAGGCAAGGAGCAGCTCTGTGGACTCTGAGCATCATTGACCAAGGGAGGAGGCGATGGGGCCGCTGAGATATCCGTACTCACGGCGACAGAGCCGACCGAATTACGCTGGTCCATTCTAGGAGAAACGTTAGACTGGTCGAATCTATGCATCTTCTTTTCGATCTATAGATAATTAGCTTCGCTTGCTTGGACGCTGGCCTCTAGGCACCTACAGCCACAGCCTGCTTCCCAGGAATGAGTCTTCTATTGTTGACCATTTCGGGCTGCAGATGCTCGACGAACTCGAAGAAGTCCTTGAGACTGAGAGTATCAAGAAGCTTTTCTGTAGCGATGTGAGCGACTTCCAAAGCATGCACCAGTAGTAAAACTTACGAACGACGTAGTTGCCATAAGCATCTTTAAGCAATACCGCCAAGACGCGTTCTCCACGCTCATCATTTTCCAGGGTTTTGAGCATGATCTCACGGCGCTGTTCGTTGGTGCCGAACGTCAGACATTTCTCGACAACATTGCTAGCAAACTTGTGTTTCGACAAAAAGGCAAGCTCGTTCTTGACCAATGCAGTGATTTTGACACGATCCTCTGGCCGGCCATGTTCGATGATGTGCTGCGTGACGTAGTTGCCATACTGGTCCGGAATGAGCTTTGCGCCTTCGAGATGAAGTTCCTGGAGTATTGAGGCCCGAGCTGGGTCGTCACAGTGTTCAAGCAATCGTTGAATTACGCGGCAGCCGTATGTGTGTGCTGCTAGGAATCCAACCTGGCCCTTGAATGCTGCGATTGTATTTCCAAGGTATTCAGGTGGGACACGCTCGATGACCTTCTGAATAACGTGGTTGCCATTCTGATCTTTGACACATCGGATAACGTCCTTCTCCAGCTCTCTTACTAGCTCCGCTTGTTGGTCGGTCAGAATATGCTCTAAGGCCTTATTTGTGTGTTAGCAAAAGCTTCCCGATTTTGAGGCCGTGATTTTGGTTCCTACCTTCTGAACTACTCTGCAGGCATACATCTGCACGGACAAAGTTACCACATGACCCTTCATTCGGCTAGCGATAATGCGTTTCTGGTTCTGGTCGCCATGTTCGAAGAACTTCTGGATGACGTAGTTGCCGAAGACGTCCTGCATGAGCTGTAGTGATTCAGATTGCAGCTCCTTGAACACCCGTTCCTTCTCGTCGCTGTTCGCTGTCTCCAGCTTTTGCTGGATGAACCGAGATCCATGCTGGTCTCCGCTAAACTCAACGATGTGGTCATAGATGTCCTTCAGTTCATATCGCTTGCTGGTTTTGTTGTTCTGCTTGAACTCTTGCATAAGTAAACTGCGGTAACCTTCGCTAGGCTCGTGCTCCCGCGGCGCCTTGGGCGGCTCCACAGGCATCATTCCAGGAAGTGTCTGTAAAGCCATTCCTGGGTGGATTCCGTTGACTGGTAAAGAATTCGGTATGCCGTAAGAGTAGTAGGGTGCCCTGAACTGGTTGTGGGGGATCATTTGCTGGTAGTGTTGTTGCTGAAATTGGTGCGCGTTGATGAAATTTTGCTGCTCTTGCTGTACTTGCTGCAGCTGCTGATATCCACGTAACTTCCTCTCAACAATCGCAAGATTCCCATTGGAGACAACGCGAGGCACTTGATCCGCTCGTGATGGATACAAGTGGTCATATACAGGAGGTGTATGTGTTTGCGAATAGTACGGAGACTGGCGGACTCCAGTCCCGTTGGGGGCGCTTCGAGAATCGAACTGATACTGTCGCAGTTGGGCAGTGTGGTCACCAAGATGACCATTCGCATATCCATCAGGTGTAAAGGATCCAATGCCGTTTGGTTGAGTTTCCTCGGGACGTACCAAGACTTGTGACATGTCTGTGATATCACGCATGAAACCCGGATCCTGCGATGTGGGACTGAAATATGGAGGCAATCCATTGACGCTCATCGATGGCTTGTGCACCGCCATGCCTTGATCGACCTCATTACTAATGCTGAGGCGTCCAAACATGGACAGGCTGTCACTTTGTATAGAGCCGCTCCGCTCTTGGTACGCTCTTCCGTTGGTTTGCGAAGAGAAGGAGGGGTTGTGGCGAGATACTGGCTGGGACAACCTGGAGTAAGCATCTGCGTTTTGGGGGAACTGCAGGTCGCCATGACGTGAGGGTGGCAGAGAACCGCTTCGTGATTGCGTGGTGCTTGATGCAGCAATACTACGGCGATCATCGGTCGGCGAATGCAGCGAGTTATTGTCCCAGGAGCTGTTTGCTTCCGCTGGTCTTGAGGCAAGGGCATCAGCTTCACCGAGGCGGCCGAAAGCACCAAAGCCGTTAGCTATAGACTCGACGGGTCTCGAGGCGGAGAAGTTGCCTATGGATGGGTCCAGTAGTGGTTTAGATGGCACACCTTGGGCCAAGGTGAAATAGGAAGAGGGCATAGTCGCTTCGGTGTACGCCTGAGTAGGCTGCGGCTGTTGCGCGACACGTTGTCGGGCTGGGGACACTCCAGATCGTGAATGGCTACTGGTATCCCATGGCGAGCGGTGAATGTTCCAAGCATCCGATTCTGAAGACGCAACTAGCTGGCCAATCTTCCCTTCAACGCTATCCTTCTCGCGTGCAGCGGGAAAGTTGGAGTTGGAATTCCAGATGCTGCCCCCCCATCCTAATTTATGTGCGGGCCGCTCGCTGTCGCCGTCGATGGGAACGCCGAGTTCGGGGATTCGAGATCGATTCTGAAAAGACTCCATTTTTGAGGCGATGTAGTATGGGTGGATGTAGCGACAGTCTCAGCAGCGGAGCGCGCGAAGATGTGGGCGGCGGGCTGATGTGCCAGGCATCAGCAAGTAGCTCGAAGGCGCCGGAGTGCGACCTACGGATGTATGTGTAGAGGTGCTCTGTTCAGGGCGGAGAAGGAGGGTAGTGGTCATTTACAAGCAGCAAAGGGAGAAAAGAATGGGGAAAGGGCCAGAGTTGGGAAACGTGGAGGATATGGGGAATTCCTTGGCTGATCAACCGCTTGCATGCCGTCGAAGCAAGGAGAGGAATGATGCGGGCGGCATCGGCGGGCGGCGGACTGAGGACGCGCGAGAGTAGCTATACAGTGCGTATGTAATGCGCCAGCGAGTTGGGGGAGAGGTTGCAAACGACGAGTGGTTCTAACGCCAGGACGCTCATCAGTCGCGCTGCCTCACAGGTCCCCCAGGCCCTGGGCCCCGTACAGCACTAGATGGCGGCGGGCCGAAGAGCGCTAGCCGCAACTTGAGCCCTCGACGCCACCTCGACAGACAGCTGTGCAGCCTCCGCAAAACCACACAGTACACTCTCTCGCCGGCGGCAGGACGTCGCCCGTCGCCCGTCGCCTATAAGGGCTGAGCATCGCCGTGCAATGCCCTGCCGTGTTGCTGCTCCGTCCCAGTGCGCCCTCTTCACTGCGATGTCCTAAAGTGGCCTCCAAGGGTGAGACGGCGCTAAGGACTTCTGTGCCTCAAGGTCTGGTTTCACAAGAACGCACCATTCCTCTTGCTCTCTCTGCCTTCTCCTTCGCTCCGTGACCATCTCCTTGTCGCTGCGTCGCCGTGCTCCAAGTTTGCTGCAGCGGTTGACGGCTGCATACATGATCGTCCTCCAGCCCGACGCCTCACACGACGCCGACGCCGTTTACGCTCCCTTCTTGGTCGCCGTGTGATGCAAAGGCGCCCGCCTGCAGCAGTCAGTGAGGCTGTGGTCACTGCAACGTCTCCACCAATGCGTGTACAAGGATATGCTTCATCTCGGAATGTGCTAGATGGGCTGCGCTGGTGGCAGGCTTCAAGTGAGGTTCACTCTGACAGTGCCATAGCTCCCACAGCTCATTGCTCGCAAAGAGCAGCTACATAGGCCAACAGATTCCGGCTCGTTCGTAAACATTACCACATCCTAGGGAGCGCTTTCTAGTCTCTTACACCGCTACTCGATTGTTCTGTCGTACATGGTTGCACCTTGCCAGGGCTGTCCGGGTCGTGCGAGGCATATTCATCCGAGTCACATGACCTGGGGGTCCAACCCAGCTGTCCGTTGTCCTTAGATCTCGGGGGTCGACGAGCCACTGCATGACAAGTCCGACCGAATTTCAAGCGTCGCCCATCTCTAGCACTTCACCGAAGACTCCGTCAACAGGATCCATGGGTCGATAGTACATTCCGCCCCGTTTACTGGGAAGAGTGATGTAAGGGGGGTTTTGACGCGCTGAGGCACCTTTCATATCCGAGGGATAAGGTCGAAACTGAGTACGCTTGGCTTGCACGAGTCTATTTAGTAGTTGATCGCTCAGAGCCGATGTCAGGATACTTTCAACGCTTCCGGTCAAATCATTTTAGAGGACGTCAGACAGTAGCAGATGGGCTCAATCAGGTGGGCTCGAGCATCACTCCTCACGACGTGGTGTATACAACATCAGGTTCTGATTCTCCTTCTGTATATACTGGACGGCTTCAGACAACATTAAGGATGCGGAACTCGGACGGCTTGATAACACCTCTGCTGACGTCCTCGCCGAACCGGCTACTATTGTTGCCGAATTGCACCGCGCTGCTCGTCGCAGAGCTGAGCAGATCGCTGTGACTAAACAGACTCCGTGTCAAAATCGATAAGCTTAAAGCAGGCCGCTACATAGCATAACGGACCGTACAAGTTCCCTGCCGGGCAAGCAATAGTCTTGAATGCCATCTTCTTGGCGCATTTTACTCTTTAATGCCCGACAACGCCACGGAGACATCAACGCTCTCACTCACTCCAAGCCAAAAGCGGCTGTGGCTTCGAGCACCCACGTCTACAGCATCTCTTCACGTCCGGCGAACATAGCGCTAAACTGAGTCAATCCTGGTATACCTCTTTTCTGGGCTAGTACTTAACCATCTTGAAGATTGATTGGCTAGAACGTTGCTATTCCTCCCTAAAGGCGTCCGGAGTTGCTCCCTTGTACGGTAAGTCTGTGGCTTGATATTAGAGAGTGACCACCGGACGTAAAGGGACGCTGTATGTATGCAGCATCTTCGGGCATCAAAGCGTACAATGCGCCCAGAAGCTGGCATTCAAGACTACTGCCCGTTCCCTGTCCGGCTCAGCCTTCCAACAAGGCCGGGCTCCCTACCGTCCTGGACGAGAGATGGAGCATTCCGATGCTTCGAAATTCAAGCGGCATGCCTTACCACAGTTTCCAGGGCACGGCGACCTGGCGTCTGCGTCCTCTCCGTGAAGCGCTCCCTTCTGGAGCAGCGCGTAGAGAGTTCTGTGGTTGGCCTCCAGGGCTCAATTTAATTTCCACGCTGCCCTGGTGATTTGCTGACCCGGCGCTAAGTCCAACGCTAATCCCGAAGTTCCAACGGCCGCCAGCATCACGACTTCGCTCTCCTGTCTTCTGTCCTACATTCTTCATCCTCACCTCCGCGCCTCGTCGCATTGTCACTCATTCATTCCACCGCAGCAGCTTCACTCATTCAGCTGTTCGCATCCACTCCTTCAATACCAATCACCAGCAACGACTAGCTTCTCGCAGGTAAGCCGGCTCTCCGATCGTCATTCCTCTCACCACGAGAGATCACCGCTGACATGCGGTGCGTCAACAGTTGATATCCCATTGTCAATCCGCTGTACGCCCTCACGTTACGCTACACCTAGCTATTCACGACCACCTCTCGCATTCATCCCGCCATGACGACCTTTCAATTGCTTGCTGTCCGTGATGAGAGCGCCGGAACACTCAACCCTACCATGATCAATCTCCTCATCGCCCTGATGGTCCTCATCCTCGTCGGCCTCTGCGCAATTGGACTTTTATTCTGGCTAAGAAGCGTGCGAAGAGCAAGGAAGGAATCCGAGCTCCCCCTATACAACGAGAAATCAAACTCGAAGTCCTCGAACCACCGCCGCTTGACCATCACCGTCCAGGAGAAGCAGAATCTCATCGACAACTCCTCCAGCCCTCCACCCAGCCCGGTGCCGGAGATTCGCATCACTTTTCCCGACGAGGTAGACGAGACCGGCAAGAAGCAGTCTGGTCGCGTCGTCGTCGTACGTGTTGGCGATCACAGCGTCGGACTGGAGCCATTGAACGAGGATCTTCCGCCATACCAGAAGGACTCGTCGGATCGTTTCCAGTCTCTTGATCTTGACCGCATTGGAGGCTTGAAGGAGAACGATGAAAAGAGATGGTCATAGTCGACGGTGTTCCACGCCACCCACACCTCTAATCCCTAATCGGCATCCTTCAACTGCCTTCTCCCGCCCGCCGACTACCCTACACTTCCGCACTTCCTTTCATGCCACTTGGCTATGACCCGCTATTATTATTTTTGACGCCATGTACAGTTGTGCTGACTGTCTTGTTCGCGGCGCTTCACTTCTCACCGGTAGCCGTGGGGAGATTGTCTGTATGGTATGGGCCTGGCTTCGGCCTCGTTGTACATTCTTGGAGAAGATCTGGGAGTCTGCAAGGCGTCAAGTCTTCTCTATCGAGGTTATATCCTCTTGTGTAGCTTCTATTCTTAATGTATGATCCATCTGAGTTGGTTTGCTGCTCCGATGCGACCAGGGAAATCAATGTAAATCCAATTTCCGCACTAGTAGCGCCATTACGACGTGAATCTACTAAACGTGATTTTCTTGCCAAGCCTTTGACGATTGGCGTTTCGCGTGTACGATGATATACCGCTGTTTGGAGTACTTCAGTATGGTGAAAAGATTTGAACCTGATGTGAAATTACCCTTACATAATTCAAAGAGAGTGTTAACTTCAAATTGACAAAGCTAACAAAGCATCGCAAGTAATAGTAAAGTCATGAGTACAAACTAAGCTCTAGCGGGATGCTCTCTTGAAAACGCGTGGGGGTCCTGGTCTCGCGACGTAGCCCGCCAGATCAGTCGCGAACCATTCACGATTATAGTTTTCGCGTCAACAACCTCAATGGAGGACCCTTTGCCGTCTTATGAAGGCCTTGCAGCGGCCTTTGCAAAGGCAAAGGCTGAGAAGGAAAAAGAGGAAGCTGCAGGCTTGAGGGACAGAACAGACGATGCAAAGGCAGCTAACAATCAAGGAGAGGTTCGATTCAAGGCTGCCCATGGCCTCTTACTCGCCTTCTTCTCTTGGATCCTGTAAATATCAACAGTTACCTATGTCGCGCGCATCACTAATTGAGTTCTAGTCTCCTCCATGTCCTAGGCATCTACCTATTTACCAGTGGATTCCTCCTTACCCGACTTGTCCTCGACTACAAATCTTCCTGCGCCGTGCCTCCTGTAGATTTAACGCGATCATACCAGGTAGGGTCGCCAGAGTTGGGGTGTTGGCATCCCAAGACCTTTGAAAAAGCAGTCGTCATCATCGTCGACGCCCTCCGATACGACTTCACCGTCCCATTTCGACCCCAAGGCATAGACGACAAGCCCCATCACTACCACAATGCGATACCCGTCTTCTACGAGACAGCGGTCCAGCATCCCACCAATGCCTTCCTACTGCCTTTCATCGCCGACCCTCCGACCACGACGTTACAGCGATTGAAAGGATTGACAACCGGAACACTGCCGACATTCATTGACGCAGGCTCAAATTTTGCTGGGACGGCCATAGAAGAAGACAACCTCATAGCACAACTACGGAGCGCTGGTAAGAGGATAGTTCATCTCGGGGACGATACCTGGCACGCCCTGTTTCCTGGCTATTTCGAACCCGATCTCACAAGGGCGTACGACTCGTTTAATGTGTGGGATTTGCATACGGTGGACAACGGCGTCACGGAGCATATTTTCCCTTTGCTACACCCATCAAATACGAGCAAATGGGATGTCGTATTTGGGCATTATCTTGGAGTCGACCACGCTGGTCACAGATACGGTCCCGATCACCCTGCCATGACCTCCAAATTGGAACAGATGGACGCAGTATTCCGTAGAATGATCGAAACCCTCGATGACTCGACGCTCCTAGTTGTCATGGGTGATCACGGTATGGATGCGAAAGGTGACCATGGCGGCGAATCAGACGATGAGATTCAAGCGGCATTATGGATGTACTCTAAGAAAGGCATTTTTGGACGTAGCGCCCCCGCCAAAATAGAACCTCCAGCTACGGCCAAAGAGAGGCCTGTTGCTCAAATCGACCTTGTGTCTACTCTATCCCTCCTGCTGGGCATGCCCATTCCATTCAACAATCTTGGAGCCCCTATCGAAGAGGCATTCATCGGTAAAAAGGGGCAGGACTACGAGAATTTAGCCCTAGTCAACCGTCTTGCAACATCTCAGATCCACCGGTATCAACACGAGTACGCTCAGGCACGAGGCTTGGACGAGAATGCGAGATCAAGTTCGTTGTCTCTCTGGGCAGCAGCGGAGGATTCCTGGGTATCTTTGGTTAGAGCCAAGTCACCATCCGCAAAGCAGTGGAACAATGCGTATTCGGCCTTTTCTGCATATCAGCGCGAGACTCTAAGTGTCTGTCGCGCTCTATGGGCCAGATTCGATGTAGCGAGGATGGTCCATGGTGTCGAGATCTTAGCCCTTACGCTTATTGTCCTAGCCATCTATGCTCGTGGTATTGATGGAGACCGAACTGAACTAACCCCAGCTCTATTCCTCAGGGCTATGATCGGTACGGCTCTTGGTTTATTAGTTGGCCTAGCTACAGGGTTCGGTGTGCCCTCACTGCCACTCGAACACACTGTAATATACGCCACGGCGGTAGGCAGCGCTGCAGGCTTTGCTTCAGGCTTTTGGTACGTACGGCGACGACTAGTATCGCCCATTCCACGTTCAATATGGGGTTGGGTAGGTGTCACCCTCACGGTCGCCCTCTCGGTGGGCTTCGCATCCAATTCTTTCACCATTTGGGAGGACGAGATCCTGCTCCACTTCTTGACCACGTTTGGAGTCCTCATGGCGATTTCATCTTTTCGACAAGCAGACATTATCGATCGAGCGCTCGGCTGCTATCACTCCATCTTATTTATTGTCCTCACTCGCATCGCCTCTCTCTCTAGACTGTGCCGAGAAGAACAGATGCCGTATTGCAAATCAACGTATTATGCCTCTGCCAACTCCTCTACTTCCGCGATTTGGCAATTAGCTATTCCTTTCTTCGTGGCTTTCACACTGCCCAATCTCCTCCGATCATACTTCAAGAGCACTCAATCTTACCAAGGTTCCGCCATTTTGTGGATTGATTTCGCATTCCGCACTGGATTACTTATAAGTGCTGCTTTTTGGACAATGGATGCAGCAGATGACGGAGATTGGTTCCCTGGGTACGGAGCTTTACTGAAGACCTCCAAAATTATCCTAGCACAGATTGTTTTTGCTATAGCTTTAGCGGCCGGATATTCTACCTTCGCCTGGGCCGCTCCATTACTCAACATCGAGACGAAATCCAATTTGACTGCTGAAAAGTCTGAGGAGCGCTCCCGACAAGTAGTAGCAGAAGGTGGGAGCTCGTCCATCACTATCCTGGGCTATGCGAACGTTCATGGGTCCAGATATGCCCTCCTCATCACCATGTGGCTCCTTGCTGTCATTCTAGTACAAAAGCCAATGGGTGGAGGTGCTATCGGGCTTCTGGGATGGCAAATATTCTCTCTGTTCGAAATTATTGACACGAACCACCTGTCGGAGACACCAGTCGGTCCTCTGGTCCTTGGCTTCCTAGGCTCTTTTCACTTCTTCAAGACGGGCCACCAAGCAACGCTTTCCAGCATTCAATGGGAGAGTGCTTTCATCCCCCTCAAGACCATCAAATATCCATGGTCTCCACTTCTCATCATTCTAAACACTTTCGGGGCGCAGATCATCTGCGCGGTTGCTGTACCGGCTGTGGTCCTCTGGAAACAACCTCCTAAGAAGAAAGGACTGCTCGGGGATGTTGCGAAGGCGATAGCAACTCACTTGCTATTCTACGCAGTCATCAACCTCGCCACAACAATGTGGGCTGGTTGGCTACGGAGACATCTGATGCTGTACCGAATCTTCAACCCGCGCTTCATGGCTGGTGCAATTGTTCTACTGGTCGTTGAAGTGGTGGGAATCTTGATTGCGCTCTTGGGAGTTCGGTTGAACTTCCTCAGCGTTGCGGAGATATTTGGTTGGAGCTAAATAATCCTACCCTGTTGCTTTGACTCGTCGTGTCACTTTTTCTTTTCATCCACAGTTTTGCATTGCTTTGGAGTCTTTGCGGTCATAGATAAAATCAGCATCTTGTCAGCTTTTTGGAGAGATGAGCGCCCTAGTCCATTGACTGTATTATACATCAGACCTTCTACAGCACTTTTCATCGCGAGAAAGTAGTAATGCAACTACAATCAACGTTAGATGGCGTCATTTGGGAGAAATCTTTGGTTGTGAGCGGCCGATGAATCCAAAATTGATGCGCATCCTGAGCCATGGTTGAGCCAGCGCAAGCGACTTCCCCACGAAGAGAGCTCTCCCCACTGCAAACCCAACTGCATACACCGAACACCACTTTATACTACAACTCTCTGAAGCACCGCTAAGAATCCACTCAAAACCTTTGGAGGGCCCTCAACAGTCCCACGCCCTCAATAATGGCAGAAACCAAATCAGTCCGTTTCCTCATCTTGTCAGATACGCATGACCTCACTCTCGAGACTGAAAGCAACAAGACTTCACTTGGGCAACCTTTCCCTGAAATCGAGGTTCTCCTACACTGCGGTGACCTCACAGAGATCTGCTCCCTCGAGGGACTTCGACGAGCGGTAGACTTGATCTCCGCGATACCTGCTGAGCTCCGAATATGCATCGCGGGTAATCACGACACGATATTGGACCGAAATTTCCACTTCGCAAACGCCGGGTCACTCTCAGACCATGAAGAAGCCTTGAAAATCATGGCAGACGGAGCTATTAGATACCTCGCCGAAGGCAGTCACAGCTTCACATTAGCTAGCGGGGCTACCTTCAACGTTTTCGCGTCCCCCTACACACCGTCACAATATGGGCCCCAATATGGCCTTCACGCCTTCCAACATTCTTCCGGTGAAGATCGATACAATCCTTCCACGGTCACGCCAACCTACGCAAAGAACACATCAAACCCGACATCCACCATCCCTGATTTTCCTGCCATCGACATTGTTATGACGCATGGGCCTCCGAAATACATCCTGGACAGCACCACTGATGGCAGGACGTCAGCGGGTTGCGAACACCTGCGACGAGCCATTTGCCGTGCCAGACCACGCCTACATTGCTTTGGGCATATACACAGTGGATATGGCGCCCAGAGGGTAGCTTGGAAAGACTCTGTTTCCTCAACAGAGCTCGAGGAGCTAGGAATCGATGACCAATCCTCCCAAGACGATGACATGATTTTAATTCCTCGACCAGAACCCGAAGGACTGATGAAGAACTCAGATCGGCGCCGCGGATACGTGAAACTGAGCCATTCTACGAGGGAGGCGTTAGTACATGGAAAGCAAACGCTGATGGTGAACGCTGCGATCATAGATTCCGAATCGCAAACGCACAACGCCCCTTGGTTAGTCGAATTGGATCTTCCCATCAAAGAGATCACTCCTGAAAGGGGTAGTACAAGTGCTATAGCGGCCAGCGAATTGAAAAGGAAGAGAGACGAGGAGGAGGGCTCTCGAGATATTTGTGAGAAAGACAGTACCAGCGATGCGGCGGCTCGTGTATGAAAGAAGAGGGGAGGAAGGGGGTCTCCAATTGCATGACGTAACACAAAGTTACAAAGCCATGAATGATCGTGATGTTGCCAATAGACATAGATGAAGTGCAATTATATCACTTGGAGTTGCTGGCATAGTAGCTGCCTACATGCCTAGCCAGTTACAACTTCTACAGAGAGGGGTTGGGGTACGGTGGCCTACCGTGCCTACCGTGCCTACTGCTGTCTCTAATTAGTGCTTCTGCCTACGCGTACAGTCACTTCCTACGTAGTATATAGTTTGGCCTTCGGGCCCCCGAAATAAGACAGAGTTCACGTCAATTTGCAACCTGAGTATATCCGACGTTCTTAAACTACTCTTTCTTCTGTTCCACACGTGGGATCATGACCCAACTGATCCCCATTGCCACAATGAGGGCTATAAGAATAGGCTGTAGCACGCTTACGCCAGCTTTTCCGGCGACCAAGCCAGCCAGACCAGGAAATATCGTGCCTCCAGCCTGTGCAATGACGAAGACTAGCCCTATGACACAAGCCAAGTCAGCTACAGTACTAGGTCATAAATTCAGGCATACGAACATGCCACGACTCTGACTCCGCCTTTGCTTAATCGATACCACTGTTAGGAGTGGCTCAAGGGGCATGTAGCCAGCCGGTCAAGAGATAGTCTAATTATCGATGCAAGAACATGAGGATGGGTATGCGGATATGCCACTGCTTATGCTCCAATCTTGCTCTCTCGATACCACTGTGCGAAGTGGCCCAGCTAGTGGGTAGCCAGTCTGTCGAGAGGCAGTCTAATTTCGACTAAATCCACCTTGACATCGTGCTGGCTGTTGCAAAAACCGAGAGGAGAAACCCAGACAGTAAGAAACGAATCCTTAGACTTTTGGCGAGGCATTGTAACCGAAAAAATGTATGGATCACGTACCAAGAGCAGTAGCATGAATTTCAACAGGGAGAATCTTAGTCGCAGTCGAGATGCCCTAGCATGACCGTCGTTCAGTCAATTTTATCGAACGAGACGTGTGGTAATGACTTACAGTAGCAAAGAAAGGCCCCAAGAAAAATCCCATCAAGCTGACTGTGATCGCGCTTGATATCAGATTTTTTACCTTCCAGAAGACAATCTGTAGAACGAGACACAGCGCCGAGTAAATGAGGAGCATCCGACGTTCTCCAAGTCTAAATGTTGGTTCCGCAAGGAGCAATCTGCCGACTGCGAGCCCACCGTACATGCCTGAAGGCACGTACCCAACTTCGGAGAGCTTGTTCTTTCGAACAGTAACGAGGTATTCAACAAGCCAACCTATACGATGACTATTAGACTGGCTTGGCCTAGCACTAGAACTGTTTCTGGTGTACAAGGGGATTGACTCACCCCCGGCAGTGATAGCGGCCCCCAGGTGGAAGAAGAAAAAGACACCCAATAACCACACGGTTTTGTTTCGGAGCGTGAGTTTCATCTCAGGCCAAGCTTTCCTGGGGTTTACCTCGCCGATTTCTTCTGGCTTTCGTGATAAGAGTCTCGGCAGGCGAACTTCATTTCTGAATGATGCAGCTACAAGGAAGAGATTGGCGACGCTCAATCCCAGTGGAAAGAAATAAAACCAAGTCCAGTGATCAGGGCTTGACGGCGCTATGGCGGCAGCAATCAGAGGACCTACAAGACACCCCACACCGTAACTGGCATGTATAACACCAAGCCAGCGGTGGGCGGTCTTAACGGTTGATACGAAGGTATTTGCTTGGGAATCTTGAAACGCCGTCCTCAAAGCCGCGAAGAAGAAAGTAGTGCAGAAGAGACCAAATGGCGGTTTCTAGTAGATTGTTAGGCTCATCGAGGGCCAATGCCAATGTCCGGAACCGACCCAGAATCTCAACGTATATGCCACTATTTGCAGAGCAGCACCGAGAACCAGCGTTCCGCCAGTTCCAAGATGCAGTTTTGGATACCCACCAAGTAGTGCGGCGAGAAGCCATCCCACGAATCCGGAAGTATAAAGAATAGCTATTTGTCCAGTGTGTATTTGATATGCGCGCAAGATGTACGGAATCAGGGTGCCGAGGCTTCCGTCATTGATGCCGGCGATGAAAAAAGCGAATGTAGCACTGAGGAGTTTGAAAGCAACCACTCTAACACTTGGCCTGGGCGGCTCGTCCGCTGCAGGAGTTGGGGCTGCTGCTTGTAGCTCTGACTGACCTGACGGGGTAGAAGCTGGGTATTTGGTCAAGTTGATAGAGTCCTGGGGTGCTGTGTGAGGTTTCTGCATCATGTTGCAAGAAAAGAGACGTCTGTATGAAAAGCATAAAGCAGAAGCAGTTTTGTATGTGAAAATGACATATTTCTATGTGGAGAGCGGCCCGAACGACCGAAGTCTCACCCTCTATATCAGATGAAAAGGTTCCGAAGACCAATAATAAATAGTATCACAGAAGCTATGCAGTTGGCTGATGCAGAGGTGATCGCCCACTAGTACAGGAGAGGAGATGCTTGCGAGAATGCAATATACAGTAGGGAAAGCGGATAGCAACCAACGCAGTGAACCCATCGGGGATTGTGAAGGGCAATGGCGCAATACGGACTGTTCGCTTTTGGAGAGTCAGGAGTAATAGGTTACTGACAAAGTGAACGTTTATTGGTCCTGTCTTCAACTTCCTATAGTAGACTGAACTACTGTCACCAAAGCTTAACTATCGCCGAATACGGAAGAAAAGGCAAAGTGAAGTCTCTCAGGATTCAAACAACCGAAGGGTTCCATGCTACGCCTTCGACGCCCACCATATGCCAAGGATAACGCCTATCACCTATTGTTCCAGCAATAATCAATCCGACTCCTCTCGTCTTAATTCTTCTCGGCGGGCCTCCTCTTTGCCTCTCTCAAGAACCGACTCTCTGAGCCGCTCCTCCTGTCTTTTCCAGTGGCTACCCTCCTCATAGTCCTCTCGGATACCCAGTGCCTTGCGGAGCTTCTCGCTCTCCTCTATCTTGGCGGCAGCTAGCTCGTGGACCTGGTGGGACTTGAGTCCTCTCGCATTCGGGCCTGCGTCTTTGCCCTGCTGTCTCTCGGCTTCGAGCTTCTTGCGCAGGGCGGTGCACTGGTCGTCGATGTCATCCTCGTCAACGCTACACTCGATCAGTAACGCCTGAGACGGAGCATAGAGGCCTGTCACATACCCTTCATCTTCCAGTCTGTCCCGTAGCTCGAAAACTTTCACCTCAATCTCTCGGCGGCGGTCGTGCTCCAGTATCTCCTTGTCGGGCTGGCGTTGGCGGTGCTTGAAGTTATCGAAGTCTTTGGGGTAGGGAGCGGCATTGTCGCGGGGCTTGAGGAAGGACAGATTCCGCTGGACGTAGCCAGAGGTGCCACTGCCCCTAGGGGTGGAGAGGCCGACGTTGGACGACATTGTAGAAAGGAGGTTCTCGCGTTAAGAAGACTGACGGCCACGGGGGGCGGAGGTGTGCGGAGTTTGGAGCACGAGTCAGTTGCCCGCGATGACTCTAAATAATATTCTATCTACTCCACCGTGTCCACTTCTTCAATCATAAACCTTCCACCACCGTCTTGACTTTGCGCGTACCAGCTTGACGTACCCCCCAACCACACGCAAACAGAGAGTCGCTCATGGCTACAGCTTCGTCCAGCTCGGCGCCCGCAGACGCGTCGACCGGCCTTACGAAGCTGCCCTTCCCGCCCGTCACCAAGCAGCACATTCTTAACTGCTCTTTCCATGCGTGGCATCCACGGTTTGTTCCACCCGTATCACGCTCTGAATACGGCGCTGACTCTGCTCCAGCTACCGTGCTATCACTCCCAAAGCCCGCCTCGTCCCGCTTTCGCCGCCCTTCCTCTCATACCTTCGCGCCGACGGCATCATCCTCCCGCCCGACGAAAACGACCGCACCGACTGGTCTGACTCCGACAGTGGCATATTCTCCTCCACAGACAACGCCTCGGAGGCCGAAGAAGACGAGGATGACGATCCCTCGACCCAATGGCGCGACGTCCATGAGGCTGTCCGAGCAACCATCGAGGAGCTTGGTGGTAAGGTCGTCCCCAAGCTGAACTGGTCCGCGCCTAAGGACGCAACCTGGATAGCTGCCACGAATAGCATGGAATGCCGGACACCAAACGATATCTACCTGTTATTAAAGTCTAGCGATTTCGTCACACACGACCTGGAGCATGCCTTTGACGACTGCGATGAAGATACGCCTGTGGACCAAACAGTAACTCAGAAAGATTCGATCCTATCATCCGACAGCATACCATATCACCTTGTTCTGCGGAAGCACATTACACTCAATCCTTCGGTTGAGTTCCGCTGTTTCGTTCGGCGGCGGAAGCTCATCGCCGTCTGCCAGCGTGACCTCAATTACTTTGAGTTCCTGTTCAAGATGCAAGACAAGCTCCGCGATCGCATACAAGAGTTCTTCCAGGTGCGACTACAAGATTCATTTCCAGATGAAAACTTCACTTTCGACGTTTACGTCCCACCCCCACACGACCGAGTGTGGCTTGTGGACATAAATCCGTGGGCGCAGCGAACCGACCCTCTTCTCTTCAGCTGGCTAGAGCTACTCACCTTGCCTGAACCTCCAGAGCCAAGCACATCAGAGGTCGTTTCTCCTCCCTTGGGCTCCCAAAGCAAATACGGTCAAGACCCTGCCTCTGCCAAGTCTACAAGAGAAGACCAAGGGGACCAAACAGACTCCGAATCCGAAGATGACGAAGAAGGAGAAGAGATGTTCGCCCCTGAGTTTCGCCTCGTGCATAGAGACGATCCAGAAGCATACGGTTTCACCACGCCGCAGTATAGCGCCCACAAACTGCCACGCGATGTTGTTGATGCAAGTAGAGGCGGGGAAGGAAGCATGAGAGAATTTGCGGATAAGTGGAAGGAAGTACTGGCAAAACAACATGAGGAAGACGGACAGGATAGCGGAGATGAGTAATAGGAAATGCAGTAATGCAAGAACACGCAGAAGTCCACAGCACTTAATTTCGGGAGATGTGACACAAAAATGAATTCAGAAGACAATGTATAATGCTCACCATCCCATGAATTTTCGGAAGATGCTCCATCCACAGTACAGCCAGGCCGTGTTAGTAAGATATTATTCAACAATATAAACGTCTAACAGCAGTGCTTTAGGTTGGTGTTATATAAGTTCGCTAAATAGGATCGGGGCATTCCAATCTATAATAGGGGTATATAGAAGGGTATTCTAAATATAAATACTTTGTTATTAGAGTTTTATTACACTATTTTAGCTTTTATTAAAAATATATAGTAGTTCTATCTAGGCTAATCTATATTAGAAAAATTGTATAATATTTAAGCTATAACGTATTCCACCACCGAGCCGGCCAAACCACCGAGCCGGCCACTTTTCCTTGGCACAACCAACACCATGTGCGCGCAGTCAATTTATTCGCAACCAGCTATAGAACTTGTGTACGACACACTTAGATCAGATTCAGAAGAAGCTTCTTAATCCTTTTTGCACGTACGCGCATTGTGCCCAGCCTCTCCACAGTTTCCACAGCGCCGTTGAGCTGGTAGAGCCCTATTTGCACCATCTCTACTACCCACCTTTTTCCGTGGATTAGATGCTCCAGACACTTCAGCAGCTACATACAACGCTGCTGTACCATACTCTATTATACCGCCAGTCTGGATTCGCTTTCTTTTACAACCTTTACGCTTGGTTATCTCTGCTAGTTGCTCTTTAAGCTCTTTAACCCGGGCTTTAATAAGCATATTTTCGTGTAGCATCTCTTCGGCTCCTTTAATAAGCTTTAAGAAGCCTTCTTAGGCAGTTATTAGTAACTGTATAAAGGAATTGCTTACTAGCCTTAACTGTAATCCAAATTTATATATATTACTTAGGGTTTTTAATTGCTATAGTGTTTCTAGTAGAGGTGCTGGTAGTAGGGTCTATAACCGTATATTAAGGCGATTAAGAACTACCTGCGCGTTAATAGGAACTAATCCAGAGGCCTTAAAGGCCTTCTTACAGTTCTTATATATAAATATATTAAAAAACGCGTCTTTAAAGGCTGGTAGGAAGCCTTCTTTATTAATATAGTAGACGCGTCGGCGTGCTAAGTCTTATATATATTAAAAGTACTTTAGCTTTAATAGTAAGAAGCATACTATATTAAGTAGCTAAAGTATATACAATAAATATACAGGTATATAGAGGGTAAGAATTTATTATTTAACGTAATAATTCTTAAAATCTTAGTTAAGGTGGCTTTTATAGCTGTCCAAAATTAGCAACCTATATAACCTTACCTAACGCGCCTTTATATATATATTAAAGTGCTTTAACTACTTAAAACTAAGCTTATTATTAGTCCAGCTATTCTTAGAGATAGAGAGCTTCTAATTATATAGTATTTCTGCTTCCTTATACTATATAGAGATATAAACGCGTTCTTTATAGATAATAAATAGTAGGGTTGTATATCCGGCAGCGCAGATGCTCTAGATAACTGTAACCTACTTTTAGTTGCCTAGTTAAATAAGATTAGGCCTTATATATCTTTCTAAACCTATAATAACCTTTATTATACTAATTATACCTATTTAAAAGCCAGTTTTATTAAAGTTGTAGATATTATCTAGGTAGATACTATACTTAGCTATAGTTTCTTATATAAGAGTAAACTATATATTAATAATCTTTAGGTCTTCCTAGAGTATTCTCTAGTAGTTCTTTGCCTAATTAAAAGCTATTTTAAGCTCCTTTATATAAGATATAAACTATTAAGTCTAGTTCTTACCTACTAGTATTCTACTACGCGCAGCTAGTACTTTATTTACTATATCTGCCACCTTATATAACCGGGGCGCAAATCCTTGCAAGTCTAGGTTAAGAATATATTATATAATTATATGCTCTTCGGTCGCAGTAAGCTTTAGGCAGTTTAGTTGTAATTAAGGTTAAAATATAATTCTGTAGAGCCGATTAGAGAGCTGCTAATATTATATATTAAAGGCTGCTGCAGCGCGTTATATAGTCCTAAATTAACTAGAGGTAAAGGCTTAAAGCGCAAGATTAATACTGCCTTCTTACTAAGATAGATAATCGCTGCGTTGTTAATACATTGCTATATAAATATGGTGTTGGTTATACTAAGGAAAAGTGGCCGGCTTAGTAGTTTAGCCGGCTCGGTAGTGGAATACGTTACTTAATAAATATTTAAATAAAAACCTTTCTTTTTTTAATAGTAATATAATGCGTTTTTTTACCTATACTATATTTATATAGGATTAGTAGATTTAATAGTAGATAAAAATATATATATATATTAATTATATTATAAAATAGGTTAACTAAGGCGTAACTATAGGTTAGTATATATTTAAATAGGCTTTTACTTAAATAATTAGAAGAAAAATAAGCTACTAATAGAAATAAAAATAGATATAAATATTAATACGTATATTATTAGATTAAGGGGACTATAAACTTTATAAGCTTTTTCCGCTATATATATACCTATTTTAGATTTAAAAAAAGTAAAAAAATATAATATAATTAAGTTTGCAGCCGCTTAGAATTACGGCCTAAAGTAAGCCCTTAGGGGCTACTTAAGGCCCTATAAGCTATATAACAAACTTTTAAAGCTCTATAAGCAGCGGCGTTGGCGTTGTAGTTAATTTACGCGTCGCGACCTCTAATCCGCAGCACCTGTAGTAATAACAGCATTACCTATATTAATAATAACAACTTTAACCCTAAAACTAAACTAAATACAACAACCCGAAGCCTACCGGAAACGCCTACTAAAGCGTCTAAAGCACCCTTTATAAAGCACGACAACTATAGGCTAGCCTACGGAATAAGCTACTTTAACCCGCGGATATAGATAAACTATACCACGTATTCCAGGAATTTATCGGACGTGTAATAATTAACCTTATAGGCGCATCGGCCGAACTCTAATAAACGCTATAGGTACAATTAATAACGTATTCTATAAGCGAGCCGTCCACCTAAGCGAGCCGTCCACTTTATTATAAAAACGCGACGCGTTAACTTCCAACCACTATGCGTCGACAACACAACGTGCAATCAATACAAAATAAAGGTCGAATATGCATAGCTATCGCAGCAATTAATCAGCAGCAATTTAAAAGCGAACGGCGCGCTATTACGATATATAACGTACCTAGAAGCACACTTCGAGATCGACGCGCTGGAACGACCCCACAACGCGATTCTGAGCCTAATTTAAAGAAGCTTTCCAAGCTGGAGGAATCAGTTGTTGTTTAATATATACTCGACCTAGATTCGCGAGGATTTCCGCCCAACCTATATACTATACGAGAGATGGCCAACAAATTGCTCGCCAAGCGCGCCGCCGGCCACGTTGGTAAGAACTGGCCAGAGAACTTTATTAAGTAAACACCTAAGCTTAAAACATAATTTAATTAAAAGTATAATTATTAGAAAGCTTTATATAAAAATCTAAAGGTAATTAGTAATTAGTTTAAGCTTATATATAATATAAAAGCAAAGTATAGTATTTTAGATAAAAATATATATAACTTTAATAAAGCTAGCTTTTAAATAGGTATTATTTTAACTAGTATAGTTATAATAGGCTTTAAATAGTACAATTATCTAAAATTAATATAGCTAGGTAATCGCGAATAAATAATAATAATTTAAGAAGTTAATACCTATAAATAGGCTATCCCGCTATTTATTATCTTTTCGGGTAAGTACTACCTTTTTATATAGTATAAGGATAATAATATACTACTAAACTAGGTTATAGCAGTAAGTAATAATAGCTAAATAATAAATAAGCTTAGTATTACCTAGCTATAGTATTTTAATAAATATATAAAGGATTATACTATAGGTATATATTAGCTACTAATTATTAATAGCTATAAAAGCTACTACTTACTTAAATTTAAAAAAATTTATAAGGAAAATAATATTATTACTTTCTATATACTAGTATATTTATTACACCTACTATAGCCGCTTAATATTAGCTGCTTTACGCTGTTAAAAAAGGTATACAGGCGCTAAATTAAGGATTTAATATACTACTATATTAACTATATTATAAAGCTAAAGTTTTTACTAGTATTTAAAGCAGCCTTTTATAATTTAATTATAAAAAGCAATATTTATACAGGCTTTTAAGATGCAGGCTTTATACTACTTAATTTAGAAGTAGTACTTTTAAAGCTTAATATTTAGCTTTATATACTATTACCTTTTACTATAGTAGAGGCTTAATAGGAATTAAAAATACTAAGTAATACTTATAAGCTAGGCTTTTAATTAGCTTTAATTTATAATTATATTTAAAGGTATTAAAATAGCTCGCCTATAGTAATTTTTAATACGCTTAGCAGCCTTTTTAAAAGTGCTATAATAATAATATATTAAGCTATACTATTATATAATATAGTTGCTAGCCTTTAAAAGGTAAATAAAGCCGCTATAAAGTATAAAACGCGTAAAAAAAAGCGGATTTAGAAAGAAAAAACTTTAATAATAAAAGTAGGCTTTTAAATAGCTGCTTAAAAGCTTAATAAAAACGCCTAAAGTAAAAGGTAGTAAAATAGGGTAAATTCTAGCGAAAGCGCGCAGCGCTATAGATACTGCAGTAAGCTAGGGTATAATATTTATACGTGTAAAAATAATATAAAGGTTGCTATAGATTAGGCTATAAGTTATATATAGTTAATATCTATTAGTATTATAGAGCAATTAACGTTTAAGGCCGGTTTTTATAATAAAGTAGACGGCTTACTTAGGTAGATAGCTTGCTTATAGAATATATTAAAGAAAATAGAAAAAATAGAAAAAAAAGTACACGCACTATTAATATAGGGTAAAATATACGCTGTAGTAGTAGTAGAAATAATACTAGCTACTATACTAAATAGATAAATAGGGCAGTAAAATAGAGGAATTAGGTAGTAAAATAGAAAAGCTATAGGAAATAGAATACTAATAGTATAATTTATAAAAGTTTATAAAATTACTATTTATATTAAAAATAATAATAAATAAGCTGCTACTAAAAATAATATAAACGCAACTATTATTAGTAAGCTTTAGGTAGGTAGCCTTTTAGATATAACCTAAATATATAGTATAAAAAAGCTTTAAAATAGGGATATAATAGTATATATAGCCGATAAAGCTATAAAAAAACGCCTATTAAAGAAAAAAAAGTAGGTATAAATACTAGCTAAAATAGCGTATATATAACTCCTTACTATACTAATAAAAGTATATAAAATACCTAAAAATATAGCCTTAAATAGCTTAGGTGTTATAGTTTTAGGCGGCAGGATTACTCTAGCTAGCTTAGGTAGGTAGGTAGAAATAATAACTAAATTTACTATATATTCTATAATATATAGCAGGCAGGCGGGTTAAATAATAAAATATAGCTTAAGAAGCTATAAAAAGGCAGGGCGGCGGTTAGCAGGTATACTTCTACTAAGGCTTATATAGGCCCTTATAATAAGGCCTCTCGCCGGGTTCTAATATTACGTGTTACGCTATATAGTAAGCTTTACTATTTAAGCTATAATAGTACTTCCTTTTTTATAGCCGAACTTTATTAAGGCCTAAAAACCGGGCTTTTTAGGGTAATAGTAATAGAATAACTAAATAGCTTCCTTAGTATATTCTAGATAGTTAGCAGGCTTTTCTATAACTTTATTATATCTAGTTTACTTTACTATATACTTTAGGCGGGGGCGGCTATAACCGCAACACTTCTATTAAAAGTTAATAACTTTCTTAACTTTCTACTCCTTTA